ATCACCGGGCGTGACCACATAGACAGGATTTTGACAATTGTCCAATTGACTCGTGGCCGTTTTTGCGACTGGGTTCTGTCTAAGCGCAAACGGGCAGAGCTAACTTGTCAACTCTTTGCGTAATGATTCACATATATTTCCCCCCATATATCATATATATTCCAAATGATATTGAAAACACATCGTGACTTACAGTATTATACAGAATGACTAACACACTTAACTGTATCTTGGGTATATGTTAAAATGCAAGATCTATGTAAAGTCTAAAAAGTATTACTGAGGGATTCTTTGGCCGAAGGACTTGAAGTCATACCCGCATTCTGATTGGTTCTTTCGTATTTTCGCACATAACATTCGTCGACAGGGGAACGAGTCTTCTTGCAGGTTACAGAAAGGAGAGAGTGGTGACGAATGATAGAAACAATTTTTATGCTGCCCCCATCCTTAGTTATATATACCTAATCGCAAACAAAACGCAATTTCTACAAACATTTGTGATACGTACAAATCATATTAGCTTGGATACATTCTGTTTGGGAACTGTGTGTAAGTAAACGTTTTCCTGCTTCATATGTTTGTTTGAAAACACAGCTGGTGTTTCAGGTCCGAAAAAAAATGTTAGCACAAATGCAGCCTCACAAGAGTCTCTGAGATCGGTTGCGAAAATTCTTCGTGCACATCAAGATGCACGCGCAGGATGAGCTATATCCTCGATTGCCAGTAAGTAGTGAGTGAGTGAGTTGGGTTTAACGCCGCTTTTAACATTTTTCCAGTTATATCACGGCGTGTCAGCTTAATGTGGGAGGAAAGCCCGAAGTGATGCAGGTCTCAGACGTTTACCACTTCGGTGAAACCCACGAGCACGGGTATGGTGCTGACAAACCTAGAAACATAATCGGGGCGAACCGGGATTCGAACCCACAATCATAGGTTTCTGGCGTGGCCAAGGGACGCAACTCTGCACAGCAAATCGCGGCACCTTAGACGACTGGGCCACACGTGCCCCCGCCAGTAAGTAGATCGATACAGTAGCGATGACGAGGTTGTGGCAAATCATTTTAATGTGCACGTAACAACAATATATAGTATGCAGCAACGACTCAACACTGCCATCAGCACCAACGACCGTCCACGTAGTGGTCGGCTCCGAGTCACAACGCCTCGACAAGATGGTAACATGCGTCACTATCGCCTGCAGAACCGTTTCCTCTGCGCAACTGAAACAGCTCGGCAGACGATCGGCACCGATCAGCGACCTGTCAGTGCCGATACAGTGCAACGTCGCCTAGTCGCCAGGAACATCTTTTGTCGGCGACTTGCTCTACTGCCTATCCTTACAGACATTGTCAGGTACGACTCAAATGGGCAACACAGCGTCAACAATGGCGCATCATCAATGGAGGAACGTCATCTTCTCTGATGAAAGTCGTCATGGTAGGGTCATGATCTGGCGCAGACGTGGTGAACGATTTGCAGACGCGGGGAGGCCCAAGCATCACGGTGTATGGGGGCATTAGAGTGAACCAAAGAACTGGACCTGTGGTCTTCCAAAATATTGGTCCAGGCAGGGGCAATGGCGTCACATCGCAGCGCTACATTGACAAAGTCCTAAGACCTTACGCCTTTCCCTTTTTCGCCCGTCACCAATGCTCGTCCCCATACAGCTGCAACAACTAGAGACACAATCCTACAGCAGCATAACATCATCACCATGCCTTGACTTGCCATCAGACCCGATTTGAAACAAATAGAACACTTGTGGGACGATATCCAAAGACGCCTCAATGACCTCCAACCAAGGCCGACAACCGCATAGGAATTTAGTGCATCTTTTCTACGCATATGGGCCCAGATCCCCATGGCCTTCATCCACCGCCTGGTGCAATCGATGCACCGGAGATGAGTCGCCATAATTAACCCTCATGGTGTGCATACGAGATACGAGATTATAGTATTTGAAAGTACATATGTTCAAATGCCTTATAGACCTTGCGTTTCGTTTGCGGTATGAAAGTTTGGCGATGGCATAATGACTTTTCCAAGCCTGCCTCAGTTTTGACAACAAGAGAGAGGTTCAACCTCGTTCAGCTTCTTAATGATACAGTTATGATGAGGTAAATACTTGGATTAATGATGCCATATTGTTGATATTCTGATTTCAAGCAATGAATTAAATATAAATGATTGTTACTATTACCCGCACTTGTGTGGTAAAGATTGTCCTCATAACAAATATTTCAAGTACCTAGTATTGACAGATACTGCATAGTATGTTAATAAAGAAGGCATTGTCAATTTGTGATGATTGATTGTCAAATTATAAGGCCAGATGTGTTCTTCATTTGTTGTCATGAATAAACTTGATAATGATAGACTGGATAATGCTGTGTGACATCCAGATGCAACACTCTTCCACCACAATGACCGCCAATAGTCTTGTATGTGTATCTTATAAGTGAACAGGCGTTTAGAACAGTTTAACAGTTATATGGCAGCTTGACAAATTCATCTGGGGTTAATGTGAAAAAGGCCGATACGGTTTTGACAAACGTCTGTGATTTGAAATGATGTTAACCTGATCATGTTAAGACTACACACTCAGTCAGGCAATAATCAGATGATGAGAATGATTGCACATAAATATGATAGTGATCATGATATTTACCTTCTGTGAATCCGATCTCGGTTCCAGGCAGTTCTCTGTCGACAACGAGGTTGTTCTGGACGATGTCCGGCTCACAAACAAGTTTGCATACTCTCCGCGTGTTCCAGTTGAGAAGCGGTCTCCCTAGTAACCTCAAACTGAACGACCGCCTCTGTGGTCTTGTGGTAGAGCGTCCGCCCGGAGAGCGGAAGGTCCAGGGTTCGATCCCGGGCCGCGTCATACAATAAGACGTTAAAAAGATTGTACTTGTTGTTACCCTGTCTGGCGCTCGGCATTAAGGGGCTAAAACAAGGACTGGTCGGCTCGGAGTCAGTATACTGTGTCTGAGTGGGGTATTCATGTTAAACTGCGGCATGGTATCTCAGTGAGCTAGCACTATAAATCGGCATCAGTCCGGACTAGTACAAGCAGCCACACACACACATACACGTGCATGCACGTCGCTATATAAGTGCAATAATCTTGGACGCGACGTTGAACCCAAGTTCACCTCACCTCAAACTGAACGCTGTCGTCACAATATGTGAGGAATGAGCTTAGATTAAGCAAACACGTATATGAACGTTCTTTCAATGCATTGTTGGGACACAAATTACAGTTGAAAGTTTATTCCATGCAATGCCATTTAAACCCTGCAATATACAGTCAACTTATGTGCTACATAGTTATGGTACACTACATTACTTACCCAAAGACGTTTTTGTGTTCTGTTACATAATTTTGCCTTTATGGTGCGTTAGTGATAGAAACAACTTGAATAGCTTGTTTCGTTAAAGTGTCTTTCAGTTATTGTAATAAGATTTCAATGTAGCAATTACAGGATCAAATTTCTTTGGAAAATAGTTTCTTAATATTACCTTAAAAGATGTCTCGATACTATTTGGCTGTCGTCTTCAAAAGGTTCACATTCGACCACTTTCTGCTCAAACTCCCCACTCGTTTCACCCTCTTTCAAATGAGCACTTTTTATATTATTTGCTTGTTTCCGTCTGGTCAGAGTTGAACTGCTGTTATTTACCCAAGCTTTCTGTAACAAGCCAAAAGAATTGTCTATTTGTTCTTGATTATTGGGTGTTATCTTTTGTCTAAATAAGTAGTTGCCTGATGAAGATTCGTGACCATGAGATTCTGTTTTGCTGATGTCTTTTTCATTTCCATCTTTAAACGTCTCCCCTGTGAATCGCCGCAGATTCCTTGGTATTTGAGTGAGTGAGTGAGTATGGTTTTGCGCCGCTTTTAGCAATATTCCAGCAATATCACGGCGGTGGACACCAGAAATCGGCTTCACACATTGTACCCATGTCGGGAATCGAACCCGGGTCTTCGGCGTGACGAGCGAACGCTTTAACCACTGGGCTACCCGACCGCCCCCCTTTATTGGAGGTGTCTTGATATAATAAAGGACGTATATACTCAGACTGTCAGTTTGATACATGGGACTATTCGGGAGTGTAAGAGAAGTGAGTGCAATATGGCTGTTACCGTTGACAACTGAATTACTCATTGCTACAGACTGCAACGTCTGAACGACCTTGCCATCATCTGAAGGGCAAGGTTTAATGCCAAACCTTATCTCACCATCTGCTGAACTTGGAAAGCCTTTTGATGAAACGTAAATGTGATTAATATTTTCACGTTCTTCAGCAAGAACCTCTTGAATCTCAATGACGGTTCTGCCACTTGTAATGGCATCACATACACAATTGGGTGTCGCCATAATCACATCGTATTGTTCGTCGTAAAACTTAAAAAGCCTCTCATTTTTGCAAACTTTTCCCTGAATGAAATAACTTCTTCAAGAAAAAAGTACTATTTGGGTGGTCCAGTTCTAATTGTAAAACATTCATACAACATACAATATGTTTGAATTCAATTTTCTGTTTTCGTGCAGACAAAACTAAAATTATTTGCCTCTCTCTCCTTCTCTCTCTCCCCTTAACATACAGTTGTGATGTGGTTCTATTCATATGTGTTTAGGTATTCCCTGTGTCTTGTATCTGTTCACGTCATTGTGAACAGAAGATATGAAAGTGATCACAACATATCGCACACAGCCACGTGATTAGGTTATCAATACATAGGCGACCTTCACCGACACTGGACTAGTTGTACACACATTTTTCGACGACATGTATACGACTTTTAGAGTGGTCCAGGGCATGCTTAAATAGGCTGAATAAGAGTGACATAGTGGATAATGTAGTTGCTGATACCAGTGGTAATTTAATTGTACTTTTCTCGATATATAATTAGATGTACATCGAGACTGTTCTATGTTCCGTGAAATGTCCATGACAGCAATGAGAAACAGAAGAGCAATGGACACAAGAGAGAAAAGTTATACTTTATTGAAAATGAGAACAGAAACCAATACCAAAAATGTTGGTTTCTTGCCAGACTCAATCAGCACTCACGTCCAAGGTAAAATACCTCATTCGTAGGATACTGGATATTAGTTGACTATAGAGTCGTCATTATGTGACATCCCGTAATTTCAAGAAATATGCAGTTATAGTTATTTCAAATTACGCGCATAAGACCAATGAAAGATTTAGTCATTAAAAAGTATGGTTTTATTTACAATATTTCTTGCCACATGAAAGGTTATTAAATTCAGATATCCAATATGGATGAAAGATCATTCCAAATTGCATTAGTTCATTGAATCAGATGAGACCACACATCTCAGTTATTGTTATCAGGTTCAGGTGTGAGCAACTTACGTATTGGACACTATGCTATAAGTTGTGTTACGAAAATATTCCGACATATATCTATATGTATAATGTGTGTTTAAAACTGACCTGCATTGGATAACATATCAAAGGTATTGTTTTGTTCCCAATGATCAACAGTACAAACGTGCTCCATTTAGTTTCAATTTAGTAGCAATAAGTTACATCGGTACGAAACGTATTATGCATATTTCCCAAACAAATACAGTTGCAAACCTCGTAGAGTCCACATCATACCCTGGAAACAACATATTCTGTCATTGACAGAATATATTAAACACTTAATGGTTTCAGACTGAGGGTGTCATGAAGTGGGTTGCATTGAATACGTGTGTAGATGTATCAGTATTTATTATACACGTTGTTGTAATAGGTACTGGTAAAAGGACAGTGTTAAATTGGTTCCAAATCATTGTATGTACAAGATCCTCCTCATTTGGAGATCTAACATGATGTCCATGAACTTTCATCACTGATTGAAATTTCCTTGGCGATGAATTCATCTCGGTCTTCATCACTCACAACTGAAAGTAATTTCCAAAGCGTTAGTGCCGGTGTTTAACTAGCTTCCACATTTATAATATCCTGATCTCAATTCCCATAAATAATATAAAATAAGGTACCATGAGGTACCACAAATTACTGGATGTTTCTTTAAGAGCAGTCAAACAGTAAACTACATGTTACACGCTGTATATGTAATATGTTTTATAACTCCAACGTGTCTGACATACCTAGACGTCTCACTTCATGCATGGTGCTATATTCCACACATTTTTCTTTCATCAAGTTGAACAAAACACGGAAGCTGTAAATAATTTATACAGAATTTAGAAATATGAAAGTGTAAACATAAATGGACATAATTATATATTCTGGTACCAAAACGGATAAAATGCACTAAAATGAAACTATATTTTGATCTGCTTATTTTATTTTTTATCACAATATAACCCCGTACAATCTTATAATAAGTTTAATCTTACCTTCTCCCTTGCTTCTGTAATATACAGGATCCGGTTGGTTTTCGGGCAAATTCTCTGTTTAGTTTGTCAGTATCTCCCCCATCATATAACCGCCACTGGCCTCGGTCATCGTGCCACTGCCACAGCACGTGAGGCTTCTCTGGAGTTGGCATAGCATGGCCTAATAATGATGCAAAGTTGGAATTAGCATATTTACCTCCTAACAGGCCGATATAACTTTTGATTAACCGATACAATTTAAACACACTACAGTTTACAATAGTAAACTTTTAGAAAATTGTAACACCTCATCGAAAATAATTTCTTCCTTAGGATTTGGATGTTGAGGGAAATAAGATTCATACTATTGTATTTTAACAAAACACTTAACCACTAATACTTGTAGAGATACAGTTAACAATGATAAGAATGGTCACCTTTCTTTGAAGCAACATCCGCACTGAGTGTCGTTTCTCTCTGTCCGGAAGGTATGATATCTTCTAAGGAGCTGTATATTATTAAACGGACATTTGGGGTACATTTTGTATCCAGTACGAATCATAATTACGTTGACATGTGCATATGCACTGTGAGATGCTATGTAGATTATTAAATACTGGTATCACTGGTTGATTAACTGCGTTATAATTATACATTGCCTGAATATTTCCTCAGGTCTTATGCAATTCGATTACAGAGCCAATGAAGGGCAATCAGATCTCTATCTGAAATGAAGTAGAATTATAGTACAGCAACATTAACTCACCGATATGGTCATCTTCCTTACTTTATATGATAATGAAATGTCAATATACTTTGAAAACCTCACGATCAATAAATGTCGTATAAATGCCTACTTACCATATCGCAAGTTCAAATTTTCCATCGTACCCATAGTTACAGGCTTGAATTACCCCATTGTGCCACCTCACCTGAAAGTGAACATATTAAAAAAGCATTAATCATAGTTCTTAGGTCTAGTTACATAAAGTCAGTTTTGAAAAGTAAACGTCTAATGCTACTTTTTATAGAAGTAGGGACTGTGTTTTAAATATTGCAGTATGGCAACTGTATAATGGGAATATGATTAATTGTACACTGGGCAATAGAACTTGGTCAGTTAATATCAAACAAACAATGCTCATATAAAGGCCTCCTCACTTTCACTTTGCCATCTTGCCTTTTCCTGATGATAACACCAATGTTACCAGGGCCTCCAGCTGTATCACCACTTGACCAATCATCGCCTGGAAATAAAGGAAAATATATGTTATAAACTAAATATGAATATACATGTCTAAACATTACTTCTTTATATGGTTCGTAAACTTTTATTTGGAAAATGTAAGACTAAAGACAACATAATGACTCCTTTTATAACCCCCCTTGTTGGAATGGCTGTCGAAAGGTAGGCAGACAATGTTTAAAATGTAATATATCCTCTAACCTCTGACTGCTTCGGCTTACCCAACCAGAAAATGAACTATTGTGGGTGTTTGAAACAAGATGGACGTAAGCGTGAGCGAATGATGTGGTACCTCTTCTCACTCTGCATCCAATCTCAATCAGCTCATCCGGCTTTAGAATCCTCGGTTGGTTATCCTCCTCAATGATGTCATACATGCCCTTGGAGCCAAATCTGTATCGACATGCAACACTGTTCAAGTCCCACTCGACCCAGACATGCTCTGAAACAGAATCACAGTTGCAAAAAGTGAATAACTTCATAAGTACTCATTAGTTCGCATTTCAAAATGCAATTAGAACATTCCCCATGGCATGTTTTTCTACATGATATTCTACTCACTATCGTCATTAGAATAGTCAATATTGTTTATAGTTACTTGTAAAATCATTTTGGCATGGCATGTTATCGCCTGACGTCATTAGGACAGTCAATAAGTTTGATAGTGAAATGTAAAATGACATGCCGCTCTATCCCCTCACAGTCAATGTGACACAGCCATGAGCAAAGATCGTACATATACTATACTCTCTGCCGTCACTGGAATAAGCAATGCGTGTGGCAGCTACATGACAAGATATATTACTCACTCTCATCATCAGCATGATTGATGACTGTGCCTGGTCCACCTGCATCTTGGTCCTGGTATTTCCAGGCAGGACCTCTGCTGACCCTTGACCCAAGAGGAGGCAAGTCCTTTAGCTCCTTTAGGTTGTCAAAATCATCAGGATCATCATCAACAGCGCTAGAGTCCTTTCTTTCAATTTTCGCCTTCACTTCTTGAATGATGGAACGCTGAAGATGCATAACATGCCTTGTGAGTATCCAGGTATTGTAGGTTATATTGTGACTAAAAGAGAACAATGGCTTGCATTTATGTACACAAATCTCTCCAACAGATATGTACATGTATACGTTGCGACTGTGTTTAGAAGCAGGAACGGACCCGGAGCAGTATAATGTGTCAAGAGTATTACCTTCTCTTCAGGCGTCATATCTCCGATAAAGGCCCCCGCCATTACCTCCACGGCCTCGCTCAAGTTTTCCCATTCACGAGATTCTACACACATGTAAATTTTCCCAATGCTATCCTGCAATAGAGTTGATGTAAATAGTTTCGAAACATACAAAGCAAATGTTTAAGTAATATGTATGTGTATGTACGCGTCTCTAATAAAGTCAAACTTAGAACTGAGCTGGCGTTGGTATTGATATTGTAATTAAACCAGGTGTCGTACACTTACCTGTACTCTGTAGTAGGTGCAAAGAGTTGTAATATCCTTTCCCTCAACAATGTTTCCGTCGCCAAGTTTTGAGAGGGACGAAAGGAATGACTAGGAAAAGGTTACATATAAGTTAAAAAAACACCAATACACCTTATATAAACTTGAAATGATTAAGTCCTGGAAGAAAAATTAACTTTGCCAAAATACATGCCAAACATTAAGGAATGTACAGATAACGATGGATATCCTTGTGATATCATGACACCTTTCTTAAAGGACACTCTACTTGTAAACCGTATTTTCTGAATAAGAACCTGTAATGAACCAATATAGGGACCAAGTATACCTACCCTGTCCGCAGCTGCGACAGGGACCCATGTTATTGGATGTGGAGTTGAACTATTCTTCTTTGGGGAAAGTTCGCCCATCAGTTGGATTAACTGGATTTTTGTCTGAAACAAAAATATACCCATACGAAAGCATATACTTTCCCCTGCACACATATATATGTATTAAGCCATACCATTGATAAAGAAAGTGATCAAAAGTTATCAGAAACAAATTCAACATGTCGTATTCTTTGCTGTATGCACTTAATAATGGACCAAACATTAAACTTTCGAATTCCAGAATTTCCAGATTCCTAAGGTTGTCATGACCATACCGTAGAACATCCTTTAGGCCCTCTTCCGACAATAAGCTGACTCGAAGAGAAATACTGTTTATTGCAGTCTATTTAAACAGTTTGCTTTGCAGTAAGATAATGTACATTAATAGAATAATTATTCCAATATTTGAACGTACATTGAGATCTGTTGAGGCTGTATCTTGTCCTACTGGGTAGCTTTCATCAGTAGCCAGGCCATCTGTGATAAATATTATCCTTGGCCGTATCTTGTGTGCTCCTCCAACGCTTAATACTCCCCCTGTGATAGTCATTATATTTGACACAGTTTGACTTAGGTTTGTCATGATATGACGTTTTTGACATAGTTTGACATGGTACATTTATTACATCAAAACATTTACTCTGACATTATGACTGTGACACGGTATCACTCACATAAGTAAAATCTCATTACTAACGTTTCACACGACATTTGGCTATCAGTAATGAGGTTCATTGGACATTAAACACAGCATACCTCCTTCTTTCATTGCCGCAACACATACCAGGAGAGCTTCGAATATTGGACTTCTTCCACAACAGACCAGGTTTCCTGTTGCAAAAGCATAAAAAAGAAGATTGACGGATTGTCCAGCGTAAATATTGAAATCACGATTTAAAAATTATCATAAATGTAAAGAAACTGCACTGTGCATCACATGGAATGGATAATACCAAATGGTCAGGTATTTGTGACATACATGTACATGTAATGGGCTAGGACGTTGCAATCAGATCAAGCCTATAGATATGAATCAAAAATCCGATTTGCAAACTTTTGCACGCGGATTCATTAAGTATGTCATTGTATGACAGCTACGCGGATTCAAGCAGTTTGCACATCGATTTTTCGATTCATACTTCAAGGAACCAAAAACAATCAAAAGTCAATCCTTATGATTAAATTAGACAACGAAAACATGCGTTATCTACATTAGTTTAACCAACAACAGTTTTCTGCATCAGACAAAAATGACGAGATCGATAAACATTCCAGTTGCAGGAATACATACTGTGGCGTGACATGAATCAGGTGATTGTTTAATTTATGCAAACTTAACACGCCCTCCCCCAAAGTCATATGATATATATAACGGACTTATTAGCAGAAAATCAATTATACTACCCATCAAAAGTTTAGACTCACCAGTGTAAATGTAGCCACTCACTATACTCAACTGTTTCAAACCAGATAATGCCAAATATTCGAAACTTTTTACAGGTACTGTTAACACATGAACTGTTGTGGCGTAAAACCAAATCTGTAACGGTGAAAAGATTAGAGTTTTTCGTTCATTAATTGATAAAACTCTGTGAAATGTCGCACATTTTTAAACAAAATTCGCACCAAAACGCAGGTGTTCACATGCACGATAATGCACGTGTCTTAGCAGCAATTTGACGCGGGATACTCGTGCAATTCATCTTTATAAGGATTGCAGTTGGCTCCTCTGAGTTAGTGGAGAAATTCTTCTTTGATGCAAGCATGGGTAGAGGGAGAAGTCTCCGTATTGAGCAACGACACCAAGCCTTGGCACTGCTACAAGATGGCAGATCACAACGGTATGTTGCCAGATGTCTTGGCGTATCCCAATAGGCAGTTTCCAACCTCTGGGTACGCTTTCAACAGACCAACTCCGTCCAGGATCGACCCAGGTCGGGTAGGTCAAGGGTAACATCACAGCAAGATGACCGATGCGTCTTTTTGCTGTTTCTCAGGGGCAGAAACATTACAGCCACAGCAGCCAATAATGCTTTCCAACAAGCTACAGGACGACGTGTATCTGTATCAACAATACGCCGCCGATTACGTCACTACGGACTGCGGGCACGTCGTCTAGCTGTAAGACCCCCTCTTACACCACGCCACCGTCAGAACAGACTGAATTGGGGAAATGGACATTTACGCTGGGGTCCCCGCAGATGGGCAAGGGTACTCTTCTCCGACGAATCAAGGTTCAATCTGCATTTCAACGATGGTCGGATCCCAGTCTACAGACGTCAGGGAGAGCGGTACGCTGACGTTGCTGTTGTGGAGCATGATCGATTTGGAGGTGGATCCGTTATCGTCTGGGGAGGTATCACCCTGACTGGAAGAACTGATTTACTGGTACAGGATGGAAATCTGACTGGCCAGAGATACAGGGACGAGATCATCATTCCTATTGTGCTTCCATTCTTAAGGGCCATGCCAGGTCACGCGGTTTTCAAAGATGATAATGCCAGGCCTCACAGAGCTCGCATCGTGTCAGCTTGTTTACAACAAAATGGGGTGAATCGAATGGATTAGCGAGCATTATTGCCCGATATGAACCCCACTGAGCATGTTCGGGATCTGCTGGGACGGCGTGTTTATGCCAGAGTTCCTCCCCCTGCTAACCTTCGCCAACTTCGCAATGCATTGTTTAAGGAGTGGCAAACATTCCCCAGCGGCAGATTGAACTGTTCTTTCGTGGTATGCAACGTCGATGCAATGTCTGTGTTAGAGCCAGGGGTGGTCATACCCGTTATTAAATTTTGCAATTTCACTTTTGTATGGTACTAGCCAATACGGCATTCTGGTTCACTAATCATCAATGCACACGTCCTTGTGAACAAGGATATGAAGACCTAAATTAATGATTTTGTTATTTTGTATTGGTAGCTTTCACAAATACGATTTTCTTACGAGATATAGTGAGTGGTTTCAGTGAGTCTAAACTTTTGATGGGTAGTATATATTGTTTACCAGAAAGTTTTATTATTACGACTGGCATTTTTGTAACGACCTTTAGCATCATTTCTGACCTATAGCATCTCTGACAGCTCCATAGTCATTGGTGAGCTGCTGGACGACCTTGGCTCCTCCTCCCAGTGACACCACGCCCACATTCTCCTCCAGTCCGTGCTGCTCAGCTATGTCCTCAATTCCTGAAACATAATGGGATCAAAAAAAGGAAATAGGCAGGGTCATAGGCAGAAAACTTCATATGTCATATGTCACCGTAAAGAGGTGGGCAGCAGAGTTTAAGAATGGCAGGGAGAACCTTGAAGACGACTGGAAGGCCAATGACGTCAACACCACCCGAAATGACAAGAGAATTGAAGATTTGGCGATGACCGTGGATCAATGTGAAAGGGGGCTATGTTGAAAAATAATAATTTTAATGTCTTTTGATCAAGCCCTTCTCGGCGAGGTGCGCAGCTCATCAATTGGCCTCTGTATTTCAAACCTCATGTATGCAATTTCAGCGCCTCACCCTGATATTATGAATTTCAGTGTGCGACGTTTAGGTCGATAATGTTTTGTGAGGGACGTAATGTAAACATATTGACATAAAAGAGAGCCTCCATTGGTAAGAACGGATAGTTTGTAACCTCATACAATGGAAAATAGATTATATAATATGTAAAATGCTGAATAAGGAAGTAGACGCATTATAGAATTAATTTTATACTGAACTTCGTCATATTCATGATACCGTGTATGTATTTTTTTATTCCAGATGAACGAGTGCCTTGCCTTTGCACGTGTTTGTGACGGGTGCGACCGATGGTGCGAAATACTCTCACCTTTTCGCGAACACCTGTCATTATCACTATTTGATAGTGATTCATAAAACACATGCTCATGACATCGTCTGAATCGTAAAATGGATTATGTTTTCAGCAGACATTGTTATTGTTATGGAAAGGGTTTTGTCGCTTTTATTTATACAAACCATCTACAAAGTTCTTAGCAATCTGCTTGACCTCCTCTAAGCCTGGCATCCCAATGCTGTCTGATACATCAATGCATAAGAGAGTGTCCAAGCTCATTGCCCTCGGTGGTGGTGGAACATCTAAAACATAGCACGATCAGCGTTCTGTATACAGATGATTATCATCAACATCGTCATAATGATCATACAATTCGCAAATTGTGTAGCAGTCCACATGAGAAATATATGAAAACAGGGACAGCGCTTCAACGTTGTGCAATGAACATGCTGGGTAACAATTGTGAGGACAGTGTTCATTTGTTTCAAGGGTTGTAGACACGTGCAACCAGTTGATCAACTGTACAACATGTGCATATTGCTAACAATATTCATTCATCCAGATACCCCGAGGGAAAGGTTGATGCATAATGTACACACATGTACCGAAATGAATAAATTAAATATTGTGCTCATCCTATTCAGTCTGTTACACGTTTTGAACATTTTACTGTGTACTACCTACCGTGAACCAGAGCTGCAGCCACAGCCACAGTCAAACGTCTCACTCCCGGATCAGATGCCCCCACTCCCACATCAGCTACATTCAGGGAGCTCAACAGCTGCTCAGCCTCTCCATACTTTTCTGTTGAATATAGTCTTATTACATTGACGCAGTCGGCTTCTCAAGATCACACAAAATATGTCAAAAGAACACTTTTTGTCGAAACGAAGCAGTTACTTGAATGAGAAAATCATTTCTGCTGACTTGAGGCGCCTGTAATATGCTAGGATACGGAGTTAGTGAGACCAGTTGCATCAAATATTACCAGCCCCTAAACATTTTGCGATAAAGATTTTCAACATGACTACAATTATTACCCCTTTCTCGTCTTCCATATTATGCATACTCATAAAAATTTGAGAAATGTATTTCATGCACAGAAGTTAAGGATTGCACATCATATCAAGTGCACATCATGTACATGAGAGACAGTACTAGTTTAGGTGTGAAATAACTTACGCTTTGCAGGTACTGCGCAATCATTTGGTTCACATGGAATGTCTTTTGCGGATCTGACAACATGTTTAGGGCAAACATTACTAAATACTAAATACTAAATGTATGTAATATATTTGTACACGCCTAGGATATTGATATTCAACTCGTACATGTAATGATAGGATACATGCCATGTGCATGGATTGTAAAATGTTACTAAAGTGAGTACGCATGTATGCTGAGTTGAAATGAATGTTACTGAAGTGCTACTGTATTCTTTATGTCTTATACATGTACCTTGATGGAAGGATCCCTGTATCCTTCTCAATCGCTGTACCTTCAAGGGATACAGGTATGTCAGCTGAACCTGGTCCTGACATTTGCTGTTCATCTGCTGCTTCTTCTACCCTAGAAGAATAGAAGAAAACAAAGTATATCATGTTTCTTGTTTATGAATGGGTTATTTACACATTCGTTGATGTAATATATTCAATAACCCGTGAAGATCTTCAGCAACCCAATCTTGCCGAGGCGACTATCGGGATCGGGTGGTCAGTCTCGCCGACTTGGTTGAAGCATGTCATCAATCCCATTTGCGTGGATCGATGCTCATGATGTCAATCACTGGATTGTCTGGTCCAGACTCGATTATTTACAGATCCCCGTCACAAAACTGGAATAGTGCTGAGTGCGGCGGTAAATAACAAACAAAAAACAACAACATAAATTTAGTTGGAGCCGAATAGTTGAAAAGACTATCAAATTAAGCTTCGAAGCGGAAATAAATGCAAAATGGGAAGCATATTTTTCTTTGACATGATTATTTCAATTATAAGTCCAAAGGATTAGAGAAGAAACAAACTGATTCACAAAAGCATTATGCTAAGATATGGATTTGTATCTACCCCGTGAGTACCCCTGTTCCTATTCTGTTGTTAAAAACCAACCTGTCATAAGTATCAATTTGTTAACATGCTCACATTACATTAGATGCTACTTCCGTGGGTTCATTGCGCTCGGTCATGGATGTTGGCTGGTCAGTTGACTTAGTTCTGAGGGAACTGTCTGCTGTCACTGCATTCACCATATTCGCCGCGTAAGCCGTTTGCTGGAACTGCACCAAAGTCATTGGGGCGATCGGAAAACCTTGTCTCTTCTCCATCAGTGCTGACACATCAAGCGGATCAGTGGGTAGAGTATGTTCAGATCGCGTCGGTTCCTTGTCCTGTGGTGTCTCTGATGTCTTCTTCAGCACAGTTTCTATGAGGGTCTGTGTAACGTCTCTCATCTCCTTCAATCCTCTTCCCATATCACCGCGAGTACTGTCCATATGTTCATTCATCTCGCGCTGCATCCTTCTGAAGCTGCTTTCCATTGATTGTAATCTACTCTCGAGCTCTTTCAAATCTATCAAGTACAAGACACATAGGTCAGGTGCCGTATTCGATTAATCTTGAACGGACATCTACAAACATAATGTGATGGCAAACAGTTGACTTTACTATTTGGAGTAATTGTGTTGTGCCATGAATTTATTGACTCATGGGGGCGGGCGGGTAGCCTATCGGTTAAAGCGCTTCGCTCGTTACGCCGAAGACGCGGATTCGCTTCCCGACATGGGTACAATGTGTGAAGCCCATTACTGGTGTCCCCCACCATGATATTGCTGGAATATTGCTAAAAGCGGCGTAAAACCATAATCATTCATTCATTTATTATTGACTAATGAAATCCAACATGTACGGTACACTATGGAATACTAACATTTAGTTAGGTATATATACTAATGAATACCAAAATATAATTAAGTAATTATGTTCACATAGTAGTAATTAATCAGTCAATATATAGGTATATATACACAATTTTTTATTGAATACATATACATGATATATTTGTGTGTGTTTGTATTATTATACTCAGAATAACACATTATTATTAATAATACAAACCCGCTCCTTTCTTTGAGGTCTCCTCGTTGGTCTTTAGTTGGCTATTAACAGTAACAGTTAATATGACACTGATATGTGATCCTGACAGGTAATACAGAATCATTCGACATGCAAATAGAATATATTTATTAACAATATATCATATACAACACCTGCATATGACATATATATATGATATCGAGTAAAGAAAACATCAGCTGTTGTACGCCCAAAATACGATTGTTTGGATCACCTGAGGAAAGTTCACGTGTGCACACAATGATGCATAAAGATATATAAACAATGTATAATATAGTTCATGTGTTAATACATATTTGGCTGTTTTGAAACGCATTGAATGATTACATAATTAGTGTACAAACTACTATGTAGTAATAGTACTCACATATTTGCATCAGTCAGAGGATCAATTCCTTCAGTGAGACTTGCCAGAGGATCAGCATCAACCTCTTCACCACCACCTACTTTGCCACTTGCTACAGCCTCCATACTGTCACTTGTATCTACAGCTGCATCAAGCGTGAACTCTATTTCCCCCTTGCCCATACCCAACAGCAGCTGATGGAACATCTCCCGCACCACCTCCTTGCCAGCAACCATGCTCTGTGCTGACTCTTCATCAGCATGCCAGAACACAAACAGAAGAGAGCCACTGAAGATTCCAGCCAGTTTGGCGTCATACTTTTTGAAAATATCCACAATTAATTCCCTGAGAGGCGAAAAGAAGTTGTGTGACAAATGTGACAATACTTGTCCATACATGCTCTCAAAAAGTTCCTTCAACTGTAGTTTCCAAAGTGACTTCACAGCTTTAACTGCCTCCGATTCATTTTCTTTAGCTACACTCCATTTTAGCATGACGACTGGTGTGTTCTTATCACAAACTGTGAAACAGAAAAAAAAAATATATGTGTCGTGTGTTAATCAACACTCAAGGGGACAATGTCAAGCAGCACAAACATATCACAAACTGTGAAACACTTGTTCAATCGAGACCATCGAGCTATCCATAATCCAAGACAAGCGAAATACCGACATTAAATCTATATTTTCAGTAACTACTTGACAATTGCACATCATATATTATATGTCTGACAAATAATAATTTCGGCTTTTCTCTGGCCAGATATTTCCTTTGGATAATGCAAATATTGTCCAAATCTGGCGTGTAGCAAGTCTAGTCCCTAATACAAATATGTTCTTACCTAAATATTCCCCATCCTCCTTTGCCATTTGCAAAAAGTCCTTCGTTACTATTATGTCAACAACTGTGTTGGAACCAATTTGCAGAATATGGTTTCCGCGAATTTCTCGGAATTGTATTTCCCTTCCATCTGGTAGAGAACGATCAGTTTGTGTTTCCTTATCCCACGTTTGAACCGTGTAGGGCTGTACATCAGGACTGATCGTGGTAAACCGGGTATCTGTCATGGTATCTGATGTAAGGAGAATTCCAGTATCAGTTGTATCTGTTATATATGCATTCACAGCATTTTTATGCAGAGTTACAATGGATGTAAGAGAATTCTATGTTTTCACACGAGGCGGACGGGAGCCCCATGCTGAGAAACAAGATGTTCTGGTGAAGATACAGAAGATTGATATGAAGATTGACATAACCTGTTATGACAGGACCACAACGTTCTCAACAATTCGTTTGAGGCATCTGCAATATCTAGAATATTTGCTATTTGGACGATACGATGGAACATACACCTTCAAAGTTGAAAGTCGTTTTCTCAACATCACTTCATCTGAACATTCACATACTGTAGAAGACGACACCATCAATATCATAGTTTAACAAACTCTACCATAAATAAGAAACAATGGCGTATACACATGTTCCTTCTGATCTATTCATTTCATTTTCATTATTATAACGATCATAACGACATCCGACCATTTCTGCTTTTCTGATTCTGTCTTTTTCAACCTTTATGTCGTCCCATCCAAGCGGACCTGATTACGACTGTATAACCTGGCTGTTAGAATATGAAGTAGTATACAATTTACCTGACTATTGTTCTGGAAAGATCACATTTAAAGTGTCTTTGAAGACACTACCTCAGCTTGGAAAGACTTATGTTCCTTCAAAACTGTACACAAAATACACATGAAAATGATTAGATTCAAGAATAATAATTAACATAGACTGACACTTAACACTTATCTGCTGCAACCAAAACTATCCATTACCGTAACTTGATGGACGCTCTTCCTGTGTCGGCAATAGTAAAACATTTCACTAGTCCTGTTATCGCTCGGGAAAACCCTGACGAAAACACTGTATCGATGGTCTGTAGATAGGCCATGCAGGAAAACCCATTGACTGCTTTTAATTTTGCTTTGTAAACCAGTTGAGCTAGTCATTAGGTCAACCTGACATAAGTCAGGTGTAAATATAGCTTGCCGTATCAATCGCCTCAAGCAACGACTCTGGTTTGAAGTACAATGCATAGTCAAAGCAAATATTGAGGTCAATGTGCAAGGGGGGCAACTCGTCCAACCTTGATGCAATCTTTACGACATGTGTGAATGTCCATTATTTAAAAGAGCTGGAACCGAATTGATACACTCACTATTGTTAATTGTGATGAATGCTTGTGATGCTGGTTGGCAATGTAGCTAATCTTGTCAACGCAAACATATTTAAGATCTACATAAATATATAAAGAAACCCGTGAAACCCCCGAAACCCATGCGACTATGCTTGTCGTACGAGGCGACTAACGGGATCGGGTGGTCGGGCTCGCTGACTTGGTTAATGCATGTCAGTGTATCCCAAATGCGTGGATCGATGCTGATGATGTCAATCACTGGTTTGTATGGTCCACACACGGTTATTTACAGACCACTGTCATATAGCTGGAGTATTGGTGAGTGCGGAGTTAAACAACATACAAACAAAACAAACAAACATATTCACAGAATCCAAAAAGGTTCGCGTTAGCTATGTTAATGTACTATTTGTGTTAAAATTTCCACAGGTTCCCAGATTTCATATCAGTGGTGACCGGATAATATTAACATGTTAATCATATGATACATTCACGAAAACAAGAACGCATTATACATTAATGTGATTTATTGTTGAAACATGTATACAAAAAACCAAGCTATGAAACACCCAAACCACCCCCATAACGTATATAAATACAATTCAGATATAATTTAGTTGTTTGAACACTTCAAGAAATACAAATTCTGCATTTTCATACAATTGCTACAATGTGTAACAAGAAAATGGTTCCGAAATTTTCAGGAATGGTCAACATTAGAAGCATGCATATATTTACTACTAAATTAAATGGTCTGATAACAGGCAGCAGGTCAGTTCAGCCTGAATATCCAAGTGTCAAATAAATAACAAACGTGTTGGGTAAATAAAATAGGTTTCGTGTCCATGCAGTTCACATTGCACCTCTTCACTCGGCTGTGAACCAGTCCAGTAACACATTAAGAACCAGATGGCAATGGTTAATGGTTACAGTACTGATTACCTTATCAACACACAATACGTGGCCATGGTAAGTGTGAGATACTTATATTTTACTTTACGGTCACCTCTTTGGGAAGTTGTTATAACTCTACATAGTCCATATATATTGTGGACGTTTTATATTGTTATGATTTTCCATTTGCGAAACACATATAGCATAATTGAGTAAGCGCTTCTCAAGCTATAAAATATGCGAAGCTTTCTCATTTTTACTTTGATACTGAAAATGAAATAATAACGTTTTGGGCAGATATCCTAATCGGAACATTCAAAGTTGTCAACTCGTGCCAACTGATGACAATCCAAATGGAGATGCAATAGAGTAGTTGAAATTTAGGACCGTAAATCATAAACTACTACTTGTCCTTTTCTGTTTATGCATTTTCTTCAAACTAAACAGCGTTATCACTCGATCTTGACGTTGTTTTGATAACGCTGTAGGAACCATTGGAGACATCGCTATTTATTATGTTTGAGCGAGTGAGTGAGTGAGTATGGTTTTACGCCGCTTTTAGCAATATTCCAGCAATATCACGACGGGGGACACCAGAAATGGGCTTCACACATTGTACCAATGTCGGGAATCGAACCCGGGTCTTCGGCGTGGCGAGCGAACGCTTTAACCACTAGGCTACCCGACCGCCCCTATTATGTTTGAGAGAAAACAGAAAATACAACAGACAATAACAGGAAAATAAGAAGAATCGCTAACTCTATAAACTAAACTGAGCATGACTCCTGGAAGGTGATGGGGAACACAGGCATAGCTAACAACGGAAAAAGCTCATAACCCCGTAGAGGTGAAAACTGGTAACGACTCTGCAACCCAAGACACTCCGACTGTTTTGAATAAATGGAAAGATGACTTTGACAGCATATACGCTGATACTTAGATCGAGGGGTTTGATGATGATCATTTAACATATGCAAAACAGAAATTGAGAGGTTTTACTTTTGTACTGCCTCTTAGAAATGCTGTTGAAAGGGGTAAGAATCGGAAAGCTGTCGGCTTGGATAATGTTCCTCCTGGGGTGTTAAAAAATCAATTATATATAAACGATTTGATAAATGTTTTCATGAAAATAGTATTCCAAGTGCATGGAAAATACTATCATGAACCCAATAGTTAAAAAAGAAACTGACCCTGAAGACGCAATAACTTGGTTTATCCCTTAAAGACTAAAAGCGTTCGATAATAATACATGGTGACTGTCTATGTTTTCAGTTGAAGATAGTTCATTCACGGGAAAATGCACAACGCTATTTAATCTCTATATGGAAATATTACCTGTAGTGAACGCGTGAACGATTTCATGACCATTCTTTGCTGTTATAAGGGGAATTAAACGGGGATGTATATTATCACCTATACTGTTTTCACTGGTCATCAATGACTTGGCAGGACAGATACGGGTTTGTGGAGAAGGTGTGTACATTGATGATGATTGTTTAGCCATATTACTCTTGGCCCTATCAGTGCCAACATCAAAATATCATCAGTTTGGAGATCTGGCGTATAACGTATACACAAGCACAGGAGACAATTATCATGTATGGCGCACAGTTATGGAGACTTTACTCCCATAGTCAGATCAAAACGAGCCAAAAAAAAGCATGTCGCTTCTTTCTGGGCGTACAACAAAACACATACACTATTGCTGGCTGTGGAGAATGGGATGGATATATTGTTTAACAACAAAGAGACTAATACATACCCGTTCTCGTATATTAAATTGAACCGAACGTCAAAAAAGACCAACACAGGGACACGTATTTGAGAACGATGGTATCTCGAAAAAAGAGAAAAACATAAACGCGGTTCCGTTCTTGATCACTCCGACTGCATGCAGACACTGGAGCAGACCTCCTACCGACTCCAGAACATTCTGTGATTGTGTAGAAACTGAGCTGCACATTTCAACTGATCGCCACTTTTGTGAATATCTTAAGGTTGAATTTTTCAAAGGACTTTTTTTCTCCCTTTAACAAAAACGTTATCAATGACAAAAAAGTATTTCTAATAAACTCATGATTTTATAACATACTGTTTCTAAAACTTCTAGCAATACTCTGCCGTTGTTTGGATGTCATGTTTTTAAAAACGAAATGTACGTTACTAACTGAATAACTTATAGTAACTAACTTGGGAGAATTTCATGAAATATTACTGTCCGTCTTTCTACATAACATGGCCCAAATGTTAAGCAAACATTTACTCCTTATAAAGCAGCTAAATTGTGACATGGAGTACTACCATGAGTATTTTTGTGTAGCAAAAACGACTACACTGTGGCAATATAGTGAAATAAACAAAATACTATGAGTATAAACATGGCATCAATATATCAAGTAAAGATCGTAAGTCACTTGAAATCTTCGTCTAAAAATGAAATATGTCAAGTGCAACTGATCTCACAATAATATCGTGTTCTTCATGATTCTCATACTTCAATGACGACTTGATCTGTGGACGATAAGAAACAATATATTATAAGTGTCAGATAAATCATCTGCTCTTTGGAAATACGAACATATCATTACAAACCTTTAGACGTTTTATGTTTTGTTTGTTTGTTGTCTAACGCCGTAATCAGCAATATTCCAGCTATATGACGGCGGTGTGTGAATAATCGAGTCTGGACCAGACAGTCCAGTGATTGACACGCAATTGGGATACGATGACATGCATCAACCAAGTCAGCGTGCCTGACCACCCGACCCCGTTAGTCGCATCTTACGACAAGCGCAGTCGACCTTCACGGCAAGCATGGTTGGTGAAGACATATTCAACCACGCATCTTCACGGGTCACGTTTTATGTAATATAATGATAACGCATGGTGCGTATTGATTACTTTCCACCTCTGTTCATTATTTATTCCCCAGTCCATATTAGTCGCTTCGTGGCGCTACATGTACTCTGAAATATACTCACATATCTATTCAAAATATTTCCGCACCGGAACCCAGGTTTTGTCAGTTACAGAGCGCTCTTGTAGGGATTTGAATGATACCCTGAAACTTGATAACACAGAAAACATTTTAATTTCACACAGGCGTGCGATGGTGTCAGTTATGTACATAGTTACTGATACTTATCTTGCTACAATAATAAATAATAAAAGAAATTTCGATCACAATAGAAATACAATACCAACAGAATGTTATTTCGATGTTGTAACAATTAGCATATCACGTACCTCTCTCCATGTCTCTGAACTAAACAGGAACCTTGTGAGTTTTTCCCATATTCCTTCTTCAATTTAGCGTCATTGAGTTCTGTGTATGATTCCCAGCCATTCTGTTTGTCCTGTCTCTGCCATACGTGTGGCCTGTCTTCCTGCAACGTCTGCACACCTTCATGCCCTACGTTAAGGAGTGTCCTTTATTATCCATTACTCATATACATATATGCATATACTGACCAATTAATTCGTGAACACAAACTCACAACACAGATTAATGACTCACTAGAAAGTACATATGTACCTCACGAGTAGATAAACGTTGTGCACATCCTTCAGTCACTCAATCAGATCAATGCATATTACCTGGAATGACAGTGGCACATGTTTGATAAAGTTCATATGTATACATAATGATTTGTCGAAAGTATTTATTCTTACCTGAAGTATTGCTTGAATATACTTCTGATTTGGCAGTTGTTTCAAGGATGGAGGCAACAGGGTCCCTGATAGAGACGGACTGCATTATTTGTCAATGAATACACATCGAAAACTAATGAACTAATGATTCCCGTGTCAAGTTATATTATTGTATCACCAGTTGCTACTACATATATACTTAGCTGACGAATTAAGTTTGTCATTACAACTTTATGATTTATGATACAATATTACGTACCGAATAGATAAGTCAAACATTCCTCCAATGCCGTATCTGTAGGTGTACATTCGACCACTCTGCCATCGAACCTTTCAAAAGTTGTCATTTTAAATAGTTATGTATATTTTGATGTATACCATCTTCATGTGACTGTACTACACATGTACATACTTTTAAATTGTCTCTGCATAATATAGGTTTGTCTTGGCATCACCAAAGAACAGTATACTAATATGATATCCTGATTTTGAGAGTGTTCCTAATTCCTATCGAGTGATCACTAATTCATCACTTGCATTACCAAACATGTTGTTACAAATCCGAATATATTGATATAATACTCATATCAGAGCTTTTCAAGTGCTGTGGCCCAGTCATCTAAGACGCCGCGATTAGCTGTGCAGAGTTGCGTCCCTTGGGCATGCCAGAAACCTATGATTGTGGGCTCGAATCCTGGTTCGCCCCGATTATGTTTTTAGGTGTGTTAGCCCCTTACCCGTGCTTGTGGGTTTCACCGAAGAGGTAAACTTCTGGGACCTGCATCACTTCGGGCTTTCCTCCCACATTAAGCTGACACGCCGCGATATAACTGGAATACTGTTAAATGCGGCGTTAAACCCAACTCACTCACTCACTCACTCTCAACTGCAGATGTAGCGTTTTGCAATATTCGTTTATTCGATCACAGAAGCAAATACGATTCGGTAACACATCAACCATGTATATATTCAAATATATCCACGAAGCAATATGAAAGTAAGTACTGTAAGCCTAATTATGATTGCCTCCATTCTAACAGTCAGTTTTATTCCTACCTTGACTTTCCCCACCATAACCCGAATGACGCTGCCGTAGCTTCCCGGTCCACCGTCCTGATTCCCGTACAGAAGATGCCAGTCAGGACCTATGAAAAACATAATTTGAAACTTGCGCATATATAATAACACTTTGTCGATGTACAATTCTGTTGGATAAAATAATATTTGGTATATATGTGCTTTCACTTCAAATATGTCATATACAATGTGCGTATTGTTTATCATTTATATTTGTATATTACCGCATTTGAGTAGCTTAAGTAAAATATAATTTAAAGGATTCAATTTGAAATGTCTGACGTTCAGGTCGCGTTGTTGCTCACCTCTCTCTACCTGAACACCGACAGCAATCAAGTATTCATTGAGGACTCGAGGCTGGTCCTCCACTGTGATGACGTCGTACTTGTCCTTCTGTCCATATCTGTACGCATTCGAGTGGTCATTGTCCCACATCACCCACACAATGTCTGACAACAAACGTTACAGTGTATCATACACATGCGTGTCTGTATATTCTTTAACGAAGCATAAATGTTCAACAACTATGAATATGGGTGACTTGTATGTTAGTCATAAGTGTGGTAACATAATTCTATTCTTGACAAAGCGTGTATTTGGTTTCAAATATACATATATAATTTGTATGCCAAGTAATACATACAAACACCGGTAATAACGTTCATTTACAAATACAAGTCGCCAATAAAGTCTATCACTTCCATAGCCCATGGGGTTTTCTTTATAATGCAGCAGAGGTATCTATACTTTTACAAAAAATCTCAAAGATAATTTCCCGTCGCAACCAGCCTATGTAACTGCCTGAACACGAGTAGTTCTTACTGTCAAGCGCGTGGTTGAATATTGTCCCTGGGCCCTCAGTGTCCTGATTTCCCCACAGCCAGTCTGGCCCTCTGACGACTCTGGAACCGAGGGGAGGCAGTCCCGGGTCCTCGTGTATGTTTTGAAAATTGTTGACAGAGCCGTGGTTGATCAAGGCGTCAACCTTCGGGGCAAGTATGTTGTACACCACCCGCTTAAGTAAAAAACATTCTAAAAGGCATTAGAGGTGTATCAAATTGTTAAAAGCGATGTCACGCTCTAGAATATGATTACCCTGTCTAGCGCTCGACATTAAGGGGTTAAAGCAAGAACTTGTTGGCTCGGAGTCAGTATACTGTGTCTGAGTGGGGTATTCATGTTAAACTGCGGCATGGTATCTCAGTGGGCTAGCACTATAAATCGGCATCAGTCCGGCCTAGTACAAGCAGCCACACACACACACACACACACACACAAACACGTGCATTCAGTTCGTAAACTCCCGTACACTCTGCTGTTAAAACAAGTAAAGAATTTATCATTACGAGTTCACAAGTAAGAATACGTTTTTCCGGCGAAATATTTCTGTGTGACAATCTATCTTATGACCACATCAGACTCTCATCATTTAACTTAACGTACAGACTCGACCATCCAACTTACAAAGGTTTTTACAAGACGCCGACTGGCTAATCAGAAATCTAGATTCTTTAGCGATTATATGACATCTGCCTCGTCGACTCGAAACGATCCGCTAATACACAGAGAAAATCGTTAACACATCATTGTGACATGAGCTACAATTGGAGATTTTAGATATTACACAGGAATGGGTAAACTGTCCCATGAAACATAGTCGCTTCTATGTCTATGCATATTATGTCTTCCTCTCCCCTAATACGATAGAAACATGATAACCATAAATTGTGTATAGAATCATTTTACATATAGACTAATGGCAAGTTACCTACATGATATCATATAAACCCGAATTTTAATACTATCAAGGACCCACTGCCTCCGGTTTTATCTTAGCGGCAACATGGGATGTTTATCAGATTTTATACTGGTACATTAAACGACTAGAAATTGAAGCTAACCATGCAGGTGTTAGTCCGCAAGTGCAGACTGCCAATATCATGCTTAGATATACCCCTTTATGACACTGAAAGACAAACATTTGAAAGCAACTGTGTGTCCCTCAAATGTGTAATTCACTTCCTAAATAGCTTTTCATCGGGTTTTCTTGTCAAAATTATGTTGCAACATTGCACTAATGATCATGGAGTACCACTGTAGCTTATCACAGACATCCACATTCAGTACCGGAAACTGCTTACTGTATCCTCATGAATACTTCCTTTGGCAGCCGGAATCCATAATTATAAGACAATTTAAGTTTGATTCCTCGGAGTCATCAGTAAAATTCACGTGTTCTCCATATTCATGGCTAAATGACATTGGAGCCGGACATACAGTAAACAAAATGCCAATATGAAATGATGCAACTGAATATAGTAAACTATTCACCTTACATTATGTGTTTGGGTAAATCTGTAATAAATACAGTACCGAAGAAGGATCTACTGTGTTTGTTTACATTGTGCATTATGGGTACATAAGAAAACCAACCCTGTCTGAACTGTCCAGCCCAGGTTCCATATCCATAAACACCCCTTGTAACCCCGCACGAAACAGTGCCGAGTCCTGGTCGTTGTCTCGTATGTAGTCAATGGCACGAATCGCACTTTTCTGAAATGAAAATAATGACTTGAAGAGATTTCCTAAACCGTCTCACAGCATTAACGGTAATACATGGACGTGTGACCAACTGGGTGCATATAACACATATATGTATGTATTAGTGCATTTACAACTGGCTTGAAATGACAAAGGCACTTTAAAAGTATAGGTGTTATGTAACGGTAAGTTCAGTATACCCTGCGTCTGTGTTGGATACCGTTACTACATCATATACGGACAGCTGCCATCATCGAACTGTATTCCCTGAACATTTCAATAGTACTTACGTGCAGAAATTGGTATGTTGGTAACTTGGCCACCGATGAAGCGTCTGCCACTGTTCCATCACAATATGACGCAAGGGCTTGGAGGCAATTCTGCCAAATTCAAAACGATGTAAGCATAAAAAATATAGCTTGTTCCTCACATGCATATTTTCGGATGGCTTATGCACAACATTGAAGTTTTTATCTACGCGCGAATCGACATCAACTTAAAAAAATATTTCGAAACATCATTTGAGTTTTTTAATTACTGTTTAAATGTTCTCACTTGTCCATTATCATATATTAGTTGATTACTAGAAATGACGTACGCAAATATATGATAGGCTTAGCACTTGCAATGGAAACATGAATCCGTTAAATTAAACATATAATGATGTACCATGTTACAAGAGATTCCCACGGGAACAAAAACAATTTCATCGGGTAGATAATCGTCGAGTTGTCTGCTTCTAATCTCTGCAAATGCTCTCGAGATCCGTTCTTTATCCTACAGAAAAGAAACATGTTAGTGGTTTCATTGATAGATATATCCCTGAAACAAATAATTTCAAGCATAAGCGAGCTCTTTCCAACTCCGACAGTATGTATGGACGTACCATTTCCCCTGTAAACATGCTGTCCTGTGATGTCTGGGGCATCTCCCCTGTTGGCAGGCCATCAGTTAGGAATATAATTCGTGGCCGAAGCTGCATACTGTTACTGATCTTGAATACACCACCTTTTGATAACACAAAATAACAGACAATAAGTAACAAAATCTATATTTTCTATAAGAATTTTTTTGTCATGATGTTTTGGCTTTAATGAAACCAAGTATATCGTTGGTCAAAAATCAAATTACATGGAATGTCAAAATTTGTTGATTATGTGAAAGTAATAGTCCAGATGCTATACACATTTAGGCTACAACGACACACACATACTTCCTGTTAAACCGAACCATGTCAGCATACATGTTACAGTCAATGTGTAAAATTGTTCAATGTGTAAAATGACTGAATCGTTACTTAGGCAATTTACAAAACGCCAAAATATTTAAGTAATTTTACAATTATTGTTCCATTTCCTATTTAATGATAACAAATTCCGAACATCATTATGCTCTTTTTCATCACCCAGTGACTGAAAATGATTAAAAGAAAACGAAAGTCAGTGTATATTTTTTATAAAGACTTGTGCTCCTAATCCCAGCATAATTAGTCTCTTGTGTTATGTTTTAAAGCCCTTTTGGACTTCTTAACAACTTTTAGTCAATCTGACGGAAACATAATTGTAAAATGACTGATATATTTTGGCGTTTTGCAAATTTCCTAAGTGAAAATTTCGGTCAGTTTACATATTGACTGTAACATATACACGTGAGCAGACCAATGACTACCTTTTGCCAGACATGCCATTGAGACAAGAACACCTTCCATGATTGGAGAGGGACCGCCGGGTTTGATCTTTTCTGTTAACAAAACACATGATATATTAGTACAGTGGTCACTATATCACATGGATAAACCAGGATGATTCTATGTCAACGTTCACCTAGTCGAGGAAAGAAGATAAGGAAGTAATGACGTCATATATCCAAGCCGAAAGTTTTCACTTTCCGGTTGGTTAAATAAACTTCGACAAAATATAAATTTAGATAGGAGACTGTTAAATCTTAAATCACAGTCAGAATACATCATTACTACCTAGTGCATCGCGAAGACTGCCATAGTCGTTCGATAAGTGATGAACCACGTTTGCCCTTCCTCCAAAGGTAACCAGAGCAATATTTTCTTCAACATCATAGCGTTCTGCAATGTCCTCAATCCCTATGAAAACATAATCATTATCATTTACATAACATGTACATCGAAAACCTACATCAATTCACATTTCTACATTTGAAGAAATATGAAGCTGTTGCAAGATAATAGTATCAAAATTACCATTGATAAAATCTGTGGTGATTTTCTTCATTTCTTGGAAAGGGTCTCCCCGCATGCTACTGGATGTGTCCATACATATGACTGTATCCAGGGCCAGGTCAAATCTTGGAACAGGAGTCTCATCTAAAAATAAAATATTGTTCATCGAAGTTATTCATGCATCACATCTCAACAGCTTCCTTTGAAACGACAGCCGTTAAAAGTTGTCAAATTGTTAAGACATCTTACTTTGTTCGCCACCCAAATAATATCAATCATACGAATGGTAAGGATAGTGAGTCTTTTATCGCCAAGCTGTTCATGTTTCCGCTTCGATCATTATGTTAGAATTTAGCAGTATGTGTATATGATTGTCTATGTAACCGTGTAACTATGCCAAAAGCATATTAAGGTTACGACATACCTTCAAGTAATGCTTCTTCCACACTGGCCCATATTCTGCTCCAGTAGGGACTGTCACCGATGATACATTCTAACATCAGACGAAAGTGTTTCTGCTTTTGTTCGTCTCCGTCGATTTTCTCCTTTCTCGGTTCCCCATACTTGCTGTAAAATATAGAAACATGGAACATGCATTACAAATTTATTTGTTTTAACACATGTTCAGTAACCTTAAACAAATACCACATGTAATATGTGTCAGCATTATTGTGATATAAGGGTATTCAACTATCACAATGTCCGCTTCCGCGAGGTAGTGGATATAACGTGTTTTCGGGGAGTGGAAGGTCGGCGGTTCGATCTCCTGTCCGTATCATACAAAAAAACGTTAACAGAAAAATTAAACTGATGGTAGTTTGGAATAAAGGGTATATAAAAAGAACTGGTCGAAGTACAATGTACGTGTGGGGTATCAATGTAAAACTGCGGCATGGCATCTCAGTAGGTTTACAAGTCCGAACTAGTAAAAGCACACACACACACACACCTGTTAAACCCTATTTCACCTCTCTTTACCACACGCAAACTGGGGCATGATAATTATTAAGATTCTCATAATAAACATAATAATGACAACAACACCAACTGCAACTACAATAATAATGTTGGCAACAACGTTTACCTTTCCTGGGCAGATGCAATGCGCTGAGTACTCTTTATCAAGTCAAAATTTAGATCCTCAGTTTGTATATCAGGGAAGGCGTCGGACTCTGATGCCGTACCACTGGGTCCAAATAACAAGTCTTGAATTCGAGGTAATGATGACGTTTGTCTTCTCTGGTACTGTGTGTTACGAGCTGTGGTATTTAGTTGGCACCGTGCACTAACGGCAGGCCCATACGTAGTTCGATATCTGTTCCGAGATGTTTGGTGGGTACTGTCATATGCATTTACGTACTGGCTGCCTCTGTAGTTACTCCCAGGGTATACGTAGCCGTCATTCACCTCGTCATTGTACTGCCTTCTTATTCCACTGTTCCGGTTTGATACCTTACTGACAAACCTCTCATCATTGTAATGACTTCTCTCAAATTGAAATCGAACATTCTGTTGAGGAACTGGGTTCTGTTTGATGTCTTGGGCAGTATGTTCAAGCTGATGATTTTCACCTTTGTTGCCAAACGAAGTTCCATTCACGTCTACTTCACGAGGGCAGGCTTCGTCATCGACACAGTTGTTTTCCCGCTCTGATTTGTCATCATGTTTATCTTGTTCTACCTTCATCTCAGTGTCCCCATCTACAGTAGTTCGGTTGTCATTCACACCCACCATGTCCTCTCTCTGCAGTTCATTTGTCTTTTCCCCTTCATCAGTAAGTATATCTCTTTCGGAAGGATAAATTGAATCCAAACGTTCAAGATCGGTCTCAGGGAGATCGAGGATATTTTGCTGAACCTTCTGTTCACAGTTTACCTTCCACAGGTTGTGAGAATTATCACTCATAGCCGCAGAAATGTTGCATAATGACAATCGAATGTCTTCATATTGTTTATCTTGACCAACAAATTGAGATTCCATGAATTTCTTTTGGTGAGAAAGCTTCTCTTCAATACTATTAAATCTCTTTTCTATCGTATCTGGAATCACGTGCGGTGTTTCCTTGTGTCCTGTTGAAGACCTAGTGTCAGAAATACAAATAAATATATTAATTCTAAAAGGAGAACAAACATTCAATCATAGATGTATGCTAGGGTTAGTTGCGATTATAATACTCTTAAGACATTGTCAGAATGTAAATATGTAGAATCTTTTTTAAATACTTACGCTATTCCCACAACGTTTGCCATGCAACACTGATAAGTTAAATTTCCAAACGATATTGGTTTTCCTTCATGTATTTCAATATTCAATGTTTCCAAACGTTCAAATCCTGTTGACTGTTTTACGAATTCTTTCACCAACAGGAGAACCTTGTGCTTCACGGAGATCAATGCTTCTCTGTCTGAATCACCACAGTGCTCGAACGTCATAGCAAGTGGAGCGTATTCCATGTGGATCAGCTTAACCCGGTGTGCAGTCAGCATCGTGCTCGTGAATTCATGTAATGCTGCTTGATCCTTGAGGAGGTTGCTAACAAGGTAAGGGGTTATAACTGTAGATTCGTGCTGTGCTTTGGCCTCGGTCACTGTGATACTGGATGTCTCACTCCCACTGTCGGTGTCTTCCCAGTGCAGGTGAAACAGTGTTGTACACTCTGAAACGTTTCCATTAGAAGCTATGCTAATAACAGAATGCTGGAAATACTTATGCCTTGTAGGAGTTTTAAGATCTTGAAGTGGCAGTTTACAAGCTGTAATATCATTGATAACAGAGTTGGTTTGTGTATTTATAATCTTTTCCCTCTATATATGTGACGTGTTCGCACCTTTGTTAAACAAGTGCCCTTCATTGAACGTTATTAGAATAAATACTTTTCTTTTTTAAACTAAATCAAGGATTAAGGCGTAAAACGTGTCTGTTAAGCATCATCTCACCTGCAGTATGTAATCTGTCAATACAAGCATAGTTCGTGCAGATATCAACAATAATGCAACACTGTCTGTCACTAACAAAGGCAGTCCCTGGACCAAATTGTCGGAAATGGAGATGTCTATCGTGTATATCTTCCATTGTTGTACCTTTGAAAAGACAAGAAAAAACATAATTGGGGATTATTTCTAAAACTGTGCGATATATAAGTTTTTTGTATTCAGTGAGTGACTATGGTTTTACGCCGATTTTAGCGATATTCCAGCAATATGATGGCGGGGTGCACAAGACATTGGGCTTCACACATTGTACCCATGTGGGGAATCGAACCCGTGTCTTCGGCGAGACGAGCGAACGCTTTAACCACTATGCTACTCCACCGCCCCTAGTTTCTAATAATAGTTGTATGTTAATAATGAACACATTACAAACGGTAGTGAAGTATGACAGTAGATGTTATGACCGTTAACAGGCTTGTCGTAACAGGCGAATAACGGGATCGGGTGATCAGGCTCGCTGACTCAGTTGATTCATGTCATCATATCCCAAATACGTAGATCGATGCTCATGATATTAATCACTGGATTGTCTGGTCCAAACTCGATTATTCACAAACCGCCATCATATAGCTGAAATATTGCTGAGTGCGGCGTGAAACAACAAACAAACAAAACAACGTGGTCAGCGACCTGTGACGTTGGCACACACGTCCTCCATTTCATGCCCCAGACGTGTTCAAGGAAGCGGAAAGTGTATCGTCTCATCTAAAAACAAGACATGTGACCAGCGACAATCACACCAGTTTCGACGTTGTGTACAACGCACTTGTGTTGCCCTGCTGCGTGAGGCACGCGCAAACTATAAGATGTGTTTTGGTCTGTTTTACAGACATGAACGTTCCTGCATGGGATGTTTGTCGTCAACACTTATCTTTGTTCTAATACCTTATAACAACATTTATATTTCATAATCCTCTATTTTTGTTAAGAGCATATACCATTTAAAAACAGCAATACATTAACAAATTTGACATTTTATACAATACTTACATGAAATAAATTATAACCACCTTACTTAACATCAATTCCATTAATTTACGTCAAGTGTAATGACGAACACACTCTTTCTATTCCTGTGATTAAACATGTTAGCATGGACTATACTGAACGGATCTGTCAATACTACACCATATCCATTGTCTGTCAGATGAACTCATGACCCATTTATACACCTCTCCTAACTTCCTGGGACCCGTTCACAAAGCGGTAACAACATATGCTGACGACAGTCGTAGCTCTGTGACAGCTTTGCGGGCCGAGGCCCTGAACGTCAATAGCTAGTGCAGAAAGCGCTGTCGTTTCTGTACAGTGTTCCCTTATCACTGAGCATTAAACATACCATCTCATAAACGACAACACTGGTAATGCTAGTTTGTCAGTATGCATGACATGTTATGCGCATCTTATTCATTTGTAGGCAGAATAGGCTAGGACACTTGCGGTGCATGGAGCAAAGTGTCCGTGAAGATCGTTTAGTGTTACTTGCTAAACAACGTAGAACCTAGCAGTGAAATCATCAATTCAGATGTGTTACTTACCAAGGGATATTTCCTCACGACCTTCGTGTGATGGCTACTTGTACTTTCGCTTTGTGGCTATACCCGCGTTTGTCTATTTTTAGGAATGACATGGCTGAATTAGGTCGCAATACGCTGCTGGAATTGATCCAACTTCTTCCTCGTAAATATGCACTGCAGTTTCGAATGTTACACGAGTGTACATGTAGTCATGTGGCTTACGTGAGATAAAACAGATTAACAATACAGTGTGTAGCATGATCCTACTGAGCGAACTCCATGTAAAATTGCTCGCATACTATAGGGTTTCACTCAATAAAGTAGTTTATACATGATAGATTTGAAGCGCAGAAAACATGCAATTTCAATTTATGGCTAAAACTCCTACCTATTGCCAGTGACTGAAGGGGCGGTGTACATCCTGCCAGGGAACCATGCAGATTACCAAGGATTCCCCATAGTCCCTAGTGTGGTGGCCTAACTCTTTTATGATGTATTGTTATGAATAGTCATATTTTTATGATTACATACTAGTTTTAAATCTATATCAGTGATAGTCGTTCTCGTACTATACTTTGTCGGCAGGTTTTGTGTTGTAAATGCATGTATTGTTGATGTATAACTTCTTCACGATACAGCTGAAATATTGCCGATGTGGCTATAAATCTCAAACATGTTTTCGCGACATGTCAAACGGCACGTGCCCTTTCAATTTGAGGGATAATATGATGTTCGAGCACAGCAACTAAACACCATGATAAACCAGGATACTGCAATACAGTTGTAGAGATTGCTGCAGGGTGTCATATGTAGAGTGAGTGAGTGAGTGAGTGAGTGAGGTTTTACGCCGCTTTTAGCAATATTCCAGCAATATCACGGCGGGGGACACCAGAAATGGGCTTCACACATTGTACCCATGTCGGGAATCGAACCCGGGTCTTCGGCGTGACGAGCTAACGCTTTAACCACTAGGCTACCCGACCGCCCCGTCATATGTAGAAGAAGGAAGTGCAAACAATGGGAGGAAAGGCTTGGTGTAAAGTTGTAATTGGTTGTTAATGTAGTTATCTTTGGAAAGCACAATAAAAGCAAGAGTGTCTTTAAATGGTCAGCACAAGGAAAACCAAGGCAAGAAAACACATAACTGGGCCTGTCGGGCAGAGCTTGATAAATACCCACTATAGTATTTGTACCAATGATATAACAAAAAATGATTACAAGTGCTATATAGATAACACAACAAATGGCATTATTAAACAGGCTTTGGCAGCAAATATCAATCTTTCTGGTCAAAATGTTGGCTAGGTTAAATAAAACAAACTTTAGAAATAGTAAACACAAATAAATGTAATAAAACTTCAGTCCATTTCTCAAAACTTCGTTTATTTAATCACAAACAAAACATTGAAACTGGTAGATATACAAAAGCACCAACCCTATTGGAACAACGTCTCTGTGAAACATGAGATGTCTTAGCAGATGAGCAACATTATGCACAACCAAGAAAGATAATCACAAATAATCCTCAATAATGATAAAGAATTTGGTACAGTCCGTTAAAAGGAACCATTCTTAATATTTTTTAACAATAGTTCTCTAGAAACAATTTCCAAGATCTGTTATCATATCTACAATTATAAATGTACAACATTACCATAGGTTTGCTCAATTCTCATATTGTTTCCATATCGTTATTATACACTTGTTTTAAAATAAAATTGGAATACTGTACCTCCTTTGTATGTTGCAGGTACCTGTGTGTGTTTTGCACTCATTGTGCATATATTTTGTAGTTTGTGATAGTGTAATATTGCCACTGTTACTTCATGGTTTGTTTGTTGTTTAACGCCGCACTCAGCAATATTCCAGCTCTATGACGGTGGTCTGTAAACAATCAGACAATCCAGTGATTCATATCATGAGCATAGATCCACGCGACTGGGATCGATGACATGCATTTAGCAAGTCAGAGAGCCTGACAACCCGATCCCGTTAGTAGCCTCTTACGACATGCAAAGTAGCCTTTTACCGCAAGCATGGGTTGCTGAAGACCTATTCCTTCCCGTTTTTTCACGGAATTTTACGCAATACATATATATTCTAAAACATCTTTGTTGTATGACAGTTTGTTACAGGTGTCTACGGGTTCACGGTTGGCCCAATCGCCTAAGAGGCTGCAAGTCGCTATGCAGGGTTGTGTCCCTTGGGCACGCCAGTAACCTATGACAGTGTGTTCGCATCCCGGTTCGCCCCGATTATGTTGTCAGGACTTTGGGTTTCACCAAAGAGGTGAACGTCTAAGACCACGACGTGATATAAGTGGAATACTTTTCAAAGACGCGTGAAACACAATTCACTCACAAATTACTCTTGTGCACGGTTCCGTTTGATTAACTGGGTTTAAGTTGTTACTTCCGTTACTTTAGATTTGAAGCATGTTTAGGATAATGTTACTCTGTACAGCCCAAACATCGTGAATATATCAAGTAACCGTAACATTGTTCAGGAAAATAATTGCAAACTACAGACCAACCTGTTGATTGCCTAGGTATCCAGAAGCAAATAACATATGTGGGTGTATAATCTCGGCCGGAAAAATCAGTCAAAACAATAAACCATGCAGAATCCATGCTCCGTAAACCGCAGCGTGAAACGGTATGGATCATACATTACATACAGTGAATTATTTGAAACAATACTGTCCTCAACTATGCACAGCAAGCACCATACACGTGATTATGAAGACAACTAATTACAAATTTCTCATGTCAAACCTTAAGGGAAATGATCACTTACTCTCAGTGATACAGCTTGAATAAGATACGATGTACAGGTGAGGTGAGGTGAAATTGGGTTTAACGTCGCGTCCAAGGATATTGCTCTTATATAGCAACGTGCATGTGTGTGTGTGTGGCTGCTAGTACTTGCCCGGGCTGATTTATAGGGCCAGCAGTTTAACATGAATACCCCACTCTGTCACAGTATACTGACTCCCGAGCCGACCGGTCCTGGTTTTAGCCCCTTTATGCCGTGCGCCAGACAGGGTAACAACAAGTACCGTCTCTTAACGTCTTTTTGTATGACGAACCCCGGACCTTCCGCTCTACCACAATCCCACGGAGGCGGTCCTGTGATGTACAACATTGCAAGGTCAAAGCTCTATATACTACGCCTATAGCTAAAGGAGATAATCAATGTGCAAGTTTATGCTTACAAAATATAGACCGGTTAGCTTAAGAAAAAGGAGATATATTTCCCCTAAACATTTTAGCTCTTTTAAAGACACAATGAACAAATTGCATGGATCATTTATATTACAGAATGTGACAGGCGATTGGTTAAAACATGTCCAGATTACGTCACTCCCATTTCGTTTTAAAACCTTTTTTTAGAGAAACCAAAATGGCGTTCTCCTTCAGTCATAAACAAACTAACCCTTATATTACGATGAATAACGTAGATCGCCTCCAAGTGTACATTGTGACAAACAGCACGAACATGTATGTTAATTAAGATGAGTTACGGACGATATCTCACTGCTCGGAGAATATGTGAACCGTTGGTGCATGTTATAATAAGGTATCTCACGTACATGTGTTTATACTTAAAGTATAAAGTTCAATATTCTTTTTCTGGGGGTGGGGTGGGGTGGGGGTGGGGTGGGGGTGGGGAAGCCTACGGGTAAAATGATTCGCTCGTCACTCCCGTGTTCGCTTCTCCATGTGAGTACATTGTGAGAAGCCAATTTCTACTGTACCGCGTCGTGAAGTATTTTCATATCCAAAGATATTCAATGCAATCTGCTTCTGAGGTTATTTTCTGACATTAAGTATGTAAGTTTGTAAGTAACTCAGAACAGAAAAATAAAATAAACTTATGTTGGTATAAAAATTTCTTTATTTCTTCTTCCGTTCATATAGTTTGTTAACATAATCACACAATGCACTGTCGGAATCAAACTCCGATTGCAAAATTTGTCTAATATTTTTCTAAACATGGTTTACGAGTATTTTCTATAGATCTGTCCCCATAGTTTACAAATCTCGCTTTCTGTTACCTACCTATCTATGTTTTAACGACTACAATTACACCGTCTTAACACAGGATTGAGAAATTGTTTACACAAACTACTTTAAAGTATCAATGTATCTGATACATAAACGGTTTACTTGGTAAAGTATGGCAACACGGAAGTAGATACAAAATCACACCGAGCTATACAGGTAAATGTACAAGAATGTATTTTGCATACATTTTAGTTAATCAGTATACTTGGCAAAGAAAATGATCCACCATGTAAAAGAAAATGTTCAAGTATACTGTGTTACATTGATACACTCAATTTCAACAATCCTAGACAATCTAAGACTCACACACCATCTTTCCATTGACAGGTACTAAATACTTAGAGGATATTTCATGTGTCTTGTGAAATTTGTTTCTCTCATCGAGTCGGGGAAAGGAGATATTTTCACGTGTCACAAGATGAAGAAACGTGATATTTCATGAAACACATGGGATGTCCTTTATATTCTTTCTGTGTAGTCTACCGGAATACGTGGACGTCCCTGTTATACCCATGTCCAACCCACGTCCTCAATAGAGGCAGTCTCTTGAATCAGTTGGTCACGGTCCCCGGAACTGACAGCTGCAAATATACAATAGTTTACCCACATACAACACACCCTAAATAGAAACTCTAACTTGTGCATAGTGGTGCGTTGACTTTATTAACATTATTTCTCAAAGATAAGTTGTTTATAATGATGACTGATGCTCACCGACTCTCTGCACCTCGTGCCTATTGCTGTCATTTGACGACTTCTGAAGCATTGGCACTTTGAACAGGATACGGACACTGTCAAACAAAAATGACATATTCTATGATCAGGAGAATTTTGTAAGTTAAATTTATGATTTATTTCCCATTTGTAACCTTACTTTTCACGTTTGTCATTTTATGTTCACTGGGTAAAATGAAGTAACATCAAAATGTACCGTTCATTTATTTCAATTTGCCAGATTCTACACCCCTTATTGTCTCTGTCGTGTGAATGTCATTTCCACCTAATGGAAAGTTTTATCTGTCACTGACAAAAGTTACCTCTGACCTCCTTTCTGTAAAACGCAAGACCTTGCAGGCTTTCTATTGTATTCCTTGTTCAGTTTCTCTATCTGCTTCTGTGTATAGAGTCTCCAATTTCCACTTTCATCCTTCCACTGCCAGACGATGTGTGGTTTGTCCTCTGTCGGCATAGCTACTTGGGCATTAGCGCCATCTGGAACGGTCACACATGTACAATATCATTCAAACTTAATAAATGCACAAATCATATCTCATTTCAATAAGTACAATTAGCACATGATGAATATTGGGACCATGAAAACTCTGTTATCTAACCTTTGCTTTGGGTTGGATTATCGCCATGGGATTCTGTTGCTTCCGGAGATACAGCGTCTTCCACAGAACTGAAAAAAAGATAACATAAACTTGTTCGAGAAAGGCATACATAATCTGTTATTTTCATGTACATAAAATAACACAGAGGTAGTGATGACAACAAAGGTTTATGTGGCTCCAACAACAGCTTCCCCAACTGCATTTCGACAAGTCTCATTTATATTCTAAACAATAATAAACACTATATGTATTACTTTCACTAATGTCACCTGATTTCAATGTCAAATCTGCCATGACATCCAAAGTTGTAAACATTGATATGACCATTGTCCCATCTTACCTGAAAGAAAATGAAAACATGAATGTAATTACCCATAGTGCCTAATAGATTTTGCACTTCGCATCACCCCATGCTCACATTTACCATGGCTGCCTATATATTTACCCATACAAAAAGCGCTTAACTAACAAACAACATAGCTGAGCAAAAGTAAATAAATGATTACTTTCACTTTCCCATCTTCACGTCTTCGTATTACAATTCCAAACGAGCCAGGTCCTCCATCTTGGCGTCCATATGACCAGTCGATTCCTGTACAATAGGAATTGATTAAGTTACTTAAGTATATCCACCATCTGCATATTGCAGTTGAACACTTGCAAGTGTGAATATCTGCATGTGCAATCATGACGAGTAAGTGAGTATGGTTTTACGCCGCTTTTAGCAATATTCAATCAATATCACGGCGGGGAACACCAGAAATGGGCTTCACACATTGTACCCATGTCGGGATTCGGACTCGGGTCGACGTGATGAGCGAAAGCTTTAACCACTAGGCTACCCGACCGATATATAGAGGATATTCCATGTGTCGAGTGAAATATTTTGTTTCTCTCATCCAGTGACGAGGGGAAAGGAGACATTCTCCTTTCCATCGTCACAAGATGAGGGAAACATGATTATTTCACTCGACACATGGATTATCCTATATATTATTTACTTTTTGTGTCTACTGGAAAATTAGATTATTTCATTACAAATGTAATACCTTGAAACGTAAATTCTCCCTACTTAACACAGAGGGACGGTTCACCAACCCTTGTATTTGCGACTTCAAAAGTAGTTTCGTGTTTGGAAAATCTTCAATATAAACCAAACTATCAAAAAATATTTAGGGTCACGAAAATTCTTTATCATATATTCAGATATGATTATATACAAAATTAACTTGAAATATCAACAAAAATATTCTTGAAAACGAGGAGACTGCTGTTGAATGCGAAAGAATACACGCTGGTCAAGTAACCAAAAATGGGCTTTGCGGAACGAACAGCCTCGACTGACAAGTTAAATGAGAAATTTACAGTTTATAATGAAGCAGTTTCCAGACAGTAACAAACGGCAAGAAGTGATATTTACTCCATAAAATCTGTCATTATTTTGCCTTGTCAGTGTGGAACTGACGTAAAAAGGACGTCGATAGTTTGTGTACAGGCTAGACACTTACGATAAAGGGAGACAATTTAAGGGGAGGTAACTCTCCCATGACAATAGTCCCGTCAAAGTGTCATTTTCACTGCAGTGAAATATCAAGTGTTATGTTCACTGCAATGAAAATATCACTTTTCTCAACTTCAGAAAACTCAGTCTTTCCCACCGAAGTCTATAATAAAACAAACCTCTTTGGACTTTAATGCCAATCTCAATCAGTTCTTCCGATGTAAGACGTCTTGGGCTGTCAACTAGGAGCACGTCATACTGTCCTTCATAGCCATAGCTGTACTGACAGTTTCGGTCGCTGTTGAAGTCCCATCTCACCCACACCAGATCTGTGTATACACCAATGTGTATATAACATAATTTTCTGAGCATGTTTCGATATTTGAAATAATACTATAAATGTGAAATGTGAATATTTCGAAAAAAATATAATTTGGGAAATACGGTCCAGTTATATTTATCATACATGTATACACGAAACAATATTTCTGTATATATATTATTAGTTATAGACGCCTCGCCCCATATTTTTCTGCTAACCTAAGATGACACCGTATACGGCAACTTAAAGACACCATAACATATTTATTATGCCGAAATGTTTACACGATCCGGTATCCATATCGCAAATGTCATGTCAAAATGAAAACTTGACACTTCCAACCGTTGACTGTAAGGGTCAAAGAGAGACTCCTCTTTAAATCTTGAAGGCCAACCCTTGTTGATAATTTTAACTACAATTTTTTTTATCAATAAAGTCACGAACGTGATCTGAATAAATTGTGTATGTTCTTGTACATGGACATTTATGATATTAAAACACAAAAATTGTCGAGTGACGAATCTCTCTACCAGAACGTTCATGTGAAATATGTGAGGTGGGTGTTGGAAAATCCAAGATGGCTGTTACTGATGGTATTCCGTCTCATATTAGGTCAGTAACATCCATCTTGGATTTTTACAGACGGTATACGGCCTCAAAGGGGGTTAGTAGTTCTGCTCTCTGATTTGTCAATCTCACTTTGAGGCATAATAAATATACATATACGTACACGGATTATTCGAATGATTGATAATGGTCCCGGGTCCTTCAATATCTTCGTCTTTACTCTTCCAGTCAGGTCCTCGTCGTACTCTGGACCCAAGGGGAGGTAACCCATCGCGTTCCAACACGTTGTCAAAATCACTCGGACCGTCATCAGGATGAACTCCATCCTTTCCTTCCATTTTGTCTTTTACCGCTTGAATAACGATTGACTGAAACAACCCTTGAATGTAAAATATGTGTGCGTGCGTGCGTGCGTGCGTGCGTGCGTGAGTGGATGCATACTACGATGGTTTATAGCAAGAAGTAATGGGGAAGTTGTGATATAGCACTTCATAGTGCCAATGTTAAAGTTGCTTTCTCCAATGATTTAGGTAGAAAAAATGTTTTGTACTTATATTACATAATACAGGCTATTCAAAAACATTAAAATGTGTAGGAATATGCTATATATATATATATGGCACGTTGATCCCATTCGTGTCGTTTACCTTTTCTTCATTATTCATGTCCCCAATGAGTGCCTCTGCTAGAGTATCTAAATGGTGAGACAAGTCTTCCGTGTCAGTAGTAGGGTTGCTTGACAAGCAAATGAAAAGTTTTGCAGTTGTGTCCTGAAAAACATTTTGCAAACTAAAATAAATAATAATGCAAGTAGCCAGACGCTCTGGTATATATGTACCAACAGGGAAAACAAATTAAAGTATGAAAATAGTTTACATAATACTGACCTGTAACCTGTACCTGTTGCAAAGACTGCATATGTCTTTCCCTTCCACGAGTTCTTGCTTTCCAAGTTTTGCCAAAGATGAAAGAAAGGCCTAAAGAAAGACGTTTGGATCAGAACAAACTAATCTTCTTGAAACAATACACATTGTGGTTAAGATTGGTTGGTTGGTGTGTTATTTAACGCCGCACCCAGCAATATTCCAGCTATATGATGGCAGTCTGTAAATAATTGAGTCTGGACCAGACTCCCGTGATTAATATCATGAGCATCGGTATTAGTGGTTGTTCAAATAAACATTTGTGTCACCAAATAAACAATTGTGTACAATCAACCGTGGAAAGGGACTCCCTACATAAACGTATTCCTTGATAAGTAAAATACTCGAATGCAGTATTTGACTACCGTTGTATTTGGATATTTAAGGATTTAAAAAAAATGGAAATAAAAACGAAACATGCGGTAGACTTTATGATGATGCGGGCGGTGCCTGAGAACCAAGACTATTTTTTTTTTTAGCCTAACTTAAATGCAATATTGATACAGTTTACTAAGTAACTTATATGCAATATTGATTCAGTTTACTCAGTAACTTAAATGCAATATGATCCTGTTTACTCAGTAACACTGTATCAGTCGTTTGAATATTTTGTACTACAACGAAGATCTGCACCCGATGCGGCTCCACTCAGGCTAAATATTAAATGCAATGTTGATTCAGCTTACTCGGTAAATTAAATGCAATATTGATTCAGTTTACTCAGTGACATAAATGCAGTATTGATTCAGTTTTCTCAGTAACATAATTCGTGATTGATTACATAAGTTATATCTTTATTTAGTGTGCTTTTTTCCAAACAGGAAGAATATTTGATACAGTGTTAATCGTTTTAGCTCCTTCTTTTGCAATATTACACTTACTATTAATGACATTCAAACTCTATTTAGCCACCTAATAACCAGTAAGAATATTAACATTTGTCTGTAACTATTCAATACAGCTGAGATGATAATCAAAACCAACCGTCAACGCTTTTGTCAAGAATGGTTCCATTCTTCCAGCGAATGTATTTACTAAGACTCATAACATGTTATAATATGTGTATGATAATTTGGTTATCGAAGGTGATCAATGACAGATATCAACACTACATGCAAAACTATCTATATAACCATTAAATAATGCTGGCATTAATATTGCCTTTGGCTCCTACAAGTTTAAATGCAAATAAAAGTATCTTCAGAGGAATGATATAGCCACTTTTCACAGTATTTTCAACAGTGACTTTTAGAATTGACAAGCAATTACCCATACAACAATTTCAATCTGGGCACGAGAGGGTAGACTTATGTTGGATAGTTATGCAGTGGTCTTATGGATGCATGAGAATATAACTTAGTTATGCGCAGCACTTAACAGAATAATGACCTGGCAAGTTCAAGTCTACAAATATACTGCACCGCAAAAATGTTGAATCAATTAAAAACAAAATCTGCCCTCTGATAAAGTAAATCAGTAGACAATCAGTGTCAACCATTTATACCATGACAATCATGGTAAGAACTGCCTCAATATAGGAAGACTCGTACGTCAGACATTTAAAAAAATTACATACTAGATGTTAATTGCTTTGAGAGGTGGGTTCATTACCAATGTAAATTTAAAATTGAAGTAAAGTCGATCACAATTGTATGGCTCAAATGTACGTCTCAGTTTCGGGCAAGAGATAAGTATGCGAGTAATTATGGTTTTATGCCGCTTTTAGCAATATTCCAGCAAAATCAGGGCGGGGTACACAAGAAATGGGCTTCACACATTGTACCCATGTCGGGAATCGAACTCGGGTCTTCCGCGTGACGAGCGAACGCTTTAACCACTAGGCTACTCGACCTTCCCCCAAAGGCTAAAGATTAGGTACTAAATGTTACAAGATTAAAGTTTCAGTACCTTATCAGCTTTCCCCACTGGCACCCATGTTATTGGGTGTGTGTCTGCCTTGTCTCTCGCCAGGACGGTTGTGAGACGGAGTAGCTGCATCTTTACCTGTTAATGTAAAACAAAAATGTACATAGAAGAATACTAACAAAAATAGAAAAGATATCAATTGACAATAAAATGATCAAATTGTTGATTATGAAACACAACTGTATATCATATAAACAATTCTATCTCATTAAAACAATATACAATTGCACTCATACATAATTCCTGTCACATTATGCTTCATAACAATCGTGAATGCTTACAGTGGAATCATGGGTGAAGGCATCTTGACCTTCCCTTTGGCTGTCAGATGTTGCATAACCATCAGTCATGAAGATAATTCTTGGCTTTATGCTGTGAACTCCCCCAATGCTTAAGGTACCGGCTGTAAAAACAAATTAACACAAAATAGGTGTTAACTTAACAGACACAAAAACTACAGAAAACATTCGTTAATACAAGAAGTTCTAATACCTTTTAAAAATGCACATGAACATGTATCTGGGGTCGTGGTTTGACTAATAACCAGCGTTTCAATCATTGCGCAGTATCAACAACATGTAAGTAGAGAGTAAGGTGAATATGGAGTAAGATCGATAACAGCTTAATACAATCGGGTCCGAGGTTGCTTTACTGCCAAAGGCAATAATTGCTGAAATAAAACACCATAGCTGCTCACAAAACCCCTTCAAACGTTAACCACATGATCTCAGCTCAATAGAACAGTTCAATTGACGCAATCATAACACCTGACACGAGGCTAGATTAACTGGATGCCTACATCCAATAATATAAGCACATTTATTTTAGTAGTTAGTTAGTACCAGCAGTAATGGCTTTAATATTACTAATGTAAAGGTCAATGCATCATCAATCTGTTACATGGGTGGATGAGTAAATGTTTTACAGTAGTCAGCTGTATTGCGGCAGTCGAGTCTGGAACTGTGGAATGAATTCCAAAAGTTCTGCTATGAGAGGCCCATCATCAATATAGCAAATGTGGTCGAAAAGATAAACATAAATAAGTATTACTTCTTCCTTTGATCGATGCCACGGACACCACCAGGCCTGCAAACAGTGGACTCGGCCCTCCGGGAACCAGGTTATCTTCCAAAGATAAAGAATGGGCAAATTATAAACACTCCCATTGTTCATTTACATTTCTAAATTGATGGCACATATAAATGAGAAATCAATAACAAAAACAATAAACAATACTACAACGGGGTCCATCCCATTGTGGTTAAAATATGGAATGGGTCTCCCGTCAAAAACTGAATACATGAAAATATATGTAGATCCAATGTGACACATTTATTCTTTGGTATGAAACAAAGAACATTAACTTTATGATAATGAATATGTATGTTGGTTGGTTTGTTGTTTTACGCCGCACTCAGCAATATTCCAGCTATATGACGGCAGTCTGTAAATAATCGAGTCTTGACCAGACAACCCAGTGATCGATCCACTCAAATGGGGTCGATGACATGCTTCAACCAAGTCAGCGAGCCTGACCACCCGATCCGTTAGTTGCCTCTTACGACAAGCATAGTTGGCTTTTATGGCTGAAGACCTATTCTACCCCGAATCTTCACGGGTCGAATATATATGTAATATGTCACATATACACTATTTTACAGTTAACCTGATGGACATCTAAATACTTCGTTCCAACTGTAAATAGTAACGACGCTCATTCGGCGTTTGGGTTCGAGAAGTTTGCGACGTTGCATATTCCTATATACAAGGGGGCGGTGTACAGTTCTCGGTAGGAAATTACATTATCGAGTCGACAGCTTGAGGTATACACAAGTTTGTGTTTTGTACAAGTAGATATCTATAAGTCATCACATAGTGGTAGTGGTTGTTGTGTTGGTGCCCCGGAGCACCTAGCCTAACCTTCGCTTTGTTCTGGGTCAAACCTTCTTGTCTTCGTTTCTGGACCAAGGCTTATACAGCCAAAATCACCTCACACGGATTATGTTATATAAAAAACCCAGCAATTAATGAAAAGTGACATAGTTGCAAACCTCGTTCAGGCTGGATGACAGACATTAAACAACACAATGGGGATAATCATGTTACAAGTAATGGCAAGTGATTCCATACATGTCATGGCTTCATAGTAATTAGCCTTTGGAGTTAAATGTTTATTAAGACAAAGGTTGTCCCAAATCGGTCGCTGTGACAACTGTATGCGATTTATTTGTACCTATCGTATCTCTGACAGACCCATAGTCATTTGTGATATCTTGGACCACCGTCGCGTCTCCACCAACAGCAACCACCCCAAGGTTCTCTTCCAACCCATACCGTTCTGCCATTGACTCGATGCCTACAATGAAGTGTATTATCAATATAAAATCATATTTAACTGTAGAAGTAGAAGTATATGACCGAATATGTGTAAAATACTGGATATGTGCCTCCATTTTTTATATAAGCTTTTAACGTAGACTCCATATTTGTCATATACTGTATAATGTAAATACTTGTTATTTGGGAAAATGGTAATTGGAATGGTTCCGCTACCATCAATGAAGCTGTGAGCAATTTCTTTGAGTTCCTCAAAACCGTCTCCCCCTACACTTTCAGATACATCCAGACACAATATAGTTGTTGCCGATTTGGATCTTGGTGGGGGAGGTTTTGCTGAATATAAAGAAAGAAAATACTGAAAATATGTATCACGTGTACATAATTATGTTTTCTGAAGACTTCATACAGTGCAGTAAGATATACAGACGGCGATATTCAGTAATCGTTCTTTACTATGTTACTGTTACCGGAATTTAGTGTACAATACTAGTGTTATGCTGGACAATTATGTTTTACTTGGACTAAATGATAAGTGTGAATGTGAGGTTCTACGAAATATAATAGTGTTGTTAGATACAAGGTAAGGTAATCAAACAATAACATTTAAGTCAATGCTATATAATTATGTAACCACTTACCAGCTTCGAGTGCCAAGGCTGTAGACTCTGTTAACTGTATCCATCCGTCAAGATTGATGTTCAAAGAAGTTAATACTTCCTGGGCCTCATAATAATTCTCTAAAACATCAAAATACATTAATTGTTCTGACCATAAGTAACAGTACACGTTCCGCAGGCAACTGAATATCACATTCGTGGTTTCAACACAGGAATTCGAATAAATATATATTTAATAATAATAAAAAAGAATTGTAACCACTTACTGCTAATTATTTCACTTGGTGATGGGCAGTGTTCAAGGCTCTGGCGTCTGGAATGGAAAGAATTGGCAGTGTTTAGATAATGCATAATTGTTACATAAATATTATTTTATACAGTACACTGAATTAAGGTTCATATAGGGTCATTGGTGGCACAGCGGTGTTAAGACCACAATTCACATAACAGTGTTGCGCCCTTTAGTCGTGCCACGAGCCACTGATCGTGGAATCTAATACCAGATTTTGGGTTTTATCCAAATAAATAAATTGCCCATAATAATGCTTCAAACTGAAAAAAGGAATTTGTCTGCCAGAAATGACACATTGTTGCAAGGTGGTGGAAAGTATATTTAGGCTCATAGTTCTAATTGTAAAGAAATCTGCTTTTGCAGTTGCTGAAAAAATATCTGCACTCTTGCCTGCCTTAAAGCTTGTTAGGGCGAGATAGGGGACAAATCTAAATTGTCGTCATTTTACCTATTTGCAGTGGTACTGGTATCTGAATTCCTGAACATCTCTGAAGCACCATCCGTGAGCTTATTGCAGCATGTAAGAGTAACGTCAGCAGATTGTTCCAGCCTTACACCGGTTGTAGTATCCTCGTTGTCATTATTTGAAGGGCTGAAGATACATATCCATACGAAATATAATAGTCACATGAGGTCATACATACAATATATATTATAGCTTTCTTTATGTGTTGTCTTTTTTACAACTTTTTACTTACAATTCAGCACTGACAGAAGGTAAATTGACCGATGTGCCCCGCGTGTGGCCCCCAGCGTCTCCGTCCAATTCATTACACTGTTCCTGTGTACTTTCGCCTCCGCACATGTGGTCATTGCCTTGGTCTGTTTGAACTTCATTGGTCTCATTTTTCATTTCGTTGGTATCTGATTGGTAAGTTGGTCGGCTGGGTGCAGCATCACGTTGCGCGTTTATGACTGAGGAAATTTTGTCAAGTTCATTTTCGATATGTGTTCGATTTTGCAGGATGACATTGTTGATGAAATTTTCCATATTCTTAGTCTGACACAGCATATGTTCCTCCAACCGTTTTTGGAGTTCACGTAGCTGTAGCTGATTGTCTGTTGACATTCAAAAATAGAAAAACTCGATTAGAAATATTCCCATGGTTCATTTACTCAGAATATGGGGAAAATAAAAAGGATAACACACCTGATGTTGTCAATGCGGAATCACCGTTCCCGTCACTCCTAGTTTCACCATGTCTGAAGTAAGTCAAGTAAAAACAGTAACTATGGATTTGGAATGATAACACAAATGCATAGAACTATGTATACGTGTAATTTAACGACAAATTAATAACCGATTTTCGTTAACATTGTACTAATATCCAGGGAAACAGAAAGTAATGCATGGCATCATACACTGTAAAACCAAGAATTCTAACAAACTAATAAGATGGAATCGGCCATAATAATAACCAGCTCAATTTACCCACCCATCAAACGACACGTGAAAAGACATCTTGCTGGGCTTAGGTCCCAAACCGTGGACAAGATTTTGAAATCGGTGCATCACATTGACTTTGTCTGCCACCATCTTGTTCTCAGATGCAACCTGTCCGTGTCTGAATACAAATGTCAAGCCACTAAAGATATGGAGGAGTTCGGCATTATATTCATTTCTTAGATCGTCAACGAAATGATGCAAACGAGTAAAAGCTGTGTCTCCAATCTGCATGAAGATGTCGAGGCTTTTCCCGGTTGTGTGGAGTGTCCATCGTGTACTTGCTGCAGCGCCATGTCTGTCCTCACCACCTTTCCACACGACACGAAGTACCGGTACATCGACATCAGAATCTGTGAATAAAATACGTTATACTTCAGCGAGACACAAGTAATTTGTAACAAATACCAGAGACCATATGGTTTCTGCAAATACGTACTGATAACACAGCACTCTGGACAGAGTGTCGCTTCTAAATTGTGTAAATAGGCTTTAGTTAACTAGCTGGGCACTAATTTAAAAAGCTGTATCAAATGTAACTGTAAATTAGCAGTATTAAATTTAACTGTAAATTAGCTGTATTAAATGTAACTGTATTAAATATAACTGTATTAAATGTAGCTGTATTAAATGTAACTGTAACGTAGCTGTATTAAATGTAACTGTATTAAATGTAACTGTATTAAATGTAGCTGTATTAAATGTAAATGTAATGTAGCTGTATTAAATGTAACTGTATTAAATGTAACTGTAATGTAGCTGTATGAAATGTAACTGTAATGTAGCTGTATTAAATGTAACTCCACTAAATGGATTTAAATGATACCACAGCAATACAATATGGTGACTATGATTGTGATAATGATGATGATGATGATGATCATCATCATCATTATTAGTTGTGGGGGCACGTTTGGCCCAGTCGTCTAAGGCGCCGCAATTCGCTTTGCAGAGTTGCGTCCCTTGGCTACGCTAGAAACGCTATGATTGTGGGTTGGAATCCCGGTTCGCCCCGATTATGGTTCTAGGTTTGTCAGCACCATACCTGCTCATGGGTTTCACCGAAGTGGTAAATGTCTAAGGCCTGCATCACTTCGGCCTTTCCTTACACAGAAATCTGACACGCCGTGATATAACTGGAAAAGTGTTAAAAGCGGCGCTAAACCAAACTCACTCACAATCAGTTGCATATCCTATCCAATGATATATTTATGTATGCTGAATAAATATCCCCGAACCTCCATCACCCAGGCATTTCCAGAAGTCTGGGGTGATGATTACGTCATACGTTCTTTTGTTGTGTTGAGAAGAAGTTTTGTTGAAGCAGCGACCTGCAGCCTGCATTCCCTCTGCCATGGCTTCTGTTGGAGGCAAAACGATACGAAAACACAATATGTCTTACATAATTATGACAGGCTTTATTATTATTTGTCAGACTGACAGCCGACACTCAAGCTGAATGTCTGTACGACCAATGCATGGAATGAACATTGTGGCTGTATTGCTGGTTTCATACAGTTCAGTGACGGATATTGTATTGAAAACCACAGCTCACAGTCTTGGAGGTTACACACAACCAAATGCTTTCCCATAGACTTCTATAGTAACGTTATATTTGTTTTAGCTTTAAAGTCATCATATATGTAAAGCTGGTTAATAAACTTTATCAGAAAATAGTAAGTAAAGGGGTGGATTGTTGCCAGCAATCTCAATCACTGACCAGTGAACCATGTCGCCTATTAAAGCCGAGAAATGGAAATGGACCCTTAAACATGTTAAGTAGAAGAAAGCTCTTTGCAACCACAACATGAAAGGAAATTACACTTAACTCTACTATTTCTTTTTAGTTAAGACATGAAAATACTCCCAGGAAATAAAAAAATACTTACTGTTTAATGTTTCAAGGTGGCTAAACTTGCTTATTTCAGTTATTTGCCAAAACTCCATATAATTTAGAAAATGTACAGCTTATCCTGACAAAAATCTCATTCTTTGTATTCACAATTAACAGTGTTATGCAATGCGTTTCTCTCCAATAATATATGGGTTTATAGGTAATGGAAAGATAAAATGCATTTTACTGAACATGGGAGATAATTTAGTAATATAATGTCGAACATAATCACATTCTTTACAGATGATTTCAGAACCATAATGTTACATTCCAGAAGAGCCAGTGGGTATAATTTTCATCTACGCAGGTTATGGGGCCTTTGTATAGCCCTTGCTTCATGTTTGAAAACCGAAAAACTGCACAGTGAGCCATTAAGGGAGAACTGTCAGAAATTTCCAATGCATGTGGGTGATCTTAAGATGGAACTCGATAGTGAGCAACAGACGGGGCTTCAGTGGACTGGGGTTCTTAAATGTACTTAATGTACCTGCATTACACAACTTCTACCAAGTAATAGAGCGCAGCGAGGCAAAACAAGGGTTGTCGATCACACACTGCCAACACCGATCGGGGGGGGGGGGCTCAGGCTGAGTTCGACCACAATACGGAGCAACATTCATTTCCAGGCCACCCAACACCTCCATTCAACCCAAAATGTCCCCAACTTCACTGTCATTACTTATAAATTTGCTTCCTCATTCATGCCAATATGTATCCATGGTGAAATATAAACAGGAAAGCCTATAAAGTATGAATTACTGAAATGTGCATTCACCCTACAGGATACCCGCACAATCAAATGTTTTCCCATTCACTTCTATAGGAACGTTATATATATATATTTTTTTTAATTAAGCATTCAACAGCTATTACCAGGAATAAAAATAATAAAAATGACTAGCTTAGTCAACTCCTTTTCCGAGCACAGGAAGCTAAACACACCACCCCCAGTTACGCACCAAATGCCACCTACTTGAGAATAGCTGTGGTCACACTCAGCATAAGTCATCATGTTGAAAAGGACAGTATATAAATATAGAAAAAGATGTTTTTTTAATTACCGGATGGATGTACATTTAAAAGGTATAAAAACTTACACAATATCATCCAATCACAGCCTGCAGATATCTCTCGATCTGCACTGAAGGCTCCCTACATAAACCGCACTGCCCAAACTGGTTCTGATTTAGTGTAGTAGAACCTGTAGACAAATCAGAAACCATCTGCACAAAGCAAATCTGTGATTTATGTGTGACAAACATACACACATACATACAGAATATATAGTTTATAAAGAGTTGTAAGAGTTTAATGATGTACGCTTCATCAATGGTTAACTAAATGTATATCTGTATTATAAAGAAGTTTCTACCTTTATACACTAACCATGGGAGTTAATTCATATTTCATAAAAGAAGGGGATCAAGGGTCAAATCCATACATGATTGAGGCTGCATAGATCGTATCACCCTAAAAAAAATTCAACTAAAAATATGAACAAATCTTTAAACCTCAAAACTAGTAACAATACATATTTAAAAATGAGTAGTGGTCTGCTGTTTGCCTTCCTTTGCTGACACCATCAGAACAAAGCAGAGTCTGCTACATTCATGGAATATGGTTTTGACACTCATGACATGATGTGATTGATATTGTTTGAGATTGCTCGAACTTACACCCGGCATTGTTTATATAATGAAACACTCAAATGACTGTCAGCATTTGGTAAATCATCTATCACAATTCACAAATGTTTGTGCTTTCATTTACTCCAAAAATCAAAAGTATAAGCACCTATGAAATAAGCTGGTGATATAAGTATACATGGAAAGGAATTAGAAAAGAATCTCAAGCTGGACAAAGAGCATGGAATTCAGACCAACAATTGGCAAGGGATACATTAAGCAGTTTTAAAGTCATCATATATGTAAGGCTGGATAATGAACGGGAAAGCGAATGTTATTAACTAAGGGGCGTAACTCCATACAGCTTATGGAGAGCCTTGAATGGCCGTGTCCTGAACAGCTTAAAGGAAACATGCGGATTTCTGTTGTTATCTAGAACACGACACGTCTAAGCCACAATACACCAGGACATATATACACGTAGAACATACAATCTACAGAACGCAGGTAGAATCTGGCAATTCGTTACATCTTCCCATGTAAACGTGTCATATTGTACAAGTTATGCATCATGATAAACGATTATGACGAACAAAAGTGACACATTAACTTACAGTTTGGTTGATAGCTACTGGAGTCATTAGTTGTTGAACGACGTGGTGAATATTCAACCAGGAAGTAGCAACCATACCCTATGGTTAGTGTATAACAACTCAGGTGACAGTTATCTTCCTCAAGCAATCCTGCGCCACTTTGTGTATGAGGGTGGTCTGAGATGCAGAAACATGTTCACTATATCTTCTGACACAGTTTTAGATGCTTGTAGTCGATCAATGCCTGAAGGAGGAAAGTATATTGGCTTAATCGTATGTTGCAATTCAATTTCACAGACATTTATACTTCAGCGTCAGTTCTAATTATAGCTTAACAAGCGAACTCTGTATGTTTGAGCGTTTTCACAGAGGCAGCTAACTCCACAACATTTATTAGATATTCATTTGCTTAACCGACACGGTGGGTATCGCCACACGCCAATACTGGTTTAAATCAGCATTATTTTTGCTTATTGCATACATAAATGTACAAGGTCAAGAATGAATTCAGTCAAAGCGAAAATAGAATCAAGGCGTATTTTCCCTTGACGACTGCCTGCTCACCCTGCATGACATTTGTCACCACTCGCATGTTTCCGTAACCTACAACATTCGGCTTGTCCCGGACTGGGACGAGTTGGTCACGAATGCCTGCATGACAGTGGTGATTGGTCCGTGGTTTAAGGCATAGTGTAAAGTATGGAATGGATTTTGGAATGGGATACTGGAATGGAATTTGGAATGAATCTAATATGATGTGACACTTTATAAATATATATCGCCGATATATGGCAGGTCAGTTGAGGAAAGTAGGTGGTAGCTTCTCTCCTTCGCCATTGCCCATATCTTTGATAAGGGAGGGGAGACATACCTAGATGAGGAAACAGTTTAAACACAGTAAATCATTCTATTGGCTTATTGAAGCACAACAGAACTCCACGTGAAGAACAAAACTTATATTCTGGTATATTTTGATATTTATCATGTTTATTATCATAGAAAAGCAATCTATTATGTCAATAAGGGTGTGTACAACACGTTGGTTTTTTTTAGAGCGAGATGAGTATTCCATTTTGTCTCATTCAAAAATCGATTCCCTTATTCCAATCCAATCCAAACTCTATTCTGAAAACCATTCCATACTTTACACTATGCCGTCCTTTAACTGGATATACGTCGTTGTGTGTGAGGCCATTTCTTTAACGCAGAAATATTTCTAATTATATGCGTCGGAAAATGGGTATGGTGACGATGTGTTTCCTGTTTCGAGTGCACTGCAGAAAAGACTACTTGCACTAGCTTTAATCTAATACGGAAACCCCGTGAAAAGAGAGGGTTGATAACAAACGATGTTAAGGATACAACATATTTTCTGATGTTAAATTGTAAATATGTGCGTCGTGATAATTGATTTCATGCAATTATAGCATATGTGGTTAGTATTAGAAATGTGGCCCATCTTCGACGCGTTTGTGATTTACTACTTCAGTTTACATACATATTGCAATTTCAGGGTTTTAGTATATTTTCTCAATATATTTTATCATAGCAACAATTTAACCCACGCAGATCACTGAAAACAACATTTTCGCTTTTCAGTAAGTACAATGTACGAGTTGTATTGAGGGATATAGGTGAAAAGTGTACACTGAAACTGCCATATGTTTTCCAAAAGCATTATGAAACATTGATGAACATATCCAACTGGAATACATGACGTATTTATATAGTTTATTATCAAAGAATGAAATACATGTCAAATAAACATGGATTGATACTTATGACAGCTGTACAAAACACTTCTAACAAAGTGAACATGACGAGCAATATTTGGAGTAGTGCGCAACTTGTTAACATCAGTATATAATCAATTACAAGAAGATAGATAACATGTTCCTCACAAATCAGTTTAGTTATTGTTATAAGCATAAAGTGGATGTACTCTTATATATGAAATCTACAAATGTCTAATGAAAACATATATTCTAAAATAAATTTTCTTTACACAACTGCTTCTTTAAACTGAGAGTACGTACACCACACAAAAGCCTTCGTAATGTCTCAAGCCATGCTCTCTGAAGCTCTAAAGAGATTAAAATTTCAAACATAATATTGCTCAGCAAATAGTGTTGAATAAGTGTAAGAATTCAGTTTAAACGTACATGGTTTGTTTTCGTCCATTGTATGTTTATTATTGAGTGTCCGGTTCTCAAAATAAACTTGTATTGTTCAGCTGATATTGATTTCTCGGGAAATGGATGGTCTGGGAAAACCCAGTTGTGTCTTATTTTGGATGGGGATTTCCACTGCGTCGCTTGAAGAGAATATCTATAAACAGCAGTGTTTATCGTGCACTTGTGACCCACCACGATGTATGACATAATGAAAGAAGTGTCTCGACCTTACATTTGCACTAACCCTCCGTGGAAGCACCCAGTGGCCCGGATCGGCTAAGGTCAGGGTCGCTGTTAGGATGTGTATTTGAATAGGGTGCAAGGGAGGGAGAGGGGTAGGGAGAGGGGTAGGGAGAGGGGTGGGTAGTGGGTGTTGTGGGGTAGTGGGTGTTGTGGGATGGGGGGTAGTGGGTGTTGTGGGGTGGGGGGTAGTGGGTGTTGTGGGGTGGGGTGTTGTGGGTAGGGGTGAGGTGGGGCGGGGTGTAGTGGGGTGGGTTTTGTCGAGGCTTGGATAGGTCGCTATTATTCTGTCGTGTTTTTAGAAGTGGTGTCTCCAGTACAATACGGTGAATGTTATGTCAACGCTTTTATCAACGTTATATCCAATTTCACCACATCACTGATTCTTTCTTATTTCGGAGGTTCTTCAACTGAAAAAGAAAATACGCCAAGAATTTATCATGTATGTGAGACAACGTGAACGATGTCTATGACACAGTATTCATGATATGAGCGCATAGTGGCGAGCTAAGTTTATTCCAATAGCTCTTCAGGTCAATACCATTGTATCAAAACCTTATCACTATATGTATGGATGATATTTGTTACGTACTACATTCCATCAAGTTTCCTCACAGCCGTAGTAGAGCCATCTTCAATGGATTTTTCAACAAGTGATTTGAACAAAACTCTGAAACTGAAAATAAATAAATATTGTACATACTACGAGCTGGTATTTGTATTTGTTTTGTTTAATTGTGCATTTTATCAACTATAATAGTACATTATATAATGACACACCATGAAAATACTCTGCAAAAAAAGAAACGCAAAAGTACTAAAATCGTAAATATCTGAGAGTGTTACCGATATCCATACAAAAATAATACCCAAAATGAATTCGTCATTTCTGCATGTATTGGGATTGATTTGTGTGGAAAAAATGAGGCACTGTAGAAATTTGGGGAAAACACAAACACGTCAGAGCCTGGCGCCGAAACACACTAACAGGACATTCACGTGCAACATCACTGGTTGGGCTATAAAATCGTTGGGATTTCATGTGGATACCATCACAATCTTACTGCAAGTGAACAGCGAAAACATGCCACGACGGACGGAAGCCCAAAGCAACAACAACATCGGCCGACTGCAAACAGCCGAGTCGTAGCCAGGCACCAAGCACCATTACAAGACTGTGGAACGGTTATCAGACACACGGGACCTTCCCAGATGCAGTCGAGCACGTATCACTACAGGAGCACAGGACAGATTCATACGGCTACGTGACTCGGCCAAAGGTTACCTCTGAAACTACGAGAACTACAGTGAGAAACCGCTTACGTGAGGACCAGTGTGAGGTGTTATTTTGACGAAACTGCATCGTCGGCTGCGACGTCAGTGGTATAAAGGTCACAGAGCATGACCACAACTGCGAAGTCTGGTTTAGTGATGAGTCGCGTTTTATGATTCGCCTTGCAACAAGCAAACGTCATCAAGACAACGCCTAACCTCACACGGGAAGACTGACAGCCTTTTTATGAGTCCCCAGCATGGCCCCCAGGTCTCCTGATTTAAACTCAATCGAACATTTATGGGATGCACTGGATCAACGACTGCGAGCACGTCAGCAACAGCCACGGAACTTTCGACAGTTGGCACAAGCACTGCAGGCAGAGTGGGTGAACATTCCCAAGGGGCGATTATGCCAGTCAGGTGTGGACTCTTAATGGTGAAAATACAAGATATTGAGAACAGATGACCCTTGAAAATCTACTGATCCATGTGTGCCATATAGAACCTGGGTTAGTTTTAATGATGTCTGCAAAGTATGAACAATCGATTATCATCTCTTGATTATTTTCATGACGTATAAAATGTACATCCAAAATAACTTTGGGGTTCTTTTTTGTTGTTGCAGAGTATACTTGGAATTTTCATGTTGTAGAATAAGGCGGTGGTAATTTAACAAACATGTAACGACACATCACATACCTCCTCCCATCTTTTTGTATGAGACATGATCCACCAGGCCTTTTCTTGTAAGATGCTTTCAATTTCTTATTGTCCCCCTCGGAATATGAACGCCATTTGTTAACTTTGTCACGCCATTGCCACACGTATGAATCACCTATCCCATCTGAACCTGATCTTCCATCATCTTCTTGAAGTTTAGCACCTGACTTGTGTATTTCTTGCAGGCAATGTTCATCGTCATTGTGCATATGTGGCATTTGATCCCGAAGACATTTAAGGGAATCACTGAAAAACACATTCATACGACGCATTTTACGAAATTATTACAAATCATGACAGAGTTTTAGCATCTGAATAGATCTGAACCTGGCTGCAACAGTGTTTTTTGTTCTGCATTACATATATATCTCGAACAGTTAAATGGTTATTCTGGGATCTTATGGTAATTGTCATAAATATGCAAAGGTCGCCGTTTCTATCATTCTAATGTTTCAAATGCAGTAGATATGTCGATCCAAATAATGTGTAAATAATCTAAGAGTGTTAAATGTCTCACCGGATGGAGACTTCAAATTGTCCCCCTTCACCAAAGCTGTATTCGTGCATTGTAGAGTTTTCCCATTTAACCTGAAATAAGACACATAGACGTTAAGAATGTGATGGTAAAACATGTAAGAAACTTTATGTTTGGATAAAAAGTATGTGCAAATGATGTGTTTAACCATCATACTGTCTTGTCGAAGTGTATTTTAGAAACAAACCATGACTCTACAGTTTCTTTTCCGTATGACTGTTCCATACAATCCAGGACTGCCATTTTGATCTGATATATCTCGCCAGTCTGGTCCTGAAAAGGCATAATATTGGTAATATCATTCAATCCATTACAAACTGATTTATAATCATGTAAACATTTTTTGGGTTTTGTTATACTTTTTATCATTGTTGTATGTATGACAAAAGGCTCTACCCATAATGGAAGAATGTAAGAAATGTAATCTCCAGAATAGCATAGCAGAATCCAATTTTTAAAAGGAATTGGCTATTTATAATTTTCGGCCACACCAACTTACATATTTCAGAGGGGTACACAAAGTACGTGATCAAGACTAGCAGTTGTCGGACTTCCATTTTGTGGAATCTTTGTTGCTGACGATTAAGTGCCTTCCTCTGAGAATTGGGTTTGAATTCCGGAAGGGATTCCACCCCCAAAATACCAAAATTTGTACTTTACAAAGAAAGTGTAATTCCAAACAGAACATCCGGTATATTTGGCCACTTTTTGAAAGGCATTGTCTATATGAATTCCTTGTCGTGAACTGACGTTGTACGACATACCTCGTTCCACCTGCATCCCGATGTCTATGACACCTTCCTCTTCCATCAGGCGTGGCTGGTCATCAGCGATGAGGACATCATAGTTGCCGGTGACACCGTATCTGTATACGTTGTTGAAGCCATTGTCCCATAAGACCCACATAGACTCTGTAAAGATCAACTTGTAAAACAGGACACCATCATACAAACAATCTGTATATTCAATGGGCATGAATCAAACCAATCATTATATTTGGAAATTTTGTATTTTGTTATCTCAACTGCTAGTTACATGCCAGTTGACAATCGTGATGTGAAAAAAGAATATTTCTCGAACCTCCATCTTCTGCATGATTGATAACTGTCCCTGCACCCCCATCGTCTTGGTCGCCCCACCGCCAATCAGGTCCTCGAACAACTCTCGTCCCCAGATCAGGAAGGTCTGCCTCAATACAGATATTGTCAAACACGTCTGTAAGTCCTAACCGGCCTTTTATCTCACTCATCTTGTCTCTGACAATTTCGGAAATCTGTTTCTAAAAATTAAAAAAATAAAATTTCATCCTTGTTAAAGAAATGATTTTATCTTTGAGACAATTAAAAACATGTACTTGATGATGTACGCTAAGGAGTAGAGTGGACCTACGGAAAGCCGATCACAAACCTATTGCTTTATTTTCCACATGAATTGTGAATGATAACAAATCAACAAATTCACACACAGAACTTAAATGGCAAACGAATTATCAAATATGACGAATTACTTTTTCTCGTTGACTGTATTCGGAGCAAACGGCTGTAACAACTGTATCTACATCCGGCACCTCAGCTTTCTTAGCGTCCTTTTCTCTAGTCATAAAATCAATGATCTGAACGCTGATTTTCTGAAATGGAATTATCATAGAAATGAGAAAAGTCATGCATTCCGATGCTGAATAAGACTTCTTAATTTGAGAAACGCGCTCTTATAGGCAGGCAAGCCAGGCACATGTGGTTGATATATTGAAGGACACACACAAACATTCTAAAAGGCCTATCTACAAACCTGAACCCAGTGCTGGTTGCATGCTTCTGTTACATTAGTCAGGTTCCCCTTGCATCTTTTCAAAAACCGACTTAAAAAGGCCTGACAAAGAAAACAATATAAATTAAACAGTTAAAAAGAATAATTTTAACTTAAAATCTATGATAAGATCATGTGAGCTTGAGGCCTATTTATTGTTGAGTTATTGAATCACTTTCCCATTTCACATTCAGTTCATCTTAAAAAGTTACTATTTTGTTAATAACCAATTGTGGCTTGATGTTGTTCATGGGTTAATTAATGAAGTAAACCCGATTGTTGTCTTTAGCATGGATGTCTTCTGACTTCATTTTAGAAACATATGGTTGAAGGGGGAATCCATCGTTCGATCTTAATACCAACCTGTTTTGCTTCACCATAAGGAACAACCTGAATTGGGCCCACTACATTGTCCCTCACAAACGCGCTACCCATGTGTTCCAGTGCAGCGAATAATAGTTCCGCATCCTGGTGACAAACGAATGACATACACTATTTCTATCTGACGAAACCATACCTAAATACATAATTGTGTTGACAGAAATTGAGTGATTTGTTAGGACTGCTAATTAGGTTCATAATCTGTTTCATAAATCACTAAGCCTGCTTATACCTGTTGGTTTTATATATAATACTGTTTGTGACTCAATATCAGATACATGCGAGAGAGAAACTGTACGTTTTACTCACATGTGTCTTGTTGGGTTGTTGATGCACCTTCCCAACTGTCAGTCCGTCTGTCACAAAGATTATTCGAGGGGGCACTCTTGTCCTTCCACCAAAGTTACATATGCCACCTGGATATCGAAACGTGCTAACTTATTGCAAGTGAAAAATACTCTTAAGTACAACCTAAAATCTATTTTATGGTGCAGTCACAGGTGATAAATGTATATCAGGAACAGTTACCCTTTGTCATGGCAGCAAGACACAGCAACAATCCTTGGAGTTGAAGACAGTGATCAGGTGGTAAACCCCCGCATTCTACTTGAGCTGAAAAAAGAAATTGCACATCGTGACAACAAAACCATATTGTCAGTGTTGAAGATGGGCACACTAAAATTGTCAAACAATTTTGCATACTCTTCGAATTAATTACAATCAATTTTCAGATGTCGTTTCTTACCGATTACTTCCCTCAGGCTTCCATAGTCATTGGATAAATGATGAAGCACAGTTGCCCGGGAGCCAAGAGTTACCACTCCAATATTTTCTTCAAGGTCGTGCGATTCTGCAACATCTTCGATACCTACAATGTACATGTATTAGAAATAATCAAAGTGATTTTTTCTTGAAGCAGCTCAATCAAACACAATATATTCAAAAACAATGTGAGTGACTTACTGAGGGACAATAAAAAGAATACTTCCTGTAACTGCAAAACACATACCATTGATAAAGTCCATTGCCAACTCCTTGATCTGAATGTAAGCCTCTCTTGGCATAGTACCAGAGTTGTCGAGACACAAAATTGTATCAACACCCACATCACATCTTGGGACTTCTATCTCCTCTGAAACATTAATCACTCCATTAAAATGAACAAAATATATCTGTTCATGCCCCGCATTTATAGAGCGAGGACAAATAGAGAGATGGAAATAAATTGATTCTGACCTTTCTTGAGAGCCTCTTCAACTGGCGTCCACATGTCTACATTCTCATCGACGATCTCTTTCATTTGATACAGTGTATGCATCAGGTGTCCCTTGGGGGAACCACTGAATTTGTCTTTAGATACTCCAACTTTTGATCTTAAACATACATAATTTGTAAAGAATATTTTAGTCTAAACACTTCAATTTTAAAATGACAATTGTTTGAAAAAAATACATGTATTGACCGTTAACAGTGAGTGGTGTTTAAATGTAACTAATATATATCGTACCTTAGTACTGACTCTTTTAGTTCGTTGATGCTCCGAGTAGGAAGTTGTTTCGTGAGTATCGCCCTTGGTCGGGTTGTAGGCACGAGTTCATAAGGTAAATCGTTCATGAAATCTGGTGGTTTCTCTCCGGGTCTGTACTTATCTATCCTTGTCCATTTCTTCTGACATCCATTAGTACTTGTTAGTATATAACGTGTTTCTCTTACGCTCAACACATGGCCGTGGAAAGGGCATACTAAATGGTTGACCTTGTACGTGTATGCAAGCTGGGCATTTCCAAGGTCACCTGGATATGATTGCGGTATATCATCGTTATAGTCATATGGGTCATCATTGTCGGAAAAGAAAGTTACAGAAGACAGATCAGGGGTTATGGAACACGATGTTGAGTTACATGTTTCTACGTAGTCAGTGCCATAGTCATTGAGTTGGGAAAAGGCTCCAATTTGTTCCATACCATTGCTGAATTTATTAAGAGAGCTTGCAGTAGATTTAACACCTTGTTGACTATTCCAGCTGGCAGGTTTGTGTTTGTTGTGTCCCAAAGTGTTCGCGGCACTGCTTTGACGTTTCAGTTCATCATTTCTACATGTATCATCCCCAGCCTTCTGAAATGAACCCTTCATTGCCTCAGGTGTTTGTTTATGAACATTTTCTGTCTGTTGATTATCATGTCCTTTTCTTTTATGATCATTTTCAGATTCGTGTTTTTCCATCGACGGCTTTCCCCGGGATACTTTCGATTCACTCTTTTCAGCATGCTCCAGCTTAGCTCTCACGGTAGATGGCATACGTTTTGAGTCTTCTTTCCAATTACTCTGACTGACAATAACAGACGTTTGGATTGGTGTTGCATCTGCATTCTGTATGTCCGGCTGTATTGGTACAGTCTTGCCCTTCGATGCAGTTGTTATATGAGGATCCTGAGAAGTTATCAAACTGGTCTCCAGGTGTTTCGAATAGGTTAACGTCTTTAATTCTAATTTTGTGTTCTTGTGTACGTCAACTCCGGCAGTATCAGAAGTCTGTTTGTCGCTTGATTCAAGGCAGAGTAAATCACCAAACGTTCGTTTGTCTCCTCTACCTCTGTCTGTGGCTTCATCTGTAAGCTTTATTAGATCGTCTGTTGCAGGTGTTCCTAGTCGTACTGCAATTTGAGACAATGCCTGTCGAATATCATCATTTTGTCGGTTTTGTTTTTCGAATTGTTGTTGCAAGTATTGATTTTGATTTGATATTTCTGTGTCAATAGAACAGAATCGTTCTTCTAAGAGGTCCTCCATGGCGACTGTCCATCAAACGTTATCGATGTTTACAGCAGCTCACCTGTAGGTACATGTAGACATATACACATATGAAGTACAACTTGAAGTACCCGATTTGAAATGTTTTACATCACGATTATTTATCGATCCAAATAGAAAGTGACTTCATTTTGGAATACACTCACCACAAAACATCCTATGTTACATGTCTATGATACATTATTGGAATTATGGAAACCATTTGTGATGCTGAACATCATACACCCGCATCGTGCACGTACAACTCAACAACTAATGGAACAATGGCAGTTAAAACCTACTACACAATGGTTGAGTTCATGCTGATTTTATTATGCATCTTCCTTCCCCAATCGTTACTCGTTGACATGAAGTCTGCCCTTAATCGGTTTTTAACATATCACGATGGTGATATTCATAGCTAACAAGATAGGCGTTTCCCACCTACATGCTAACCTGACGGTAACTTCACAAAACGAAAGTAAGAAAATATGACCTACACCTACAGCCAATAACAACCAACAAAGTTAAAGAATCACAAGGATAATCTTTTGCAATATTGACATTTCAGGTGATCACTGGAACAGAGTGTGTCAAAGGAATGCCATAGTTTACCTGAATAACGAACATCCATATCTAACGCGAACATTGGCGCTGTCCTGGTTTTGCCAGGTCATCCAAAAATAGATCCAACGTGTCAATCTTCCGGGTTCACCCGTAATGTGAAATTCATACATGAACAGTCTTTTATAGTCAACCGTGTATTGGGATCTCATGACTGTATTTAATGGAAAGTAAAACGTCACACATCCCATAAACATAAAGATGATAACGTGTGTGTATCAGGGGGAATCAGGGGATGATCACCCCAAAATATGACAGTCTCTAGGGGAGGTTCACAAAAATTTAATACACAAATTTAGGGAGAGTAATTAAAAAAATGAATGTTTATTATAAAATATAAAGTGACCTTGCATTTTGTCTTTGAATTTTGTCTTTTCGGGGAGAGTCATGAAAAAAATGTACAAGGACATAGGGAGGGTCATAAAAAATATGATCAGCATTTGGGGAACATTATTATTTCAGTACATTGGTGCATCAGATCCTCCACTCTACTTCTTATTGACGTTGGGTCGGACTACCAGTGGATGTCATTATCGACTCCCTGTCTACTTGCTGTCGGCGGTGTAGGGTCCCCTATCTAAAGATTCCCGGGTGTGTGGTGACCAGTTGCAGTCATGCGTACTGCATTTAAAACAGGAGCATTTCTTAGCGCTCGGGTTTGCTTTGTCAAGTGAGCACTACTCCGCATGCAAACGAAGTACTCGTAAAACATTCATAAACGTCGGCGCGCGAGGCGCTGATTCGTTGGAATGTTTCAAATTGTTAAAATTGGATGCACCGAGTGGGTTACGACACTTAATACTTAATATATATACATTAACACGTGATTTCTTCAGGTCTGTCAGCATTAAGTATACAAAAAGAGTCCCGATATTTGTGCTTGTCAAAACTTGTTCAAGTTCTTAAGATCTTTCGCCGCCAAACGGCTCATAAGGTGTAATGAAAACTTAAACGTAGTCATAGGCGACACACAACAGCGGTGTTTGTGACGCTGGTCTACTCAGTAGGTCGAGTTATTAATAGGAAGTGTTGCTTGGGGTATGCGTCTTTTGTCGATGTTCCCTCGCCGCATTGACCACGTTTCAGAGTATGAGTGTCAAACGTGGTTTTTTAATGAACAACAAATACCTATCTCATTGCCGTCATCAACCGAATTCCCCGCTACCCGCTCAGAGTAATAGCAGTACTGGCAGCAGTGGATCAGCGGATTATCCAGCTGCCATCAGTAGATCGGGTCAGGAAGTACCAAGAAGTTTAGGACTGAAAACAGCATTCGTGTCAGTTAAGGACAAATACCAACATGTGGTACTACCCCCTAAGCTTCGCTTTTCTACCGCTGGGAGAAACGTTATTAGGCCAAAGTTAAATTCTTTGCTTTCAACTTCTTGATATATTGAAACACTCCTGAAATCTTTGACAATTCCGCCTTCAAACGAAGATTTGATAGTGATCACAACAGCCTTGATGAGGCACGTACAAGATGAGCCTCTTTAGTTTGTGGTTAACAAAAACCTTGACAAGAACTTTTCTGAGCAGTGTAAATCTTTTATGGCTGGACAATCGAATTTCAGAACGGAAATATGCCTAATATCCATGGTTACATCAGTTTGTTTTAGGAGCGAGAGAATGGTGGGAGATATGGCACTTATGTAAACATTGTATCTTCAATAAATGGTTTACCTAACATTGACCAACGTGTAAATACGTAAAGGCGAAAATACATTACGGTGTGAGTGCACAAACACATTAAACTACAAAGGGAAGTTTTGAAAAATAGGCTTTTGAATTAAGCTTTGGTTTCAAAAGCGGAATGAACATCAGGTTTCTTTCCTAAATATTTGTCATTGTTAAAATATTTATAAAATAGAAAGACAGTAAAATGGCCACTCCCGCATCCATCTATGTGTTTGCTCACATTTATACAACGCACATTTGGATCTCGAATTTGCAGTTTGTATACAGTAATTCGCTTTTGTATCTGCATACCAGTGTCTCAATATAATGCTCACCACATCCCGCACATGTTAACAAAGAAATAACATCTTTACTGTGGCAGTTGATGTTGTTTTTGACAGTAAATAGTTTATCTTCGGAAAGTTGAAAATTACAATCTTCAGTATTTATTGGGCAAGTTTCAAATCGAGGTGTGCGACATTTAGTAACTCTGACGGTATATGTATTTTGTGAGTATTAAGATGGATAAAGAATTTGTTTGAGATCTTTAGGCTGTCTAGTGATGTATATATGTTTACGCTTAGATGAACATTCTTTCATGGCGTTACCTTTGCTGTAAAATTGGACGATTGTCATAATTATACAGTTATTAGGATTGTAAGTACACACAAATGGAAGAATGTCCGTGTCTGTATCTGTTTCTTTTGTGACCCGTGAACATCCGGAGTAGAATAGGTTTTCGGCAACCCATGCTTGCCGTAAAATGCGACTGTGCTTTCGTAAGAGGCGACTAACGGGATCGGGTGGTCAGGCTCGCTGACTTGGTTGATGCATGTCATTGTGTTCCGATTGCGTGGATCGATGCTCATGATGTTAATCACTGGATTATCTGGTCCAGACTCGATTATTTACAGACTGCCGTCATATATCTGGGATATTGCTGAGTGCGGCGTTAAACAACAAACAAACAAAACAAACAAATATTTTCATCAATATTTCTCATGTGATTCTCATCACTTTATTTACAGCGTCTTACAATTACAGCATTATAAAATTACAACTTTAAAAGGTCTGTATATATCGACCCCAAACCCTTAACCCACACAAGCAAGCACATTCGTTCCAACACGACATAAATATGTATCAAACCCACACACTTTAAACACTGACACACCCCTGCATTAATAGAATGATATCCATACACCATTCCTTCCTTCGTCTTAATACAAATATACACAAGTAAAATATACAGTGCTATTATAACTAAGCATTAACAAACTGTCATTTCCCAAGCACACATTTTGATACAGATACACACACGCGCATATTTCCACATGAACAGTTATATTCAGTCGATACACAATAACACTTAGCTGTATATCTAGTCCTACATACAATGTCCGTCAATACCAATTAATACTTTTATACAAACATGTTTAATATAGATGAAGACAATTACATAATGAATGTGCAGAGCATAAACTAGACAAAAACAACATCAGCGATTTTCGATATACAGTCGATAGATGTTGAATTATTATGCACTTACACTCCTAAAATGTACACATCACTAATCACAGTTCGTAATGAATCACACTTTACTGTGACGTTATTCGTCAATAACATACAATCAATACAAGTCCTAATACAGTGCCAATGATTCCCATTGGAAATAACATTACGTGTCATTAATTACTAGCAATTGTCTCAATCAATCAATGTGACAATTAAATCAATATGACACTTACATTCTTATTAGAGTTCCAAAACCCAACCTTGACAAACAATGTCAACATGACAATATGCTCTGTCATAAATCTCAATGACTAATGATTCGTGGATATTGTCTATACTATACTGGTCCGCTCCCTTTCATGTTGACTTGTATGCTTCATCTAAAATGAACCGATGTTTCAATAAATATAAAAATCAAAAGAATATGTGTCCACTATCAGAGTTATCACATATTCGACTTCCTATTATTAAAATTAGTGTTACATATACTAGTGAAAACATGTACTCTTATCAGTTATGTACTGATATCTCTGAAATATTTATGCAGAAAAATGTTACTGGAATTTATACAGCCACTGGTTATTATGCTTATTAGGATGTTATTTACTTCTTTGTATTTGTAATAAGTGTTACGTACAAACGTACCATCATGCTTTCTGACATCTGTAGTTGAACCATCACCAATCGACTTTTCGACAAGTGGTTTGAACAATACTCTGAAACTAAATACATGCAAGAGATTGCATTAAGTTCGTGTTGACGAAATAGAAATAGGCGACAGACTCAGACCACGTTTTGATTAGATAACATTGGTATTGGTGTGCAACAACTAGATTTCCCAGGAGATAGACTTTAACGTTCGGATACATTCGAAAAAAACTTAAGTAATTTATTTTCAATGTAATGGTAACCACTCGACATGTCTATGTACATACCTCCTCCCATCTCTTTGTATGAGACATGATCCACCAGGCCTTTTCTTGTAAGATGCTTTCAATTTCCTGTTGTTCCCCTCGGAATATAACCGCCATTTGTTATCTTTGCCACGCCATTGCCACACGTATGAACCGGATACTTCTTTTTCAAGATTGCAAACTGACCCGTGTGTTCCTTGCGGGCAATGTTCATCGACATTGTCCATATGCGCCATTTGACCAAGAGGACAATTCAATGGCTCACTGGAAAAAAAACAATTACTAGACAATTAACCTGTCATGCCCAACAGAAGGTGCGCTCGTGTGTATCACATCCACGTGTCAATGGTTATACGTTTAAACGTTGGAGGACATCATTTGAGTTTTTAAAACATTGGGCCAGGTTTCACATGGATTTGGGTTCTACATTACATACAAGTAGGTGTCTAAAGCCACTTTGGTCATCACATAAGAACATATATACCAAACAATCCAAACCACTATTTGCTACACATACATTTTGTAAGAGCTATCAAGTCAGTGACTACCACATTAGAAGGGGCACGTGTAACTGTGATACTGAATTCAAAGTCAAAATCCCAGAAACAGTGTTAAATGTCTCACCGAATGGATACTTCATACTGTCCCCCTTCACCGAACCTGTATTCATGCATCGACGAATCCTTCCATACAACCTGGAATCCGATGGTAAACGAAGATATAACTTCATGAGAATACATTATATATCCATGCATTATGTGTGATTATTACGTAAAACATGAACTAAACATTGAAACATACCATGACTCGACCATTTCTTTTCCGTATGACTGTTCCATAGCATCCAGTGGTGGCATTTGTTTCTGATCTTTCTTGCCAATCTGGTCCTGACATTCAAGTTGTAGGTCAATTAGATCATGCATCTTAGAACTTGTAATTTATTTACGATCACGATAACGATCGTGCTGGAAGGCGAGATCTGGGGACAGGTCGATCTCAGATAATACGATGCTGAATATCAATCCTGTCCCTTTCGCGTGACTACATGCGTTATATTTCATTGATAAGAGCAAAAGCAGTAAATCCAACAACTTTCCTTGCAACGAATGCACATTGGAGTTTGTTGCCTCGTCGTGTTACATCATGGAAATACATGTTATAGAATTAGTAAAGAACCACATTTCATTGCAACATTGTCACACTATTCATTTGAGTGAAATGGATAACTCTATCAGTACATTTGCAGTATATAATTGTGTGATGATAAATGTGTTGAAAGGTTTATTGATAAATAATCATCATTTAACACACGACCGATGATCATGATTCCTACATATTTGTAAGATATCTGGCAATCACTCTGGGGAACTGACACTGACATACCTCGTTCCACCTGCATCCCGATGTCTATGGAACCCCTCTCTTTCATCACGCGAGGCTGGTCGTCAGCGATGAGGACATCATAGTTGCCGGTGACACCGTATCTGTACACGTTTTTGAAGCCATTGTCCCAAGACACCCACAGAGATTCTGTAATCATGAAAATGCAAACAGAATAAATTAACCGTATATTCATTACGTATATATCACAATAATTAATAGTCAAGGGGGAACCTGGGTTAGAGTAGGCAGTCAGGACCACGTTACACGACTTTAGAGTGTGGCTAATCCAATATTTTGCTTGTTATATTGGGATTTTGAACCACCTCCATCTTCTCCGTGATTGATAATTGTCCCAGCACCCCCATCGTCTTGGTCGTCCCACCGCCAATCAGGTCCTCGAACCACTCTCGTCCCCAGGTCAGGAAGGTCTGCCTCGATGGAGATATTGTCAAACACGTCTGTAAGTCCTAACCGTCCCTTCATCTCCGTTAATCTGTCCCTGACAATGTGGAAAATCTGTTTCTGAAAACAACAATTATGTTGAAATACAATTACCTCATGCGAATTTCTGGATATACTCTCTGTAATACAGTGGACATACAGCTGACGCTTTACAAACATAACATATATCTAACCTACATGTTCATTTGTATTTTAATTGTGACGGATACGCCTGTACATTCAGAACTTAACACACGTATTATTCAGGTGGTGATACCTTTTCTCGTGAACTGAATTCGGAGCAAATTGCTGAAACAACTGTATCCACATCTGTTGCGTCAGCTTGCTTTGTTGTTTTTTCTTTTATCATGAAATCAAGGATCTGAGCGCTGACTTTCTGAAATTACATAAACTCATGTTTATCAGAATCTTAGAATGTGTTAAAATGAATCTAAACACAGGCAACAACTTTTTATGGATATTGATTTCTGTCTCAAAACAAACTGAAAATACAATGTTATTATACAAACCTGAACCAATTGATGGTTGCAAGCTTCCCTTATACTAGCCAACACTTGTCCTTGGCACTTGCTCACATAACGGCTTAAAAAGTCCTGAATAAGAAAACAGTAGTGAAATCAGTAAGATTCAAAGTGTGACAGTATTATCAGTTTAGTGTCACTTTGAAGAATATTCCACACACAGCTAACACAGAGATCACATTAAATCTTTAATTTCTGGTTCCTCGACATTTTCTTGTCTATGTAATACAGTAAGAGAAGATTATACTTTAAACCGTACATTTATCAAGGACATCTGATACCAACCTTTTTTCCTTCGCCATATGGAACAACCTGAATTGGGCCAACTACGTTGTTCCTCACAAACGCGCTACCCATGTGTTCCAGTGCAGTGAAAAATAGTTCTGCATCCTGGTGACAAACGGACAAACGGTTTGTGCTGTATTTATCATATATTTAAAAAAACGTATAAAGCTATGGTATATAATACATTATCGACAACATACGTATTGTTGGATAGAGAATATAAGATGGTACCTACATTCGTCTTTTTCAGTTGATCAACCTTTCCAATTGTCATTCCGTCTGTCACAAATATTAGCCTAGGGGGCACCGTTGTTCTTCCACCGATGATACATACTCCACCTGGTTATCAATTGGATATCATTTACAAATGTGATTTAGAATGAAATGTATTATTTAGACTCGTTTAAGGAGACATAAGTTCTGACTATAGTGTTGCCGTCATTGCCGAGAAAAGTTGTTTACCTTTTGTCAAAGCAGCAAGACACACCAGTAAACTCTGCAGTTGGAGACATTGTTCAGACGAAACACCCCCGCATTCTACCTTATCTGAAACAAGAAAATGTACATTTTAACGTCACAACCAAATTTCTGGTCAGTAACAAAGGTCAGCGTTGAACACGACCAATTAATACCATAAATGTCAAAAGATATTTAATCAATATCACAGTTATTGTAATTCCTGAAATATCACATAGTCTAAATGACACAAACGTACACGTAAATGTACATATATATCTTGTAAATAAGCACATACGTCACATGGACCTATATTATCAGTTGATAAATGATGAAGCACCGTTGCCGTGTACAAGTGCTGAAAGCGACCATAATATGAATTATTAGAAATGTTTTCCTGATCCATTCCTGTAAGACTATTTATCGAATGGAAAAGGGTTAATATTGCATTTAAATGTCATGTCTCACCAACAGCTTCCCTTAGAGATCCAAAGTCATTTGATAAATGATGAAGCACTGTTGCTTGAGATCCAAGAGAAACCACTCCAATGTTTTCTTCAAGGGCATGCATTTCGGCCACATCCTCGATACCTAGGCGTATTAGAATTAACATTAAAAAAATTTTACTTTTGTGTCACAATAATTCGTGTGTGCTCAAAATGATCAATTGACATCTACTAAACACACTAAATTTAAAATCTAAAAGAATGTTAGGAAGTAGAATATTGAAACAAAGGGTGGATGCGGTTGGGATTGCAACAAACAAACCATTGATAAAGTCTATAGCCATCTCTTTAAGCTGAAGGTAGGACTTTCTTGGCATGGTACCAGAGTTGTCAAGACATAAAATTGTATCTGCTCCCATATCAACTCTTGGGGGCGGTTCCTTTTCTGAAACAGGTGTATAATAATTTGATAGAAGAATAATGTATTTTACTCTATTTGAGGTAGAGAAATAGACAAAGATTATGTGGACGTGCCCGCGTCTTGTAATCCGATGTGTATACCAATTCCTGGACCTCACCTTCCTTTAGTGCTTCTTCAACTGGCTCCCATAAATCCTCATTCTCACCGAGAATCTCCTTCAGCTGATACAATGTATGCATTGCAGGTCCCGCGATCTGACCATTAGGTTTGTCTTTAAATACGTCAAGATGTGATCTGAAAGACGATTTTGTTTATTATTTGTTTAAAATATGTCGCGCTGAAAGATTTTTTTCAAACGATTGTTTATTTATTCTGCTGATGTTGAAGCCTGAAACGTAGCTCATCTCCTACCTCATTATTATTCCTTTAAGTTCCTTGGGGCTTCGAGTAGAAGGACGCTTCCCTCCTACACTCGTCAACCGTGTAGGCACGACTGGATAGGGCAATCTGCTCATCATGTCTGGTGGTTTTCCCCATGGCCTGTACTTATCAACCCTTGTCCACTTCTTCTGCTGCCCATTAGGACTCTCCAGTGTATAAAGTGTTTTTCGTACATTGATTATGTGTCCGTGAATAGGACATATTACACGAGTGATGGTAAATGAACATTCAAGGTTAGCACTTCCGACACCACCTGGGTATGACTGATGCATATCAATGTCAAATTCATATCCACTATCATTGTCAGAGAAGACTGTTTCTGAAACCGAATCAGAGGAACACAATAATGGGTTACAGTTTCCTAGGTACTCAACGCCATAGCAACCGGGTGATGGGGTATCTCCCTTGTCTTCAGTCCAGAAGCTAAACGTATTCACGGAGGTTGTAGCGGGTCTAACAGCTGCTGGATTTTTCCAGCCCACGGATTTGTATTTCTTGTCTCTCCCAGTTTTGATGATGCTAACTGCAGGTTTTACTTTATCATTGCTACATGTTACTTCCCTTGCCTTCTTACCAACATCTGCAACAGTTCGTTGGTGTTCATGAAAGGTCTGTTTCTCCTGGTTACTCTGTCCTTTCCAGTTAAGAACATTATCAAATTCCGACGGTTCCATCGTCATCTGTGTCCAGTGTTGATTTGATGATTCATTTCCTTCATTTGGCTTAACTTTCACGGTATTTATGTTATGTTTTGGGTCTCTTTGCCCACATGCTCGACTCTCCACAACAGTTTGTAACGATTCACCTGTGTTTTGCATGTCCTGAATTTGTATTCCATCCTTGTTGTTATTTGTTACTTGGGACTCATGTGTCTCCTGATATTTGGAATTGGTTACGTCTGGTCGCGTTTGGTTGTTCTCTCCAAATGTGAGTTTATCATCGATTCTTTTGGTACCTCTTATGTCATCTGTAACATCATCTATAAGGTGTATCATCACGTCTTTTGTGTCTATTTTTTCTGCAATTTCATACACTGCCTGTCGAATCTCTTCATTGTGTTGTTTCTGTTTTTCGAACTGCCTGTGCAAGTATTCATTTTGATTTGATATTTCTGTGTCAATGGAACAGAATCGTTCTTCTAAGAGGTCATCCATGGCGACTGTCCCACAGACGTTCTCGATGGTTATATCTGCTTACCTGTAGGTACATGTAAGCATATGAAGTACAATTATGGTCCTATTTGTAATAATTTACATCAAGTTTAAATACTCTCCAAAAAAAGTAGAGGATATTTAAGAATAAAAGATGATTACTGAAAGAGAAAGAGGTATCGAGTGGTATTCATGAATGAGGAAAGAAGAGCAAGGTGTAACATGTCAATCAACATTACATAGTAGCGGTGTATTGTAAGGGTGCAAACAACCAAAAGAGACGACAAAGGTGTGTAATTCAAATAATCGTTAGGTCATCACATTGTAGACGACGCAAATACAAATACTGCATTCAAACAAGGGTTGAGAGCTTACGTGTTATTCTTCATAAAGAAAATCAACAAATTTAAAGGCTCAGCGGTATCACTTAAGTATCAATATCATGAATGAGACCCCTACCGACGTGCACGAAGGAATTACATGATCCACGGGCAATGTTTCGGGTGTGTTGGAACGTTACGGCTTGGTTGCGAAACCGCTCCATCTCTGGCAGACATTTTATTTTTCAAAACTGTTCTTTCTTCTGACAATTATCATTACATTTATAGTTCATGATCCCCTACTTATTTGCACTGTATATATACAGTGAATTATACATTGACCACGAAGCAAATTTGAGTTATGTCTAACTTACATCATTGACGTCATGACAACCATAGGTTTGAGATGCATTTTTGAGACGATATGAAACAATCCCTTAGTGATTATTGTAAGATAGGATGCCTTCCTTGTCAGCAATACGAGAACAAAATAGGCGTTATTTACAGTTTAGCAGATACATATATCTCATGCAAGCCTGCACGAAGTAGGTCACTTCACAACAAGGAAGTAAGAAAATACAACGAAGGCCTGAAGTAAATATCAGCCATTAGGGTTAAAAACAAGCATTAGGGAAGCGTTTGTCGTTTTAACATTTCAAATTAACAATAAGATAGATAATGTCAAAGAAATTATATATTTTACCTGAGTAATAAACATCTATTTCTAGTGCTCACATCCGCGCTGCACATGTTATGGTATTACCAGGTCATCCATAAATAGATCCAGCGTGTCGGTCTTCTCAGGTCACATTGCGAGCTGTAGTATACAGTCTAGCAGCTCATGTGATTGCATAACTATCACACACCCCAGTCGCAACTGTGTGAGCCAGTGATGCTCCAGGGGCCTTTTACTGAGGCACATGTCTGATCGAATCAGTTAAATAAGGACTTATTGTAATTCTTTCATTATCGTGTGTGTGTGTGTGTATGTGTGTGTGTGTGTGTGCGTGCGTGCGTGCGTGCGTGCGTGCGTGCGTGCGTGCGTGCGTGCGTGCGTGCGCTTGAAATAACATAAAACTGTGTGTTTTGAAGAACATCTTGGTCGTTCATAAGTTCCTCATTTCATATTTCAAGTCAAATTACCTTGTTTAACATACTACTAAATAATCTTTTACTTGACAACCCATACTGTTTATCGTATAATAGGCCTATCAAGGCCTATTGCTCAAATACTGTTTTCAGAGCTTCGGAATTTATTAAATATATGCATTAATTAATTTGTAAACGTTAATAGAACACTGTCCTGTCAGTAGAGTAGGTGGGAAATTCCAAGTTAGCGTTGGAAAATCGCAGCGACCTTTTTATATTAATGAATCATATCATCATCATTATTATTATTATTATTATTATTATTATTATTATTATTATTGTGTCCATATAATTATACTTTAAGACGGCATATGTATATGATTTATTATGTAGATTTCCACGTGTGCTACAATATATTTGTAGCACACGATGAACGTTCTAAAGTTGTTCAGAATTGTTCTTAATACATATTTCATATTCTCAAAGAGGTAACTATAATTTCACATGTCTTAAGGTTCTTGGTTTTTAACCGAGGGTCAAGTGTCATGTGTTTGGGTGGTTTGGGGACGGGGTGAAGTAACAATCTGTCCATGCTTCAAAAAATGCGTTAAATGTATTTTTCTTATTGTTTTGTATTTTGGTCTTTGGTCTATATGGAATTAACTACCTCTCCACATTGAGTAAAGGGAGTACGAATGACGCTGGCGGTTAATGCGCCGCAGTGTGCCTGTCATCGTGTGTTCAAATGCAAGAACTGCCAGGATTGTGTGTGCCTGCACCATGCCTGTTCTCGGCCTGCACTAAAGAGGCAAACTTCTGTGGCCTATCATCAAGTTATGGCCTGCAAATATTGATAAAAGAGGCGTTATGCTACACATTTGAGATTATCATGTTGTATCCTGTATCTGCCGTTTTCTCTATTTACAGTTGCTAAATATATTCCTTTTATTTCCGTCAGTGATCAGCATATATCCCCTTGGTTCCTTTGCATTGACCAGGGCGTAATACCAGGGGAGGTACGGGCTTGGAGTGAATGTTTTCAAATGTAAGAAAAAAACGTTAATATCCAGGACTTTGGTAGTAAATAACTGGCCATATGAGACACACTTCTGAAGATCCTTGTGTACATGTTTGTCTCAGTTTTAGAAGATGATTACATTGGCTCTAAGGTTACCATTATGCTGACTGTCCTTTACTGAGAAGAAGTGTTATGCCTTATTACCACCTTTCTTGGTGTGTCATACGACTATTGCTCAGAGATTGTTTGATCAAAGGTACAACATTCATGGCATCAGTGAAGCTTTCAAAAAGATTTATGGTAGACACGATGAGCACATTTCCAAGTTTTACGCATCGGTAACGAAAATGGTGTCAGGTGTGATTCCCTATTTTGACTTGTACCACATGTTTTTCATGTAAACAGTTGACTTGCCTTTGGGTGTGTTTATGACGGGTGCCACCTGTGGGGCAGAATACGCTCACCTTTCCGAGTACACCAGGTATCTTCACTCTTTGATAGAGATTCATAAACGCATGCTCATGAAGTACTCGGGATTGTACAATCGACGCTGTTTTTTTCAGATATTTCTTATGATTATGGAAAATCTTTTGTCGCTTTTATTTGGCAAAAGTGTTGTTATAAATATAAATACGTTCAACTTAGGTTTTGGTCATGACACCTACGGTAATACGACACTGTGTTGTGATAAATGAAGGGGCGACAAGCACTTGCCTCAAAATACATATACAATAGGATTCATGGGTAAATTGGTACCGTGATAACAACATATACTTTCTTCTGGATTAATATCTCATTTATTCGGTAATAGTTCAAATAAATGTTGGTTAGTTCCATCATCTAATTAACACATTTTTATGATTGTTTCAGTATCGTTCCGTTGGACTTTTCAGCAATATTTCCGACTACATCTATCCATTTTTTCTCTCTTGTAAATTGCCTTGTTCTCCTTCTTGTTGCCTATCTGTTTCAAACCACGGGCAGCCATAACTTTAATTGTGTTACTTAGATATTTCCATGATCAGTCAACAAAACTGTTAACGTTTTAAACTGTCTATGTCAATTAGATTTTCAAAGATAAAGGCTGTTACTGAGACTTTGTCTGTTACAGTTGAAGTCAGTGTAGAGTTTCAACTGGTATCATGATAAAATATAGACGCGTTTCATTTATTGGTCGTCGATTTGGGAATCGAAAAACCAAAATGTAAATTTTATAAATAAAAAACCGTTTTCACTTCTGTTCGTATCTCAATTAACCGTAAACTATAAACAATCAATCCTTATAAACAAATTCACTAAAAGTGTTAGTAATAAATGTCAGAAATAATCTTCAAAATATGCTGATGATATGCGAATACAACTGATGGTGTTTGAATATGTAGATAACATACGATGAAAACTATTTGCAAACACTCAGTCTATAATACCTATGTTATAGCCTATTCTTGGATACACATTGAAAGCAGGTGAACTGAACAAATTCTTAAACGATTTAAATGAACCCAGAGTCCCCTCTTCATGGCCTCACCTATACATTTCAGTTGATTTCTACATCTTTCATGATTTATCATAATCATAAATAGCTCTTGTCAGTAAATGATGTCACACTAGGACAAACCATGTGACGTGAGCATAACAATGTTAATGTTAATACAATGTTACATGACGTATATAGAATTCCTGTACGAGGCATGGCCAACATAGTTTCATTGAGTTAAGGAAACAGAAATCTGCCTGTTTGGTCAGTCAAATGTCTTTATGTATTTAGATACACGTAACAGTACACTGTAACAGTAACGGTAACAGCAAAGTTGACATAAAAGTGCAATAACACATTAGGTCATCAGTTTATGAGGTTAAACTCATAAACTGCATCAAAATGTAAAAATGAAATGTAGGTTATGTAATGAATTTAATGAGACTGTCCAACACATTGTCAGTGGATGCCCAGCTTTGGCACAAACACAGTATCTCAAACGACATAATGGTGTAGCTCGATCATTCTATTACCGTCTTCGCCATGCTTGTGGTTTTGACACAGAGGTCCACCCATGGTACGACCCAGAATATGTAGAGGGCGTCGTGGAAAATGATAAATAAAAAATTCTTTGGAATAGGCCCATTTACAGCCTTATACGTATCCAGGCCAACAAACCTGATCTTGTCCTTTTTGATAAATCCAATGAAATCATTTATATCATTTAATTTTCAGTCCCCTTTGATACTAATGTGATTGACAAGATTGAGGAAAAACATGGCAAATATGCGGACCTCGCTTTCAAAATGTCACGCTTGCATCCCAAGTACCATGTTGTCCGACTCCTGATTGTTCTCGGTGCGTTAGGTTTGGTACCTCCCAATCTGTTGACTGACATTGGGAGAGTACCAGAGTTTGCTACAAGGAATACAGCCCTTCTGACAATCTGGGTAATGTAGAAGGCAGCAGTGTTGGGGAGTCGTCACATTCTCCGAAAGGTTCTGGGTGGGTTTGACTTGGCAGCGCTTCCTGGGAGAAGTCCCATTCGCTGTCTGGGCTGCATGTAGAGGGGGCAAGGGCCCTGAGCTGATGACGAGTCTAACCAGTCTGACTGTGCCAGGATCACCCAAACCCTCTTTGCTGCCTTTTTTATTTTAATCTGCAAATAATAATTATAATAATAATAATAATAGATGTTTAAAGCGCCTAATATTCAACCAATGCTGCCCAGTGGTGCTGTTACGTAAATGTGTTGAAAAAGCAGAGGACTGGAATAAACAATTATAATGTGATAGCCCCATGAAAAAGTTTTGTTTTCAAATGTCTCCTCAATTCACCAAGGGACCGTTACAATAATGTAATTATCTCTGATCATCGATTATGTGGTAGGGCGCTACAGCTGCACACATATGCTGAATGCGTTCCAGTTACATCCACGTCCATCTCCCACATTCGAGTGTTGATGTAAGACCAATCTGTTGTTCAAGCTCCGCGGAACTCATCGCTGCAAAATAAAAAATAACACCTTTAAAGAATACATGGCAGTCGATGATCGAAGCGTAATAGTGCCACAGTCTTTTTTCATGAAAGTATTATCTACGTAGATTATACGTACATCTACGTAAATGATACATAATCTACGTAGAAGATACATAATCTTCTTAGATGATACTTCCATGTCCGCATGAGATATTTTAATTGAAGTATCGTTACGACCCTGGTTTATACTAACATTAATATTTTAGATAAAGGTGATTACTTAATTACTGCAAATTTAATTAAGTGTTCGGCCTTTTCCGTATGTTTACAACATACTGAGATTATTTCAATTGTCAAACTGTCAGCGCTAAAACAAAAACACAAACTGCAGAATTGTACTCTCAGTGCTTCATAGGATGATGACCAGTATATATTGTTTGATAGTTTTTATAATTTGAGAGATTCTCATCCCTTCACATTCACGTTTTACTTCAACATATTCGAGGGGTTAACATATATTATCGCTAACATTTTGAATAATGACCTATAGTTGTTTGTTTGCTTATTTGGACTTTGGAGAACAGTTTGTCGTCTCGTCTCTTTATTTCGGTTGTAAGAGAGTGTGGCGTGTGCCAGTAACTTCGACTTATTGAAGATTTACTTTATGCAATGTTCAGAAAGGTAGAAAGTCAAACAAATAGGTCATTATTAAATAAATCAGAGGTTATATAAAACTGACTCGGAACTGGTGTCGATTACGCGAGAAAATATTGTTACCTAAGTCGATAATTTGATTGTAGATGATACTTTTTTTCTACGCACATTATTATCTTCTACGTAGATGTGAGTAGTATCATCTGCAAAGATGAAAGTATCATCTACGTAAATGTAACTATCATGATGATATTTGTTTAGACTGTGGCACTAATACGCTTCCATAGTCGATGGCTGGTACTCAGGTACATGGACAAACAAAAACAAAAGTTTAATGGTTCAACACAATTCAAAGACCTTTAATGGACTTTATATCCAATACCTGTACTGGAAATTATCACTCACCGATTCTTTGAACGTCACGTTTACGCCCCCTACTTGTAGGCTTTTCAGACATTGGGGGATTGAACAGAACACGGAAACTGTCAAAACAGATCATGAACATCAGTTACAGTCAAACAGTTAAATCCTTATACATGCTTCGTATTTAGTTTAACGAACTTCATATGTAAGATGTTCATTCCATCACATCTGCTCTTCATACACTAGCCAGTGTAATAACAACTCATAGGAGAGCATTACATTCTCATTTATATGTGCCATGATACCACCGTACTACACGCTACAATACAACATTTTGCTGCATCTGTACGTAAATTCTGACCACTTTTCTTTGCAACGCGCTACAATACAACATTTTGCTGCATCTGTACGTTAATTCTGACCACTTTTCCCTGCAACGCGCTACATTACAACATTTTGCTGCATCTGTACGTTAATTCTGACCACTTTTCCCTGCAACACGCTACATTACAACATTTTGCTGCATCTGTACGTTAATTCTGACCACTTTTCCCTGCAACGCGCTACATTACAACATTTAGCTGCATCTGTACGTTAATTCTGACCACTTTTCTTTGCAACACGCTACATTACTACGTTTTGCTGCACGTGTACCTTACCTCTGACCACCTTTCTCTACAACACAGGATCTGGCTCTCTGTCTCTGGTATTCTTTTTCCAGTTTTTCTACCTGCATCTTTGTGTATAACCTCCAGTCACTGTTATCATCCTTCCACTGCCAGATAATGTGTGGTTTCGCTTTTGTCACCATAGCCAGCTTTGTTTCTTTGTTATCTGCGCGATAGGTGTACGTTAAAGGTGCACCCTTTTTCTGCCTTATATGATTAGTGATTGACTCTTATCCAAAAACTAGGACATCGCCACAGCAATTACAATTGGTATTTATTTTTAATCCTATCAACATTAACTTACCATTACTATTGTCAGGAACAGTTGTTGCTGGTGATTCCGGGGATGCTAAGGCTCCTGCTGGACCACCTCCGTCCTCCAAACTGCACATATACATATATGCACACAAAGGAATGCGTGGTACACACATGTTAAAGAAATCAATGGTCACAGCGATTGGATAAAGATATTCATAAAATCCTTACCGGATTTCTAAGTCAAATCTGCCATCGCATCCAAAGTTGTACGAACTGATGTGACCATTATCCCATCTCACCTTATAAATAAAATGAAAAAATGACTAAATCGTAAAGATATCACTGTGTTTGTAGTAGCATAAGTTGTACCCTATGAATCAAATGCTACAGCATATGGTATCAAGAGTGACATAGATAAAAAGAAATATGCAAAATTTACAAAAGTTACAAAATAATGTTTTAAGGAGTGAAAACTTATATAATGTTCTACTTTAAATACTTTAGCGAAGTTTTGTTTTATGTATTGTGGCTGAAATGTGAATGAAATACAACATTACAAATTCACGTACCTTTACTTTCCCATCCCCGCGCGCTCGTATGACAATTCCAAATGCGCCTGGTCCACCATCCTCATTTCCATATGACCAGTCGACTCCTGTCAAATAAATTGTGGTACAGTGCCTCATTCATTCATTCATTCATTCATTCATTCATTTAGAAGGTGGGTCTCTTTATATTTTCTTTACAACATCCAGTATGAATATATGATATCAGAATATTACACTATGACGATACCTCTTTTGACTTTAACACCTATCTCTATGAGTTCTGCAGCTGAAAGTTGCCTTGCCTTGTCAATCAAGAGAACTTCATACATTTCATCATATCCATATCTATACTGATAGACTCGGTCGCCATTCAAGTCCCATTCCACCCACAGTAGCTCTGAAATTACAATATGGATTTACGTCTTCATTCGACAGTAAAGTCTGGTATTGACTCTACATTACAGAATGTGACTCTATATTGTTCGTGTTATCTGTACGCAAGTGTCTTCAATGTTATTCTTTTTTTCTTTTGAATCAACAAAATATGTATAATTGAATGCAATTAATAAAATGTAATATTACCTGTGGGCGTCGGTTCGAAAAACCATTACAAGGTAAGATCAATTTCTTCCTAGTGATTATTATTATACAGGTACATTTACAAAAACGTTTTCACATAAACGTACGGGGATCATTCGCATGATTAATAATAGTCCCGGGTCCCTCGACATCTTCGTCCTGTCTATTCCAGTCAGGTCCTCGTCGTACTCTGGACCCAAGGGGAGGTAACCCATCGCGTTCTAACACGTTGTCAAAATCACTCGGACCATCATCAGGAAGAAGTCCCCGCCCTTCCAGCTTGTCTTGCACAGCTTGAATAACGAATTCCTGAAAGTGTTGATACAAACTATGTGCCAGAAGGATCGGCATATATTCATCGCAACTCTACAAAGTGAAAAGAGACATTATTACAGTTACATATAAGCAAATAAATGAATTTTGGTGGGATACAATCTCTTGGCGATAATCACCAAGTCATCAGTAACTGTGCTGGCAATTTCCTGATACATCTATTTTCACTTTATTGTAAGTGACGATCCGTGTTAGAATAGGTCTCCAGTAACCCATGCTTGCCGTAAAAGGCGACTATGCTTGTCGAAAGAGGCGACTAACGGGATTGGGTGGTCAGGTACGCTTACTTGGTTGTTGCATATAATCGTATCCCAATTAGGTAGATCGATGCTCATGGTGTCAATCACTCGATTCTCTGGTCAAAACCCGATTATTTACAAACCGCCGTCATATATCTGGATTCTGGAATGCTTGCAGCGTTAAACAACAAACGAACAAACAAATGTAAGTGCGTCACCTTAACAGTTTTTGTATAAAGCAAACTGCTTGGAATATTCAGACGAACAAACCTTCTCCTCTTTACTCATGTCAGCTGTAAGTGCTTCAGTGACTGTTTCGTTGTACTGAGATGAGTTGTCTTCGTCATAGCTTGCCAAACAGGTCAGTATTTGAGCAATGGTCATCTGAAAAGGGTGCTACACTTACACTGTATTTTAAACAAATGTGTCATTCTGATATACATGTGTTATAAGGTGGTGCTTATAATGTACACAGTTTTTGTAGACATTAAGATTATCTCCAAACAGGTAAATCACTAGATCATAGAAGTCGATCTATACTAGCCACAACAAGAAACTGTGCACATAGGGAATCAAAATATATATTTGAACTTCATGTGTACACGAATACAGATGTAAACACACTAATTAGTTAATTGAACTGAACACATATGCGTGTGCTACGTTTCTCGACGTCAGTGGTTTCGGTATGTTTTGTACACGTGCATCTCGATAAACTGCGGGGAGCACATGAATGCCGGATTTCCCGTAGTGACGGACAATAACGTATCTACAGACGTCATGGGGAGCGTTATGCTCAAGCCTGTCTTATGGAGAGGAATCGCTTTGGGGGTGGTTCCGTGATGATTTGGGGTGGGATACGTGCACGTCAGAGAACCCCTTTAATGGTTGTACAGGGCAATTTGGCAGGTGTGGGTTACAGAGTTCAAATTCCAAGACTAGTGGCAATTCCAACATGATAATGCCCGTCCTCACACAGCCAGGGTTGCTGTGGCTTATCTTCAACAACAATATGTTCAAGTACCGCCTTGGTATGCAAATTCACCGTCTCTCTCCCCTATAGTGCATGTGTGGTATGAAATGGAGCGACGTCTACGCCGTGTACCAAATCCGTCAGATAGCGTTGTGATTTGGAGTTGCAGAGAATATGGCAAGCCATTCTGTAGGCCCTCCGTGCCAATTTGATAGACTCTATGCGTCGGCGATGCACTGTTATCGCTGCTCATGATAAGCATACCCGCTATTGAGTTTGTAACATTGTTGCCTGACCCCTGTCCCGCATTTGGACGTCAATGTCATGAACATTAAAGATGCTTTTCTACCGTTTTCTTATTATATCAAGATCCATCTATTACAATTTACATGGAAACTTTTCATCGAGTGTTATTTTCAAACTTTAGAAAGAATTTTAACAATGCCGAGTTTCTTTTTGTGGGTGGTACCGTACTATTCAAACAACTTTGGTACAGACGGTTGAGACACCTTATTGAGAACAAAGTCCTGCCTGATAATGTTATGTCAGATGTAATAGATGACAAGAAAAGTTAAGCTTAACTCGAGGATCACCAACCGGTTGTCTTATTCCGCCCGATTTGTTTTTCCCTGTAAGTATACCCCATCAATGACAACTGATATTCATAAACACGGACAGTATTTTGATATCTTAGTTGGATAACCGAACAACAAACCGCAATGTGTTCATCTTAATTGAAGAAATACTGACATGCAAAGAAGTTTGTAGATTATTTATGATATACTTTTGCAAGTTGCTTGTGACTTTAAACAGTTACCAGAACGATACCAACAGTTCCTCGTTCTTATCTCAATGCAAAGCAAACCTGGTTTTAGTTTATGAGGATCCACAGAATCAATTGGCCTTTTCACAAAGGTTGGATCGTAGGAAAGCACATTTGTAGCATATATACAAAAGAGAAGGGAACATTTGTACACACATCTTTTGAAAAACCAAATCTGCGGCGTTGAAAAACAAAAAAAGACTGCTTGAATGAAATACAAAAATGAAAACAAACTGGGTGTAAGAATATGTGTCTTGAAACAACACATTTTGTGCTACATCATAAGCCATACTTATATTTGTTATACGTTTAAATATCCCCAACATGTCATTGTTTGTGAAAATAAAAGATAGTAAAATAGTATACAATGTCGAAAGACGACTATTTTTAAAGGACTAATGTCTTGTATCAGAGTGGTCAGGTCGCGAGAACACATTTACGCAAACAAACCTAAAGCTAAGCACAACATTGTAAACATCGATATGTCACATAAATATTACGTTTCTATCCTAAATCTGTGTGGATTAAAATAGACTAAATCATTGATAGCATCAGAGTAATAGGGATTTTACCATTATCATCTAGACGCGACGGTCATATGACAGATAATGCGGACGATACTGACCATTATTTAATTACCCGGTTAAGTTCTTTTGTAATCTCAGAACAAGTGACTAAGAGATGATGAAAATGCGAACGTTTGATCAACGTCCTACTATACAGATAATGGGGAAATCGGATTCCTGGGATGTTAAGGGAACATGTGGCAGATGCATTGCATATGTGGCAATCTAGGGGCGATTCAAGTCGAGGTTCTAAGTTATGACACTTTTACTGCCATGATCGCTGACAAAGGAGGGTTCAGATTAATCCAGCTTCGCCTTGATTGTGACCCTTGGCTTCTCAGCATTGTGGCAGTGCTTGTGGGTTTCACATATGTGGTAAACGACCTTTTCTCCTACGTTTTAAGATTGGAGTCAATTTAAATATTACTTTCCTACCTGCTCACTCATTCATTCATGTTTGGTCACAAAAGGCTAAAATACAATACGTTCAATAAGAAGTTGTCATCACTACTTTATAGCGTAGTACTACCGTACCACGTAGTAAGATCTTTTGTTTTACCTGTAACCTGTTGTAACTGCACACACTGCTGATGCCCTTCCCTTCTACGAGCTCTTGCTTTCCAAGTTTCGCCAAGGAGCACATGTATTGCTGAAGGAAAACATTGATCGTACATGCGCATGTATTTGAGTTGCCATCTGAGTTATCGAAACAAGCATTCACAATAATCAAGCTGTATTCCTCTTAATGATATGAATGTGCTTGATATGATAGGGATCAAATATGCGAGTGCTCTAGAGCTTTTTACCATTAAGGTATTCACTGTATAATGGGGCACTTCCGGTTAAATCTACTACAATTACAAAATACATACCCCTGTTCGGTGATTTCGAATTTTGTAGAGCGGGTGAAGAGGGATGTAGATAATAATATAGATTATGTTTAATAATTTTCAACATTGTCCATTTTACAGGGGATACCTTAACATGACGTTTGTAATGTAACTATAATCATCTGTAGAAACGTTATTGTAGCTTAAATTGTCAGTGCGGGCCCAAAACAATTACCACACATGAAGATGTAGCTCTATGAAATACATATTATACATGAAATTTTCGAACATTTGCATTCTCATATTACTTAATTAACATGTTGTAAGGCTATCCGTAAACAAGTTCCTTAATCTCCATATTATGACGCTGAATTGGTAAAACAACCATTACTGACACCAGTTATAAAGATAAAGATAATCGTAAAGATAATGAGGGGCATTACCGAAAAAAGTTTTATACCTTATCGGCTCTCCCTACAGGTACCCATGTTACTGGGTGTACAACGCTCTTGTGTTCTGCCATGTTTTTAGTCAGACGAAGAAGCTGAACCCTGAGCTGTAAATATATGGACAAGATATGGAAAGTAACAATAGCATTCTTTACTATTCACACAGTGATGCCGAACGAAAGTTCAACGCTATCAAGCAAATAGCGATAAACAATGCAATGATCTTTTATGCTTACAGAGTAATCGGGCACAACAGAATCCTGCCCTTCTCGTTGATCCTCTTCTGTAGAATAACCATCTGTCATGAAGATGATTCTGGGCTTTAACGTGTGAATCCCGAAAGGGTGTAGAATACAACCTGTTAGAACATTAAAAGATTTACTATTTTCCTTTTTTATGTCAATGACATAAACATTTCAAAACCCTTCAAACATCTGTAACTTAATTAGGTCAAAGACAAAAGAAAAACGGCAAATAATAAATAAAAGTCGTATATTGTTTACCAAGCAGACACTAAAAATGTATTCAAACTATGCACACGTGTATCAGGGACAAGCCCACATAAAAACATGATATAAGATGGTATGTATCTACCTCTCCCTTCGATCGATGCCGCGGATACCACGAGACCTTCAAACAGTGGGCTGAAACCGCCGAGTACCAGGTTATCTGAGACATGATGAATGGGAATTTATTGAAGTTAAACTGAGTATTTTCATACTTGTGGAGAACATTTAGTTTTTGCAGTCAGAATGAATTTGGCGTCCATTGCAATTAATATGTTTTACTTACGTTGTGAGGAGAATATTTCATAAGGAGGAAATAAAGTGGACATTACCACACGTATTCATCCTCATTTACGTGCCCATTCGTTGTACATTGAATGCATTAAATGTTATCAAGCAATAATAATAATAATAATAATAATAATAGCACAACACCGATTAGCGTTAAAACCTGTTACCTGTTAAAACTTGTATTATTTACATTCATCATAAAATGCTTCTTCAGCAAAAAGGTAAAATTTTAATCTGTTCTCCTTTGTGATACAAACGTAAGGCATTTAAGAAGGACTTTTAAGTATTTCTCTGTTAATATGAAATCAATAATTCCTGTTGAGCAAATATAGCTGTCGATTAAAGTGGGTCTTTAAAAGTAAACAAAAGTAATTTATGGTACATATTCGATATTTGATTAATGGTTGGTTGGTTGGTTGGTTTGTTGTTTAACGCCGCACTCAGCAATATTCCAGCAATATGACGGCGGTCTGTAAATAATCGAGTCTGGACCAGACAATCCAGTGACTAATATAATGAGCATCGATCCACGCAATTGGGATCGATGAAATGCATCAACCAAGTCAGAGAGCCTGACCACCCGATCCCGTTAGTCGCCTTTTACGGCAAGCATGGGTTGCTGAAGACCTATTCTATCCCGGAATCTTCACGGGTCTGTTTGATTAATGAGTAGTGACCATATGTCATGCTTATAAGTCATGACACAATATTCTTTAATTATACATATACATAACTATGACATACTAATACAATTATTCAAGGTACCAGAGACCAAACTTAACTAATGCCCCTTCCCCTTTTTCGTAACGGTGTTTCTATTCTACTAAGGTCATGTCATCGATCACGCACTCGTGAAGATCTGGGTAAAAATTGGTCATCAGTTACCCATCATTGTCGTAAGATGCAACTAACGAGATCGGTTGATCAGGCTCGCTGACTCGGTTGATGCAAGTCATCGTATCCCAATTACGTGGAACGATGTCAATTACTGGATTATCTGGTCCAGACTCCATTATTTACAGACCGCCGTCCATAGTTTGAATATTGTTGAATGCGGCGTTAAACAACAAACAAACAACGATCGTGTATTCTACCTATTGCATCCCGGACAGCACCATAGTCGTTGGTAAGATCTTGAACCACAGACGCGTCTCCACCAACTTTCACCACTCCAAGGTTCTCCTCCAGTCCAAACCGTTCAGCCATTGTCTCTATACCTGCAATAGTTAACTTGGACGTGGAAGTGTGGTCCATTATTCAAAACAGATATTACATAGGCTTATTTCATTTAGTAACATTATTTGCTGATGTAATGATAGTATATCGCAATATGTACCATCGATGAAGTTGTAGGCGATCTTCTTGAGTTGCTCCAGACCCTGGGCTCCTATACTTTCAGAGACATCAAGGCACAAGACAGTTGATACGGAGTCCGTTCGCGGTGGCGATGGCTTTGCTGGATTGAAAAAAAAACCCACCGAAATAGCACTTGGAACGATGGGACAAGCTCTTACCAAAAAAACAACAACAACATTTGTTGCATACTTTTGAGAATATTAATGTGACTCTCTGACGTAGAAACAATTATATATACATGTCATGTGGAATATACTGTTATTGTTTGTATCACTAAGCAAGAGAAAGAGTGATTTGAACATCGTAATATTGCAATCGAAAATCCTGCCAAAACTCCATACCAGGTTCTAAAGCTAGCGCTGTGGAGGCCGTTAACCGTGTCCATCCATCCGGATTGATGTTTAGAGCTCTGAGAACTTCCTGGGCCTTTAAATAATTCTCTGTTATATGGAAAACAATCATTCATAGTGAGCAAACATGTTTGTTGATCAACGTAAGCCTTTAAAATTAAAATAAAAGTAATTCAAAAGACATATTTGATAAATGAATATTGACCATACATCATGCTTATAAGTCATACCACAATATACATTCGTGAAATAACTATTATTCTCGGAATATGTTAAGCATATTTAAGCAATTGCTTCACTTACTGCTGATGATTTCACTTGGTGATTGGCTTTGCTCAAAGCACTTGTCACTGAAATACATGATAAAAATACCTCATTTATTACAAAGCATTCTATTTTCTGGTTGGTATTAACTTATTCTGTGTTATTTTAGGTCCTTTGACTTGAAGCGTTGTTCACGACGATAGCCACAGTCTTTCTTGCCACTATACAGTTACATCATTAAACAATATTCAACTACTCTCTCACATAGCATTGAGGTTCATGTATATCCTGTTTAAAGTAGTTCCACTTGTGACGTTCCGTCGTGATACTGCATAAGTAAATTATATATCTGTTGTAAGATGATGACAAAGGAACCCTCTGGAGTAAAAAAAGGGGCTATCAAGTCTAAACGTTGTTTGCTTCATGTGTAACTGTGGACGCAGTGTGCAAACTAAGTATGTCAATGTTGTATTTTTGTTTTTTTGTCTTCATAGATTTAGTTTCTACTTATATACTAAGCGAGGTGTGGTGAAACGTTGCGTTTCAGATTATTGTACATATAAAACGACGTACATGCACTTTTGTGTGGCTGCTTGCACTCGGACTTACACCTTGGCGGTTTTATAGTGTCATCCTTCTGAGATACCACACCATGGTTTAAGATTAATGCCCCATTCATTCGGATACATTATACTGACCCCCAGCCAGCCAGTCGTTATTTCCTTAACGCCTAGCGCCAGGCAGGGTAAGAGGAAGAATTATCTTAAGATTTGAGTAATAGCGTTCATGCGTATTTGTGTGTGTGTGTGTGTGTGTGTGTGTGTGTGTGTGTGTGTGTGTGTGTGTGTGTGTGTGTGTGTGTGTGTGTGTCTGTCTGTCTGTCTGTCTGAGTGTATGCACTGTTATAGAATATGTACTTACACCGCCGCATTGACAAGGGATGCGTCCTGCTCCTGTTGTTGTTCAACACCTGCTCCTTCACATGCACTACGCTGATCCAAGGTACACCCGTACCCACATGTTTGACCATTTGGCTGCTCTGCTTGTACATGTAACTTTTGGTCTTTAGTTTTACTGGTATTTCCTTCTTGATCTGAGAGAGTGTATAGTGAAACATGTTGTTCCCCGTTAATGTCCAAAGCTATTTTCTGTACTACATTCTTAATGTGGGCACAATCCTTCAAGATTGCATTGTTCACAACATTTTCAAGATTTCTGAAGTGGCAGAATATGTTTTGATCCATTCGTCTTTCAAATTCTTGGAGTTGCCGATGACTTCCTGTTGCAATAAGGGTTGACAATAATATTTCAATTTATAAAGGAAAACATTGTTGTATTAATACAGCGGAATGAAGCCAAATCAGAATACAAAAACAAGCTAACGTACCTGGTGTTTCTTGCTTGATCTCACTATCAACTTGTCGTTTAGTTTCACCATTTCTGAAGTTATTAAATAAGAGTAAGTAACTAAGGATTTATAAAACATATCGTTAACTCGAACTTGAAGGGGTGATTCTAAATTTAAAATGATAGTTTGAAAGACACTTCATTTAAATTCGTATACACACATTTAAATACATATTTACAACAACAACACAATTCTTACTCGTCTAATAGGACATCAACAGTAAACTGCGGTAGCATTGTACTTCCTCCATGAAGAAGTATTTTGAATTTTTGTACAACAGTTCTTTTATCTGTGACCATCTTTTTCTCAGACTCAAGTTGTTTATGTCCGAATACAAACGTGTAATCACTGAGAATGTAGAGTAGCTCGGCATCATATTCATCTTTAGCTTCATTAACAAAACGATGCACACGGGTAAAGGCTGCTTCTCCTAGTTGTCTTGCTACTTCACAGTTCATACATGATGTGTGTACTTTCCATTTTGTGGAGCGAGTGTGATTCTGATCTCCGCCCTCGACTCTCCAGACGACCCGTAATATAGGCACACAGGGACCAATATCTGCAAACAGGAATACACCGACCACTGCATTCAATAAAGATGTTGTGTTCACGTGATTCCAGATGTGTGATGTGACAAGGTAACGTTATGTGTATCGTTATCAATGTGTTTACCATAATCCTCAACATCCAAGGGTAAATTGCACCAAAATGAGATGATGAGTTAAAACGCATTGAACCATTTGTGCAGGCTACCTAGGGAACATATCGCATTTTATCATTGTTACCTGAACCAACATTCAAGGCTTTCCAGAAATTTGTGGTGATGATTAGGTCATAAGTAAAAGTTCTTTTCTGTTCTTGACATTGAGCAATGGTGTTGTGTTGACTGGCACTGGTCATGTCATCAAATCTTCGGTCTCAACCTTCATCAAACAGACATATCTGGCGCTGAAGGTGTCTAATTCTAAGGTCTCTAAGGTCTGAATTTGTCTGAAATGATAGACAGTTGAGGATAGAAAGAGTCATCACTTTGTCTCCGTTGTTAGTAGGACCGCCTATATGACTTTATGAATCTCTATCGAGCAGAATCAGTGAATATAGTCTTTGGTAACTAACCATCGAAAAATCATTGCGATTACGCAGTTTTGCCTGATATATTTTAACCATCAACTCATCAACACAGGTGACTAAGATCACTATTGCAGCTAGTGCTTGTTAGTCATCAGACTTCACTCATCGTTCTAATGCTGGCTGGTGCAAGGATTCGCTACGTGTATGTGTGCGGAGTTGTTAGTCTGTGACATTCGCCTAAGGAATAACACGCTTTGGTGTTTACGTTATCTTACAAAACACGCTTTGGTGTTTACGTTATCTTACAATGTAAACCTCGGTTAATGTCGAATACACGTAATTATTACAGGTACGAGGAGGAACACAATGCATACTTTACCCTGGACTGAGGAAGAACCGGTCACATAAAACAGCCGTCTCACTATAAACCTGTGATAATAATCCTCAACAACGCCAATGTCTCTTGCCACTAACGACGGAGGACAACCAGGAAGTAGTGTTCAGCTGTACAATGTACATTGCCCCGGAAAGCTTGTGATAGTGATATGACTTGCTCGTGTGAACATGAAAGAAGTAGTGTATTTGGCTGCTTTCGTGCAACAGAAGAAAATAATGTTTTGTTAGTTCAACATCAGTTCCATTTATAGCATGGGTATATAAGGCAGACAAGGGTGTATGAGGAACATTCTAACATAATAGAGCATCTAACGGATTTTCATTAACATACATGTAGGTCCGTACATTGAATAGTTGAGGAGGTCATCCATGAAAGGTATATCTATATCTCCAAAGGTACATATATTGACTGCTAGAACAAGTTGATACTGTTACATTTTACAGCGAATAGAACAGACAAATCAGTTAATTCTACCTTAAGAAAATGTAAACAAGAAGAGCTAACCATTTCGACTAGTTAGGAACCGTTTCATTTCTCAATGATTATAATTATGCATCTACTGATATCTGTGCGATATCAACATATGAAAGGTTATGTCACATTCAATATTTTACCTGATCCCGCAGCCTCGTGAAACGAAAACAAATTTTCCTTCCCTCAGTCAGCCCTCAAATGTATGTCAGTTGTGTCTTTCTTCCTGGTTCACCTGTATCAGTGTACAGTACAGCCTCATCAGGCGTAATAGGGAACAACCCAGTGGAGGTATGTCACGTAACACGTCTCATGCCTTTCAGTCCATGTGATATCATCGCGTCATTTAAAGCAATCTTGACGCAAGTATATTTCGAATCGTAGAAATATATGCACAGTGAACTTCATATACTATATTGTTGTAATGCTTCTTGAACAATTTACTGTGTATACTATTTCATGGAGTATGTAAAATCCCCAAGTATGACTTTTGTATCCGAAGGTAATGCAATAATGCAGGTGTAACAAAAGTAGGTCACCAGTGGTGACTGCCAGGGTGTCGTTCAGTGTGACTGTCGGGCGTGTTTTGGTGTAGTGTTTCCATATGCCAGTGAGACACCGAATTCACCGAAGATATGCTGAAGTTAAGGCATGGTTTTGTGCTCCACAATTAATAGAATAATTCGGCTTCCTGAATGCATACGTGCAGAATGTTGATCCCCGGATGTAGTTTGACATGTTGAACAAGGAAAATCATTTAGACTCTCAATGTCTCCATGTCTCAAAACACAAAAGTGAAATAAGAGTACGAGGTCCCCGTTGACCCGATCGCCGATAGGCTGCAATGTGCACGATATTGCACCTGACAGGTCATCTTTCATTACAGACATGTGAGTTTAGCTGAGGTGACCAAAATGTGTGATTAAACCATTTTGTGTTGTGGTTTGTGTGTGTAGTTTCTCTTTTTGCTTTGTAAGTAACTACAAAGGCATATACCTGCATTTACTTACAATAAAAGTTGTTGTTTGCAGTTGATTAGTAAATATTATAATCAGGATAAATCCTAATTATATCTGAATTAAAGTTATATCCAGTAATATTCCAGCTATACAACGACGATCTGTAAATAATAGAGTCTGGCCAGGACACACATGTGCCCTTAAGAGTGAGCACCGTCCCACGCTGTTGGGGTGAGATGACATGAATTCAACCAGGTCACCGATATAGTCGCCTCCTACGATAAACAATGGAGAGCTGGGGACCTATTCACTATGGTCTAACCAGACGATCTGAATTCAAACGTCGATAACAGGATTGGTGCCTTTCCTATTGATATGTACAAGCATCAGTATGGGCAAAGTAATAGGTGCGGGATAAATAGTGTGTTTACTGTGTTTACTGTGTTTAGTGTGTTTTATCTATCAAAATGTTTTATTTCAGCCATTAGGGCTGTTAGATAGCTCAGTTGTTATAAGCGTTCGCTCGTCACACCGAAGACCAGGATTCAAGTCACCACACGGTTACAATGTGTTAAGCCCTTTTCTGGTGTCCCCGGCCGTGATAAAACCATACTCACCCACTCACTATTTCAGCCAATACCAGGATAACACACAAATAATGTTATAAAAACATGTTTATCATCAACTAATTGCACACACTACATTACTTATTAAGACGAAATTCACATTGGTACAAGACAACATATACAATAAAACTGGTATGTTCAATATTTCATTGACAATGTTCAAAACTCCACTTCGTAAATAAAATAAAGTTTAAGAAAATGAAATCATTTTCAAATACAAACAAAAAGAACTTCAGATGTGATCAAAGAATATTCACATGTAAGTACATTGCATGTGCGCAAATGAAATGTGTACTTTGATCGCACGTAGTCTCCGAAGGTGTTAAAGGTATACGCAATGTTTGCTAACATGGTAATTGTTGTAGTGAAGATTTCCTGGGTTACTTTTCCATTGTTGTCCTTTTGTGTTGACTTAAGCATTGCAATGCAACACAATTTCAGAAAATCAAGCTTCAAATTATCAAACAACAAGAAAGCCTTCGTTCATATTCTCATTGTCCTTTTAAATCTCTAAGTTCCACATGGCTCACAGCTGAAGATAAACAGAACAAAGTTAAGTTAGTTGCGAATGCTCAAACATACATTTGTTATATTTTTGTTAATTTCGTGACATTTTATATGTACAATTCCAGTAATTATACACTTTGAAAATACAAGCTGATTATATAATGTATATCAAGTTAAACAGGGTTAATCATTGAGCAAATGTAAGACAATAAATAAAAAGGAAGACCAAAATTTGTAAAAATGTCCAATTTTAATGATATAATATTGATACAATTCCCGCTGGAAAGTTGGAATTCGTCTTGTGATTCAATATTTGAATACTAGTTGTTTGGAGAGTTTTAATATCAAGGGGCGGTGTTTCTTTGTGCGAATCCGATCACAATACCTTGTTTGGTAAGTTCTTTTCTGACATCTGTTTTGTAAAAATCCATTATACATGTTTATGTATGTTCTTACAAGGTTTTGAGAATACGCGTGAGTTAAAAGTTCAACGTGCCATCGGAAGTACCTCAGCTAAAAAGAGATAAGGATGTTTGACCTGATCGTTTGACTGCATAACTTGTTCCACCTCCAACTTCTTTCTCAACCATAGGATGTTTAAAGTGGACACGAACACTGTAACCAAGCAAAGTGGGTGAATTAAAGTAACGAATCTGTCGTAGTTGCGCAGTCATAGTGTCTTACCATATATCAAGTATACTTAAATCACTTCTTTTTGAAGAGTTAAATCAGTCCAATGAAAACCACACACTTAAATCTGTAGGGGTAATTAGTGACAATAAAATGTTGATGGGAAACTTTATCAATACCTTACTTGACCCAGACATAATTCATTCTGAGTACAGCCAAGCTAACTTTGAAAACAAGTATATCCATGCATTTACCTCTTTCCTTCCCTTTGTAGGAGGCATGATCCTGAGGGCTTCCTGGTGAATTCTTTCTCCATTTTGTCCCTATGTGAGTCACTGTAGAGCTGCCACTTCCCTGTTTCATCTTGCCGCTGCCAAGCTATATTGGGCTTTTCTTTTGTTGCCGTTGCATATCCGACTCCACCGGCTATATTTGAATAAAAAAAGCTTCATCTTCTGGGACACACATGGATGTTGAGGGTATTTAGTCAAAGTTTATTTCAGACGAAAAAGAGGTTTACCTTCTGGGGCACACATGGATGTTGAGGGTATTTAGTCAAAGTTTCATTGTGTGATACAGTGCTCTATGTTTATTAATTACCATCTGCGGTGCTTGGTGCGTCTCTGTTAGTTGTTGCATCTTGGGGACTGCTTCGCACTTTCATAAAGTCGTCAGGTTCACTGTATAAAGGTAGATGTATAAAGCCACGTTGTAATTTGCTAAAATGTCAGGAAACAAAATGTTAAGTATATTGACGGACACACGCTTGTCAAGTGCACAAAGTAATTTGGACGACGCATGATTCCTTACACGTCTCTCTGATGGAGACGGGGAAATACATACCAGACAGCAATGTCCATTTTCCCGTCCAATCCATATTTGTAAGTGTTCAAATGTCCATTTTGCCATTTTACCTGCAGGTTTAAAGCATATTAATAGTCATAGTGCATAATGGGACTTAAAATAAATGTAGGCATTGGATTAACTTAACTCCTAACAAAAAGGAAATGTTAAATGATCCAAGTTTGCAAATATTGCCTTCTTCTTTACCTTTACAACACCATCCTCGCGCTTTCTAATGACGACACCGGTACTCCCCACTCCACCATCTTGATCTCCGAATGACCAGTTCACGCCTGCACGAAAACAAACAAAACTTACCACGTAACTTACCATATGTTTTACCGTGGTAGTTAATTGAATTATCGCCACAAAGACAGAACACGAATATTGCTACAAAGATGACAGGTGCCACAAACAAATGAATGTCAAAGCAGGTCAAACCTCGTTTGACTCTGACTCCGATTTCTATGAATTCATCCTGCAGCAAGAAGCGTGGCTGGTCCTCTACTTCGACGACGTCCATTTTCCCATCGTGACCATACCTGTACCGACAGCTCATGCCGTTCAGGTCCCACAACACCCATAGTGTATCTGAGGAAAAGAATGAAGATTGTAAGTATTATGCCAAGGTCAACTGTAATGCTTCTTCAAGCTGTATCACAAGTTTCGTTTTCAAGTAATATATTCAGACGAGTCATGATAAATATTCCAAGTTCTGGTAATGCCTTCATTCACCGATTTCGATTGTAATAGACAATGGTCGTGAGTTAATGTATATTTACGTCTATTATTCGCGTGATTGACGATAGTCCCGGGACCTTCACAGTCTTGGTCTTCATACTGCCAGTCAAGACCTCGGACAACACGGGTACCAAGGGGAGGCAAGTCACTCACTTCATGTACATTGTGAAACTCGGATGGCTTTTCATCCGGATCTGGTACTTCGCAAAACTCAAGCTTTTGCTTTACGCCTTGGATAACAAATTCCTGAAAGAGAGAAGATACAATTGTAGGATTTAATTAATGACCACACTGCGCTGGGAAGATGGTAAACTGAAAACGTCCATGCCTAAAATTCAAAGACTTTTCGTTTAAACCCATACCCTGTCATCTTCGTCCATGTCTCCAGTCAACGCCTGGGTTACCGTCTCAATTGTCTCTGGTGTTCCTCCCCACTCGGCGTCGCTGTTCTTTATACAGATGTAGATTTTACCTATGTTTTCCTGAAAATATAAGCACATTGTTTGCATGACAATGACAATATACTGAACACACAAATTGCCACTGGTGTTTTACTGAAAATATATGATGAATGCACAGTACTAATTGAATCATTTCAAGGCATTGCGATGACGTTCAGTGAAATAACTGGTTTCCCTTATTGTTGGGTGTGAAAGCAATGTAGGGGTCGATTACCACATGACGTTTAAACCACCAAAACCTGCAGCAATACGAAGCCCAGTTTGTTGTCTTTCGAAATCATAACAGACTACCATGCTATTGCATCGACAAAACAACAATTGATTTGGACAATTTATTGCATTGTACAAGACCCGAAGAAAAGTAAACACGTAGAAAAATGTGATATGTCGTCAGCGCATTATGACGCAACCCAAAAAGTGCACTTTATCCAAGAATAAAGTGCTGTCGGCACCTTTGATCTTTTAGCAAGTCATCTAAAAAAAGACAGTTTGGCATCACCTGGCATCACTAATTGAATAAGTTGATACCTGGTATCGACATAAATAATCATATTTTATGTTCGTTCCTTACCTGTATTCTGTAATATTTGCAGAGATTTTCAATGTCCTTGCACTCGACAAGTGTCCCACGACCAAGTTTGGATAATGAAGTTAGGAATTGCTACAAACAGACGCCAAAATAATCCAAAGGGTGAATTTGACACGGATCAAGTTTCATATATATGTTTTGAAATATCGTAATATCACAAAGCGTAGAAAAACGAATGAGCAAATTCTAGAGCATCATTCATTCATTCATACATACATGTATATAGAAAAGTTAGAAAAATGAATGAGTTTTAAACTTAGGCAAAGAAATGGAATAAGCTTTCTGTATGAAGCGTAGTTACACACTCGATCAGCGTTTCCAACTGAAACCCAAACAACTGGCTCGGTGTCACGTTTCCGGTCAGCAAGGACACTAGTTAGCTGTACTATCTGCAGTCGAATCTGCAAAATAGAAATAGCCACATGTACATAATGTTGGAGTGAGTGAGTGAGTGTTTATTGCTTGACGCCGCATCAGCAATCTTAGTCAGTTCAGTCATATGTTTTTAAATATTGTTCAGGGTTTAATGAAGTCAATAACTGTTGAAGTATTTCACCAACGTTTTGATCCGTAGTCGTTAAGTCAGGACCTTCAACAACAGAGTCATCTGTGGCATATCCATCAGTGAGGAAAATTATCCTTGGCTTGAGATTGTGGACACCACCTATGCTTAGTGTTCCTCCTGTGCAATACAACGATTTGAGCATTAACTATAATCATTATACATGTATGACATTATGGACAACACGGAACAACTTAATTCTACCACAAGATAAAGTATAGATTGGTATATGTAGCACATACTAATGCGAAGAGATGGTCTTCAATGCTTTGAATGTCTCCGCAGTCATTGTCATATATGAACACCTCTGTGAATCTTGAATCGTGAAATCTCACTTTACAAGTTCAGAAAACAACTTGTCGTTTCATCTGTACAGTGTCATCGTGGTTTCGATATGCACGTTTCACGGACTGGTAGGCTTAAACGTCGCAGACAATATGTGAAGAAGTATACACTTACCTTTCTCTTTAATTGCAGCAATGCAAACCACCAAAGCTTCGAAAATAGGGCTTCGTCCTCCCATAAAAAGGTCATCTGGAAAGTAAGGCTGAATGTGATGATGGCTTGTTGTAATGGCTTCAAGTACGATTTATGATAATGCCGTCAAGGTTGTTTATTAAGCCTTTATTTGTTTAATATGGTCATAAATGAGTTGGCTCTAGAAATTGAATCAACATGTGAACTAGGCATTCAGTTTCATCCAGAGCTTCTCCAGCTATTTCTATCATTGTTTGCGAACGATGTAACTTTATTTGCTGAGCATTGGTGTTCTTGAAGAGTATTGCCAAAGATATACATTCACTGTTAACTTTGAAAAAACTGTGGTATTTTGTCTAAATATTAAAAATATATTATGGAGATGTCATCCCAAGTAACATTGCATGAAAAGTTGTCATTTAAATATCTGGGAAATATTTGTTAAAGTTTCTAAAATCTAACATTAACTTGTCCGGAAAAATGAAATTTGATGATAAAAAAACCAAAGCAGATGACAATAAAACCGATCGCCCAAACGCATCAGGGCAACGGCCATAGTAACCCGATGTACGTGAGTTCCGTGCAAATTTGAATGCACATCCGTTCCCTCATTTCTTGCCATATGAAAATCCACCCAGATCGGATAACTACATTCGTTATTGAATTTCTATCACATGCCAAGACTGACACGAAATCAGCGAAACCAAGTCCTTGGACGATTGCAAGCTAGACAAACATTCCGTCAAGTCGCCAATGCATTTCAAGTCCACGTAAGGACCATATACAGGCTCCAGCAACGGTACCAAACCACCAACACTACAGGTGACCGACCACGTAGTGGAAGGCCAAGGGTCACCACCCGACGTCAGCATCTTCAAGATCGCTTTGTTACTGCTGCGGAAACTGCTCGACAGACCATGGGGACACACCAGCGACACATTAGTGCGGACACAGGCCTAACCGAGGACCCATTCTGACACCACGTCATCGCCGGGACCGTCTTCAGCAACACAGCACCAGCATTGGCTCCACCAGCAACCACGAGTTTCAGCATGATAATGCCCGTGCCCACACTGCGAGAGCAACAAGAGACTTCCTCCAGCAGAATGGCATCAGAACCATGTTGTGACCTGCCCTCAGTCCCGATTTAAATCCCATTGAGCACCTGTGGGACGAGCTTCAAAGACGGCTGAATGACGTCCGACCAAGGCCGACAACTGCAGCTGAACTGCGTCAGGCGTTCCTCAGAGTGTGGGCTCAAGTGCCCATGGCCTTCATCAACCTCCTTATCCATTCCATGTATCGGCCTTGCACGGCAGTCATCAATGCACATGGCGAACACACGAGATACTGACTTGTGATGCCATTTTCTAGTGTTGTGTTTCACTTTAAGAACATTTGTCACTTTAATTTCAACCTTGGTGATCAGCTTTGCCAAGTTTCAACTTTAAATTGATCTAACCACATGTGGAATGCTGCACTTCCAAGCTAAAAAATGAAGGTTTTGTATTTCAAAATGACTCCGGAATGTAAAACCATTCGATTAATATGTATTTTTCAAGTTATTTGATGCTTTAGTAGCTCAACGTGGGGTTTAAATAAATATAAGCAATTGAAGAAGTTGCTTTGGCCGTTAAGTCTTCGACACCTGATCATGTCGAAAGAGGCAAGTGTGGAAGATATCCTTTGTACATTTCAGTAAACAAGCCTTGTATTGCTTATTGGTGTTAGGTTATATCTATGCCTAGAAGTCGTTACCTCGGAAAGAGCTATAATCTGTTGTTTAAAGAAGCTGTAAACGGCAAGGCAAAATGGGTATCCAAGGTTAAAAATACCTTGTACACATTTGGTTTCGGCTTTAGTTGAGAAAAGTAAGCAGCATTTTGTATCCCAAACTATTTATATTTGAATTTGTATCTCGATTAAAATATATTCATGAACAAGAATGACATTCGAAAGTTGATAATGGTCCTAAAATGTCTGTGTTGAACCATATCTTCTGAATACTGATATTAATAAATGTCGTACTGCACTATCCCGGTATCGCTGTAGTTTACATACAGTCCATATTGAAGTGAGTAGATATCATAATGTCCCAAGAGACCAGAGATTTTGTAACCTCCTCAACACTGGTCTTGTCGAAAACGAATACCATTTTACTGTTCATTTGTAAAGCATATATATAATAATCGTAAACACAAAAACCTTCCATCCTGCATTAAATAAGTTTAACATATTGTTGTCATCAATATGTCATGTCATACTGAAACCATTAAAAGTCTTTCATTATTTATATACCATGCCATGAATGTTATAAGCTCTTTAATGTACATAGTAACCTGACTATGTGAATGTCCAATGGACTGATGGTCTACAGTGCTTAGTGAATACAGAAATATAAATAGAGATAAAGTTTTATCACAATGTTGTGTTATAATGTGTAGTTATTATGGTATGTTATAATGATACCTTATAATGGTTTGTAATAAAAACATTTTGCCTGTCATGCTCATTTCCTATAATGGTTTATGATGAAGAAAGACAAGTTCTATGGATGACGTTGTTTATGATCGTAAATGTTTTGCTATAAACATATAACATATTGTTATAAAAGTTTGTCATAAATTTTTGCAATAAAGATTTATGATCGTTTGTTATGTTAGTTCATTATCATATATTTATTTTCAATCTTTTGCTTTAATGGTTTATGATCGTTTGCTATGTTAGTCCATCATCATATTTTTGCTATAACGGTTCATGATCGTTTGTTATAATAGTTTGTCACAATGTTTTGCTATAACGGTTCACGATCGTTTGTTATGATAGTTTGTCATAATGTTTTGCTATAACGGTTCATGATCGTTTGTTATAATAGTTTGCCATAATGTTTTGCTATAACGGTTCACGATCGTTTGTTATAATAGTTTGTCATAATGTTTTGCTATAACGGTTCATGATCGTTTGTTATGATAGTTTATTACAAGGGTTTGTTACAATGGTTAATGTGGTAGTGTTAAGAATCAGCACATATATTACGATGAGGGTCAATTGGGGGCACAGCTGACCAAGTTTGTCTTACCGCTCAGACATCTCACTCACATCCTTACCAATAGCATCTCTGATAGCTGTGTAGTCATTGGTCAATTGTCTGACTACCCTGACCCCTCCTCCCATTACGACCAAAGCTAAGTTCTCCTCCAATCCATGCTGCTCGGCCACAGTCTCTATACCTGAAGTCAGATTATGTACATTCAACATTTCGATGGTATTGGGGAATAGTTCACATTGAGGACATTCATATAATTCTTCAGATGCCTTGTGATAGAAGAGGGTTGTGGTTGGGGGTGGGGGGTGTGGGTGGGGGGGTGCTGTGGGGAAGTAATTCCTCGCACAAGGAAGTACGCAAAGTGCGCACATCGATTTTTACAATCTTTGAATAAGTCAACAATAATAACCACACAAACTGCTCATTTAATCAATAACACAAACTGTAGGCAACGACACGAAATCAGTGACAAACTTAAGTGGGTTACGAAAATCTCACACAAACCACATTTAGTCCTCTGATGAGTTGGAGGGGTGGGTGGGGGTGGGGAGGGGTTGATCCCTCACATTTAAGACATTTAGCCTTCCGATTAGTTGGAGGAATACCTCACATTGAGCATGTTGAGTTTTATGAGGAGCTGGGGCCATCCCTGTTATGTATCTTGTTGAATATGAAACAACTCCACGGCCAACACTGTAGCCACTGACAGCAGGAAACAACACTTACCATTTACAAACTTGTGTGCAGCTTGCTTCACTTCTTCAAATCCTTTCTGTCCCAAGCTTTCAGATACATCCAGACATAACACAGTGTCCTGTGCCTGAGCTTTAGGTGGCTTCGGATCTTCTGAAGACGCAAGAATGTGTAGTTTCATAAGGAAGTACATCCCTTTATGTGTTTCGAAGCACGGATAGTTTAAGAATTATGTTTTTCATTAAAGAAACGGAAACTACTGAATACTGATCTATATCTATATCCTACCTTGTTCTAATGCAACAGCAACAGAAGCTGCTAAGCGGTTGACTCTTGGATCACCGTGACCATCCCCTACGTTACAGACGCTCAGGTTGCCCAACAACATCTCTGCACGTTGGTAGTTCTCTGAAAGGGACTTACATTGCTTTGTAAATACACAGAGTATATTGTGTCAATTTCCAGAAAGCTATTAGTAAACACTATTGAGCACATAATATATTGTAACGATGTCAATAAAATAACAAGATTACAAGCAATCACTGGAAGATCTAGTACATGTATCTAGATATGACATATATGTACATCTGTATGTTGCAATACATAACCCACCAAACCATATAGGTGAGGTGTATGTAGGTGTTCCTTGTGGCCAGTGCCGAGAAACTAAAAACTGAATTCATACTTGCTATTGCCAGGTCAAATCTGTTCTGTTGTCTTTTGTATTCGGGGCTGAAAATATCAAATCAAAAGTACGATATATGTAAACTATTATTTCAAACATTTAATGTGAAAGGTTGGCATAATTTGAAATCCCATTCTTGAAGATTTACCAAGTAGAGGAAATGACATTCAGATTGGAATCCATACATTTCCTTCGCCGATTCCTTTCCGCTTCTATCATCTCGTCGTTGTATTTCTTCTATATGATCCCGTGGCTTGGATTCTGCATGGGGTGGTTCTGGTTGTGTTGCACGCTGTTCTGGGATGAATGTCGTCAAATTTGTTTTGCCATGGGAAACTCTTGCCCTGATGACAACACAAATTTGCATTGCTCATAAACCATCTAGCTGTCCGATTGGTCACGGTCATGTAAACCTATTCAAGTAGACAGACCGGTCGGTATGGACACCATGTCATCATAATACTTAATGTAACGACACAAATGATCCTATTCTCATTTTGACTTACTTTGACAGAGGTCACAATACTTGTACCTTTGTTTCACTTAGGTAAGCGTACAATACGTCCCCTGGAGGTTGCCTCAATTTGACATAATTTAAGGAATCGCACTAAACATATTGACGCCAATTTGCACACCCGTTTATGAAACATAAATTCATTATCGAGTGTGGTTTATTGAATGGGGTTCAGCTATAGTGGTCTTTTCTAAAACACTGGTTGGTGATTTGCTATTATATGTCTGTAATACTTACCCCATGTCATCAGGCTCTGCTGTGCATTGCTCATGGAGAGGCCTTCGCTCTGACAAGAAAGCTGGTGCCACAGTTGATTCTGGCACTTGAAAACCAGAGCTATTCGTATTTAGAAGATCCTTCAGGTCCTGCACCAAATCAGATGTGGGCTGTTCTTCTGGCAGTCTCAAGGGTGTCCCCTCCGGTGCGTCAGTTTCGCTGAGGATCTTGTCCGACATTTTGAGCAATACATTTTTCATTTCAGACAATGACTCGCGAACCTGCTTCAGTTCCATCTCAATACTGTCAATTCTGCTGCTCGGTATGAGCGACTCGCTCCTTTCGTCCGATGGATAAATCCCAGTGGAATCTGTCACAAAACTATCCAGATGTTTGGCAAGTCGATGTTTATTACTTACAATTCGAAACAAACTATAGATTCAATAAATATAAAATTTGATATACAAAATATAGCATATTTCCCCACAAAAAAATATTTTAAAAATGTGCTGTGACTTGAGGAGGTAACTAAACAATCCTTACCCTCAGACAAACTTTGAAACCATTGCGATGACTTGACAACCCTAGAAAATCAAGGCAGATCGTTCATACAGATAACATACTATTAACACAATTAAGGTGAGGTGAGGTGAAATGGGGTTTAACGTCGCGTCCAAGATTATTGAACTAACATTGCGACTTGCATGCACGTGTGTGTGTGGCTGCTTGTACCAGTCGTTTATAGTGCTAGCCCACTTCGTTTGTTATTAAGGGGTACCACCTACTATCGACCTATGTAATTATCATTATGCTTGGAGGCCGTGGTATCGAGAATTATGCCTGGGCATTTAGCTACTTATCAGTTGAAACTTATCATCATTACGCAACTCATTAAATTAACACGGATATTTTTTATGGTATTCTGAAATAAAGAATGTGGACACAACCTCAGCGGTGTCTTCCCATTATGACAGCTGTTGCATTTGTACTTCATGGTTTGGTGACGGCTAAGTACTAGCTACATGCATCACCATATCAGAAACTGTTTCTCCAAAACTGGTTTCTTGAGTGAACGTCAGAAAAAACAAACGATTTCAGTCCAACTAGTTTACCAATTAGAATACCAATTCTCAAATACAATTCGGACACCTTGAGCAGTTCTGGTGTAGTGACTGAATATAATGATCTGCATTTGGAACAACAGAACGCTATCAACTGGTGAGTACGGATCATGAAACCGTTATCTGAAATGGATAAGATAAAACACCACTTTGTTAATAAATAGACAAACTAACTTTACTCAAAGAGTAATATATACCTACTTTGTCAGGAAGCTGTCAGAGTCACATCACTTCTTTCACTATGGATTTGATTCATACAGAAATAACAATCACTGGAAGATTAATAACGGTAACTGAATAAAAAAAATTGCATGGAAACTATTACAATTGTATATTGTATTGATCTAGTAATACTTTCTGAACACATATGTGTTGAACATTTCTATCATACAGTACAGAGAAAAGGGCAAACGTTTCCTACCTCTCAGCAGACAATGCAAACTTAACCTCCCTATTGCCAATATCTCCCAAGAGTTGCTGGAAGATCTTGTGTATCTCCTGTTTCTTCTCGATCATCTTATCCGCATCCTGTCTGTTTCTGTGCATGAACACAAATATCAGACTACCACCAATTATAGCTGACAGTTGGGCGTCGTATTCTTGAAATATTCGTTCGATAATCAGCCGAAGAGGATGAAATATCTCTGCAGAGATTTTCTGCATAATCGCACTCTTACATCCTTTGAAAAGTGACAAGAAATCCACCTTCCATTTCGTGATGCAGTCATGTGATATTTCTGTATTGCCTTTCCAACTCAACCGTAGCAGAGGTTGCTGAGTCCCTGAAACTGTTAGTGTAAACATACGGATGTTTTAGAGTTTGTTCAAAATGTGACATCATTCGCTTCTTTGAATATTGATGAAATTGATATGGCTGGAGATGACGACCCTTCCCGCAAAGTTTTCATTCATTACACATACATATGACTCATGGCTGTGCTAATACATTTTCGGATACGCTTGTCTTATCTGCATTGTATTCCACACTGACGTAACCCTCGACCCATACAATGATTTATAATTAGTGAGCCATTATTTACGAGCCTTTGTCAGTACTTAATACAGCCATACACCGTTGTGTCGAACATTTAATAGAATAACTCGAATATTCACGTAGGTCCCTTTAACTTCGACACAACAGTGTTAATGTAATACACGGCTTACTGGACAAAATGTAATCATTAAGGAAAATGCAACTCACACGTCAAACTTCCACCTTTGTCTTTGATGGCATCCAGGAAGGAACGGGTGACATTGATGGTGTATGCTGTGCATTCATTTCCCATTTGAATAATGGCATGTTTAGACGTTGATATAATATCAAAATCTTTATAGTTAGTATACGTCTCGTCGGTATTACAAGCTTTATGTAATACATTCTTTGACATAATGATGTCCAATACACCAAGCGATGTTAAGAAATTTCACTTCCGTACACTCGTTATCACTCTTGTGAAATATCGTTGTGACAAGATGAGCATGCGTGCCTACTGTAGGTGTCAGAAAGAGCCATTCAATCCGCCATGCATTTTCTCGATGATTATCTGAATTATCACATCAAAGAAAAATATAATATGCGCCATTTCCAAAAAAAATTGTAATATGTGTGTTTGTTTCCATTCCAGCTTTATGATTGTAGCGTGTAAATGATCAAGACTGGACCAGACAAAGCAATGATTCATATTATGATCAACGGTCCTACGGTATCGGGGTACAATGAGGCGCAATGAACAATGTCACATGACCTCTTCATCCATTCAATCACCTCGTGCGACAGGCATAGATAGCCTGACCTCGTCCGTGGTCTGGTGGACAGTGCGTATGCCCAAAGAGTGGAAGATCGGTGGTTCGAATCCCGGACGCGTCATACCAAAAAGACGTAAAAAGATGGTAGTTTTTGTTACCCTGCCTGGCGTTCGGCATTGAGATGATAAAACAAGTACTGGTCGGATAGGAGCCAGTACACTGTGTTTGAGTGAGATATCTGTGCTAAATTGCGGCATGGTATCTCAGTGGAATAGTACTATGAAACCGACATAAGTCTGGACTAGTGCATGCAGCGAGACACAATAAGTGCACTGATATTGAACGCGACGTTAAACTCCTTCCCTCCTCACTGGCTAAGGACCTATTCCAATCCGGAACCCCAAAGGATTTCAACTCGTAAAACACTGTTCACATGTAAGTCGGCGATGATTGTTTAAATATCTTATGCAGAAAACATGACAGGTCGATCGCGTAAATCTGTGCTCAGTGAATAGAACCCGTTTAAAAATCCTGTTTCAACAAAACGAAATCTTTGCTTTTCATGTGAGAGATCACTCGGTTGAAGGGATATAACTCTAACAGTATTGTACAAGGTATGTAGTTTCTAAAATGAATAGCGTTCTATTCTAAAATGTATATACTCTATATATGGTGTAGATATATATTTATTGTATAAACTAACACAGTAATGCAACATGGTCGTATTGACAAGACGATTTAGCACATCTACAGTGTAAATTTCATTATATGACAATGATCAATATTTTCTTGGGACATCGGGAGACTGGTCCTTTGTAATAGAGGACGCGTGATGACCTTACTAAATGTAGATCGACACAGCGTTTAAAATAGATGTTAAAGTAGCTTTTGCTTAAAACGGGCGTTAGCCAAAAGGACGACATGTGTGTGATCGAGTATGTTGTACATGTATACAAAGTGGACATTATTTGCTTATGAGTTCCGCCAGTAGCTCTTCCTTCCGTGTTATATCTGTGCCAACATGACATATAAATAGTCAACATGAAGTAAACAAAAGCCCTTTTACAAACACTACTTGGTTGCATACTTCTACTTTCCTTTTGAACAATAGCTGTGGACATATCTCACCTTAAACTCATCGATAAGGTGGGAATGAATCAGTATATTAGGGACTCCACTCACCAATCTGGATTATTGGCGGAACCTCCCTCTCGTGGTCCTGACGTTCAGATAAAAATAACATGATACAAATTTGAAAACGATACTACATTCCTGCGGGAAAACCCAAAACTAAAAATAAATATTCACCGAAGTCATGTTGGATTTATATATGGAAGCGATGCATTGTCTCGCTACCATAGTAGATATACCTGATCTCTTACTCTATTCAGTGGGCAATCTTGTCCCAGTATAAAGGATTGTTATGTTCTCGCTTTGTTGACAGCCACAAAGCCCCGTTTCACAAAGCGATCGTACTGCGATCACCTTTGTGAAACGGGGCCTTGGTATCATTTTTTAAATCTCAAGCATCGTGTGTTAAGGATCTTTTTAACAATATAAGTTCTCGTTTAATTACATGTTTTTTTCCAAAAGAAATTGAATTAATTGATAACTGTCGAACTTTTGTACATAGTTTTATTTTACAATATTGGTCGTGTTTAATGTGCAGCTCAGATGGTTAGTGTCTGTAAATATCTACTTTGCATGACTGATAAACATGTGTTAAGAAGTTGCGATTCTATAGATGTTCAAAGTAGGATATGTCCGACCACATCATTCAACGTATTTTATTCCTACCATAATAATAAGTGTCGTATATTTATAAAATTAATTATAATTGATGGTTAAAATTTCCTGCAATAGGGAGCTGTTTTTTAAATGTAACTTTGTATAAATAACTAAATTGTAAATATAGTAACTTCATCTCGTTGCTATATGGCTGAAATAATGCCGATGCAGTGTTAACTCACTCACTCACTCACTCATAAACCTCATCAATCAAGAACATACCAAGTTGAACCAAAGAGTTGGTCAGGCCCAGCAATTAACTGGACAATGTGTAATGGTGTAAACAGTTCTTCCAACACACTCATGTCGTATTTTTTGGGGTTAACTTACAGTATTCCCTGATGAATATGTGGTTTTTTTCTTAGTATTGTCATTGACATACAACATGTACATCTACAAATGATGCTCGACATTAATGGTTGGGATCGTGTACTGTACTTGTGATACATTTGTAACCTCAAAGGATTCATACTGGGAGCAATAAACAGGGTCACTCTGCACGTGGGGAGTTGAACAATCTCATCAAAAAATGCATTTGATCATATATCAACCTAAATACATATCTATTTGTAACATATATCATCATGGACATGTCTTGTGTGTACAGTATCCATGTATCCCTGCTGATATATTTGGTGGAAAATCAAGAATAAATAAGATAAAGGATCGACGGACTCGTTAAGGATCTCTATTGGCAGATGTAAATGTGCCGAAATGCTTTCAAATAAAGCATAGCAGAGATTATAACCGCGGGAGGTATTTAGACAATGAGTGTAACGTTACAAAATACAGCTAGAAAATAAGCTCCACGTCTGCATCCCTAACAAGAAAGGCACGTAGAAACCAAATGTATGGTGTGTACACTTACTGTCTGCATCTGTGACATTCAGTAGTCACACCACAATTGAAAAATAATGATTTATAAGAACTGAAGATATAAATGTCAAAGTAAGCGAATGAAACAAGGAGAAAATTTTATTTATCTTAATTGTTTTAAGAAAACACTCTCGTTAAACACAGTCGGCAATCGGTGCATGGTTCAAAAGAAGCAAGATCTACTCTGTGTGTCTAGCGTTATGTGAAGTCGTATTTACAAGACCAACCCTGTGCCAGGACATTACATTCTGATGGTGGTTAGACCTCACCTATCTGTCTCTGGAACAAGCCTTCTATAGCACACATGTCACATGACAGGAATTAAATACAAATAATACTTATAAAGACCGACATGTTGTCAAACCTCGTTAATGATAAATGTATGGTACAATATAGACGAGGTTTAACAGAGCCAGCTCCGCTAGGGTTCAGCTTCACCTTGTTCCTAAGGGCAACAGAATTACTCTAGACATACATGTATGCATGACATGGATATGGCAGGCCCTTGTTCAATGAATAGGAAGCTCTGAAAAATATGAGACTAGCATAAAGGTATGATACACTGTCACTTCTCTGTCCAGTGTAAGGAGGCGATTATCTTCACATGAAAGCATAAGCGAGTAAAATATTTTGTCATTTTGACACATGTCAGTCGTCAAACGGAAGGAATCCTTCGGTAACGCCTCAGTGCGAGTTCGATTGCAAGCACGTATTTCTAAAGAGTGTGTAACAATGAATTATGGTTGACTTTATTCCGTAAGGTTGCCACCGGCACCAATATATAGTGACAACATATAAATTAGAAATGTCACAGACTTGGGCACCAATCAATGTGCACAATTCGCATTAAACTGGCTTGTTTAAGGAAGTCTTCAAGTTTGTAAAGGCAGTAGTGAGTGAGTATGGTTTTACACCGCTGTTAGCAATATTCCAGCAATATCACGCCGGGGGACACCAGTAATGGGCTTAACACATTGTATCCATGTGGCGAATCGATCCCGGGCCTTCGGTGTGACGAGCGAACGCTTTAGCCACTTGGCTAACCCACCGCCCCTTTAAAGGCAGTAGTGTATGTTAAGCAAGATGAGATACACCACTGCTTATGAGTAGCGAGTAGATTGGGATGTTAGCCTACTGTAGGAAGATAATAATTATAATATTTATGATACGAGACTAAAATCTTAAATCGTGCTAAAATGGACATTCCAAGCAAATGTATTCAGATTCATTGTACAATTCATGCCACAAGGATAACGTCTCTCTTTACTAAGACGCATTGTTTTGTCTGTCTGTGCAGCCAGTTGTGGGTAGAAACTCATGTGGACTCATCAAGTTCATCATAGCGATAGCAGTGCTTTCGAGTGTCACATCGCCATAAAATATCCATTTCTTGTTACACGGCAAGTTAGAATCATTTCTTGTTACACGGCAAGTTAGAATCATTTCTTGTCAACACCTGCAAAAGAATGTAAGACAAGATTTAAACCACAACCAGGATTTGATTTAGATTTTCATCGGACGCAGAAATACCTTCACTTAAGAAAGAAATAATACCACTTACATGTTCTCTTCACTTCTCTTCTTGATTCATTACTTAAATCCTTCTCAAACATTTCCTTGAAGAGTACTCTGTAACTGTAAACACCAACACATGCACAGTAATCAAGTATTCTCTGTCAACTTAGTTAAGACAAATATGCTTTACCAAGGCAATGTTAAAGAACTTCTATGGACGTAATGTGCAATATAACGAATCATTTTTATCATCAACACAAATATGGCATGCGTGCTTTCGTGCGTGCAGGTGTGTGTATGTATGCTTGTATGTATGTATATATATGTGTGTGTGTGTGTGTGTGTGTGTGTGTGTGTGTGTGTGTGTGTGTGTGTGTGTGTGTGTGTGCGTGCGCGCGGTCCAAGTTAGTGTCAGTCAGACGAGTCGAACCTCACAATACTTGTCTGACAAATTTTGATTGATCAGTTCCACCAAACATCTACTGGTTAACCCCACTCTATAGAGGTGACGTCAATGTAAAACAGGGTAACTGAAAATTGGTTTCATATTATTTTACCTTTTGCCAGCTCTCTGTACAAGGCATGACCCAGTTGACCGTTTACGATATTGGTCTTCAAGCTTTTTGTTATTTTGAGCTGTATATTGTTGCCATTGGTTTCTTTCGTCCTTCCAGTGCCACACCCACGTACCCTTTTCTTGTACCTTGACTGTAAGATTATAGTAGATTTAGATTTAGAAAACTACTACATTAGTGACTCGTCTAGCCATGTGTTATCATCGCATTACAGGTCGCCTTACTTCAACTTAATAACATTGTTATATGGTTGTGTTAAAGAGGAGTGATCTTCATTAATATATATTCAACCATATTAGTGATATTATGGATATATTGTTATCAGTCAAACCATGTGTACCTTCCTCCGGCATTGTGACGTTGGTAGAGAGCTTCCCCTGATCTGATCTGGTGAGTTCGGTCAGAATGTCACCCGGGTCTCTGGAAAATATCCGTTTGAAACTCTGATTTACTTCCGAGATAATTCAGTTTTTGTTTCAGAGTAATACATGCTTCTTTGTTTAAAAATGTCAAGTTCTGATTTCGGGCGCTCTTTGATGCATGGCAACATGCATGAGAATCTGTATATTTTAAATGGTAGAACAAGTAGCTAGAAACACAATACCTTACAGTGAGGTCCAGCTTTCCGTCGGCACCATATCTGTAAGAGCCTATGTAACAGTTCTGTTTCCAGCGAACCTGGTAGGACAGATAAGAGGTGATAATGGTTTCTCCGTGTGGACGTTTTGTCAAAAAGGAACCCGTTTTGAAGGTGATTAAGCCCATAGTCAACTGAATAACGGTTATTTCTTTCAAATGTTTTGTCCAATTTTGTTGTAATGTCCATCGTCGACAGGTTTAGATTTATTATTATTAATGATATAATATATTCTCGTCACGATATCCCTGCAATATTTCCGATGTGACTATAAATGGGCAGGGATTATATCGAAAAAGTAAATTGTCCCCGAAAATTCATGAAAAAAATTAGTATGCTTCATACTGTTGAAAAAAGAGACATTGTCGGCAATAACAAATATATTGTTGCAAGGTGTTAATTTTCATTAAATGTTTTGCATCTGTTCTTGAAAAAATATCTAGTCTCCGGACAAATAACAGTCCCCACCCCTGAATATCAAATAGCTGGACCCTTACCTTCACCATTCCCTGATCATTCTTTCTGATGACGACACCAACACATCCAGGTCCTCCATCCTGGTATTCGTAGTCATCCTTCCAATCAGGACCTGCACAAAGGCAGATATTTTCGTATTTCACAGCATGTGTCAGTTAGAAATTCAAACAATGTTGACATTTTATTGAATTAATTACGTAAATGGATAAAAAGCTAAAGCATCAGTGCCAATAATAATAATAGGCATTCTTTAAGGACCTTAAAATATGCTTTTCATACCTCTCGTCACTTCACAACCCACTTCAATAAGCATGTCAGATGCAATAAGCCTCGGTTGATCAGGGGCTGGCCACACATCATATTCACCGTCCAAACCATACCGATACTGGTTGAAGGTCCCGTTGTCCCACTGGACATACAGCAAATCTAGGCAGAAATATCACTGAACAATATCTGTGTTAGGGTATGAAACTATGTATTTACCTTGGCTGTTTATGACAAGTGTTCACTTGATTTATCGGTCACAAAATAATATACTCTTTATATATGCCATGTTAAATGACAGTACCATACGACACACTAAGTCGCAATATCCCAGTACTTTGAAAATATGGAAAAGAAAGCTGACAAGCCTTTTAAGACAATAAAAATGATCATTACGTTTTCCCCCTCCATGTTTATCATAATGGTTGATGATTGTGCCCGGGCCTTCCGTGTCTTGGTTCCCCCAGTGCCAGTCCGGCCCCCTGGTCACCCTAGTTCCCAGGGGAGGAAGGCCATCCACTTCAACTATGTAGTCAAACCCATCAGCGCCCTGATCTTCGTTTCCATATCCTTCTTTACCTTCGAGCTTAGCCATGACATTTTTAATAACTTCTGTCTACAATGTGATCAGAATACAAACGTTTTATAAAAATATATTTTCTTGACATAAGTTATTTGAAACAATGTTAAGGAAACCATCCGGCACTGTCCTACTGTTACTAGTTTAGCCATGACATTTTCCCAAAATTCAGCATCGCTAAAACAGTTGTTACTGAGATGGAATATTATAAAACGAGTTCAGAATGCTATTTAGTTCGGGAGAGAACTATGTGACTAAATGTGAGCGTCTCAAATACCTTGTACTCCTCCTCCATGTCCCCCACCAGCGCGCCCATGATGGTGTCGATATCGTGACGAATATCTCCAGTCTCAGGACCAATCTGTCTTTGGAGACATACAAATATTTTGCCCACAGCCTCCTGGAGGATAATACAAAATTATACAGATTTCAGTTATGTTGGATACGTGTATAGTAATATAAGTGTGTGTAACTGAACAGTTTGCATTAATGCACGCATACCAGTACCATAACCATTTCAGTATGTACCTATATAGCTACAGTTCATCGATCATTGTTTTTGAGTTAACGTTTTGCTTAACACCAAGTGTACCAGTAAAACCTGGAATGTATATTTTGAAACGTTGTAACTGAAGGAAAAGAAAACTCTGCTTCCTTTACCTGTATTCGCTGATACTGACTCAATTTCTGTACATCTGAGAGGCCCCCTGCCATGTACTGCCCATGGCCTATTTCTGCCAGTGACCTCAGAAAGGACTGAAATGGCATCATCACACGCATACACAATAATCCGGACATTTGTGAACATCAATATTAATACAATTAATATCCGGCTGATATAAGATGAAATTAACCAAACGGACTAATAACATACGAAAAACGATCTCTTTTTTATGAAGTCTGAAGATCAAAATTTGACGATGAGTCAATTGTAGAACTTTCAAAACAACTTAACGTCACATTACTGTTCACTTACATGGAAAGGAGATCAACTCGTACCTTATTAGCATTTCCAACGGGAACCCACACCAAAGGCCTGGGAAATGTTGTTTGATTCTTCTTGGCTGTAAACTCTTGCATCAACTGAATAATGCGCAACTTGACCTAATGAAAAACATTATGTATATCATTAATATAATCGAATGCGTGATATCGTGTATGTATGTATGTATGTATGTATGTATGTATGTATGTATGTATGTATGTATGTATGTATGTATGTATGTATGTATGTAAAATCCTTTTTATTTGTTTTCGCTTTCTTGTAAATAACGACCTTGTTTACAATGTCAACAACAAAATCGCGAAGACAAAGTAGACACAGTTTATGGACAACAACTTCTTTAGTACTGTAAAGGCGACGTGTCGGAATATATCCTTATACCGTTGTCAAGCAAGACTGATAACAGTGTTGTCCATAATTTGTTTCTACTTTGTCATCCGTCAACTTCTAAGTAATGCCAATCAAACAAAAAAATTGCGAAGGGGTGATGTAGCAATATGTACTTCCTTACGTTGTCATCGACGTTGTCCACATCACCTACAGAGTCCTCAGATTCATCGGAGGCCTTCCCGTCTGTGATAATGATGAGCCGCGGCTGAACTCGGTGGACGCCAGAGATACTCAGAGCCCCCCCTGATAATTGGAGACTCAACTGACATTTTGGTGTTACTTGTACAAAAAAACTCTAATCAGGTGACAGAATTGTGACACTACATCTTTACACTAATCAGGTAGATGTTTCAGTACATCTATGTGAGTAAGTGAGTGAATGAGTTGGGTTTAACGCCGCTTTTAACAGTATTCCAGTTATATCGCGGAGTGTTAGCTTAATGTGAGAGGAAGGCCCGAAGTGATGCAGGTCTCAGACGTTTACCACTTCGGTGAAACCCACGAGCACGGGTATGGTGCTGACCCACGAGTACGGGTATGGATTCGAACCCACAGTCATAGGTTTCTGGCGTGGACAAAGGGACGCAACTCTGCACATCTGCGATTCGCGGTGCCTTAGACGACTGGGCCACCAGTGCCCCCGGTACATCTATGTATTAATCTGGGGATTGAGACAACCAGGTGACAACTACATCTATACACTAATACTGTGATAATATCACTATATATATATACACTAATCAGGTGACTGGGGCACTTCATCTATACATTAATCAGGTGTACACAAATTAGTATTTTGTAACATACCTCGTCCATTTATAGCGCAGAGGCACACCAGAAGTGCTTCAAATAATGGTGACCGACCGCCAAGTTTAAGTTTATCTAAACGAGAAATATGGTCACAATTAAAGGCATGTCAACTTTTTCGGTTTGTCACAGTTTTAACAGAAATTTAAAAGCCAATCAGTTATTATTCAATGTTTTATTATTTCAATGTGTATCGTGTGTATCTTACCAATTCTTTCCCTGACACTGGTATAGTCATTGCTCAAATGGTGTTCGATTTTTGACTGTCCTCCAAATGTCACGACAGCAAGATTCTCTTCGATTTCATGCTTCGCTGCAATGTCATCCAGGGCTGAAACATTACGAGGTATTGTTTTATAACTTGAACCTTTATTCGCACGTCTGTAAGGTGTTATCACAATCATATTATACTAACAGTGAACAGAGTCTGCATACCGTCAATAAATCCAAAAGCTATGTCCTTCATTTCTTTGAGGCCTTTCTGTCCCATACTGCTTGAAGTGTCAAGACAGAGTATCGTGTCGAGGGCTCGAGTCTTTGGAGGCATCGGGCTCTCTGTGGAAAATGAATTTACAATGTATGAATTAGGCATTTGAATCTACCTTATACGATATAAAACGTATAATTTACTTAATTTTACATCAGGAAAACAGTTGTAATTTTTTTTTAGTTGTTAATTTGGTAAAAAAAACTTCACTTGATTTTATCGTGACAATACCACAACAAGTTCGTACAGGTGAAAATCATTCAAAGAACACTGTGAAGTATTCATGCACATGGCCGTACCGTCTATCATTGCCATCTCAACTGTTTTTACCAGTCGTCGCACTTCCGGCGATGAGCCCTTTACTCCGTGCACCTTCAAGAAGTGCTGTGCTAGTTCTGAAATCAACAAAATAGAATTGCATTTACCTTCAGTGTATCTGTTCGTGACCCACAACGCTCTTACAACGAACTTTTCATCCATAATACACGTGTGGTGAAACTGACAACACGCCAGAGGAAGATGCATGGAATTGTCCTACCTGTATGATGTCCTGACACCTGAGGTTGACGGGGTTGTGGTTGTGGCTTGCTCTTTCTGTAATACGAGTGTATATCTCATATCAATGTGGGAAACCCTAAGGACACAAGGTTAGCTTTTGCATTATTCTTCACTGCCAACATACTTCACAGATATGTATTCAATGTATTGGAGGGATTAACCTACCCAGACGAACTCAGGTTCCCATCTTGCATGAGAGCACTGAGCTTTGGGTCAACCATGTAACCACCAGCCGCGCCTTGGCTTGTCTCCGGCATCTCTTTCCTGGTGTAAAATCAACCGTTGTTAAGCATAGGTCTTAAGATAAATGTATCTGGTGAAAGAATGTAGTTCTATATATCACCATATTATATCATTGCTATACTTCTTCGTATATTGATGCTACACATATCATGTGTATATTTACCCATATTTTCAACAAATCCGTTATTATAAAGTACTCAAGAACTCATTTGAAGTCACTTACCGGTTTGAATCAAAGTCAGGTGAAACATTCTCTGGTTTCCCCGAATATGCCAGGGGTACTGGTCTGTTGAAAGCGATATCAAAAAAGCGGTCATCAGGATTCCATGAATCCTCATGATGTGGCACCTCAGATAATTTCACATTCGATAATGGATGTTTATTTACATTCCCCGACAATTTGGCGTCCAGTTTCAAATGACTATTACTTGACGGATTTTCCAGTTTCTGTTGCTTTTGTTGTCCCTCTTGTTGCCGACCTAGGTTTTGTTGTTCAGTATCCTTATGTTTCCGATGTTGGCCCGACTGTTCCAGGGTATCACTTTTGGGTTCCACTTGACTGTGACGTACCTCAGTTGGGCCTACTTGACTGTCACTCGCCTCCATTGGGCCCACAACGTTCTCTTGATTTCCAGCCATAACGACAGTGTGCGCCTTTCTTCCGCCTCTCTCCGATTGACCTCCCTTTGTAGTAGATGCCTTATTAGAATCCCCGTCAGTGGCTAGATCAGGCGACGCAGACGGACGTGTTGATTCAGTGGCACTTTCCTCAGACTGTTTCGCGCTTATTTTCTGCTGAAGAAGGGACATCAGTGATTTCAACGTGGTGTTCATCTCCTCATTTTGGGTTCGTTGTTCCTCAAAACTCGCTTCAATGACATTCCGTTGAGCCTTCAGGTTTTCCTCAATATCTTCAAACTTTCTTTCTGTCTCATCAACTGTAATGCGTATAGATTACACATTTCTCTAACATTTTCATTCATCAGTTCCTCATGTGAATAAATGCATTTTTAATAATATTGTAGTGGCATCATTCAATGGAGACATTGGCATAGTAAACTTAGCGACTGTAGGAATGGCACAATATTTCTAGATATGTACAATACTAACATTAATATATAATAAATATATATATAATATTTAAATTCCAAGGTATTAAATTATAATACAAATCTAATAAAACAATTCAAGGTTTACCATCGTCGCCCAATGTACTGTCCACTGTACTCGAACGTCCAGCTTCATCCGCACACCTGAAACATAATAAATGTTAATGTATGGAGTTACTAATGAGTTGATACTGAACGTCTTATGTGATCAAAGTGGAAGCGATAGACAATTTGTGTTTTTGTTTGTTTGTTATTGAACGCGGCACTCAGCAATATTCCAGCTATATGACGGCGATCTGTAAATAATGAGTCTAGACCAGACAACCCAGTGATTGATATCATGAGCATCGATCCACGCAATTGGGATCGATGACATGCATCAACCAAGTCAGCTAGCCTGACCACCCAATCCCGTTACACAGTCGCCTTTTACGACAGCGATATATAAGCATGCACAATACTTCCAGTGTGTAACATGGATCAATATGCCGAGACTAAGGACAAGAGCTACATGCAATGTAACATACCCAGTCTCATCAGCGTTGTCAGCAGTATCTTCAACAAACTGGGCACCACCAGAATGAGGCTGTTTTGGGGCCTCTACAGGTACTGGAATATCTACTGGCTCGGTATTGGGTTCATCATAAGTTGTCTCCCTTGAACCACTGAGGTCCAGACTTAATTCCAGTGAAATATCTTTGTTTACACAAGCAGACAAAACAATTTGGACATCTCGTTCCAAGTCCTCTATCACGCGCCCAATTTCATCCAAGCTTACATCACTCTCATGGGCTAGTCCAAACCCAAACGGGTTATCCTGTATGCGAGTGACTCGTGCTCGGTAGTCTGAGTGAATTGTTTCTGTAAGGCTCCGAAGTTGTCTGTAATTATTCCTAATCAAGCCATGGATAACGTCGGCATACATGCATTCCGAACCTGCATGTAGGTGGACTTGACAGAAGGAGAGTGGCGTGTTCGACAAAGTATCCCAAGATAATGTAACAACTGGAAGAGCATCTGTAATGAAAAACACCACATATCAATCTCCTCTATCTACCATGTAGCTAAACCATGAACATTTAGTATGTGAGTGAGTTGAGTTTAACGCTGCTTTTAACAGTATTCCAGTCATATCAAGGTGTGTCAGCTTAATGTGGGAGGAAAGCCTGAAGTGATGCCGGTCTCAGACGTTTACCACTTCGGTGAAACCCACGAGCACGGGTATGGTGCTGACAAACCTAGAAACATAATCGGGGCGAACCGGGATTCGAACCCACAATCATATGTTTCTGGCGTGCCCAAGGGACGCAACTATTCTTAAAAGGATGTATGTATCTTTTACGCCACAACTCGAACCATCTTGTACATGTCTGCTTCAACGACAGATTCATTCTAGCATGGGCATGAGGCTGGTAATCCTGGACCAAAGGTAAAATCATGAAAAATACAGGTTATTTATAAAAAAACAAAATGAATACATTTTAACAGGTCGCGGACTGCTTACACCAACTGTAAATTGGACTGGCATCCTTGATTAACATTCTGTAAGCCGAATACATGTCAGTAATAATTTTAAACCACTGTCACATGTACACAGTCTTCCATTAAACAGCACTAAATAACAAAAACGGCAAAGGGACTGTGCATAATCTCACATTGATGTGGATAATGCAACCGTCATTTTGTTCTTTAGGGCTCATGTGTAGCTGTTGCATATGGAATAAAATTTAACCATAGAAAAATATTTAATATCTTAACAATAACAAACTGAATCAAAACATAATAACATACAAACCGGACATCATATCGAACATCTAACCTGTATTCATGTTTCCAGATGACAACATCTTCAAAGCAGCCTGGTCGGTGTTGATGTCCACCACTTCACAGTTTTCTGTAATCATTTTAACGTCAGTACCCATTGTCTCTCGGAAAACAAGGCGTCCCATTTTCTGATTTCCTGTGAGCGGGTTGTCGTCCTGAACACGCTGTTGTTCCCCTGGCTCTGGTTGTATGTCAATTATAAACTCTTCATCAGAAGAATCCATTGTGGATGTTCCTTGTGGTACCTTGTATGCGTGGATGGTTAACTCACAGACGTACAGCTGTTCTAATGTAAATCGAGTGTTGATCGTATACTTCAGTGTATATATATATATATATATATATATATATATATATATATATATATATATATATATATATCAACCAGCAGTATAGTGAACTGCGAGCTTCACATGAGATTGTTAGATTGGAGAGAGGGTCAAATGTAAAAACACTGTCATACTTCTAGTGGTACATACTCACAAACCTACGGGGATATGAAGTAGCCAAGATTTTCAATATGTCGTCCGTGCATTCAGTAAAATGTATTCAGCTACACGGAACGTGGTCTATTTTAACAGTCTTGTCATACCGAAAGTACGATCCCGGGAAATTACATGGAAATACCCCACTTAAAATAACCTTGCTTTGTGTAGCCTTTACTGGCACGTATTGTATTGGCTTCCATCCTGGTCGAGGTGACCTAATATCCTTGTCATCCGATAGTGTGGCTTGTAGATTTAATGCTCACAGAAGCAATTATAGGCTTATTATTAATATCTCTGTCGCTTTCTCTATCTCTCGTGCGCGCTCTCTCACTCTCTCACTGTGTGTGTTTGATGGATGAATTCTACATATATAGCGGCAGTAAGCTAGGTTCATTTCGAGGAATTTTCTCAGCATTTTTTTACGCCCAGTGGAATCTGCATTGAGGATACTCGAGACTGATTATTCCCTGGCCTTGACGTTTTATATTCACCCAATGAGACGTGTCTTAAAAACGTTGACATATAATCATATATTGAAAATATATTTTCTTATCTACAAAAATAGAACACTAAAACCAATTTTACATTTAATTATAGTTTATCAGTTTTTCTACCCGAATTTTCAACTTAATTTTATATGACTGAAAACAAGTCGCGATAAGTCACGGATGACCCATTAGCATAAGGCGCAGCAATTGCGTTCCTTAGAAGCGCCAGAATCCTATGATCGCGTGTTCGAATCCCATATTCGCCCTGAATACGTTTCTTGGATTGTAACCACCATAGTATTACCGATATGCCTGTGGGTTTCACCAAAAGGGTAAACGGCACAGACCTGGGTTACTTCGAGCTTTCCTTCCACATAAGGCTGACATGCGAGGCTGGACCCCAGGGCGATTCCTATTTGCATAAAATTATTATTTTCTTCATAAGACACAAATGTATATAATGTATGTTTATTATAGGGTGGGGATTATATCTCACCACCGGAGAATGCTTCCAACAACATTTAGTTGATATATTTCTGTTACACAGCAAAAAAAATGCAGTATCCGGATACCTCCGGACATTTACTCAAAACGCGTCCGGGTGTCCGGTGGCCGATACCTTGCCGGATATCAGATCCGTGGTATCCGGCATGGACACCTCACCGGAAAGTATGCCACTTGGAATCCGGGTATCCGGCACCGGATACCTCAAACCTCAATCTGGGTGTCCAAGGATCCGGCACCGAATACCTCATTCTGAGTTTCCAAAAAAAATGTCAATTTGGGGGGTGCAATTTGTTCAAATAAGTGTGAAACACCTAAAAATATATTGGAATCTAACAAAGAAAATTGAACATTGCTGAAGGTATCCCGATGGAATTTTTCGAGATGTCTTATTTCTGGTAAATAATGTTGGCCTGGGCATATCAGATAGCTGTGGTAATATTCTGTGTCATTTTAGTTGTAAATCCCCTTAAAGTTGAGATCTATGGGCATGTACTTTAGGAGAAGACAATTTTTCAATTTCATCTATAATTCTTTTTAGATGTTAAGCTGTTTAATGAACATGAATGAAGATATCCTTAAATTGCATGTTCAGACTTCCAGATTGTTCTGAGTGAAAGTATAAACTCATCGACTGTGTGCTCACTTGGGCCTTTGGTCCTGGTGAGATGATAAGATTATTTGTAACGGTACAGGTACTTGTTATATCTAGACATACCAGATTCATTTAAGTTTGAAACACAATATGCCTCACTCTGAGGGTGACATGTACCAGATTTCATCACACGACAGAGAGCTCTTCCTCAATTACTGTGAACATTTTTAGTGAAAGACATGGAAAGTTTATTTGACCTTCAATATCAGTTGCAACTATTTCAAAAACAATTGTAAAGTGCTTCATATCATTTATATTACTTATGAAGGCCCTAGGAAAAATTATATGCAACAATGAAAATATGGCTTATACTACTCATTGAAATTAGGTGAGTGTGATTTGTTGCCACTGCTCATACATGAGTATTCAAATAATATAACATATAATACTGCATGCATAATACTTCACAAATATCTTCAGAAATAGGCATTTTAGTGATAATGGAAAAAAACAACTTTATGAATGACCTTCAATATTGCCCTGATCTTACACTTAATCCTTCATGAGTTATCACTTTTGACCTTGACAGTGAATTTGACCTTCAATATCAGTGACAAATATTTCAAAAACATTTCAAAGAGCTGTCCAGCACATAAACCAAATATGATGTCATTTGGTGGAATTCAATGTAATACTGACAAACATATGACAATGATATACAACTATATGTATAAGAGTTATTTAGACTTCTGCAGGAAAAGGCACTTTAGAGAGAAGGGAAGTGTATGACCTTTTGCCAACTTCTATCCCTGCCCTAAGGAAGAGTTTGGCCATTAACAAACTTTTTGTCTGGCTATGACATTGACATTTGACATAACAGATCAATGTGTTATTCCAAAGATGTCCAAGCAATGCATGGTTTCATACGATAACTGTGGCTATCAAACTGAGGCAAAATCTTGGAAAATTCCCATTTACACAGCTGGCTAATGAAACAAACAACAAACAAATTATCAATTTCTTTTATTTATATGCCCATATCACACATTGAACACTTCACATGATGGTTCCTGATGCAGTTTGAAATTTCCTCCTATTCTTCAATACTCATAACAGAGCGGGATAACTGTTCGCTTGAAAGCACCAGCAGACCAAGCTCACCAGTTCAGAGTTACTTGCCCTCAAACCTCCTTTTCCTTCTATATTGCCATGGAAAAACAGGAACCAGGATGAGGGGAGGCCACATGGGCTCTATCGCTGTTGCATTGTGTTAGTAGAATTGTGAACATTCTATTTGGTGTTTGGGTCCACATTTATAGACAAGTAGTCCCAAACATCATTCCTTTCAATTGATTACCACATGGCCAAAGACAACAATTTCTTCAACGTCCTTGAAGGGTCCCACTCTGACTTGGCATTGGTTGATCTTCTCACATTAGCCAGACCAGCCTTTGTGAGTGTGTCCCAGTGTCACTTGGCATACAACTTTTCGGTAGGCCCCCATTGAAATAACTGGACTCTCCTCATCGCTGTCTGCCAATAACTTCTGAAATCTGGAGGGGTCCTTCCAGACTGTCAACCTGGAGTACTCATCCGGGTATCTCAAGCTGGACTTCAGTTTCTGCAGAATTATGTATAAAGATTTTAGCAATAAAAAAGAATTGTTGCCACATGTACTTACAGATAAAAAGCAGCAAATTAACTTAATTTATCATATTTGAGTCTTGTTATATACGAAACATTTGAGATATATATTGTTCCACGCTGATGAGTTGAAACAATGATTAACTGACATCTCTTAAAAATGTTCCTAGCAACCTATGCTTGCCATACAAGCCAAAGTAATAGATGAGGTAGCAAGTGGGCTCATTGATGGCTCATAATCGTACCCCAATAACGTGGGATATTGTCCTTAACAGTCATCATCGGTGTGTCTGGATCGAGTTCATAACATTAATCACTGGTTTGTCTAGTTGAGATTTGAGATTTGATTATTTATAATCCTTGTCATTTACCTGAACTATTGCTGGATGTGGTGTTAAATGAGTGAGTTGGGTTTAATGCCTCTTTGAACAGTATTCCAGTTATATCACGGCGTGTAAGCTTGATGTGGGAAGAAAGCCTGAAGTGATGCAGGTCTTACATGTTTACCAATTTAATGAAACCCACAAGCAAGTGTATGATGCTACCCTCGATTCAAACCCACGACCATCGGGTCTAAGAGATGCAACTATGCACAGCAAGTTGTGGTGCCTTTGATAATTGGGCCATCCATGACAACAGGTGATAAAGAACAAGCAAACTGAAGAAATCTTTGCAGAATAGCTTCATGAACATGATGAACCAAACATAATAATTACATATATTTACCACTCACTGCTACTCTTCTCTTGTTCCTCATTGCTTCTCTTGATCCATTGATGCTGTGCAGATGACTGACCCATTTATTCATCCAGATATTCTGCAAACATAAGTAGCATTCACATTACAGAAATGAGTTGCACCCGACTTGCCTAAAATCTGACTCGCCTAAATAAATCTGACCCTACTCGCCTCAAAAATATATATAATATTTTGGTATGCGTTTGGCAAATATAACTTAGGTTAGGCCTAATGATCACAATTACTAGTATATTCATACACAAGTATGGAAATAATAAAAAAACAAAAACGTATCATCCATAGAATTTATCTTCTGTCATATTTACATCGGTTACACTATTGTGACCGAGACTACAACACTAACATTTAGGTACATTATGTGTATAAAATGCATTACTATGTATTTCTGATAGTTACATACTTATTCTAAAATACAAAAACCGACCGTAGTTCGCTCAAAAAAAATTTAGGCGAGTCGGGTCAAAATCTTTTTAGGCGAGTCGGATGTTTGAATTCAATTGAAAAGAGCCCAGTTGAGATTCCAACTTAGAACTGTCCTTATTAAAATATTTCATCCCTAACATTCAGAGATAAAACATAACCCCATATTAAACAACTGTCAAACAATTATTTGACAACGAAGCCAGGGTCATTCAACATACACTTTACATAGGGAATCACTTGTTGCAAAAAAGATCCTCGCCAAGGTCAGAGTCATTCCATGAAATATTGAATTATTAAGTTATGAAGCTTATACAAAACAAGGCCATAACAGTGTAATTATTAAAATATCTTAAAGGGGCACTGATCTAACGCAATTCCCCGGACTGGTTGTTGCCTTTGTTATTGTTTTGCCCCCGTGAGTACCCGGATGATACGCAACGCAACTGAGCGTGACCAGAGACTGGGCTACCGTCTGCAAGGACAGCTAAATAAACTTGGAGGCTGGAGGCAATATTTGTTTTACGCATTTTTGAACACTGATTAGTTTAACGGTGATCTATAAAGATTTCGACAAAAGGCGCATATTAATTAATTTCTTCAGCCTAAATAAACAGACAAAAAGAACGGCAGAGCTCATCGTATGTCGTCATTTGGAAATACCCCAGATGGTTATAGTTTAATAATATAAAAAGTATCCATGCAGTGAAAGCATTTTCGGATTTCGGATTGCGTCGATAATACGATTACTACTCACTTGTTGTCATCCACGTTTTCTGGTATAACCCTACACCTGTGTATTTGTCGTCATTCACTTGATGCTCAGTTAATGAATTTATTACAGGTACAATTAGTGGTAGCACCACTTAGATTACCTGACAAAGGTTCCCATTTGGCATTTATTGTGTCTGGGGTAATTATTCAATCTAAATCCAGGTTTGAAGTGAGGTGAAATGTGTGTTATGTAATATGCACGTGGCAGCCCAGCAAGAGGTGAATGATCAGTTCATTTACTTTTTTTTGTAAATCAACGGATCGTTCCTAGTCATCAAAGGAATAACAGAAAATATGTTGATTGATTAATCACTGTTATCTTGCACAGTGGATATGTCAAAAGGGAGTGTTTACATGTCTAGGTTTACTAAAACAAAGGGAATACACTCATATCATGGCTTGAAGTGTCGATGTAAAAAAAACATACTTTGTTCAAAGGGTTAACTAATAATACGTTGATCGATTGCTCATTGTTATCTATCACTCAATGGATTTTTTAGGAACCGTGGACGTTATGAAAATAGTTGTCACGTGGGCTTTCTCAGCCGACCCTTGAGACTTGACACCTATGTGAAACACCTGAAACAATCTAAGTGATCAGTTGAGAAAGGAACACGGGTTATAATATCCTGAAACAATGTATATCTTTAAAAATATTTGATTGTTACAGAGACACGTGACATCAAATAAGTTTCTTTGTACAGCTGCAGACGAGTGGGATATTGTTCCTTTGTGTGGATATTCACGGATACATTCCTCGAACAAGGAAGCTGCCCAAAATTTATACACATAAATTTGGTAGGTTGTAATAATGGTATTTGCATTTTGTTTTCCTTCATTTGCTGTAGCATTGAACCGATTCGTTCTTGTTCCTCTACGTCTTGGTTGGGAAATTCTTCAGATTGACTAAAATTGATTAAGACGATCAAAAGGGCCTAACAACATCACAACAGATTATTATGTTGGCTTAGAAGCCAAACAACATAGAAATGTACTTTTCAACATAACATTTTCAGTCTCTTGGTGATGACATTAAACATCAAAATGTTTGGAATTCGTTATCATAATAATACAGATGGAAATGTTTTTCAGTCACTTTGTAAAATAACTGAATATTTAGGCGTTTAATAAATTTGAAAATGTTACACATTTTGACAGTAAAAAAATATACACACTATAAAAAAAAGCAATGCTCAGGTGAAATATTTACTTTGTGTTGCAAGTCAAAATAGTGTAAACGAAAATTGCAAAATTACCAAGCAAGTGACTTATCAAAATTTCGTAACCATTACCGATGCTACCCGCAAAGATACCTACATTATTATCTCGAAAACTGTATTTCATTTTGTTCATCAATGTGACCATACGCCCTTATTACTACCCATAAAAGTGACTAATGCGCTTACGAATGGCGCAGCAGAGGTCGCGAACTAGTCTAGATTTCTGCTATACATCCGGGTACTCACTGGGAAAAAACAATAACAAAGGCAACAACCAGTCCCGGGGAATTGCGTTCGATCAGTGCCCCTTTAAGCGTCAAAGAAAATAAAGTCTTTGTTGGCCATTATTGTAAATTATAGTCTGTATTAGCATCCCAAGAAAGTTTAGAGTTAATAATCGTTCCTAGATCTTTGTACTTATTAACAATTTCAATTTTCTTCATTATCTATAAAAAGCGGATCTAATTTGGATCATCTTGTTTAGACCACAAATTCATTACGCCCCTTATGCAAATCCTTGTCGTCATAACAAACAGTTGACCATGATACTGAAAAAGGACCCTTGACGTTTACAGTAAAGTATGTAGAGCAGGAAAATATCTAAATCAATCCGTTTCAAAAGATATCTGCACAGAAATCATGGAACATAAGCTCACGAAGCCCTGCCACGTACCTGGCATCCGCACTTGCTGCCAGTCGCCTTTCCAAATACTGTTGACTTCCGCGTTGTGGATGGCTCAGAGGAATTTCGACCGGGATTTCCGTGGTGGAGGTGAATGAGAACAATGTATCGATACACGAGGTAAGCTTATCGTAATCAAGCATCACAGTGTATATCGAAACACGAGGTTTGCTTACATCCATGTTCTAAAATGGCGCCCTGGACCGTTGGGGAGTTATGGGTATTTTGGCTTGTTCCGGGTTTAACACTAAGCTGGGCCCCGTCTTTAATATCACAATATTGTTTGGTGCAAGTTGACGACGCGCATAGGGAGCCGGGAACCAGCTTTGGTTAACACGACATAAGCTGGTTCCCGGCTCCCAATGCGCGTCGTCAACTTGCGCCAAATTATATTAGAGACGAGGCGCAGCTTATACACTGAACACGATCGGTCATTTCGTCAAAATTGGCCAAATATTGAGATTGCAGCTGATCATGCTGGCAGCTAGGAGACACATTCAGGTAGGGAATATGTGAATATTACAATGATCACGTATTAAAGTCATTTACCACATGTAATCCACTCACATGTGACTCATTAACATTTATAACCAACATGTAAGTAAATGTGTGATTTTATTTTTATAGGACAAGTAGCCTGTCTATCATGTGTTAGTATTTGCTTATGTATATAATGTAGAAATATGTTTACTTTTAACTGGATACTTTGTATGATTATGTGACTCACTGTCTTATTTCATATACTCCCTTTAATCTGTGAGAATGATTAATAGCCTCAAATTATTTTTCCAGATGTGAAGCATCAAGAACAGATTTAATGACAGGGAAGTTTTGCATCAGTGAACATTTTCACTTGAACTAGTTGAACAATAACCATGATGACAACTTTATCATGGGGTAATTTTTGGTCGTGGGGTAGCCTAGTGGTTGAAGTGTTCACTCTTCATGCTGAAGACCCAGGTTTGATTCCTGCCATATAGCTGCGATATTGCTGAGTGCGGCGTTAAACATCAAACAAAGCTAACAGCCGCATACTTACTCATGTGGGGATTCCAGGTTGAAGTTGGTCCCCATCAATATGTTCAACCTATGCTAGTTGTGAGAAATAAATTAATGGATTGGGTGATCAGGCCTACAGCAGTTTTAAACATATTTTTTTCATAGTGAACTGGATTTGCAAACAAGCCGATGGCTTATCTAAATGATGCTCAAATACAAAATTAGCATGAATAAAATACTAATTCTATACTATTGCAAACTATCAGTTGAGCAATAATGTTATCATCTGATTATAAGTAGATAATGAAGGAAAAGTCCATATTGATTAAATCTACCAGATTCTGAGATAAATGCACGTATTGATTGATTTATTTCAATGTTTTCCTGTACATAATTTTCAACAAAACCATATAAAGCTTTCTTATATCATATCCATGCTGTATAATAATACCTATTATTTCTAATAATAGCATAATTTGGACACACAAATAAGTAATGAACGGTATTTTTATGACAGGTGCCACATGTGCGGGATAGGTCATTTGACATGAATCAGTTTTATGTGAATTTAAATCACTACAAGCTGATCTGAGTCATGAAAGGATATGACTTTGATTCTGTGAAAGTGGAAATGCTAAAACATCTCCCGATATTAACCATGCTATTACAGAATGTGTTCACTTGTTTTTGTATGTAAAATATTTTTGAACAATTACATCTGTCTAATGATTGTGTGTATGTGTGATATGCCAGTATGTAGAGGTATATGTGTACAAGCATGTGCATACGCGTATAAAAAATATGTATGTTTGGCTATGTACCAGTATATGCTTGTGTGTTGTTTTGTGCGACTTGTATATTAGCATCATCATAGTTTCAACAGACAGTTCATGTATATCAAATGTTAAATGTCTTTGTAGGGAGAATTGCATATCAAAACTGTCATTATTTTATAACTGATAAGTAGAACTTTTTAAGTAGAAAAAACTATTATCTGGCAAGATACATTTCCTTGGTCCACAGAAACATGTTACCTAGTAAACTGACTTGATAAGTAGCATAGCAGTCAGTGTGGTTGGAAACTAACTAAGCCGTCACTACTCAATTAAGTAATTAACAGACAATTGCAAGTGATAATACCCATCCGACACTAATTGCCCTGTTAATCCCTAATCCACCATGAGTTGACATTGAGTTCATCTTGCTAATGAGCTGTTGTGAGCGTGACGAGAAGATAAACATCAAAGATGGGGCAGGCTTTGATCATGTCTTCTGTAGAAGAGATGATGTCACTTGTTTAATGTTTATTTAGGATTAGCTACATCCCTTGATGCTACCAAGGCCATCCTTGAGATTATCAGACAGTTTGTCTGGATACAACCTGATGTCTCAACTGTACTTATTGGATTCTATGTGTGTGACAAGGACTTTGACCACTCTGTGCAGATGCATAACAATGTATAATTAACTTGGGGTATGATTCAATTATGTCACGCAAATCAAAGATGGGTTCCACTGTATTTAGAAACAGACGATAGATCCAATACTGTGTAACTTTATAACAATCAAATGAGTATTCAAATAGGAATACACATATATTTACAATTACCCTTGAAAAGTTCCAAAACCGAATAGAACTACTTTAATTATGACTACACTTGACCAATATATTTGGCAGTTTTTCCCGTTATTGTTAAACCTCTATAAAGATAGACAAATGATAAAAATATGATAATGATTTTACTCATGAATATTGCCAGTAGCCGAATTAAGGTCCCTTAAATGTAATATCCATAGTTTTTAGTTGATGGTTCAGGTGGTTCTTTTCAGTTGATTTTTTGTATCAGTGTCTATTTTGGCCTACCTATTAATGGTAGATATTAAATATCAATAATAAGTGAGATAATTATTTCCAATGTGGCTACCATTGCAACACAAGCAAGGAACGATTCAAATTAAGCCTGATTCAGCTGCTACATTGAAATGTATTTGCTCCTCTATTAGTAAATCAATAAGTTGTATAGTGACTTGATATTTGGCGAAAATATCTGTTGTATGAAATCCTAATGTTACTTACTTTTGTATTTGGGATGATATTTGTATTTGGTCGCCTAGTGGGTAATGCGTTCTCCAAAGCCCCAGGTTCTATTCCCCCCATGGGTACTGTGTGAAAAGCCCATTTCTGGTATCCCCGCAGATATATTGCTGGAATATTGCTAAAAGCTGTGTGAAACTATACTAACTTGCTCACTCATTATATAGTATTTTGAGATCGCTTACATGACTTGTGTGATTGATAGTTTTGAAAATTATGAATAGTTCTGTTTTTATGTATAAGAACCTATTTTATGCAATTTTGCATCGCTTTGTTTACCCTTCCTTATATTTTGATGTAATGCAAACATTTGAGAAAAATTCAGGTGAGCCTTATGGCACTACAGGAATTGTTTTCAGAAGATCAGTTACAATTTTGTATTTTCTGTAAAATTTACTGTTTGCTATGGCTTTTTTACATTGGTTAACATGGTTAAATATCAGTTGCTTGATAAATTGTCATTACCTTACTGATTGAGAAACCAACTTTTTACCCTTTGTCAATATATGTGTGTTTCTTATATTTTTAATAACAAGCTTTTAAAGATGTTATAAATTGTTTCAGGTACCTGGATTTCACAATGACACTAGATCAGACAAGTCATACAAAGGACTCTCCGGATGATGAATAATCCTCCCCAGAACAACTAACAGGTTCACCTCAGAAAGTGATGATTCTGAATCAATAGTGCCACATCAGTGTGATTCTGTAGGTTGTTTTATTACGATACTAATCAAGTCTAAAGGAATTAATACCACAGCAGTGTGACTATGTTTATGTGGTGTACACTGACGCTGACTATACAAATCTGAATGACTTTTGTTGTTTACTGCACAAACATAATTGACTTGAGATATTCTTCTACCTTGAAATTCTTCTGAGATTTGACTAATTTGTTTATTTAGAAAATGGCATTGAAGCATCTGTTTCTGTTTTTGAAAGTTCTTGCAAACACCTCTGGTTACTGAACCAATGAAATGTCATAAAATCAATAAATATGATTTTTTATCCTAACAAATTCTTTGTTTTGCTTCTTTAAGAAATATGATATTGATCATTCATAACATAGGTGCTGAACATATATCAAATATACTAATGCCCTGAATGTTTTCCTACAATTAATGTATCCCCCGCCGTGATGTTGCTGGAATATTGCTAAAAGCGGCGTAAAACCATACTCACTACAATTAATACAGCTCACTGAACAAAGTTTTTAGTTCTATGTCAGTAGAAAAATTACATTGATATTTTTATGTACCGGTACTTTATTAGGTGTTTTCTGTGGATGCCATTAGTCTTATGCACCTATTTGGGTCAATTATATTCTGTTTCAAACTTCAATGAAACTCGTCTCTCAAGATGTAACAAGTACTGATACAGTTCCAAAAAGATCTTTTAATCTCACCAGGATTAAAGGCCCAAGTGAGCACATAGCCAATGACTTTCATTTTTTGTGAGAGGGAGTATGGTGTTATGCCACTTTATGAGCAAAATTCCAACAATATCATGATGGGTGACACCAAGCAATGGGCTTCACACATTGTACCGATGTGGTGAATCGAACGCTTCAACCACTAGGCTAGAACAAACTGGGAATATGAAGATGAAATGTAAGGATACCATCATACCAGGACTGAATGCTTTTCATTTGATATGCTGAACATCTAAAATGAAATATATATGAACTTGAAAAATGTTTTCACCAAAAGTACATGCCCATAGATCTCAACTTTAAGGGGATATTTACAACTAAAATAACACAGAATATTACTACAGCTATCTGTTATGCCCAGATTAACATTATTTACCAGGAGAAAGAAATCTCGAAAAATTGCATCCGGATAACTGCCGAATACCTTCCGGATACCTTCAGCAATGTTCAATTTTCATGGTTAGTTTCCAATATATTTTTAGGTGTTTCACACTTAATTGAACAAAATGCACCCCCCAAATTGTGACATGTTTTTGGTTACTCAGAGTGAGGTATCCGGTGCCGGATCCTTGGACACCCAGATTGAGGTATCCGGTGCCGGATACCTGGATTCCAGGTGGCATACTTTCCGGTGAGGTGTTCATGCCGGTGGGATCTGGTATCCGCCAAGGTATCTGCCACCGGATACCCGGACGTGTTTTGGGTAAGTGTCCGGAGGTATCGGGATACCGGAAACTGCATTGTATTTGCTGTGTTAGTTCCAGAGAAGAAGTCGCTTAAAGCAATAACGCCAAATTACCCCTATTTCGCCCCGCCCCTCAGCCCCACTGTGTCAGCCCCACCATTTGTACCAGTTTGAATCCTCACCACCGGAGAGTGCTTCCAACCAAATATGGTTGATATCTATCTGTTAGTTCCAGAGAAGAAGTCGCTTAAAGCAATAACGCCAAATTACCCCTATTTGGCCCCGCCCCTCATCCCCACCATTTATACAATTTTGAATCCTCACCACCGGGGAATGCTTCCAACCAAATATGGTTGATATCTATCCTTAGTTCCAGAGATGAAGTCGTTTAAAGCAATATAGCCAAATTACCCCTATTTGGCCCCGCCCCTCAGTCCCCTGGGGGTGACAGCGCTACCATTTGTACAATTTGTAATCGTCATCACCTTGGGATGCTTCCAGTCAAATTTCGTTAATTTCCAATTGGGGGTTTGAAAAAGTTGTTGACGTACGAATGACGGACCTTCGGTGAGCTAATAATAATTACTCGTTTGCCTCAACAGTTCCCAGGTGTAATTGACGACTTGCAGTTATCACGAATGTTGGGTGATTATCAAAATGCAGATGTGCGGCTTAATCGAATTAATAGAAATGGAAACTCCGCCTTTTTAACATATATTTGTGGACATATTGTGTAAATTGTACATTCGGGATGAATGTTTTTCTAGCTAATTATTTTCTCAAGTTTGTTTTATTTTCATACGATCGAAACGTATTGTAATGTCTTAGTATAGAATACCTTAGGGAATATTGTATTCAGTATGATATTTGAGTGGTACTGAAATCAGTTCAAACAAATGGTAGTTAAACGCCCATCGTTTTATTAAAGTGTGTGCACAAGACAGTGTACATTACATTATTAGATACACACATGAACGTGGTCATACTATATCACAAGAGGTGTGTAATTGGCGATCTATCGTTGTACTTATGTAACAGATACATGGTCATGCACTAATATTTTCTGACAACATTCACATGATCATCAGACAAGTATCGGTACTCACACTAAAATTGTTAAACGTTCAGAATAATCCCGGAAATGATTTACAGAGCTTGAAGAAACGTATGTACCACTGATACTGAATGACAGGCAACATGGTTATTTATATGTTGGTTGGTTGGTTTGTTGTTTAACGTCGCACTCAGCAATATTCCAGCTATATGACTACGGTCTGTAAATAATCGTTTCTGGACCAGACAATCCAGTGATTCATATCATGAGCATCGATCCATGTAATTGGGATCGATGACATGCATCGACCAAGTCAGCGAGCCTGACCACTCGATCCCGTTAGCCGCCTCTTCCGACAATTATAGTCACCTTTTACGACAAGCATGGGTTGCTGAAGACCCATTCTACCCCGGATCTTCACGGGTCTTATTTATATGTAATGTTGTTTCGGGGAAATACCACACGATACACTGCTTCAGTAGTGAGTTATAATGAGAGACACTTGCATACTAGGATGAAGGATTGGATAAGTAAACATTGTACATAAAAGTGGATCGTCAGCAGCATCTCTAGAAGCCGCCAACATATACTCTTCCTCCATTCACATATACTCATCTCCCGTGCTCCCCACGTGAAAGGCTGTAGCCACGTTTGCGATGTATTTACCAAGTTTTTTCTGTGGCACAAACAACTGATCATGATCCATCTTGACTCAACCAAGGCCAGTCATCGTTACCCTTAATATAATTTAATGTTCTATTTCTCCGACGGGCGGTGGGGTAGCCTAGTGGTAAAGCGTTCGCTCGTCACGCCGAAGACCCAGGTTCGATTCTCCATATGGGTGCAATGTGTTAAACCCATCTCTGCTGTCCCCCGCCGTGATATTGCTGGACTATTGCTAAAAGCGCGTAAAACCATACTCTCTCACAATTTCTCCGATTGACTGAAACCAGTAACCGTTTCCTCTTGTTATCTCTACATGTATCATTATCTGGCCGCCTCACTGTCTCATTATCTACGGACGAAAGTGACATTGAATTTTATTTACATATGGAGTGATCTACAATGCATACTACATAAACACAAATAAACAAGAACTGTTCCTGGGGTTATACATAAACTACAGAAAGTAGACAATATATTATTATCTACGCATATCATATATAGCAAAAACTACTTCCATTGTTATTCAACAGCAATCATCTTTTTCAAATTCCAAATGCTGATGTGATAACATATTTCAGTAAACCCTCAAAGTATCAGCGTTCCAGGATAATCCCAAGTTAATCTGAAATAAAAATAGGACTAAATTTAATGAATAGCTTCAATTGTATAGTATGATACGACATTAAGGGAATATTTATCTACCACGATTTGAACGGACTGCATATTACACTAGTATGTTGATGCATCCTGCAAGGCAAGGAAATATGCATACCGGTGAACCGTTTCCGTATATCCGTGGTCGTGTTCTCCTCTACAGATCTCTCAATGTTGTTCCGGAAGGATATTCTGAAACTGTTTAGTAACCACGTATATCACATACTTCAACATGTCAATGATTAAATTTATGGTACTGAATACATGACTATTAATGTTTACATTTAATACGAGGAATACCCAACAACAATTCGTAAAACCATAAATTAATCTATTTATGAATAAATGTTCATAATCAAATGATGTGTTTTTAATATAAATATTTCGATATAGTTTTCTGAAAGCCAAGTCAATATCCTATCTACGATTGTACCTTAGACCATTCCTGCTAAGCAGGCATGACCCCATCTGCCGTTTCTTGTACTCGGCCATCATCTTAGCATTCTCAGCCTTCGTGTAATCCTGCCATCCATGTATTCCATCGTTTCTCTGCCACACAAACGGTCTGTCAGTTTCTGGTCGGGCCTGCTTTTCTGAATACAACACAGTAGACGTTCATTGTACCAGATACAATAACACATTTAGTGTTATTAATGCTTGTTGGTTCAACTTGTTTAACGCTGCATTCAGCCATATTCCAACTATATGACTGCGGTCTGTAAATAATTGAGTCTACACCAGACAACCCAGTGATTGACATCATGAGCATCGATCTACGCAACTGGAATACGATGACTTGTATCAACCGAGTCAACGTACGAGCCTGACCATCCGATCCCATTAGTCGCCTCTTACGACAAGCATGGGTTGCTGAAGACCAGTTCTAAGCTGGATCTTCACGGGTATGCTATGGAATGAAAGTGAATAATGTTAATGAATATGATAAACAACGAGAAACCAGAAAAAGGTAGCCTGTTCATGTATGATAGTCATTTAAAAGGTAGAACCTTCCGGCGTTGTAAGAACTGATCATCACCTGTGTTTTTGAGGTGGCTAGGTGTGTGGCTGGTATCTCTCGCCCTGGCGGAATGTGGGGACGTCCCCTCGAGCAGGCAAGCAAAAGGGTCCCTACAGGTATCATACCATGGAGCAATTTAAAGCCTTTAGAATTTCATTCACTCCATGTCACACAGTATATATGGAATAATGAAAAGAGTTAGTCGTGACATAAACAATACATAAAACGTTAAACATTAATATATCATATTAAAGGAGTTCTGATATTTACAAAAAATGGAGGACAAGGACCTAAGATGCTAAGATATATCGTCAGTTTACATTTGATCCATGTACTATAACATTATTTTTAGACTAAGTGATATATTCAACTATAAAGAGTATAGTGGAGGAACATACCTCATTGCCACGTCGTACATATTGTTTTCCCCAAATCTGTACTGGTGCATATTTCCATTGTTCCATCTCACCTACAAACATATCACATACGACACATTAAGCTCTTTCATACACACACATTGTATTATTGATGTCCTGTTCCCGTTTTTCGTGGTGACATGAAAATGCGTTCTTTAGTCAAAATTTGCATACAATGTTAACTCTAATAAGCCGGCTGCTTTGTGGGTGAGTGAGTGAGTGAGTGAGTTGGGTTTAACGTCCGCTTTGAACAGTATTCCAGTCATATCACGGTGTGTCAGTTTAATGTTGGAGGAAAGCCCGAAGTGATGCTGGTCCCAGACGTTTACCACTCTGACGATACCCAAGAGCACGGGTATGGTGCTGACAAACATAGTTATGCCGAACCGGGATTCGAAGCCATGACTGCTGAGACATACAATGTAGGAATGGTATCACTACGGGAAACATAAGGCAAAACCTTCAACAATATCTCAACCTAACTAGCTGCGTCTTTTCATTCTGTGGCTTAAAAAGCGTAAGCTTGAGACAAGATAAAAGAGGACAATCACCATGATTCTTTGTCCTCGTCTTCTTATGACTGCTCCATGACTCCCGACCCCGCCATCCTGGTTCCCATACGAGTCCTGCCAGTCTGGACCTGAAAAAAACCCAATAGTCTCACTTCACTCTCACCTCACTCCTACTGTAATATTTGCAACATTAAGATCTTAATGCAAATGGAGATTTCAATATTCAAAATAATTAAGCTATGTTGATTTTCAGATGGCGCGTTTAATAGACACCAATGCAAAATGCAAAACTCAAATGCAGTAAAATTTAATTTCCAAGGTCCCGGAAAATCGATATTTCTTAAAGACGTCTTAATGCTGCGCACGAGTCAGTCTCACTGTATTTTAAATTTTATATTGATATTCATACAGAAATGTCTGGTAATGAGTATGTCTGCCGCTGAAATTAGGCTCATTCGACAAAAGATTTCAAAGGAAATTAGGAAAAAAGTTTCCGATGGACGGATGACGTCAGGTTTACCGTTCAGGTGAGCCGGAAACAGTAAAATGTTTGACAAATAACAACATGCACACATAGCTTTAACAATGCTCAGGTTAGCCGGAAACAGTAAAATGTTTGACAAATAACAACATGCACATATAGCTTTAAAAATGCTCAGGTTAGCCGGAAACAGTAAAAGGTTTGACAAATAACAACATGCACAAATAACTACAACAACGCGTCTTGTTTACCTCGTTCCACTTGTACTCCTATCTCAACCCTATGGCTATCACCAAATGTCCGCGGTTGGTCATCCACAATCAGTACATCGAACTCGTTTGGACCACATCTGTAAACGTTACGATGACCACTGTCCCATAACACCCACACACTTGCTGAAAATTACATAGGTTTAAGAATGACATTATGTGCTACAGCAAAACTGGCCAAGGAACATTACGGACCTTACTACGCAAGAGAGAGAGTGAGTGAGTGATTTGAATTCGACTCCGCTTTGAACATCATTCCACTTATATCGCGACGTGTAAGCTTGATGTGGGAGGAAAGCCCGAAGTGATGGTCAATCTCATGGTGCTTACACACCTAGAAAGTTAATCAGATCGAACCTGGAGTCGATAAACTGGTATAAAGAAGATGTTGGACTAACGTGGACTTTATTATTTATTATATATTACATGTACACCGAGTGAACATTTGCCTCAGTTTTGTATTATATGCTTGTAATATTTGGTAATGTCGCTCAGAGGTAGCAATAAATCATAGTGTTGCCAAACGGTAGCATTTGTCCTTATATATATATACGCCCATTTAATATGTCAGTGATCTGAATGGTATTGAATTTACGGCCATCAGTATCGTGGTTGATGACTGTCCCCGGCCCCTCGGAGTCTTGGTTTCCCCACTTCCAGTCTGGCCCACGAACTACTCTACTGCCCAGTGGGGGGACGTCATCTCTTGTTGTCATGTTATCAAAGCTGTCAAGAGCTCCGAGATCGTCTGTCACGTTGTGGATGTTGTTTTTGACCAATGTTGAAATCTCTTCCTGAGATGGAAAGATGGAAAAAACAAACTGTAAAATGTTCAATCAAATCAAATAAGGTTAAAAGTCAGACACACAACACAGAACAAGCGTACAGATCAGTCTCACCTTTTCTGATGTGGTCAAAGTGTCACCTAAGGCGTCAATTATCGTTTCCATTTCACTTTGAACATTTTCTGAATCGGTATCCCGACCTCTCATGTACACCAACACATTACTTGCAATCCTCTGTAATTAATAAACACAGTTACAATAGTTTACTGATATATAATACAATGAACTCAAGATGGGCAATTGAACACCAGTCATGCAGGCAACTGCATTTATATAGTTTCATTTGTTTCCGCCACTTTAAGTAAATGCCTAGGTTTCTAATGTAATTTTATTTCCTGAAAAAGATCATTGGTTATTGCATAGAACACTGAAATGTACTCTTTCTTCTGTGTGTGTTACAGATCGTAACAATCCAGCACATTCAGTAAATTATCTAACGTGTCACCCTCTAGATTGGTCCTGCATCATCACTGTGGAATATATGTATTTTATGAAAACAAATCCAATCTAGATTTATATGAAAGCAAGTCTAGCCAGCTCAAGCCAGCTCTATTAGTTTAGGACTTTTGTTTTAATTTTAGAGTAGAGAAATGCATTGTGTAATAAAAGGTTTCATAGACTGTATGTTAGTCTACCTGTAATTACTAGAACCAAAGTCTGCTGTGTGCATACTTCATGTTACTCGAGGTAATGTGTAACCGTTACCTACCCGTAGTCGTTGATGGTTGCAAAGTGTCTTCACGTCTTTACCTTCGATCAGTTTTCCTTGGCACAACTTCACCATAGATTCGAGAAAACTCTGCATTGTTGATAACAAATGGTAAAATAATACATGACGGGAATTGTATAAATAGTGAACTCTCAGTCGTACAGCAGTACAGGCATTCTAATGTAATGCGAGTGTTGATCGTAGATCACTGCGAGCTTCACATTAGATTGTTAGATAGGAGAGAGGGTCAAATGTAAAAACACTGTAATACTTCTAATGGTACATACTCTCTAACCTACAAGGATATCAAGTAGTCAAGATTTCCAAGATGTCGACCGTTCATTCAGTAAAATGTATTCAGCCCATTTCAACAGTCTTGTCATACCGAATTTTCGGTGTTCCATGCTTTTAAAGAGTATTGAACACCCCCCCCCCCCCCCCCCCCCCCCCCCCCCACACACACACACCCCTTCAACACACACCGAAATCCAACATCGTCGTATGTAGGGAATCGAACTCGAATGTATCAGGATGTACCCCTTTGTCATTGCTGACAAATATCAAGTATACACATTTAAAAGGTAATACATTTTAGCTACCGACTTGACATTTACACATAGGCTTGTGAGATGTCTGAGTAGGTCCTAATGCAATATTGTAAACGCAACTTACTAAAATATATGAATAAAGAGTCAAAAAACCTACAGCTAATCAGCTAAACTCACCCTGTCGGCGTCACCTATTGGTATCCATATAACTGGATTTACTATAGACATCCTTGCCTGTTCACTTCCTAAAGCTCCAACTGCACCAATGAGACGAAGTTTATCCTGAAGCCCGAGAATGAGAGAAATGCATACACACTTGATATATGCTGTCTCACTGGTGTGTAAAGATCATTCCAAATTCAAACAACATGTACTTTAGAAAAAAACTCCAAACAAAGGACTACAGAGATCTGCCATAATACACTTGTTTGTGCAATATCAAGACAGAGAGTCATCTTACTTTCTCAGATGTGAAGAATGTGTCTCGCGCAGTTTCTGGTAACTCTCCAGATGCCAGGCCATCAGTTATGAACACAACCCTAGGTGGAACCATAAGGTATCCCATTCTGCAGATGCCACCTTGTACAAAAATGCCAATAACATGTTTGAGAAATAGAAACACAAGCCATTTTCGGTTAACATTCAATAAAACACAACCAATCAAGAAGGATAAAAGGTGTTTCGAAAGATTGGATTATCTGACTATTTCTTATGTTGGAGTGGAGATAGGTGGATATAACTGAATATATTACATACATTAATAGTGACGGGGTTTGCCAGACACGACATTGTAACAACGATACAAGATGAAGAAGTTGTATAAGGATAAGGAACGCACCTTTTGAAAGGCAGGCAAGGGCTACCACCAGTGACTGGAGAAGGGGAGAGGGACCTCCTCGGCTTACGTTGTCTGATGAGAAATGCATGTTTCATTTGTAACATTGACGACTTTCTTGTGAAATGTTACCTGTGAACGTATTACTATAGTTGCATGTTTCTCGACAATTCCAAACAAACTGAGTCTGCATTTCATTTATTAGGCTCATTATTGCAATCAAACCTACCAAGCGCATCCCGTAGACTTGTATAGTCATTTGTAAGGTGGTGTAGTACTTTAGCCTTTCCTCCGAATGTGACCAAAGCAACGTTTTCCTCAATGTCATACTTTTCAGCTACGTCTTCAATACCTAGTGAATTGATAAATCTAAAATATAACTTGACACAATCACTTGATTTCAATACAAAAACTGTTTCACATCATATACGTTAGTTGTCGACCACATATACAAATATATTTAACGTAATTAATACTACCATCAATGAAGTCAAGGACCATATTCTTCATCTGTTCAAATGCCTGTTCACTGATACTACCAGACGTGTCAAGACAAAACACTGTGTCCAGGCCAGCTTCAGCTCTCAGTGAACCGTCGTCTTCTGTAACCACACGCAAGGAAACGGGTATTACATGTATTGTTAATATGAATACTAGTATTACAGTACATATTTGATATGTCAATATATTCACATAATGCAGGAAAAAACTTGATAACCATTCTCTTATTAAATCAAGTGCAACGCTGGCATATCCTGCTTCTGCATTATGTGATGATCGTGAAACGGGGTAAAGTCGCGTCTAAGATTATTGTACTTATATAGCGACGTGCATGCACGCGTGTGTATGTTCGTCCGAATTTTTAGTGTTATCCCATTGAAGAGCCGACCAGTGATAACCCCTTAATGCCGAGCACCAGGTAGGGTAACAACAAGTACAATCTTTTAACGTTTTTTGGTATAACGCAGGGATCGAACCCCGGACCTTCCGCTCTCCGAGCAGACACTTTGCCACTAGGCCACTGAAACGATCTCTGCATCATGTAGATAAGTACATCATACCTTCATCCAGTACATCTTCCACGCCGCTCCACAGCCTTGTGTCATCCGGGTTAGCGCAAATGAGACTCTGAACATCTAACAATGGCCGTTTTCTATCTTTTGACGGTTCGCCAGATCTTTTCTTTTCCTTTGTAATTTGCACAAGGGATTTACCACTAAAACAAAAAAATTTACTCAGAACAATGTTTATATTTTTCGTTTGGAATATAAAATATTAATGTGTGATATGTTGAAAGTGATATGCACGTTCTCATATTCCATTTTTATAACGGAATTACCTGGAGAGACTCTTCAAGACATCTTCCCTATCGACTGTACCATCGATGTGACCAGTAAGCCCCCTCAGATGTGCCAGAAATGCTTCTTCTCCTTCACGCTCTTCCTTCCACTCTTCTTCCTTCAAATTAGCAAGTGTCTTTACCTTTTGACCTTCACCTTTTCCAAAAGGTTTATGCTTCGGCCTGTCCTGACCTGCTTTCAAGCGATCAAGTGTCATTACATTGCCTGAAGTTGAACTCGTAAACAATCGAGTATTTTTTCTGGAATATGCCGTCTGAACTTTCGGCAGAGCCGTCCTATCAGCTACTTTGCCGCCACCCCTCAGCTTCGCAGGAGACCGGGCTGTTTCAGATTGAGAAGTGGATTCTGGTTTTGTCCTTGCAAGTGCAGTAGCATCTGAACCTGTACCACGGCCATTTTCCAATGTTTGAGTTGCATCTGGTCTGTCATCCTTGCGAACAGGCTTGGATGTTTGGACATGGTTCCTTGGGCCCCCTTCCTCAGCTGAAGAGATGTTATCATTACTATGCAACTGATGGCCAGAACCCGAAGTTGAAGACGATGTGTGACTCGGCACAACATCTTCTGTTTCATGGTAGTCTTTGAGTGTTGATCTTGGTACCTCACTCGTCTCAAGACCTTGTGTCAAAAGTTTCTTTTCTTCAGCTATGACTTCTCGGATCTCAACGCTGCTCGAACCTGCTGTGAGTGTACGTAGTACACGAGAGATTGTCGACATAATCTCATTATTCTGCTGCCTGTGGAGGGCGAACTGAGTTTCAATAAAACGCTTTTGCTCGGTCATTGCTTCATCTATCACGGCAAACTTTTCTTTTGTGGACATTCTACTCTCCTTTCCTGTATTTCCTTCCAGTGTAATACCATGTCTGTAAATTGAAAGATGAATATGTTTTATGTGAAAACACTAAAGTGTGTGATGTTTTGGATGTATAAAGCAACATCATAGAGTAATTATACACTTTTAAATAGGGTTTCCTAATAAACCTATCCAGCTAGTAATATATCATTATATACCCTCATACGCAAACCAATGGTGGATAGCATGAGCAATGATCCCCGTGTCAGGAACGATGACCTACAATCAGCCAATTCATGATCACACATCATGAAACCCAATCCTGAATTTAATGAAACCTAACTACAAGAATGGGGTACAATAGGCATTCGGGGCCGGGCGGAAAAGAGGAGGACACTTTTACCTGGTGGGCAGACCGCTGGTTCTGTGCTCTCCAAATCCGACATGAAAAGAAGTACAAGTGTCTCTGTTTTCTCTTGTAACTTTAAGGGCCGTTTTGATCTCAGGTTTTGAACGCACGCAGTTTGAAACAAGACACCGTAAAGCATTCATTAATTCCTTTCCCTCTTTGATGAACAGGTCATACTCAGAATGACGAAATGTAAAAGCAATGGGGTGGATCTTCACTGTCAGAAGTTTGACAGTTTGGTGCTTATGTACATCCCGAATGAATGCATGTAGTTGCGTCGGATCCCGAATCAGGGCCTTACAAAATTCCTCATCGATTCGATCAGGATCTTCTAATTTCGGCTGTGTGAGGGTTAGTGTTGATGTTATGGAACCAAGATTTTCCCCCCAGTGAATACAGGCAAGAGTGTCTGAAACTGCGATGAAAAGCACAAATTAAGTTTTGTAGTCTATAATACAGATTATGAAAAATATCCGAAACATTCCATGCAAGTCCATATAATATTTTAGCAACTTAATGTTATTCTGATATAGGAAATGGACATGTTTAAGTATCCATTACTACATCATACGATAATATTCGTCATGTCCTATTACCAAGGAGCAATACAATTCTGTACACATATTTGACCTGCTTATCCCTAAATTTATGATATACATTTACATTAAGTGCACCTTAGGGGGAAACCATTTAATTTTCCGTGGGGCTGGGTTGGGATGAGAACAAAAATAATGTGTTCTTTTGTTGTGGACAAGTTTCCAAAGAAGACAGTTTCTTCTTCTTATTAAATTATGAACACCCAACTGAGCATTTGTTAGTAACGGGGAAAAATGATGGAGTTTCTGATCATTAATAAAAAATGCTCATCTCAAACCAAAATATCTCCCCCTCCCACGTTAAAAATAAAAGACTGTACCCTTATTGCACAGACGACTGATTCGTCACATGTATACAGCATGCTATGATTAAAAGCCGCATCAAAGGGGATGAAGTGGAATAGCGCCATTACCCTGTATCCTCTCTCCTCTGTCGATTGCATCTGACAACACCTCATTTACATACACATCCACAACAGGAAAAGATTCATTTTTTGCAACAATTTTCCCTCTGTGATATTCTCGGAAGTGCAGAGAGTCCATGGTATTCTTACTGAAAATGGAATAAGCATGTTTCACTCACGACAGGTTCAAAGATTGGAAGGTATATTATAAAGTGAGTGAGTATGGTTTTACGCCGCTTTTAGCAATATTCCAGCAATATCACGGCGAGGGGCACCAGAAATGGGGTTCGCACATTGTACCCATGTCGGGAATCGAACCAGGGTCTTCGGCGTGACGAACCACTAGGTTACCCGACCGCCCCGGTACATTATAGATATTAGACGGAGATTGACAGTTTAAATGCATTAGTATTTGATGTCGATAAGCACGAAAAGGCCCATCTGCTCCCAACACATATACACATTGCATGGAAAGCGTTATGATAGAAGGAATGTGTGTTATCACATCCTGTAAACATTGCATGGAAAGCGTTTAGATAGAAGGAATGTGATATTATCACACCATGTAATCACAGCATGGAACGCGTTTAGATAGAAGGGATGTGATATTATCACATCATGGAAAGTGTTTTGATAGAAGGGATGTGATATTATCACACCATGTAATCACAACATGGAAAGCGTTTAGATGGAAGGGATGTGATATTATCACATCATTTAAACATTGCATGGAAAGCGTTTTGATAGAAGGAATGTTATGTCACAGCATCGAAAGCGTTTTGATGGAAGGAATGTGATATTATCACAGCATGGAAAATGTTTTGATAGAAGGAATGTGATATTATCACATCCTGTAATCATTGCATGGAAAGCGTTTAAATAGAAGGAATGTGATATTGTCACACATGTAATCATTGCATGAAAAGTGTTTAGGTAGAAAGAATGTGATATTATCACAGCATGGAATGTGCTCAGATAGAATGAATGTGATATTATCACACAATGTAATCATTGCATTGAAAGCGTTTTGTTAGAAGGGATGTGATATTATCATAGCATGGAAAGTGTTCAGATAGAATGAATGTGATATTATCACAACATGGAAAGTGTTTAGATAGAATGAATGTGATATAATCACCCATGTAATCACTGCATGGAAAGCGTTTAGATAGAAGGGATGTGGCATTATCACAACATGGAAAGTGTTTAGATAGAATGAATGTGATATTATCACACAATGTAATCATTGCATGGAAAGCGTTAAGATAGAAGGGATGTGATATTATCACAACATGGAAAGTGTTTAGATAGAATGAATGTGATATTATCACAAACTGTAATCATTGAATGAAAAGCGTTTAAATAGAAGGGATGTGATATTATCTCAGCATGGAAAGTGATTAGATAGAAGGCATGTGATATTATCACACCATGTAATCACAGTATGGAAAGCGTTTAGCTGGAAGGGATCTGATATTATCCCACAATGTAATCATTGCATGGAAAGCGTTTAGATAGAAAGAATGTGATATTATCACATCATGGAAAGTGTTTAGATAAAAGGGATGTGATATTATCACACCATGTAATCACAACATGGAAAGCGTTCAGATAGAAGGAATGTGATATTATCACAGCATGGAAAGCGTTTAGATAGAAGGGATGTGATATTATCACAACATGGAAAGTGTTTAGATAGAATGAATGTGATATTATCACAAACTGTAATCATTAAATGAAAAGCGTTTAAATAGAAGGGATGTGATATTATCTCAGCATGGAAAGTGTTTAGATAGAAGGAATGTGATATTATCACACCATTTAATCATTGCATGGAAAGCGTTTAGATAGAAAGAATGTGATATTATCACAGCATGGAAAGCGTTTAGATAGAAGGAATGTGATAATATCACACCATGTAATCACAGAATGGAAAGCGTTTTGTTAGAAGGGATGTGATATTATCACGGCATACAATCCTATGGAAAACGTTTACGAAATTAAAATAAAAATTGAAATTTTCAACTTCACAATGTGAAGTAACAATCGGAAACAAAGATACAAAAGGAAGAAGCAAATATTATTTTACTTGAACCAAACTTATACTTGAATGATGTCCTCAGCATATAGAAAATTTTAGTTATTCAAACTGAAAACAAACAGTGGAACTTTCCTTCTCAGACACCGAACGAACAGATATGATAGGATAGACGGAGTTATCTCCCATACCGATACGCGCGAACACCCCTCATTTGCATGATAGATATATATATCTGTATAGCAATTTCGACTGCATGTTAAGTCTATGTTATGTCTATCTATTATAGTTTTAAATTACTCATCTATTTAGTATATACTTTGAGATTCGCCTATCGAAATTCTAGAAAGCATAGACTAGGAAATAACAATACTCACACTTGCAATGCACTGTAGTCCTGAAGCTGGGCAAGGCATGGCTTGTCATCGATCCGGTTTTCCCACACTTGCTAAAAATAGCTGTGACATGGCATCACTCGTGTTCATCTGGCAACGTTCCCATTTCCTTGTATGAGCTAGACCAGGCTATGCTATTGTAATCAGTGTCAGTGTGACATACGGAATCAGCCATTTTATTTGTCATATCCAGGAGTTCAGAGGTTAGGAGATATTCACACTCCAGCTTCTAAAATACCCTGTGGTGGTAGAGGCTTCTCTGGCTGTATTAAGCCAGAAGAGACTCTCTCTTTCAACCTATCCTGTAATGTACCTATGCAATAATGTATAAGAAGTGTTTTTGTTCCATCTGCACGGACTTGCACTGTTGTTCATTCCAGTCCTAGTTTCGAACTTGTGCTTAGTATTCTGTGTGTAAATGGGATACTCATTAACTGCTAAATCGATATAGTAAAAAATACAAATTCTGTTAGCAAACATAAAAAAGTTTATTTCAAGTATTTGTATCCAACGTACTGCCAAACAAACAAACTAATGTTCTGATACAGTGTGGTAGTTATGAGTTACATATTCAGTACAGTAGGTACATATTCAGGTGAGATGGTTCCTTGAAAAAGTATAGTAGAGATAAAGCACTCGACAGGAGAAGACTGGCAGATAAAAAAAACATGGGACGAAGAAGTTGGGGGTTTCACTGTGTTTTCAATGAAAACAGCTATACGTGTCACTTTGATAAATGACATGATTGTGCTGTCCACCTAGATGCCCCACTTACAGTTCGTTTTTCAAATAATACCGCCAATAGCACCCACCCTTAATTAACTATACGATACAACGTAGATACGACTAGAACCTCTTAACCGTGGAAAGTTTACACTTTTCCACCTAAAATAACTATAAACCACAATGTCATGTCTCAACTGACAAGCGGTACCCGATCTGTCAAGTATACATACCACACCTTTCTTTAATCCGTTGTAAAGACAACATATTGTTTGAATATATGTATTTGATTTGTTTTAAACTTGCTGTTAATATGGATGTTGATTCTAATAGTTTCTGCTTCATTGTTACTCGTCCCTATAGCTAGTGTTCATGATGACTAGGGGCGGTGCTGATGATATGGGTGTGGATTCTAATAGTTCCTGCTTCATTGTTACTCGTCCTATAGCTAGTGTTCATGATGACAAGGGGCGGTGTTGATGATATGGATGTGGATTCTAATAGTTCCTGCTTCATTGTTACTCGTCCTTATAGCTAGTGTTCATGATGACTAGGGGCGGTGCTGATGATATGAGTGTGGATTCTAATAGTTCCTGATTCATTGTTACTCGTCCTATAGCTAGTGTTCATGATGACTAGGGGCGGTGCTGATGATATGGGTGTGGATTCTAATAGTACCTGATTCATTGTTACTCGTCCTATAGCTAGTGTTCATGATGACTAGGGGCGGTGCTGATGATATGGATGTGGATTCTAATAGTTCCTGCTTCATTGTTACTCGTCCTTATAGCTAGTGTTCATGATGACTAGGGGCGGTGCTGATGATATAGGTGTGGATTCTAATAGTTCCTGCTTCATTGTTACTCGTCCTATAGCTAGTGTTCATGATGACTAGGGGCGGTGCTGATGATATGGGTGTGGATTCTAATAGTTCCTGCTTCATTGTTACTCGTCCTATAGCTAGTGTTCATGATGACTAGGGGCGGTGCTGATGATATAGATGTGGATTCTAATAGTTCCCGCTTTATTGCTAATCGTCCTTGTAGCTAGTGTTCATGATGACTAGGGGCGGTGCTGATAATATGGATGTGGATTCTAATAGTTCCCGCTTTATTGCTAATCGTCCTTGTAGCTAGTGTTCATGATGACTAGGGGCGGTGGGGTAGCCTTTTGGTTAAATCCTTCAATCGTTCTAATCTCCACGACAGTTTGTTTGAAGCCCACTTCTAGTGTCTGGTGGTATTGCTAAAAGCGGCGTTAAACCCAACTCACTCAGTCCCTCGATTACATCCACTGCATGAACGATTGTGATACTACTCGGGTACTCCACACCCGGCTGCTTATTGTCAGAGTAGGTCTAGATGTTGTGGTTTTAAGGGGAATTGAGATAATGCCTAATTGGTAAAATAAATTAAACACAAAAACCTGAATGAGAAGATGGGTAATATGTTGTTTCTCTGTCTTACCAATTCGCAGAGCCTCGTCCTCGCTAAAGGACCGACCATTTGATATTCTGGAGTGTGTGGGTGTGGTTGGATTTTGTTTCGAGATTAGATATTTTTTCAGCTGTTATTTAAAACAATGAGCCTGATATTGTTAAAATAAAAACACCTAGCAGCAATGTAATTTTCGCGGCAGACAAGTTTTTTTCATTCTGAAGCGTTATTATTTTTTCAATAATTTTCGGGGACAATATATTCTTTGACATGTCTGAGCAGGAAACCCACAAATCAGATAACGATTGGTATTGTTGTTTTGACTATATCATTACTTCCTTATAAACAGCGACAGTAACAGAGAGGTTGCTTCGTTATAGTCTGTACTCAGCGAGCCGGGATGTTCTGATTGAAGACACATCTAAATCTCAAAGAATTCTCCGAGAGATTGCAGATTGAAATTCCTGAATACAAATCGTTGCTTTCCAAGCAAGTGTTCACTTTTTAAATTAATACATATACACAACACTTACATTTGAAATATGTCATCTTTATTTCACGCATATATTGAGAAATATATGTAAGCTTGTTTATTTAAAATAAGAAAACTCGAGAAAAACATTATTAAGTGATAAATCATGTGATGATACAAAAAGCCTAACACATCTATATCTACAATATAATCAATTTTTGAAAATGCATGCAAATCTATTATATTCCTGGTAAACAAGATTTTACTGTTGTTGCTATGCTGAGAAAAAAACTGTAACACATACTTTAAAAGAGCCAGAAATACACCCATATTATAGCATGTCGGTTCATGAACTATACTGCTTATGTGGTCAGATTCAAATAGAAATTTGCAGCAGTATCTGTGTACAGGATCAAGCCAGCTGATCTAAGAGCGCCTTCTCAATACTTGCCATCCTGTAACATGATCGTAACTAACCTTGACCATCAGGGTTTGTGTGTATATCAATACATTTACACGTACATTTATTAACGTAATCAGTCACATTTACGTGTATACGTAAATCAGTGGATTGTACGCATATGTTTGGCGTCAACAAACATATTTCACATATTACTATTTTAATATAGAACATGCATTTTTCAAACGCCCAAGAACACGAATGTCGCTGTTGTTGCGACAGCTGTATGAAGGCTATCCTGCATCTAGGTTTGATGAGGACCAGGCCAATGTATCATTGAACTTAAGCTTGTGTTAAGCACATGAAATGATTAAATGAAATAACTGATGTTGGCGTACTGCGAAATCATCACACTGATCTCATCGCCTCATTCTGAAAGAAAACATGACAACCATTAAACACATAAGGCCAAAACAACCTGATTATTATTTCAACCGAATCCTTGCTTAGATAATTGCATTGTGACTTTGCTTGCTTTAATATAGCTGCGAAATTATTACATAGTCGACAATGTATCCTTCTTCCTGAACACTATCATTTGTTGCTCGGCAATACATTTTTCTTAATGACCTATATCTTAGTGACACGTTTACAGAGCATATATATATCTGCCTTGAGCAATGTAAGCTTTAACAAGAACATGTTGTAATAATAAGTAGAAAGTCTGTCACACAAGGATGTTTTTATCGTCAAATGAATTTCGTTAATAAACGTTTTCACATGACAGGGACATATCCATTCACGTGACTGATAACTGTATTTCGAATCATAATAATCTTATTAAAATGTATGTTTCAAAACATTACCTGTAGCCAATTTCCTGATTCGAACGGTTAACTGGTTTATAATTGATTTTTCTTGCATAGACTTGAACATAACTCTGAAGCTGGGGGTGGAAAAGGAAAGTGTAAACATTTATATCAAGAGTATAAACCCAATATGGCATTGTCAGCATACCACTGTGACGGATAATATAATTCATTCCTACGGATAGTGTAAAACTACAGATTAGCTTCCTCTGATTGCAATTTTCACCCTTTAGTAACGTAGTTATGACAAGAAATGTCACCTTTCACCATTCCTCTGAACCAAACAAGAACCTTCAGGGCGTTTTTTGTAGGCTGATGTGATCTTTTCGCTGTCGGACGGGGAGTAATTCTGCCATCCCTGTAGCTTGTCCTCCCTCTGCCATAGGTTGCTCACAGCCTCTCCAGCCATGTGTTGTCCTACAAGTTATATGGCAACACATAAAAATCTCTGCAGTACGTCTAAAGTAATTGATCAGAATTATTTGCGTGCGACTCAGCGAAAACATAGTTCTACATTTGCCTCAAAGCTAATATAAGGTATCTACACCCACGTACCTGGTCCAGTGCTAAGTAACTGTCCATGTTATATAACAAAATACCTGGTCGAGTGCAAGGTAACTGTTCATGTTATCTACCAGACGTACCCAGTCCAGTTCTAGATAACCGTTCATGTTATCTACCAGATGTAACTGGTCCAGTGCTAGGCAACTATTCATGTTATCTACCAGACGTACCCAGTCCAATTCTAGGAAACTATTCATGTTATCTACCAGACGTACCTGGTCCAGTCCTTGGTAACTGTCCATGTTATATAACAGACGTACCCAATCTAGTTCTAGGTAACTGTCCATGTTATATAACAGACGTACCCAGTCCAGTTCTAGGTAACTGTCCATGTTATATAACAGACGTACCTGGTCCAGTTCTAGGTAACTGTTCATGTTATATAACAGACGTACCTGGTCCAGTTCTAGGTAACTGTTCATGTTATATAACAGACGTACCTGGTCCAGTTCTAGGTAACTGTCCATGTTATATAACAGACGTACCTGGTCCAGTTCTAGGTAACTGTCCATGTTATATAACAGACGTACCCAGTCCAGTTCTAGGTAACTGTCCATGTTATATAACAGACGTACCCAGTCCAGTTCTAGGTAACTGTTCATGTTATATAACAGACTTACCTGGTCCAGTTCTAGGTAACTGTTCATGTTATATAACAGACGTACCTGGTCCAGTTCTAGGTAACTGTTCATGTTATAAAACAGACGTACCTGGTCCAGTTCTAGGTAACTGTTCATGTTATATAACAGACGTACCTGGTCCAGTTCTAGGTAACTGTCCATGTTATATAACAGACGTACCCAGTCCAGTTCTAGGTAACTGTCCATGTTATATAACAGACGTACCTGGTCCAGTTCTAGGTAACTGTCCATGTTATATAACAGACGTACCTGGTCCAGTTCTAGGTAACTGTTCATGTTATATAACAGACGTACCCAGTCCAGTTCTAGGTAACTGTCCATGTTATATAACAGACGTACCTGGTCCAGTTCTAGGTAACTGTCCATGTTATATAACAGACGTACCTGGTCCAGTTCTAGGTAACTGTTCATGTTATATAACAGACGTACCTGGTCCAGTTCTAGGTAACTGTCCATGTTATATAACAGACGTACCTGGTCCAGTTCTAGGTAACTGTCCATGTTATATAACAGACGTACCTGGTCCAGTTCTAGGTAACTGTTCATGTTATATAACAGACGTACCTGGTCCAGTTCTAGGTAACTGTTCATGTTATATAACAGACGTACCTGGTCCAGTTCTAGGTAACTGTCCATGTTATATAACAGACGTACCTGGTCCAGTTCTAGGTAACTGTCCATGTTATATAACAGACGTACCTGGTCCAGTTCTAGGTAACTGTCCATGTTATATAACAGACGTACCTGGTCCAGTTCTAGGTAACTGTCCATGTTATATAACAGACGTACCCAGTCCAGTTCTAGGTAACTTTCCATGTTATATAACAGACGTACTCAGTCCAGTTCTAGGTAACTGTTCATGTTATATAACAGACGTACCTGGTCCAGTTCTAGGTAACTGTCTCTGTTATATAACAGACGTACCTGGTCCAGTTCTAGGTAACTGTTCATGTTATATAACAGACGTACCTGGTCCAGTTCTAGGTAACTGTTCATGTTATATAACAGACGTACCTGGTCCAGTTCTAGGTAACTGTCCATGTTATATAACAGACGTACCTGGTCCAGTTCTAGGTAACTGTCTATGTTATATAACAGACGTACCTGGTCCAGTTCTAGGTAACTGTTCATGTTATAACAGACGTACCTGGTCCAGTTCTAGGTAACTGTCCATGTTATATAACAGACGTACCTGGTCCAGTTCTAGGTAACTGTCCATGTTATATAACAGACGTACCTGGTCCAGTTCTAGGTAACTGTTCATGTTATATAACAGACGTACCTGGTCCAGTTCTAGGTAACTGTTCATGTTATATAACAGACGTACCTGGTCCAGTTCTAGGTAACTGTCCATGTTATATAACAGACGTACCTGGTCCAGTTCTAGGTAACTGTTCATGTTATATAACAGACGTACCTGGTCCAGTTCTAGGTAACTGTCCATGTTATATAACAGACGTACCCAGTCCAGTTCTAGGTAACTGTCCATGTTATATAACAGACGTACCCAGTCCAGTTCTAGGTAACTGTTCATGTTATATAACAGACGTACCTGGTCCAGTTCTAGGTAACTGTCCATGTTATATAACAGACGTACCCAGTCCAGTTCTAGGTAACTGTCCATGTTATATAACAGACGTACCTGGTCCAGTTCTAGGTAACTGTTCATGTTATATAACAGACGTACCTGGTCCAGTTCTAGGTAACTGTCCATGTTATATAACAGACGTACCTGGTCCAGTTCTAGGTAACTGTCCATGTTATATAACAGATGTACCCAGTCCAGTTCTAGGTAACTGTCCATGTTATATAACAGACGTACCTGGTCCAGTTCTAGGTAACTGTCCATGTTATATAACAGACGTACCTGGTCCAGTTCTAGGTAACTGTTCATGTTATATAACAGACGTACCTGGTCCAGTTCTAGGTAACTGTCCATGTTATATAACAGACGTACCCAGTCCAGTTCTAGGTAACTGTCCATGTTATATAACAGACGTACCTGGTCCAGTCCTTGGTAACTGTCCATGTTATCTACCAGACGTACCCAGTCCAGTTCTAGGTAACTGTCCATGTTATATAACAGACGTACCTGGTCCAGTTCTAGGTAACTGTCCATGTTATATAACAGACGTACCTGGTCCAGTTCTAGGTAACTGTCCATGTTATATAACAGACGTACCTGGTCCAGTTCTAGGTAACTGTCCATGTTATATAACAGACGTACCCAGTCCAGTTCTAGGTAACTTTCCATGTTATATAACAGACGTACCCAGTCCAGTTCTAGGTAACTGTTCATGTTATATAACAGACGTACCCAGTCCAATGCCAGGTAACTGTCCATGTTATATAATAGACGTTACCAGTTTAATGCTAGGTAACTGTTCATGTTATATAACAGACGTACCCAGTCCAGTGCTAGGTAACTGTCCATTTTATCTACCAGACGTATCCAGTCCAGTTCTAGGTAACTGTTCATGTTATCTACCTTATGTATCTGGTCCAGTGCTAGGTAACTGTTCATGTTATCTACCAGATGTACCTGGTCCAGTCCCAGGAAGCTGTTCATGTTATCTACCAGACGTACCTGGTCCAGTGCTAGGTAACTGTCCATGTTATTTATCAGACTATCCAGTCCATTTCTTGATAACTGTTCATGTTATCTACCAGACGTACCTGATTCCGAGGTGGGTAACTGTTCATGTGTCCCTTGTTTTTCTATATCTGGTTTAGCTGTTGACTCCAGAAGACAAGCGACAGGATCTCTGTGAAATATAAATGAGTGCGTGAATTTGGTTCAGAGTCGCTTTCAGGAATTGTTAAGTGATATCCTTGCATGTAATCTGCATGCTCCAAACCCAGACTCAAAAGCACAGGCAATCAGCTGATTCAGCAAGGCCCACCAAGGCCCACCAAGGCCCACCAAGGCCCACATTCAAGCCGAATAGTGTGGAGCCAGCTGGAACAACTAAAGGACGCGAATTGCCGTGTCTTACATCACCCGTGAAAATTAATGACGGTGAGTTCTGATTTTTTGTTTTATCAATAGGTGAAGCGGGCGATGAGCGACATGTTTCGTATCAGTTCATGATCACTCACCGAATAGATAAATCAAATCTGTTGTTTTCCCCGAACCTGTAGACATTCATATTTCCATTCTGCCACCGCACCTACAAAACACATAAGAGCAATGGTAATAAAAATGGAAACTTTATAATGGTGACTCAAATGTACGGAAGATGACGTTTATTTTGAAGTTACTTGACTAACATACCTCTTTAACGCATTTCCGCAACTGTAATATTGATTATTTCTAGACAGTACACACAAACATGGTGGAAAGATGAAACATCCTACCATCACTTTCCCATCAAGGTTTACTCGGATGATGACCCCTGTGCGACCAGGGCCACCGTCTTGGTCGCCGTAAGTCATGTGCCAGTCCGGACCTAGTTGAAAAGAGGAATACACGACGGTCATATAACTCATATTGTCGTCATTTAGAGCCTACTGCTTAACGACACATAAGAACGTTATATCTGGATTAGGCGAATATCGTGCACATACTTATATGATCTTGTGATGGTGATATATCCTCGTTGTGTCTCAGTCTCACTTACCTCTCTCGACCTGCAATCCGACGTCAACGTTTTCGCTGCCGTCCAGGACACGTGGCTGGTCATGAACACCAATGACGTCATAGCACTCATTTTGACCAAATCTGTACACATTGAGATGGCCGTTGTCCCAGAACACCCAGACGTACTCTAACATGAAATAATATCACAGAAGTATAACAATGAAAACCATTTAGCATCAGAGATGAGAAGAATAAGTGAACAAAAGGGGATTTTCTTTATCGAATATTGTTTTTTTAGGAATGTAATATTTGTATTAATTCCCACGATATACTTTTGGTAAATATCGTTATGGTAGTCAAGATGGTAAGTCAGTTGCGATAAATAAACACTGATTGTTACAAAGGTATTCACAAGTGCTGCGATTCCTTTTTACAGTTGAGTGAAACCTTACGTGCGTCCAATCCGTGGTTAATGATAGTCCCCGCTCCTTCAGTGTCCTGGTTTCCCCACACCCAGGCCGGGCCGCGCACCACTCGTGTACCCAATGGGGGAAGACTTGGAACTTCGTATATGTTTTCAAACGAGTATTTGGAACCGTAAACAATTGCCACCTTGTAAAGGTGTTCCTGTGTGAGATCTCTGACGTCCTCCTGAAGGCACACGATTATCATGACATTTATCAGATCATATCCTCTTCATGTCAGTAAGCGTATGTAAACATCGCATAGATTGATAGGGATGTAAGGTGGTGTACAGTTGATTAGACAGTAGACTTTTCTCATCTTCCGCAGAGATAAATTTTCTCTGAACACACAATGCCATTTAGAAAGTAATCAAATGTAACAAATGTTATATTTGGGATAACACTTTCTTAGTAAAGTACAGATTCTCGTACTGTTTTAGGTTGAATCCCATCTGGGATTCGAACCCACACTGCCAGGGTTAGGCACCTAATCGCCAGCACACAAAGTACGTGATCTAGACTACGAGTTGTCGGACTTTTATTTTTGTGGAAGCCTCGGTGGCTGAGTGGGTTAGATCGCTGACTTTGTGTGCTGGCGATTAGGTGTCAAACTCTGGCAGTGTGAGTTCTAATCCCGGATGGGGTTACTAAATGTCATCCCAAATATAACATTTGTTACATTTTCTCTGTTTTTCATAGTCAAGGTTTTATTTGTTTGTTTCTTGTTTGACGACGCTAAATTCAACCTACATGGAGGCTGTCTGTAAATAATGAGTCTGGACCAGACATCATGAGCATCGATCTACGCAATTGGGTAAGGATGACATGAATCAGCCAGGTCAGCGAGCCTCACCACCCGATCCCGACAGTCGCCTCTCACGACGAGCATGGGTTGCTGAAGACCATCGCGGGTTACATAGTCTAAGTATACAGTTGATCACATAGGTGCTACTGGATATCGTATGCATAGAGGGAGTTGTGTGAGTTTTTCTGACTTGTGCCGAGTACTATTTCATGCATTAACTACATAAAGGTCCTGGTGTCCCCCGCCGTGATATTGCTAGAATATTGCTAAAAGCGGCGTAAAAACCATACTCACTCACTCACATAAAAGTCAAATGGTTTAGCTTACCATCTCGTCCTGTCTTGTGTCTGGTGAAAGACTGATTACAAGTTTTCTTAACATGGGGTCTTCAAATGTGGCAGAGTCCAGGCGTTTGTTCCTGATTACTTCCAAAGAATCACCCGCAAGTTTCTACAAAGGTAAATCAGAATATACAAAGGTAAATCAGAATATACAAAGGTAAATCAAAACACTAGCACGGTGGTGTCACTGTAGCGACATCTTTCTATAGTAAGTGTATTTGTGTCATCGCAGCAGGTTAGTGATTATGCTTAATCTCTCCTTACATGTAGGCGCTGATGTCGACACAGCTTCTTAATGGCGGTACCCTCAACCAGCATCCCTCCGCATAGTCGTCCCATCGTCAACAGGAAACTCTGTATCGGGGAATGATTGAACAGTTGAACAGGGGCTGAGGGGCAATGGCGATGGAGATAGGTGGTGAAGGATTACATAGTGTATGTACCAATAGAAGGAAGTGTGCACTCCAGACGTAACACCTTAAAACAGTTTCAGATATAAGATAAAACGGATCATGGTCTTGAACAATGGAATATCAGAATGTAATTGTTTGAAACTAATGCCAATTAAACGCGTATATTAAAGAGGTGATATGCGCATTGCGCATTGGAGCCTAATTATGATATTCTTTCTATGGAGTAACTTTGAAATTTATATGAATTTCTTAGAAACAGTTACATGTTGGAAACTGAAACCTTGCATGGTCTCTTTGAAATTTGGTTTCCATAGCAACTGGTTCATAAAAGCTCAGTTGGGCACTTATCACCAATATAAATAAACGTATTATGATATAAATATATAACTCTTATGACACACTTACATATTGCAACTAAACATGATAAAGCTATACGATAAATAGTCAAATGTATACTGAAACGTCTAACTGTTTACCAACCATGTCAGACCGGCCCACGGGGACCACCACAACTGGGTGTGGCACGTAGTCCCCCGGCTGTCTCCTCCTCAGCTGGCTGAAAGCGTGGGTCAGTACCGCCTTCTCCTGAAACAATTGGATAGAGAGTGAACGTTCGATGAAACCAACACAGTCCTACACAAGTTCACATAGTTCACATATGTTCAAGGACATATTAACCGTTTTACCTGTTCACTAGCCATATGTCCATCCTGTGCTGTCTCTGGTATTGTACCAGTGGCCAGACCGTCCGTGATGACGATTAACCTAGGGGGGAGTTTCAGACTGCCTCCGATGTTAAGTATTCCTCCTGAAGTCAAACAGTAACATATTCCACCATGAACCAAACGCCCATATGTGAATATCTGAAGAGCGTGTAACGCTCGTTTACAACATACCCGTGTATGCAATCGTTAACACCCATCACTTTTCTCAAATGCTGATTATCTTATTCGAGAAATAACAAACCGAATTATTCTCCCTGCCCATGCCACGACTAAATCTATTTTTTTGGTCTTTTGTTTGTTTGTTGTTTAACGCCCCACTCTGCAATATTCCAGCAATATGACGGCGGTCTGTAAATAATGGAGTCTGAACAAGACAGTCCAGTGATTGACATCATGAGCATCGATCCACGCAATCGGGATACGATGACTGACCACCCGATCCCATTAGTCGCCTCTTACGACAGACATGGGTTGTTAAAGACCAATTCTAACCCGAATCCTCGCGGGTTCCATAGTCCAGGTATACAACCGATAACATAAATACAATGAATACTGCATATCGTGAGGTGAGGTGAAATGGGGTTGAACGCCGCATTCAAGATTATTGCACTTAAATAGCGATGTCCATGCACGTGAGTATGTGTGTCAGCGAGTCTGACCACCTATTCCCGTTAGTCGCCTCTTATAACCCGGGCCTTCACCGGTGCGACTCTATCTATATATCATTGGCATGAAATAGATATATCATACATATAGCACCTATAACTACATCAAGGTAAAATGTATTAATAAGACTGAGGGTTTCGAATGTTAGTCATAGCATATACTGATGTAGCTGAGGGTGTTTGACATACCTTTTCCTGTACACGCCATCGCTAGCAGAAGCCCTTCCTGCAGTGGGGACGGCCCTCCTGGAGTCAGGTCATCTAGGTGGCAAACATGTCGAATTCAGATTCCATATATATATAACCGAGAACATGATGCCACTGAATATACATTCTGAGAAAATAGAGCAAACATTATAGGATTTATGGAGGACATATTCCTATTGCATGTAGGCATATATAGTTATCTGACTGGACAGGGCATCATACCTATGGCATCCCTCAAACTCCCGTAGTCATTTGACAGTTGGTGCAGCACTCGGGCACGGCCTCCAAAAGTAACCAGAGCAATATTTTCCTCCATTTCGAATTGTTCGGCAATATCTTCAATGCCTGAATATAAAAAAATCTTTGTCATCCATTTTACAAATGCAATGAATCGAGCCAGGGTCTTGGCGTGACGAGCGAACTCTTTAACCACTAGGCTACCCTACCGCCCCCAGCAGACGCCTCCAAACTGTACCCTCATATATGAATACGTTTATCTGTGCAACTCTCTAATGTTGGTTGGCTGACATGTCAATCTGACGAAGCACTGAGACAACACATCACCAGCAGCTGTAGTGTACTGAGAACAAGACACGTCGGTTGCTCCCAGCTTCTTTTCTCTAAGAAATCAGATATCTGAGAGACTCCGCTATTACGAGAAACATGGATTCGGCGTTGACCATTAATACTTACCGTTTATAAAGTCGTGGAGAATCTTTTTTATGTGGCCGAACGTTTCTCCCCTGACACTGTCCGATGTATCAATACAGATGACGGTGTCCAGGGCGGATTCCACGTTCGGTACCATGCTCGAGTCTGTAATAATAATAATAATAATAATAATAATAATAATATGTCCATTTATTATGCGTTAAATTCCATTCAGCTACATCATTCTACATTATATTTATATCCGGTAAATTGATGAGTGTGCACTCATTCTCACCTGGGGAGTATACACCCCAACTGCAAGGTGCCTGTGAGGCGCCTGAATGTTGACAATCACATTGCCATATCATCTTACCGGGTACCCAGTAACTGCTGGTCGAACAGAGGCATATTTCTAGCAAAGGGAGACACCACATGTGCTTCAGTGTGGGGCAGTACCGAAGCCATAGAAACTTTAGGAGTCAAGCTTGCCAAATACGTCTCTCATCAAACTATTCTCCACAGCCAACGTTACTCATCTTCACCTGATGTTTTACCTGTGTGCTGTGTATCATGAGCTCCAAACCCGAAGTGCCGTGTCGGCTTCATAGTGTAACAGGGGAAATGGTCTCTACAACATGACGGTACCTGCAGATTGAGCCTCCTCCACACTCTCCCACAATCTGTTCCCATCCACGTTGTTCCCAACCATGCTCGCTAGCAATGTCTGCATCCGCTGCTCTCCGTCCGGTTCATCGCCTAGTCTTGTCTTGGTCATCATCGCTTGTCTGAATATAATTGACTTTGTCAGTATATGCATCATTTTCTCATCGTAGATTAATTCATACGTAAATGACATGATATGTAAAAAAGTACAACTGACCCGTGAAGATTCCGGGGTAGAATAGGTCTTCAGCAACCCATACTTGTCGTAAAAGGCGGCTAACGGGATTAGGTGGTCAGGCTCGCTGACTTGGTTGATACATGTCATCAATCCCAATTGCGTAGATCGATGCTCATGATGTCAATCACTTGATTGTCTGGTCCAGACTTGATTATTGTACAGACCGCCGTCATATAGCTGGGAATATTGCTGAGTGCGGCGTTAACCAACAAACCAACATTATACAACTCACATAAATAGCTGTGCACTGCCACAGTCGTTTCATGAGTTGCTACCGTAGTACTGTGCAGAATAATATACAAAACATATAGGACTTGCCCTTGTATGGTATACGAATCCTGCCTCCGGTGATCCCTGTTGCTGATGTCAAAGTTCAGTTCATCTGTCTGCAGATCAGAATACACATCACTCTCACACCGGTGTTCTTCATTTATCATCCCACTTAATCCAATGTCACCAAGGTCCCCTGTGTGACTGGTTACCATCTTCTTCGTCTGTACTTGCCCATCGGGTCTGGTGAGGGCGAGAGCTGTCTGTTGTGTCGTAACATACTTCCCATGATGGAGACACATATGCGTCTTGGACCTTGTAAACTTGTCTACTTTTCCTTCGTCTGTATGAAATGTCTCATGCCTCAAAGCTCCATCGAACAGATTACCTGCGTGGCTGTTAAAGGGATCCATCCCTGGCGGATCATCGTTATACACATTTCTTGTGTACACGGCAGGTTGTCTTTGTTTCACAGATCGACTGTCATTTTGAGACGCGTACGGGTAATTTCGAGACAAACCATCACTCGAAGGATTGTAGGTGCTGTTGTAAACAGTCGACTTAGTTTTGGTTGTAGTGAATCTCCTTTCTTGTTGCGTTCTTGGGGGTGACAAACTCCTAAGTTCATTGCCGTCAATTTCCTTGATGATAGGTCCTTTGCGCTGTTGGTAGGGATCTTCGGAATAGGCTCCCTCTGGTTGACTTTCTACATCATCCTCTTCGTCGTCATCCGTACTTTCTTCTTCACTAACCATGTCCTCTTCTTCTTCCTCCTCTGTCTCCTTCACGTTCGACTCTTCTTCTTCTGGATCGTCTCTCGTTTGTTGGTCGTTTTTGTGGCCTTCTTCCTCCAGTTCCTTACCACCCTGCGACCCTGTTTTATCCTGCACCTCTACGTGTGGTTGGTGTTCACTCTGGTCCGGCGTTTCTTTGGATCTGGGCTTTGATGGTTCTGTTTCCAGAGAAAACTGCATTAAATCTGGCTCATCAAGAATATTCTTTACTAGATTGGTTTCCCTTTTTCGTCGACATTCCTGTTCACTTGTCTGTGCTAAAACATCTGATATTTGTAACAGAGCTGATTTGATATCGTCATTTTGATCTTTTTGTTCACAGAACTGTGACTCCATAAACTGCCGTTGCTCAGCAAGTTCTGTCTCCACGGTTTTAAACCTCACTTCAATCGTCGATGGAACTTTGCAACCCACTTCCATCGATTCATCGTCCAAAGAAAGACTTGACCTGAGAGTATGAACAAATAGAAATACTTATATGTGAAACTTTCAAAACATTATATTCATATATGTCAAGGAAAGGTTTAGAAAAATATAACAGGCTATTTTAATTCTAAATGGACGTATGATTGATAATGAATCAGCTCTGCCGAAATGTTAGACCGGGTATCTACTCACATGCTTGAGTATATACTCCCATGCCTGGGTGTAGACTCACATGCATAGCTGTATACTCACATGCCTGGGTGTATACTCACATGCCTGGGTGTAGACTCACATGTCTGGGTGTAGACTCACATGCCTGAGTGTAGATTTAGATGCCTGGGTGTATACTCACATGCCTGGGTGTAGACTCTAATGCCTGGGTGTATACTCACATGTCTGGGTGTAGACTCACATGCCTGGGTGTATACTCACATGTCTGGGTGTAGACTCTAATGCCTGGGTGTATACTCACATGCCTGGGTGTAGACTCACATGCCTGGGTGTAGACTCACATGCCTGGGTGTATACTCACATGCTTGAGTATATACTCACATGCTTGGTGTAGACTCAGATGCCTGGGTGTAGACTCGTATGCTTGAGTATATACTCACATGCCTGGGTGTATACTCACATGCCTGGGTGTATACTCACATGTCTGGGTGTAGACTCACATGCCTGAGTGTAGATTCAGATGCCTGGGTGTATACTCACATGCCTGGGTGTAGACTCTAATGCCTGGGTGTATACTCACATGTCTGGGTGTAGACTCACATGCCTGGGTGTATACTCACATGTCTGGGTGTAGACTCTAATGCCTGGGTGTATACTCACATGCCTGGGTGTAGACTCACATGCCTGGGTGTAGACTCACATGCCTGGGTGTATACTCACATGCTTGAGTATATACTCACATGCTTGGTGTAGACTCAGATGCCTGGGTGTAGACTCGCATGCTTGAGTATATACTCACATGCCTGGGTGTATACTCACATGCCTGGGTGTAGACTCACATGTCTGGGTGTAGACTCACATGCCTGAGTGTAGATTCAGATGCCTGGGTGTATACTCACATGCCTGGGTGTAGACTCTAATGCCTGGGTGTATACTCACATGCCTGGGTGTAGACTCACATGCCTGGGTGTAGACTCACATGCCTGGGTGTATACTCACATGCTTGAGTATATACTCACATGCTTGGTGTAGACTCAGATGCCTGGGTGTAGACTCGCATGCTTGAGTATATACTCACATGCCTGGGTGTAGACTCACATGCCTGGGTGTATACTCACATGCTTGAGTATATACTCACATGCCTGGGTGTAGACTCACATGCTTGAGTATATACTCACATGCCTGGGTGTAGACTCACATGCCTGGTTGTATACTCACATGCTTGAGTATATACTCACATGCCTGGGTGTAGACTCACATGCCTGGGTGTAGACTCACATGCTTGAGTATATACTCACATGCCTGGGTGTAGACTCACATGCCTAGGTGTAGACTCACATGCTTGAGTATATACTCACATGCCTGGGTGTAGACACACATGCCTGGGTGTATACTCACATGCCTGGGTGTATACTCACATGCCTGGGTGTAGACTCACATGCCTGGGTGTATACTCACATGCCTGGGTGTATACTCACATGCCTGGGTGTATACTCACATGCCTGGGTGTAGACTCACATGCCTGGGTGTATACTCACATGCCTGGGTGTATACTCATATGCTTGAGTATATACTCACATGCCTGGGTGTATACTCACATGCCTGGGTGTAGACTCACATGCCTGGGTGTATACTCACATGCCTGGGTGTATACTCACATGCCTGGGTGTATACTCACATGCCTGGGTGTAGACTCACATGCCTGGGTGTATACTCGCATGCCTGGGTGTATACTCACATGCCTTGGTGTATACTCACATGCCTGGGTGTATACTCACATGCCTGGGTGTAGACTCACATGCCTGGGTGTATACTCGCATGCCTGGGTGTATACTCACATGCCTGGGTGTATACTCACATGCCTGGGTGTAGACTCGCATGCCTGGGTGTAGACTCACATGCCTGGGTGTATACTCACATGCCTGGGTGTAGACTCACATGCCTGGGTGTAGACTCGCATGCCTGGGTGTAGACTCACATGCCTGGGTGTATACTCACATGCCTGGGTGTAGACTCACATGCCTGGGTGTATACTCACATGCCTGGGTGTAGACTCACATGCCTGGGTGTATACTCACATGCTGGCATAGTGGTTCTCGCCTGTCTGGCTACTGTTGTCAGTGTGGGGAGCAAACGAACCTCTGTCGGTTCCTGGCTCGTCTTCAAGACATCTACAGGTGTGTCTTGGGGGCAACAGCACCTTAGACCCTCTCTTTATGTTTATCTTCAACTGCATCTGGTGCTTGGCAACTGTGCACTGCGTTATGAGGTCTTTCACAAAGCCATGCAGTCTGGTTTTATCTGAAGTAAGCTGACTGATGCCGGAGCCTGGGCCGTGTTGAAATGTCAGCACCATGGGCGGGTACTGAACCGCTACCAGTTGGACATTGTACGTGGTGAACATTTTTGTAATGAAGGTTTCAAAGACGGCATGATTCGTGGAAATTCCTATGGCATAATCGGCGTTCAGAACAGCGGAGGAACTATCTGTCGGTACATGCGAGAGTGTGAGAGTTGACATGTCTCCATCAGGGCTTCCCGTCTGGTCCCAGTGAACACGGAGAAGAACACCATAATCTGAAAAAAGTTATATATGAATGGTAGTCCATACTAGAGTCACTTGTGCTAGACAGAGCACTAATATGTGAAACCACACTGTGACAGCCGTGAACTCAACGACTTTCTAATATGTATGATTTGCCGACTGGTATTGTCTAAGGATGCTATTCATCTACGACACTCAGTGTCAGATGGAGGTTATTGTGTAAGTAATGACATTTGTTCCATCTTGGCACGTTGGCCTTTTCGTCTAAGGTGCCATGAATCTTTGCGTAGGGCAAGCTTACCAGAATCTAATGATTCGCTACAATACTCTGTGTTTCGATTTGTCAGCACAGTAAGCACAGTGATACACGTGTCAGGCGTGCATCACCTATGCCCCCACATCAAGCTTCCACGCTGTGAGATTACTGAAATACTGTTCAAAGCGGCATAAATGTCGACTCTCGTGCATGGAATTAATAAAGTAGGATGCAAAGCGAGGTAACGTCAAACCTTTGACATGCTGTTGCTCCTTGAGAGCTTCCAGGAGATCGTGGTTGAGGCAAACATCCAGCACACACAGTCTGGGGGGGTCGTCTGGGTGGACAGGAGGGTGGGAGTGGCGGAAGTGGAGTCTGGGATGACTTCTCCGTCGCATTTCCATTTTATACCACTCTTCCTGTTAACAACACGGAGCCCTTTGATTTCTCCATTTACGAATTAACAAGGTTACATTTTATAATAAATTCATTTTCAGGTAGCATTTCCATTTAACGGGTAGAACAACATCCTTTCCTTACATTGATTTACAAGAAAGTTTTTGTGGCAGAATCTTGCTATCCTCGTTATTGAGTACAAGACAGTACAATAATCTTTTATCTACACACATTAACCAATAACTACATAAAATGAAATCGCATCTCTACCTTCTTTAACTGATAAAATATTCAGAAACAAAATGTGGTTTTATACATAAAATATTATCTGATTAAAGGATTATGTTCCGATGATGATACTTTATGATGTTTATTGTTTATAGGCCATATTCACAGTCACAGTACTGGCAAGAGATCTGAATTTACGTTACACTTGCTTTCGTCCTTTCTACACATTGTTAGAAGGGAATGGACATACCGCTGTCAGAACAATGACTGCGTCAAAGGGGGATAACTTCGTAAGGCGGTTCTTCTTTTTTTTCTCAACACAGTCAGAGGGTTGGATTTTTGGTGCCGAGGATATCAATATGTATGGTACTTTCAGGTTTGTTAACCACACACAGCTTTATTGGACAAATACTGTCACACATAGTGCTTTTCATCATTTGAAACACGATTGACCCTATATAGCCACACAACTGTCTCCTATTATCTTTCATAACACTATATCAACAACCTGCAAACTGTCGTGAAACACGTTTGCGATCTAGGGTTTCCTGGTGTGATCGAATGAGGAGAGAACAGGACATAACAATACTGAAAGTAGAAGACATGACTCATAATGGCATGAATACAATACACGCACGAGCACATACACCCTTAGAAATCACAACTTAATTAACCGAAACAGTAAGACAAAATGAATTTACCTTGCTTGCTTTCTACCACTGACAACTGTAGAAAGCTATCGTAGATCGTTCTATCGCCCAATGGTAGTCTGTGTGAATTACGTATTATTTTGGATTTTCCATAAAATGTATTTTTAGAACTGCGTTGTGCGCTATTTAAAGCTTGATCTCACCTTCACCTTGTATCTGCTTTCACGTGACATAAAGTTGACATATTGCCAGCTTCCTGGTAAAGGCTGTATTCCTGGAAAGACGGTGGCGTGCGGGAATACACGGTTACATTTGCATAACGAAAGTTAACAATGCTGATACAAAGTACAGTGTCGTGGTGACACACTCGGGGCCGGGGCACATGTTACGAAAGCTTATGATAACAACCTGGCACTTTTACTACCATATAAAGTGGCTTAATTTAAACATCGAACGAATAGATGAAATATATAATTATATATTTCTTGAAGTACGAATGTGGTACGAATCATAAACCAGCTAAACGAAATATAAGGCCCAACACAAACTTGTATGGTAATTGTGCCGCATTCATATTACTAAAGTCGTAATATCCTGTGCCGTGTTACAGTTAACTTCCTCAACATAAAGTGCTATATGAACAAAAACAATCATGTGTCCCACGACCGGGGATAGTGATAATGCTGTTTCCTTGTTGACACTGAAACCAACACCCTTTGTTGTTGAAAATAGGTCCGAAAATGAAACAAGCATTTTCCAATGTGTCACATCCCAGTCACTTACATATACTAAACAACAGGACATCCCAGTCACTTACATATACTAAACAACAGGAGGAAGCTTAATGCTTAGATCTCTGAAATATAGTTAGCATGTTGTTACTTCCTTTCAAAATCAACATAAACATTGTGGTAACTGAGAGAGTGAAAAGGGTTTTACACGGCAACAATAATACATCTGCAGTTAAAGACAGTTGGTCTTCTACAACCATTCATGAGAGGCGACTGATGGGATAGGATGGTCAGACTGGTTGATGCATGTCATCGTCACCGAACTGCATAGACTGATGCTCATGATGTCAATCACTGGATTGTCTGGCCCAGACTCGATTATTTACAGGCCGCTGTCATGTTGCTAGTATATTGTTGAGTGCATCATTAAACAACAACCAAATCACACGATGGTTTATTTACAACTTTATTCACTGGCATATGAGGTGAATATGGCCTTCAATATTATTGCACATATATAGGGATGAGCATGATGTGTGTGCGTGTGTGTGTCTATGCGTGTGTACTTGTGTGTGTGCATGTCTTCTTGCTTCTACTAGTCCATCCTAACGCTGGTTTTATGGTGCTAGCACACTGAGATACCATGCTGAAGTTTAACATGGATACGTCGCTCAGACAGGGTATTCTAACTCCGGGCAAACCAGTCAGTGTATCCAGTTAATGCCAAGCACCAGGCAAGGTAACAACAAGTACCATATTGTAACAACTTTTGGTATAACATGGCTTTCCGGACAGACGATCAATCCACTAGACCACAGAGGCTGTCACCTGATGTTTGAAGTAGTGGGATGTGTTGAGACTCATGTGGGTGTGCATTGTGGCGGTCACCTGACGTTTGAAGTGGTAGGATGTGTTGAGAATCATGTGGGAGTGCATTGAGGCGGTCACCTGACGTTTGAAGTGGCGGGATGTGTTGAGACTCATGTGGGTGTGAATTGAGGCTGTCACCTGACGTTTGAAGTGGTGGGATGTGTTGAGACTCATGTGGGTGTGCATTGAGGCGGTCACTTGACGTTTGAAGTGGTAGGATGTGTTGAGACTCATGTGGGTGTGCATTGAGGCGGTCACCTGACGTTTGAAGTGGTAGAATGTGTTGAGACTCATGTGGGTGTGCATTGAGGCTGTCACCTGACGTTTGAAGTGGTGGGATGTGTTGAGACTCATGTGGGCGTGCTTTGAGGCTGTCACCTGACGTTTGAAGTGGTAGGATGTGTTAGGACTCATATGGGCGTGCATTGAGGCTGTACCTGACGTTTGAAGTGGTAGGATGTGTTGAGACTCATGTGGGCGTGCTTTGAGGCTGTCACTTGACGTTTGAAGTGGTAAGATGTGTTGAGACTCATGTTGGCGTGCTTTGAGGCTGTCACCTGACGTTTGAAGTGGTAGGATGTGTTGAGACTCATGTGGGCGTGCATTGAGGCTGTACCAGACGTTTGAAGTGGTAGGATGTGTTGAGACTCATGTGGGCGTGCATTGAGGCTGTCACCTGACGTTTGAAGTGGTAGGATGTGTTGAGACTCATTTGGGTGTGCATTGAGGCGGTCACCTGACGTTTGAAGTGGTAGGATGTGCTGAGACTCATGTGGGTGTGCATTGGGGCTCTCACCTGACGTTTGAAGGGGTAGGATGTGTTGAGACTCATGTGGGTGTGCATTGGGGCTCTCACCTGACGTTTGAAGTGGTAGGATGTGCTGAGACTCATGTGGGTGTGCATTGGGGCTCTCACCTGATGTTTGAAGTGGTAGGATGTGTTGAGACTCATGTGGGTGTGCATTGAGGCTGTACCTGACGTTTGAAGTGGTGGGATGTGTTGAGACTCATGTGGGTGTGCATTGAGGCGGTCACCTGACGTTTGAAGTGGTACGATGTGTTGAGACTCATGTGGGTGTGCATTGAGGCGGTCACCTGATGTTTGAAGTGGTATGATGTGTTGAGACTCATGTGGGTGTGCATTGAGGCGGTCACCTGACGTTTGAAGTGGTAGGATGTGTTGAGACTCATGTGGATGTGCATTGAGGCTGTACCTGACGTTTGAAGTGGTAGGATGTGTTGAGACTCATGTGGGTGTGCATTGAAGCTGTACCTGATGTTTGAAGTGGTAGGATATGTTGAGACCCATGTGGGTGTGCATCGAGGCGGTCACCTGACGTTTGAAGTGGTACGATGTGTTGAGACTCATGTGGGTGTGCATTGGGGCTCTAACCTGACGTTTGAAGTGGTAGGATGTGCTGAGACTCATGTGGGTGTGCATTGGGGCGGTCACCTGACGTTTGAAGTGGTGGGATGTGTTGAGACTCATGTGGGTGTGCATTGAGGCTCTCACCTGACGTTTGAAGTGGTAGGATGTGTTGAGACTCATGTGGGTGTGCATTGAGGCGGTCACCTGACGTTTGAAGTGGTACGATGTGTTGAGACTCATGTGGGTGTGCATTGGGGCTCTCACCTGCCGTTTGAAGTGGTAGGATGTGTTGAGACTCATGTGGGTGTGCATTGGGGCTCTCACCTGACGTTTGAAGTGGTAGGATGGGTTGAGACCCATTTGGGCGTGCATTGAGGCTGTCACCTGACGTTTGAAGTGGTAAGATGTGCTGAGACTCATGGGGGTGTGCATTGGGCGGTCACCTGACGTTTGAAGTGGTAGGATGTGTTGAGACTCATGTGGGTGTGCATTGAGGCTGTACCTGCCGTTTGAAGTGGTAGGATGTGTTGAGACTCATGTGGGTGTGCATTGAGGGGGTCACCTGACGTTTGAAGTGGTAGGATGTGTTGAGACTCATGTGGGTGTGCATTGGGTCTCTCACCTGACGTTTGAGGTGGTAGGATGGGTTGAGACTCATGTGGGTGTGCATTGGGGCTCTCACCTGACGTTTGAAGTGGTAGGATGTGCTGAGACTCATGTGGGTGTGCATTGGGGCGGTCACCTGAAGTTTGAAGTGGTATGATGTGTTGAGACTCATGTGGGTGTGCATTGGGGCTCTCACCTGACGTTTGAAGTGGTAGGATGTGTTGAGACTCATGTGGGTGTGCATTGAGGCTGTCACCTGATGTTTGAAGTGGTGGGATGTGTTGAGACTCATGTGGGTGTGCATTGAGGCGGTCACCTGACGTTTGAAGTGGTATGATGTGTTGAGACTCATGTGGGTGTGCATTGAGGCGGTCACCTGACGTTTGAAGTGGTAGGATGTGTTGAGACTCATGTGGGTGTGCATTGAGGCTGTACCTGACGTTTGAAGTGGTAGGATGTGTTGAGACTCATGTGGGTGTGCATTGAAGCTGTACCTGACGTTTGAAGTGGTAGGATATGTTGAGACCCATGTGGGTGTGCATTGAGGCTGTACCTGACGTTTGAAGTGGTAGGATGTGTTGAGACTCATGTGGGTGTGCATTGGGGCTCTCACCTGACGTTTGAAGTGGTAGGATGTGTTGAGACTCATGTGGGTCTGCATTCCGTTTCATGCCTGTGGAGATAACCATGCCTCTTAACAAATGACACGGTGTTGGTGGTGTGAGATGGGGGCGTGGTGGTGTGGGGTGGGGGCGGTGTGGGAATTTCCTTTGCAGAGTTGCATCCATTTAAATAGACATGTCACAAAGAATTGATCGTGTGATTATTCTACTTCGTGTGTATTCACCTCTGCCGATGGTTTTCACCTGCATCACCTAAGCCTGACATGCCATGACACAACTAACCTTCTGTTTACATCAACGAGGCATTAAAACCAACTCACTCACTCAATACAGACATCTGAAAGCTTTAGAAAGTTTGATCAAAACATTTTCAAGGCAGTGCCTCCCCCTTGAGAAGGTCATATACAATGTTTGGAAATGAAATCATCAATTAAAATATCCACAAACATTTTAGGGAGATCTTTTCTTCTCATAAAATGTGCCAAAAGAATTCCCAGGGTCTAAGTGTAAAAAGTACATGGGAGGTTATCATTTTACTTTGTATTCAAGAGGCTTAATGCCACATTGACCTTGACCTTTGACAGAAATGCTGTTGACATTTGATGTGGACTTGACAGGATAGCTGCCAATATCAAGTTCCATGACTCCAGAGGCAACAGCCTCAAAAACTGATAATATATCGATGTGTAACAGACATCTGAACTCTGACCTTCACTCACCCTTGGCACAAAGTAAAAGGATAAAAACATCTTTATTTATTTTATATTAAAAGAATAATCACAAAAGTTTTACTTGTTTTACCATCTGACCTTTGACAAGTGCCAAAAGAATCCCAAGGTCAATTTGGAACAGGTCCATGGAAAAATACCCTCTAATGTCAATGATCTTTGCATACAAACAAACACTCCAGCAGCAGTTGTGCTCAAATTCTGAATAAAACCTTCAAGCAGTCACATTTCATGACAAAAATGAAAAACATAATTTTTTTGCAGGAATATATAATTTATTAAAGCACAAAGTTTAAATCACACTGCATGGTCGATATTTACAATTCTTTCAAATAAAACACATATAAAGCTTTGCATCAATATAAAGATATTGATATCATGAGAATCGGGAGGCGCATGTACGTGGATGTTCAACATTGTTCTATGCTGTTGCACAATCAGGACATGGGACACACTCCTTACCTCATCATCTCTGTAGCTTTAACTCAGTTTGTGTAAATTAATATCTGTCCAAACTAATTACATGATTATTTGCACTTTCCATCCCCGTGATGCCAAGTTTCAGTTGCATGATAAACTGTTGGCTATTTTGTTCTTGTGTAAATCGTGACATGAATATTATTCAACTCAAGTATAGGACCTGATAACAATGATACTGAGGAAACAGGTGTGTCCTGTTGATTGACACTCTTTCCACATCTGCAGTGACACTTCCTCAGGATGTCAAAGAGTTGCCATTGTAAATAGGGCCTTTCCCAATATAATATATTCTCTTTCAAGAATTCATGCATATCAAAATAGACATATATACTTAAAGTTAGTTTGATCACAAATAATGGGTCCATCAACTGAGAGGTTTTAAAGTTCAGTGCTCGTTCTCTGGAAGAGCATTGTATTTCCATTCTTTACACTAACAAGGATTTACTTCTGACAGTTAACAAAAGCGCAGATTGAAACACGCTTTATCACCAACCATGTTGGAGGCCAGAACCTTGTCTTTAGAGATAAAAATCAAACAGTAACACTGGAGATGTTCAACCAAGAATTGTTCTGCAACTGTCAACACAATGAACAATATTGTAACATCCTTCAGAGACAATAATTATTGTTCAGTGAGCTTAGTGCAATTTTCGCCAATATATAATTGAAAGGTTATGGTCCGTGAAATACCAAATTAGAATACATATACCATGATATATTCCACTGTGAGCACTTTTGGCATAACCCCTGTGCTTGTATGAGCACAGTAACTGTTAATCCCCTGCAGTGTGGTGGCATAGTGAGGATCACTATTTTGGTTCAAATGTCGCTCTTGCAACAATAAGCCATGTGAAACAGTGTTCTGACTGATGGGCTTTGGCTTGACATGTTGCCATGTCAGTTGTATACTTACCAAAATCATATCTACATTTAGGGGGTTATAACATGTTGATGAGAACCCTAATATGTTGTGACATATTCATAACCGTGATCATAAACCTCTTTTCAAGACTAATTTTACACTTTGCAAAAATCTTAACATGTCTTCTTCTTATTGCATTCTTGTTCTGTATAACCTTTCAACATTTTCATTAAGAGTTTATTATGTATCCTTCGGGTAAAACTATGCCAAACCATATGTGACATGATACAAAAATACTTTTGCACTAAGAGGATGTTCAGAACATTAAATCTATGATGCTATCCTTCTTAATGTATCTCTGCAAAAGCACAAAAGTGAAAATGAAAATAGGAAAAAATAGAAAATGATCATGTTCACAAAAATTTAGTCTTTTCGCAAGCAGCAATTCTCAATCAAGTGTTATTAATAAAACTGTATTGCCACTATTACAATGAGTTAATACATCGCTATATAAGTCCAATATTCTTGGACGTGACGTTTAACCCCATTTCACCCACCCTACAGTGTCATGTGGCTATGAAACTCATTTCCCAGTCAATCTCTCAAGCTTTTAACATACTGTGTAATACAAACAGTTTCAACCAGAGCAAACAGATCTGGAACTGAGTTGAAACTATGATGTTGACTCCAATGACCGATACACTGACAGTCCGTTTTACTCATGACAGTCCAGCTGGGAGCACACAGCAGGGAGAGTAGCCCCACTTTTGTAACAAGCCATATGAACATCATCCTTATGTCCAGAAATGTCCATCATTCATTGAGATCTCCTTAGCGATGTATTCATCCCTCTCCTCATCACTGACAACTGAAAAACAACGCAAACAAAGACATCAGTATCGTCATACATGGGGAAATGAAGGACATTAGAGGCCTTGCTTGTGTTTAGTTGCTGTCAGTTTCACTGATGCAGCAATAAATGAACATCCCATTAACATATGGAGACAATGTCTACAACTTGACTGGGCACATGCAGACCATGGACCCTATGTAGTCTCCCTTTGATGTTATCATTGTTGAGATGAACTAATTATCTTAAAACATACCATCATATAGTTTCAGAAGCACAATCCCAATTTTAAACCTCTTGTTGATCGATAATGCACCTACTGGTATAATTTTCTTTAACAAAATATATGTTTCAATTTTTTCAAAAGAGTTTGACACTTCTTGGCGCACATGTTTTAATAATAATTAGGAAAATAATGTTTTAAACACTCTTAGATTTTGATAAACTACAAACTAGGTATGATGTATGATTAAACACACCTATTCTATTTGATTAATGTATGGCACTGAACATGTCCTCAACATTGTCATTCCCTACAAGAACAATCTCATTAAAATCAGATCTTAGTTCTCGCTATAGCAAAACAAAGATCTGAGGACATCCCATTACAGGCCACTTTGGAACGACCTTTCACCCGACCAATCAAAACGTCGCTTACCAGATCGTGAAAGTGACAGTCAGAATGTGTTTTCTAATCATGCAACCTTGAAAACATTAACACAGGGTATTCCATAAGATTGTTACGGCCGGTACAACTGATTCCATGAAAATTATCGTCCATCTTTTGCCTCCATGGGATAAACATTTGAACTGGGGAGGCGTTGCACAGTACGTGGGAAGCACTGCCATACAATCTCAACCATACATTAGACCTTCTGGAATGTTCGTTTGTTCAGTTGTAAACATTTTAATCGAAACCTGTGTCATCATATTTTTCAAGCGTAGTCTAAAATGGAAGTTGCCAGGTTGAAACGAGTGCCGTAAAGCTCGAGACAGCTGCTTTCTAATTGGCTGATGTTGACATTTTGTGAGTCATTTCAAAGTTTGTGAAAGGTTGTTCTGACGTGACCTGTAATGGGATGTCCTCAGATCTTTGTTTACGGGCATGAGAACTTAGATCTGATGTTAATGAGATCACTACAAGACAGCCTTGAGCAGTGGTAAGTCCAACCTTGCTTTGTAGCTGTCTCACACCTTTCTGCATCCTTGTCACCATATCTATTCTGATGAATCTATTTTAGCTGACAGTCACTCTGTAGGGATTCCTGATCAGAATAGGCCCCAGTATCCTATGAGAGTCAAGTGATAGTTTGGTGGTCAGACTGAGAGTACGTCGTCATGTCCCAATGGCATGAACAGCTGTTGAGGTCCTCAGTCACTGGTTTGTCTGGTCCAGACTAGATTATATAGATGCTGCTGTGATGTATTTTGAAAGAGTGCTGACAGCTGTTTTAAACACTGCTTACTAAACAACCTACTATATTAAGTTTTCCCTTGTACTTTCTGCAGAGAGGAGGGGAATAATTGTCACATTAGACTTCTATGAAAAAGATACCCCAAAAGATCAAACTTGGAAATCTGACAAAGGATATTAAGGGTAAAAAGTGAGTAAGTGAGTGAGTGAGTATGGTTTAACGCCGCTTTTAGCAATATTCCAACAATATTACAGTAGGGGACACCAGAAATGGGCTTAACACATAGTTGGAAATCGAACCCGGGTCTTTGGTGTGACGAGCGAATTCTTAAACCACGAGGCTAGCCCACCACTCATTAAGGGTAAAGAATATATGCATACCAAAGCATACAAATCTTACGTACCGAGGCGTTTGACATCATGCCTGATACCAGAATCCACATCCTTCTCCTGCATCAGTCCGAACAAGACACGGAAACTGGAACATGATACACTATGAAATGAGTATACCCTAATTATAATTTTATATATCACACAGTTACTATGTTCCGAAAACCTCACAGGTCACCATGGATGTTTTGTTACAGACAAGTTATCTTTTTTTGTTACTTATATTATTATTCTCCTAAGAAAAAAAAGCTTTTATGAGCTCTGTTTGAAAAGCTGTTGCCAATATATTTACTCCCACAATTTTATGGAACAGATATTTTTTTCAAAAACATCCCAATCCAACAACCCCCTGAAATTCAAAAGACCAATCTTTTACATCAAATTAACAATGATTTCATATCTTTTAATTTTGAAACTATGGATTTGGAGCGAGGTTAATACCCCATGTACACGATGTTGGGAATGTAAAATTACTTGCACTTTGCCAGAGGATAATATACACACTCATATTACACAATAATGCCTTTGTACTTCACATCTTGCTCAAAGGTGAGTTATCCAGTAATGTGATAAACTCATGCTTATTGTCACATTGAGGTGAATCAAACAAATCAATATCAGTGAATTGATTCATGTGGCTGACAGTGACTTGTGCCACCCAAAGTAGATGATAGAAAGGTAACTTGAGGTGAAATGGGTTGAATGTCGTATTCAAGATTATTGCAATTACATAGTGACATGTATGCATGTGTGTGTGGCTGCTTGTACTAGTCTGGACTAATGCCAATTTTATAGTGATATCCCACTGAAATACCATGCGCACCTTAACATGAATACCCAACTCAGACACATTATACTGACTCCGAGCAGACCAGTCCTTGTTTTAGACCCTTAATGCAAAGTGCCAGGCAGGGTAACAACAAGTACCATGTTGTAAGGCCTTTTCGTATGACGCAGGCCGAAGATCAAAGCCTTGACCTTCTGCACTCCGGGCAGACACCCTACCCTACCAGAAGACCACTGACGCTGTCTAAAAGGAATGCTACACATTATTTGTACAGTTACTCTTTGCTATCTTACCTTCTCCCATTCTTCTGTAATATACAAGACCCAGCGGGTTTTCGAGTGAACTCCCTGGTGAGTTTGTCATTATCCTCCCTATTATACAGCCTCCACTGGCCGGGGTCATCGTGCCACTGCCACAACATGTGAGGCTTCTCTGGGGTCGGCATGTCAGGCTCTGATTTTGAGTCGGACAAATTATCAAAATAACTTATAGTTTCAATTGATAGCCCAATCCTACCCAACATGTTTTGAAGCTCATTATGGTATGAAACTGGCAAACATATGTGAGTTGAAAAATTATGTGAACATTCTGACATTGGACATGCATGTGTGATCACTATATTGTTGCATATACGTGGAAGCTAAACCACGCATCCGAGCCACTATGAAATACTTGATTGGTAATCAAGGGCAACAGAGCTACCTGCAGATCAGAATGTTTATTGTTCTGTCAGCAGTTAAACCTGCTCTAGTATTTGCAAATCAGTTCTGCTCAGAACTAGTCCCTTCATTAACTACTGACTTTATGAAACTTTAATGGTTCACGAAATTCTTAATTTGTCATTACTTAATGGTGACTTTAAAATTGGTGGTACAAAGCTGTATTGAAGCTGTCATTAAATGATGAAACTTTAAGCATAAAATCTTCATTTGATGAGTCATGAAGTTAGGCATTTCCCCTGTGATTTTCCCCCAATATCATTTCAGCAAACAAACACTTTCTCCTTCCTGTCAACCGTCAAATGGCATGACTAGAGGAAATTCTCTAGACTCGAGAGTTTGGTAAGTTCTAATTGTCAAATGCATCAATACTGACATTAAATTTACATGTTTTAGATGTTTCAATGCAAAACAAAAACGTTCTTTTATTGGACCACCGCATGTTATTAACATATTGAGCAAATTATTAGACATGTTTTGTTTAATGACCTATATTAAGTTAATGGACGTTTATGTACAGATGGTGTCATTAAAAGTATGAATCAACCAAATTTCCTGACCTATTGGTTAAAGTTTGACACAACTTGGTCCACGACATCAGTACTCCCATATATGGTCAAATTATTATACAGGTATGAATTCACTAATCTTTGCTAATTTGGTGAAGATAAAAACTGGATGGTCTCTAATCAACACACATATTAATATCAACATCTTGTGTATAAATAGGAGGTAGAACAAACAACAAATATCCTGTTCAAGTGGAATGTTATGTGTCACCTTCCTGATCATCCTGTAGAGGAATACCACTTGTTGACAATCCACTCTGGCCACTGGTACCTGATGGATCGTCAGACGAACTGAAATTAGTCAAAATGTTCGGTTGTTGAGTGCATCAGGTAAAACAAAACCTCGTAAGGTTCAATGGATAACAGTCATAAACTGTATGAAAATGTATAGTGTACCAGGATAGGGTGATGAAGATCAATCCTCACTTGTCTCAATCTCCCAGAATGAGGTGGTGAAGATCAATACTCACGTGTCTCAATCTCCCAGCATGGGGTGCTGAAGATCAATACTCACATGTCTCAATCTCCCAGCATGGGGTGCTGAAGATCAATACTCACATGTCTCAATCTCCCAGCATGGGGTAGTGAAGATCAATACTCACATGTCTCAATCTCCCAGCATGGGGTGGTGAAGATCAATACTCACATGTCTCAATCTCCCAGCATTGGGGATGAAGATCAATACTCACATGTCTCAATCTCCCAGCATGGGGTAGTGAAGATCACTACTCACATGTCTCAATCTCCTAGCATGGGGTGGTGAAGATCATTACTCACATGTTTCAATCTCCCAGCATGGGGTAGTGAAGATCAATACTCACATGTCTCAATCTCCCACCATGGGGTGCTGAAGATCAATACTCACATGTCTCAATCTCCCAGCATGGGGTGGTGAAGATCAATACTCACATGTCTCAATCTCCCGGTATGGGGTGGTGAAGGTCACTACTCACATGTCTCAATCTCCCAGCATTGGGGATGAAGATCAATACTCACATGTCTCAATCTCCCAGCATGGGGTAGTGAAGATCACTACTCACATGTCTCAATCTCCTAGCATGGGGTGGTGAAGATCATTACTCACATGTTTCAATCTACCAGCATCGGGTGGTGAAGATCAATACTCACATTTCTCAATCTACCAGCATGGGGTGATGAAGATCACTACTCACATGTCTCAAGCTACCAGCATCGGCTGATGAAGATCACTACTCACAAGTCTCAATCTACCAGCATGGGGTAGTGAAGATCAATACTCCCGTGAAATCCAAATGAGGACCAAGAGCTAAACATGACCCATCCAGCAAGCTCAACACACTCACCATATCTCCAGTTCAAACTTTCCTTCCTGAGTGATGTATCTGCAAGGCTGAATTGTGCCGTTCTCCCATCTCACCTGCAAAGTAGTTACATCAACACTAGAACACAAGGCAAACATGTTCATGGACTTTAAGGAACTTTATCTTTACTTCATGTTCAGTATATCTACATACTGGATGTATCTGTGAAAACGCCAGAGATGTATGTACATATTTGTATTTTCATATTCAGAGTATGTGGCACTAACTCAGTTAGGGTGGGGTGTGATTAAAACTGAGTTTAGTTTGTAGTCATGCAAAAAATATGATGTTTAAAAAATACATTCTCTGTCAAATTATGCAATACTCACATTGGCCACTGTACACAATGCAAATCTCACCTTGTATATTTGATTAACAAAGTTAGGCACGTCTTAACACTTCATCATGTTCTTTACCTTTAAAGAAAGCTTGTGAACATTTCAGTAAATTTAGGATAGAAAGTAGGAAGAATGTCATACTTTTACACTATTGTCTTTCCTTTTTCTGATGACCACACCAGTCTTACCGGGACCACCATCCTCATTCTGATATGGCCAGTCAGCACCTGGACAAACAGTAGTTTACTTCTCATACTAGGTCATTACTCTACAAATATTCAACATTGTCATAAGTTGCACACGCTGATTCCACTGAAAGAGATATCCACATTCAAAGGGTGCTTGACTGGTCAGCTTTATCGTTACCAAATACTGATTGACTCCTGACACAGTTAACATGGTTAAGCAAAACAGTTTTTAGTGATCATGTGGTACATATCAATGAATTAGCAGTATGGGCCTTACCTCTTTTAACCCTACACCCAACCTCAATCAGTTCATCCTCCTTCAGTGTCCTTGGTTTGTCTTCCACTACATTGATGTCATACTTGTTTTCAAAGCCAAATCTGTAGCGACACAATTTGTCGTTCAAGTCCCACAGAACCCAAACAAGCTCTAAAATGAAAAAAATGACTTCATCAATGAAAAAACTGTGCTTCTCTACTGAAGCTGTCTATTTGAACCTACAGAAGAACGAAACCCTTGAATAATGGTGTGTGACTGTCTTACATTACTTATTATTTATCTTACATTTTCCCTAGTGATGTACTAGTAATTACAAGTATCTGTGAATAAACTTGAAGAAACAGAAGAAGGAGCCCTCCAGACATCAATACAAATTTCCATCACAAATTTCCTGTGTGATACCATTACTTTCAGTTCAGGGAAAAACATGCCTACTGCCACTTCATTCCAGATTAAAGTTCTTTGTCTCTTTAGTTCACATAAAAAGGAATCTAAAGGCACTTCCAGTCTACTTACATCACTTTCGGTTAGGTATACACTTGCCCAATGCAGTACAAAAGAAAACCAGAAAGTACTATTCCTCTAGCTACCTTCATAAGAAAGTCATAGCCAAATATCAAATACATGTCACTTGAAGTTTGACTTTAAAACAGGAAGTTCCATGCCCCCTGTGTACTAACTACATAAGAAAGTCATATGCACTTCCAGTTCACCTTTATGCACTTCTTGATTGGGAAACACATGTTCAATGGTAAGACAACTTTAAAAGAGGTGCCTCGATCGAGACACATTAATAACAGTTACATCCACTTCCTGGTTCAGTGACTTGCATTCTGGATGGGTAAAACACATGATAACTGCATGATAACTTAAAACCTGCCTGCTTCATAAAACATGGTCATACACCTTGGTCTAAGAGCATCAGTTCCCAGTGGGGAAACATATAATACAAAAAGTAACATGCATTCAGCGACATTAATAAAAGGTAGTGCCAGGACCGCAACACTGTAGCTCTTCTAGAAATGTTTTATAAAATGTCAACAAGACAGACACATAACAAAAGTTGCTTTCAGTATTGCTATTCATATATTTTCTGCATGAATACTGAGGACAAAAGTAAAAGAAAATGTGAGACATAGTGCCCTGGCAATGTAGCTCAGTGGGTATGGAGTCAACAACCACTCATAAAAGTTGCTGTCATCATTGCTATTCATATATTTTCTGCATAAATACTGGGGACAAAATTATTAACAAATATAAAACAAGTAAATTTTCACAATGTTTCTAAATATGCAAGAATGAATGTACCTTTGTAGAAGATTACTGCACTACACAGATAAATTTACTTTTCACAAAGTTTTAACTTTGAGCCTTATATACCTTCTATAGAGAATGTTTTATGTCACACAACTTTTCAAATTGTTTCACACAACAACAAAAATCCTAATGGTTTGAACAAAACATGATGACATCATAAGAGAAACCCATGTAAAGTTCAACTTTTCAATCTGGTAATATCAGAGAAGATGTGTACAGAGCCAAACATGCATTGTGAAAGAAGGTACAAGCATAACAGTCAATTTTGATCGGAAATGTCTGAGCAGTAGCCATAAACAGCTTTAGGACATACATACCCTTTTCACATACATATGTGTCATCACTGATTTTCAGTGATCCATTCATATAATTCTTACTGCTATTTTGCTTTTTAGGCCCAATAAAATCCCTTTCGGCGAATACATGAGATGTTGACATTTTATATTTTCAGTATAGCTGCTGCTGAAAATGATATTTGAAGCTCATGAGAAACTTCACATGTCATCATTGGTTGGAAGGGGACTGGACAATCTGTACCCAATGAGATCCATACCTTGTATATTTGGACTTGTACATAAATGTTGGATAACTTGTACCCAATCAACTGGATGACCCCCAAAATGTATTTGTACACAATGAAAATGTTCATGAATTTAAATTTTATTCACTCCTATTGTTATCTGTAGCAATGACCGAGAAATGATATTTGACACTGTAGATACTGTGGTCACCAAGATATGAAACAATAGCTAAAATTCTGGAAAATCTATTGAGTACTTCCAATCACTTCAGGAAAGTATCAGCTGTACCGTAAAACATTTGCCATTTGGGTCGCAATTTGTCAGACAGCTTACAATCACATAATAACAAGCCACTGGAAGAGGACCTCAGATCACTGATGGTTCAATCCCATTCTGCCTACATCCCATTCTGCCTACAGAAAATAATGTAGGCACAATAGGAACTTAGTTTCATCCCTATTTATGTAAATGTTCTGGACCAACCACTATTGTTTGACTTATTTTTTAATATCTGTCAGGCTTGTACCGTGCAGCTTCGTGTATAAAAATGTTAGTAACTGAAGAAACTGAGTAGGGAAATTAAATACTTGCTACTGTTCAAACAAGCCAGTTCTTAAGCAGAGCAGAGATGTTAATACATATGACTGTATAAACTGTATTTTCTTTTAGAGATCAACGCAATTAAAATTAGACTGAGTATATAATTATTACTGTATAAAAAACAAAATAATATAGAACCGATCACATCAAGTAACTATTTTTAAGATCAATGCATTTTAAGGTCCAATCCACTGTTGTTCAAACAAGCCACTTCTTAAGCTGAGCAGAGATGTAAAAAAATATGACTGTGTGTATAAACTTGAGATCAATGCAAGTAACAATAGACTATGTCAATGTATATCACTTCCTATATTTTAATTTCATCAGATCAGATCATCAGTTCAGATCAATGAATGGTATAAAAAATAACTAGGGACGTATAAAACAACATATACCCCGAGTGGTAATGCTACAACAAACTTATCTTACAGGCATGTTTCAATCTGCCATTGCAAAAGAATGAAAAAAATGAAAATTGATAGAAAACAGTTGTTTGATTGACCTGAGGTTAACTTGTGCTGGGTCACGTGACTTTCATTAACTCAAAAACGGGTAAAAGGGATATATTCTCCAGCTAAGTATTCCACATGCAGCCTGTTTTCTCTTCGTGGCAGGGTATAAGAAATTTATACTCCTGTCAGGTGGGATACATTTTCAAGAACATGTGAACCAACCAGATCTCAACATTGTGACATGGAGGTGAGACACTATGCTTGCTTATTGGGGCATGTTACATGATGGTGCTTCACGTACAGTGGGGCTGATGAAGAGTATAACAGCCTTTCATACTACAACTACAGGACCGTGAACCTTGTGCCTGGCGATCAACATTCACAAAACAGATATTTCTGTGACAAATCGCTTAACAATAACCGCAAGTGCATTGTGGGAGTCAGAGTCATATACATAATCCCAGGTAAATCTCTTGATATGGACTTGGCACCAGGACATCCATATCTGTACCTGACTGTTGTTGAGCTATTTGACATATTTCCCTATCATTTGAAGTAGGTGATATATTACCAATTAAGACAAAGTAGTTTATTCAAAAAGGAAAGAAAAAGAAGACATAAGACGTGAAAGTGCATGTTCCATACAACAATTCATTCGTACATTCAACCCATTCAGTATAATAGCTACATGACAAGATGCATCACTTACTGTGATCATCAGCATGATTGATAACTGTTCCTGGTCCACCTACATCCTGGTCCTGGTATTTCCAGTCAGGACCTCTGATGACCCTTGACCCAAGGGGAGGCAAGTCCTTGAGCTCTTTAATCTTGTCATAACCATCAGGGTCATCATCAACATCATTGGTATCATTTCTTTCCAGCTTCACCTTTACCTCCTGGATAATCGCATTCTGTAGAAACAACCAGGGTCATGTTGTAGTAGTGTACTGGTACTAGTGCTATAACCAGGGTCATGTTGTAGTAGTGTACTGGTACTAGTGCTATAACCAGGGTCATGTTGTAGTAGTGTACTGGTACTAGTGCTATAACCAGGGTCATGTTGTAGTAATGTACTGGTACTAGTACTATAATCAGGGACATGTTGTAGTAGTTTACTGGTACTAGTACTATAATCAGGGACATGTTGTAGTAGTTTACTGGTACTAGTACTATAACCAGGGTCATGTTGTAGTAGTGTACTGGTACTAGTGCTATATAAAGGGTCATGTTGTAGTAATGTACTGGTACTAGTGCTATAACCAGGGTCATGTTGTAGTTGTGTACTGGTACTAGTGCTATAACCAGGGTCATGTTGTAGTAGTGTACTGGTACTAGTGCTATATAAAGGGTCATGTTGTAGTAATGTACTGGTACTAGTGCTATAACCAGGGTCATGTTGCAGTAGTGTACTGGTACTAGTGCTATAACCAGGGTCATGTTGTAGTAGTGTACTGGTACTAGTACTATAATAAGGGTCATGTTGTAGCAGTGTACTGGTACTAGTGCTATAACCAGGGTCATGTTGTAGTAGTGTACTGGTACTAGTGCTATAACCAGGGTCATGTTGTAGTAGTGTACAGGTACTAGTGCTGTAGATATAACAAGGGTCATGTTGTAGTAGTGTACCGGTACTAGTGCTGTAGATATAACAAGGGTCATGTTGTATAAGTATACTAGTAAGAACGGGAATCATAACAGATAATGATTGGGTAATTGTGATAGCAATAAGAAGTGATCCTGTCAGTCACTTTTCCTAAACAGAGAACAATAAAAGGTCTGTTGGTGATATACTGACAATAGTATGGAATTCTTTTTCATTGTCCAAGGAGTCACCAAGTTTCGTACCTTCTCCTCTGGCTTCATGTTTCCAATGAAGGCCTCTGCCACTGCCTCGATGGCTTCATTCAGATTACTCCAGTCACCACTGTTGTTCTTTACACACATGAAGATTCGGCCAATATTTTCCTTCATAAGTAAGCAACAAAAAATAAAACTAATATGCTCATGTTTCTGCAATCAGTCTTTCATTTTAATGTTTTTCTTTTAAGTCACAGTTAAGTCATATACATGCATCTTTATAAAGCTTCGGCTCTCTGGGCCTGGTGTTCTGAAAAGATTCTAAATGAGTCTTTGCTTTAAATATTTGGACCGCCTCAGTGGTCTAGTGGTACAGCGTCCGCCCTGAGAGCCAAAGGTCCGGGGTTCGATCCCCAGAAGCGTCATACCAACGTTAAAAGATGGTACTTATTGTTACCCTGTCTGGCGCTCGGCATTAAGGGGCTAAAACAAGGACCGGTCGGCTCGAAGTCAGTATACTGTGTCTGACTAGGGTATTCATGTTAAACTGCGGCATGGTATCTCAGTGGGCTAGCACTATAAATCGACTAGTACAAGCAGCCACACACACACACACACACACACACACACACGTACATGCACGTCGCTATATAAGTGCAATAATCTTGGACGCGACGTTAAACCCAATTTCACCTCACCTCACCTTTAAATATTTGTTTTTCATTTTTATGTCAGGAAAAATAATTAAATCCCAATGTGTTACACATAATATCAATGGGTCAGATTCCCAGGCCTTGTGGTTTCTCAAACGAAGAGTCTTTAAAGATTTTAAAGTTTTATTTATTTTTTAAATTGGATTGTGTTTGCATTACATGTTAATAAAACGTTATAAGCATTTCCATTGAATGCAATCCCTTCTGTTTTTGGAAACATGTTACCAGTGCAGTACAACTTTGAAACTGAAAATCCAATATAAGCACTCAGGATTGATGCCATCACTTCCAGGTTTGAAAAACATGTTTAATGCAAGACAACTTTAAAAACACAATGTCCAATGCCTCTGACAATATTAATAAGAAAATTAAATACCTCACTTCCAGTTTTGGAAAACATATGTCTAACACAAGACTACTTTAAAATATAAAGTTCTGTGCTTATACCTACCTTAAAAAGACAGTTATGAAATCACTTCTGGTTAGCGAAAATACATGTGTAACTTTGAGACAGAAAATCCCATGCCAATGCTACATTAACAAGAAAGCCACATGCACTTCCGAATCAATAACTAAACCCATATATGAAACAGAAGTTCCACGCCACAAGCTATATTGAAACAAGATTCAGTTTTTTAGATTATTTCTTGTTTACTTGTTCTTATTCAACTACGTTAAGAATGACAATCACATTGACCTTGACCTTCACTGAATGTAAATTTCAAATATCTATCATGAATAGTTAAATTATATATATCCTCCAATTTATTTCTTATCTTGTTCACTTTTATATAACAGGAATTGTACAAGAAAAGCATATCATAATCACTTCAACAAGCTCCAAACATGAATCTCCTTGGAAACCCCAAACCAATCCCCCATAAAGCACAGATCAATTACTGCAAAGTCTTTTAATGTCTGTCATATAAAACAAGCTGTGCTATAAAGATATTTACCTGTACTCTGTAGTAGGTACACAGAGTGGGGACGTCTTTGCTCTCAATGATATTTCCATCGCCAAGTTTTGATAGGGATGTAAGGAATGCCTGTGGAGAGTGTCAAAGACTGTTGAAATAATTCCAACAACATTTCAAACAATTGGAAAATGAAGCCTGATTTAGATGCTTATCTGTCTAAAATATTTGGTCATTGTTCCTGTGGATGTCAACTTATAGCACAATAACTGATGGAATTTAAACTCAGAAGAACACTAAGCTTTGTGGAATGGTTTGGTTACAGGTCACAAAACAATACATTACAAACTAAGAGTGATTGAATTACAATGTTAAGGGAGATGGTGAAAGAATGCCTACTCTGTCAGCTTCTCCAACGGGAATCCATATGACAGGATGTGGTGTTGAACTGTGCTTCTTTGGTGTCATCTCACTTACCAATCGAATCAATTGGATTTTAGTCTGAAAATTAAACATCCATGCAACAGAAAGTCCAATTCCTCACAGTAAATTGTTTTGTTCTTGAGTCAATAAAAGTTAAAGGTAAATTGAAGGTACACCATTTAAAAAATTCCAATGACAGTGGAAGCATTACAGAAACATACACAAAGATCTTTTGTGGCATTAAGGTGACATACATTCTGATCTGTTGAGGCATTAACTGACATACATTCTGATCTGTTGAGGCATTAACTGACATACATTCTGATCTATTGAGGCATTATGGTGACATACATTCTGATCTATTGATCCATTAACTGACATACATTCTGATCTGTTGAGGCATTATGGTGACATACATTCTGATCTGTTGAGGCATTAACTGACATACATTCTGATCTATTGAGGCATTATGGTGACATACATTCTGATCTGTTGAGGCATTAACTGACATACATTCTGATCTATTGATCCATTAACTGACATACATTCTGATCTGTTGAGGCATTATGGTGACATACATTCTGATCTGTTGAGGCATTAACTGACATACATTCTGATCTATTGAGGCATTATGGTGACATACATTCTGATCTATTGATCCATTAACTGACATACATTCTGATCTGTTGAGGCATTATGGCGACATACATTCTGATCTGTTGAGGCATTAACTGACATACATTCTGATCTATTGAGGCATTATGGTGACATACATGCTGATCTATTGATCCATTAACTGACATACATTCTGATCTGTTGAGGCATTATGGTGACATACATTCTGATCTGTTGAGGCATTATGGTGACATACATTCTGATCTATTGATCCATTAACTGACATACATTCTGATCTGTTGAGGTATTATGGTAACATACATTCTGATCTGTTGAGGTATTAACTGTCATACATTCTGATCTGTTGAAGCATTATGGTGACATACATTCTGATCTGTTGAGGTATTAACTGTCATACATTCTGATCAGTTGAAGCATTATGGTGACATACATTCTGATCTGTTGAAGCATTATGGTGACATACATTCTGATCTGTTGAGGCATTAACTGACATACATTCTGATCTGTTGACACATTATGGTGACATACATTCTGATCTGTTGAGGTATTAACTGACATACATTCTGATCTGTTGAAGCATTAAGGTGGCATACACAATGGTCGGTTTGAAGCATTATGGTGACATACATTCTGATCTGTTGAGGCATTAAGGTGGCACACATAATGGTCTGTTGAGGCATTAACTGACATACATTCTGATCTGTTGAAGCATTAAGGTGGCATACACAATGGTCGGTTTGAAGCATTATGGTGACATACATTCTGATCTGTTGAGGCATTAAGGTGGCATACATAATCGTCTGTTGAGGCATTAAGGTGACATACATTCTGATCTCTTGAGGCATTATGGTGACATACATTCTGATCTGTTGAGGCATTAACTGACATACATTCTGATCAGTTGAAGCATTAAGGTGACATATATTCTGATCTGTTGAAGCATTATGGTGACATACATAATGGTCGGTTTGAAGCATTATGGTGACATACATTCTGATCTGTTGAGACATTAAGGTGGCACACATAATAGTCTGTTGAGGCATTAACTGACATACATTCTGATCTGTTGAATCATTATGGTGGCATACATAATGGTCTGTTGAGGCATTATGGTGACATACATTCTGATCTGTTGAGGCATTAACTGACATACATTCTGATCAGTTGAAGCATTAAGGTGACATACATTCTGATCTGTTGAAGCATTATGGTGACATACATAATGGTCGGTTTGAAGCATTATGGTGACATACATTCTGATCTGTTGAAGCATTAAGGTGGCATACATAATGGTCTGCTGAGGTATTAACTGACAAACATTCTGATCTGCTGAGGTATTAACTGACAAACATTCTGATCTGCTGAGGTATTAACTGACATACATTCTGATCTGCTGAGGTATTAACTGACAAACATTCTGATCTGCTGAGGTACGTATTATGATTACATACATTATGATCTGTCGAGGGAGTGTCAGGTCCGGTTTCACTACTTTCATTAGAAGCCAGTCCATCTGTGATGAAGATTATCCTTGGGCGTATCTTGTGGGCACCTCCAACACTGAGTACACCTCCTAAATAGGTCACATGACATGAGTCATCAAATCAGTGACACTCTTAAGCATATAATTTCAGTTTGTGTCAGTACAGCCGAGTATGAACTGTCATAGAGTGACAGACAAACTCTATAAACATTTGACTTAAAGCGTGCAAAAACTACCCTACAAGTCTCATACTAATTTCACAATTTTGTTTCAATGAATCTTTGCACTACTTTGTTTGGAAAGTGTTATCTTGAAATGTGAGTCACATAACCACCTGCTGCAATGGAGAACCATGGCACAGTTGCTGAAAAGTAGAGATAAAATGTGTGCATGTATGTTTTTAAATACCTAAATGTAACATGTAACTGTTTGGTGACAACGAATGGGTTTCAATGAAAGTTTCATTAGATATTAGAACACATATCCATCAAGAACTACCTTAATACAAAAATGTTGCAGTGTGTGGTAATACATAACTTCAAGTGCACCATGTCACAGTCAGCACAACTGGAGAACATTCCACAGTGTCACTAAACATGTGACTCTTATTATACCTGTTAATCACTGTTTCTGAAATGGGAAATATATTTTACAACGTGAAAACAAAAGAAAATTTCATACCTCGTCCTTTTATGGCTGCAACACATACCATGAGGGCTTCAAACATTGGACTTCTTCCATGACACACTAAATCATCTGTAACACATTCATATTATTGAGACAAAAGCTTAATTAATGAGAACATGAGCAGCGCTTAGTTGGACCAGTACTACTTTCATCACATTAAACAGTTGGGCTATGATATCTGTTAGCTATGTTCTGACCTATAGCATCTCTGACAGCTCCATAGTCATTGGTGAGCTGCTGGACGACCTTGGCTCCTCCTCCCAGTGACACCACGCCCACATTCTCCTCCAGTCCGTGCTGCTCAGCTATGTCCTCAATTCCTGAGATCGAAAAAAATAATCATCATCAGATGACATTTATTATCTAACTGATAAGTAGACCCCAAATTTAACTGGAACGAAAAGGGAAAAATCCAACAATTGATAAAAAAAATATCACGCTTTTGATTAAGTAATTTTGTGTGAAGTGAAGTTTTTAGGAAAAACCACCAGTAGTCCTTCAACATGTATAATATACTGAACAACAAAAGTTCCTGTGACATTGAATAAGATTTAATACAAAGTTATGTTTTTTACCAAATCTGAAACAATTTTGGTTGGCAACAGAAAAAAAGAGTCATGTAAGTGTTCAAATGGTTTAATTTGCCATACTGACTTCAGAAAATGTGTGATTTCATAAAAAACATGAACATGCCAAAATGTCAATTTACAAATCAATAGCGTGTGTGTCCACCTCTGGTTGCGAAGCAAGCAACACATCTTCATCTCATTGAATGGACCAGGCGTCACACAAAGTGGAAAAAACATGCTGGAGCATGTTTCGAAGTTCCTGGAGTTGAACACGTGGTTGACGTCGAAGGCGCTGATCCATCTCATCCCACATGTGTTCGATTGGTGAGAGATCAGGTGAGCGAGCCGGCCAGGGGATGACATTCGCGTTGTTTTGTTGAAGAGAATACTGAACAAGTCGAGCAATATGAGGCCGGGCGTTGTCATGTTGAAAGGTAATGCCTGGGCCATAACGACGCAAAAACTGTAGAACAACAGGGCCGATGATCTAGTCGCGGTAGCGCTGTCCATTGAGATTTCCCTCTACCACTATCAAACAGGTCCTCTGTCTTGCTGTAATCCCACCCCACACCATAACGCTGCCGCCCCCGAACCGATCTTCTTCCATGACACAATGATTGATGTAATGTTCACCTCGACGTCGGTACACTCGAATCCGTCCATCGATGTGGCTAAGGTGAAAATGAGACTTGTCAGTGAATAGAACTTGTCCCCACTGCATGGCCGTCCAACATAGACGCTGTCTGCACCACTGTAGATGTGATGTAGGTGTGTTGTTCGAATCCAGTTGTCTTCTCAATTATTGGTTACGCGTGGCCTGCCACTCCGAGGATGGTTTCTGACTGCATTGGTCTGTTGCCAACGTTGCCATAAATACCAAATGGTGTTTCTGTGGATAAATTTTCACTCAATCCTGCTTCAAGCATACCAATGGCTCGCAGACGCTCATTTTCGGACAGGCTTGGCATTTCGTAATGTTGAATAATTGCGTAATTTTTGTTGTTTTTCTGAGTGGTTGTTGTCAGCACGATGCTATGGAATCCCGTTAATGCACATGTTTTTATACCGATTCTTTCGTAGTGAAATGTATGGGGCTTGCATAAAAGTCAACTTTTGCATGGAATGCATGCTTTTCTGTAGCAGTTACGTTTTTGTGACTTGATTCCATACATGTACTACAATACTGAAAACCAAACTTTACTTGTTTGAAAAATACACTAAAATATTGGTGGCACAGGAGCTTTTGTTGTTGAGTATATAACAAAATATATAATTTGAATTCATTAATTACATCATTTAAAACTGACAGCACTTGCTATTTGGTTTTTGCCTGAATAATTCTCTGTCTTAGACTAATATAAATCTATTTTTATGTTGGTTCGCTGACTCATGTCAAAATTCACAATCAAAATATGAAATGAGAATAATTTGCCTGTTAATATCTTTTTTTTTAAGCATGATGAAAGCAAGAACTTAAAAAATCGCTTAAAATAGGAAGACAGATCCTGCTCTGACAACAGTGAACACAGTAAAACATGGTCATAATGAACAAGGGATTTTGAAATTTGTTCGTTAATTTGTAGTTCTGTAGCAGGTGTATATATTTGTATTATATCTTTTTGAAAGTATTTTCTATTTCAACTTTTGTTTCTGTTGAATTATATTCAACAGAGGTTTGTTGGCATTTCAGGATGGTTATGTATTTTGTTGTCCAACATGTAGTTTTTATCCCAGGCCTCTAGTGACCAATCACATCCCAAGCTATCCTACATTCTTTGTCCGGATCACTCACACCCCAAGCTATCCTGTGATTGGCCAAATTCAAACTCTACCTTCTTACTCCATATTGCCACTTTCACTATGCACTGCATCGGGAGCATTTCGGGATCATCACTAAAGGTTAGTTTATAAGGTATCTTTACTTCTAGATAGGATTAAATAGTAATCAAAGGTTTGGCATTATAAATAAGCATCTAAGGCTTAAAAAAATAAAAGAATTGGTTCTCAGGCAATGGTTTTTGAAAATATAGTGCGGGCAGGTGGTGTCTTTTTCTTCTTTTTTTTTGGTTGTACAAATTAGCATGTAACCAATAAACAGTTGTGTAATCAATAAAACAATTGTGCACAATCAACCTGGGAAAGGGCCTCCCTACATAAATGTATTCCTTGATGAGTAAAATACTGGAATACAAGTTGGACTTGGAATATTTAAGGATTTTTTATATATCTAACCAAGACTATTATTTTTTTAGCCTAAGCAGTAATTAATATATTTACATTAAATCATATATTAGTATGAATATTGATGTTTTGAATGAATGTGTTTTAGAGGTGGAACATTAACCTAAGCAAGTAAAGTTCAAAAGTGTATTTTAATATTATCTTGTATATATGCTAAAGTTTATCTATTATTGTCTACCATTATGGAAATGCACAAACTATGCATTTGGATATTTATTTCATTGCATTTGGTTTGCATAGTAATTTGTCTGTGCACTTGGTAATGCTTTTTTCTTGTCGCTTTAAGTATTTTCATATTATGCATATATATTTATTCCTGCTCTTTGTTGTGCAGAACATATATCATAAGTAGTGACTGTTGAAGTGTGTCACGTTTCACACCCTTGTGCCACACATAGGGTATGTGTGCATTGTATATTATTTTATTATCTATGATACAAGTACATCACATGTGTAATTATTTTATCCAATATGTATCATAAGCTATTTCTCTCATATCATCTGAAAGTATTTGGTTGTAAGCAATGTAACAGAAATTATCGTATTGCTTTGATGATGATATGATATATATTAATATGCATATACTATATTATCTATTGTTTATTATTACAGGGTGTTTATCTTGCTCATTCACAAATAAACAGAAGCCTCACACCAGAAGCCGTCTTTGGTGTCATCTGTGGACATGTTATGGGTAATGCCACAGAAATCCCAGTTACAGTTCATTGCTCATGAAACCTTGTGAGTCATTTTGGATGCAGCCATGATTCATACACAATAATTAAATGGCAATTTCATTCACAGTGCTAGAGCTTGTGGACATATTTGGCATTTTCATAAATAGTTACAAAATATATTTAGCTGTTGGGATAATGGAATAGTCCACTCTGTATGTGTACTGTAGAAATAATGGAATAGTCCACTCTGTATGTGTACTGTAGAGTAGAAATAATGGAATAGTCCACTCTGTATGTGTACTGTAGAAATAATGGAATAGTCCACTCTGTATGTGTACTGTAGAAATAATGGAATAGTCCACTCTGTATGTGTACTGTAGAAATAATGGAATAGTCCACTCTGTATGTGTACTGTAGAAATAATGGAATAGTCCACTCTGTATGTGTACTGTAGAAATAATGGAATAGTCCACTCTGTATGTGTACTGTAGAAATAATGGAAATGTCCTGTAGTGATACTGATAAACCCGATCCACATAATGTTTCAAATAAAATTATCATAAAATCTTAAAAGTGAAATCAAGCTCAACCTGTCACATTCTTACAGCATACTTACCTTAGAAGACATGATTAGTTTCAAAAAGTGAATCCGTCCAGATTTGGTTCAAATGCTACATCAACTATTGAGACTAATTTGCATAACAGGAAATATTTTCAGTAGTCAGCTGTACTCGTCACTCAAACTGGACAATCGGAATCACAACTCCATTCATTGTTTAAGTAAACCATGTTCTTAAGATGACCCCACCAGATCTAATCTTGATCTTTTGAAACACTTGCTATTGAATACTGTTTAAACAGTAAAAACAGCCAATTTCTGAATTTCTCATCTTCTAGTATTGCTCATTGGTGAAACCCACTTAGTATTTCACCTCAGTGTCGAAGAATTTTAAAAATGCCCTGTTTATAAAGAATACAGAGACAGAATAAGTTCCATGTACATACTTACCATCTACAAAGTCGTTGGCAATCTGCTTGACTTCCTCCAAACCTGACAGACCAATGCTGTCTGACACATCCAGACATAACAGAGTGTCCATACTCTTTGCTCTTGGTGGTGGTGGATTATCTAGACAAACAGCCATATAATTCCTATACAATATCTATTTATATGAATATATAATTAATTACAGGTTTAAAGAACACACAAAGATTATAAATAAAAGTTGTATGTCATATCTCAAAACAAATATGCATACAATTGTCCTTGTAAGGATTTAAGCATAAAGCTGGAACCAAAACATTGAATACATACTCAATAAGTCCTTTATTGTGACAAATAGATAGAAAATTATTAGATGACCATGTGTCATAATGATTATATAAATGAGTGTCAGAATTTGTCTACTTCCCAGGTGTTTCCGACACATCTGGTCTGTAAATGTGCAGGACACACTCATTAAACACTCCTGGTTATCCAACTTTAGTAATTTGTAGGGATAAGAAGCAGTGTCCTCCATATTGAACACTGTGTCGAGGAGCTAACTGGGTCAACACAAAAATGGTGAGATGCTGTGACATCATTACCACTGTGATGTCAATAAACATCACTCAAACAACAGTTTGTGTATTTCCTCATCAATGACATATCAGCATTATGTAAAAAATGACCATGATATGTCATATTTTGAACCAGGGACATTTTTTCATAGTTTTTATAGTGAACAAACAAACTGGTGATGTATGAAATGCGATTCTCATAAATAAATATGCTTTTATTCTTCTCAGATATATCTGCATACAAAGGAAATTATTTTATCATTCTTCAAAAGTTTGGGGGTCAATGCCACCCAACCTCAAAGGATGGGGGACAGTATGAAACAAGAGCTGTAAAACTTGAGAAAGCTGCTTTCTGATTGGTTAATGTTTACTTCTTGTTACTTCTTTCATTGGTCAGTCAAAGTTTGTGAAAGGTCATTCTGACGTGACCTGTAATGTGATGTCCTCAGATCTTTGCGAATTGTAGTGAGCTTGTAGTGAGCACAAAGATCTGACTTTAAAGAGATTGTTTCAGCTTCATGGATGCAGTGGATTATGAGTGTTGGACAAAAAGGCCAAGACATAAAGCTCACATGACTTTCAGTCAGATGAGCTAAAAAGAAATGTTTCTGTGACTTGCTCAATGCTTCAAAGTATGACCTCCGGTAACCTTGCCCTCATACATGGTTCACCAAAAATCTATTCAAATTTGGTCAGAATCTTCTTACATTTTGTAACATTAGATACAGGACACGTTACATTGTCCTCCATCATGCTATATTTCTTTGATCCATTTCTTTCAGAAACCACATCAAAAACTGGATAAAATATGCTCTAATAGGTCGGAATTGAGAAACTATTTACTGAAGACTTTATTCATAGTGATTTTTCTTGATGCTGTGATATGCATACCGGTATATGTATTGTTCTAAGCCTGCACCTACCATCAACAAGGGCTTTGGCAACAGATTCAGTGAGGCGCCGGACTTCTGTACTGGAGATGCTCCGTCCAACACTTGCTACATTCATGGAGCTCAGAAGCTGCTCAGCCTCTTCGTACACTTCTGTTAAACCATCAGATATAATTACTGTGTAGCTACATGACAGATGAATTAACTTCTGAATTATTAATGATGGGTTTATATGTGTACACAGTTTACCAATATCAGGCATTGACCAACCTTTTTACCAACCTATGATTATGTCCCCATATGAAAGATTCTTGGGATTAATAAGTTTGACATTTACTTACGTTTTGAAGGAATGCTCTTGTCCACAGATGCTATTTCTTCTTCAATACTGTGAAGAAAAATTGTTTCATAGTCATATCAAAACAGATATATTTTGAATCCGGAGTAAACTGATCAGTTTTGCATTTGGATAATTATACAAAAATTGAAACATATCCCTGAACCATGATCAACTGAATATATACTGTTGGAAAACTGGCAAACAAGAGGTAGTTTAACTGGCCTCAAAATGTGTCAATATCTTAGAATGTCAAATTTAGAATCAGAACAACATAATTCAATGAGCTTATTGGAAGATTAAGTGAAGAAAAACTGTATAACATTTCATTGTAATATACATAATATACTGAGTCAAATTAAAAACTTCACATTATTAAAAGTTATCCCATATATGACATACAACGGACAAATGTATCAGAGAAGGTAATTTTTAATCATTAATGTCCAAAGAAGGATTTTAATTAACGGTGGTAACCATAATTTGTTCCAAGCACCTACGGTATTCGGTAATAACATCAACAGTTTAAATCATAAGTCCCAAGCACAAGAATCTGATGGCACACAAGTTCAGTAGCGTGTACGGCCACCATGTCCGTTGACAACTGCCACACGCCTCCGCATGGACCTTGTGATGCTTGTGAACACATGATTGGGAAGACGACGCCATTGTTACTGCAAAATGATGCCAAGATCTTGCAAATTCTGTGGTTTGTTCTGGAGAGTGCGCAGGCTTCTGCCAAGAGCATCCCAGACATGTTCGATGGGATTGAGGTCGGGTGACCTTGACGGCCAGTCCATGACGTTGACTCCCGCATTCTGAAGGAAATTCCTTGTCAAAGTGCTGTGTGGGGTCTGGCATTGTCGTGTTGGAAGATCAAACCAGGTCCATGTGCTGCCATAAAAGGCAGAGGTTCTGGTGCCAGTACCTGGTCGGGATAAGCAGCAGCGTTGAGGCTGCCACGGATGACAAGAAGCTTGGAACGTGCATTGCCACAGAAAGCACCCCACACCATGACACTTCCGCCCCGAAATCTGTCAACTTCCTGTACACAACACTGGGCGTAACGTTCATAACGGCGCCTCCACGCCCTCGCCCTACCATCAGCAAATCGAAGATTACATCGGGATTCATCACTGAAGATGACTTGATTCCAATTCCCCTGAGTCCATCGTAAGTGTCGCTTAATGGAGTCAGAATCGGCCTGCAGTATGGCCGTCGTGCTTGAAGGTGAGCAGTTCTCAGACGGTTTCGAACAGTTTGCGCAATCAGTCTACCCCTAAACAGTTCATTTCTGGTTGATGTAGCCGTCAAAAATCGGTTACGGAGGTGACGTAAGACAATCTGATGATCCTCTGCATGTGACGTCACACGTGTTCGACCTGGCCGAGGGCGATCAGCGGTGGTACCCGTTTGCTGTAGACGCGTCTGTAAATCATAAACAGTCCGTCGACTACAACCCATCGTCCTTGCGACTTCAGCTATGGACGTTCCCGTCTGCAACATGCCGATGGCACGTTCACCTTGCACATTTGAAAGGCGTGGCATGACAAATGGCCGTAAAGACTTTTGTTTTCTTGTGTTTTTCTTTTTTTGTTAATGACTGCTAACAAGTATGGCTGAAAACACATACGGTATTATGGCCACGTGACCAGTTGCACGTGGAAAAACACTTTTGCCACTATAGTGCTGTGCACATGATTTTGATCGTTTCACCTGCACAAAAACAGGTGTTATCTGAAGACAATACGTGGCCATTACTGTTTAAATACACAATAAGGGCCCACAATGATAACTGCTCAAAATGTTAAAATTTTAGGATTGTAAAGTTTTTAAATTGGTTCAGTATATTTCAGAGACAATTAGGCTTGTGAACCTATTTTTCAGATCCATGACAAATATTTAATCCTGAAACAATTTGTATGTAAGGGAATGTCATAAAAACTTCTAAGATTGTTTTGAAGCTGCATGACCAAAAAAATGCACCTTAGAGTAACTCCTGCTAAATTACTTTGTACATGTAACATTGTTACTGCAAGGTATGACCAGTCGACTGGAGACTTCCTGCGGTCTAGCCATTTCAAACACGAAAACATCATGTTTACCGGTACATAATATTGTTAAATTAGAACATATATGACTTTTAATGAGTCTGTGTAAGGCATTTATGACACAGGTATCCATTCTCTATCACCTAAGGTTAGTTTCAAGACACCAATAGCGGTAATCTGATAGGGGTTGCTGTAAATAACAGTAAGTTGGGGTGATCTGCTGATCAGTTCACACAGGATTTTGTCATAATTAACGTAAATAATACTAATGAAATTTTGAATAAATTCAGATAGTCCAGATATGCAAAGAACACTTTTTTATAACCAGATATATGATATAGTATAATAACAGGATTAAATTGCTTACATCAGTAGATTTGTTGACATGGCATCTGATGTTACGTGTTCATGGTAACGTCTTCCACTTGGGGAAAAAAACCTCAAAAGTATGTAGATGTGAATTATGCACACAACCATCTACACAGTTGTAATTGTTGGAAACAAGTGTGCACTATACTTGATACACTTTTAAAAACAGTGCACACAAAACATTTTGTCTGAACTTTGTTGAAGTTTTTTTTTGCACTCACTCGAAAAAACACTACTGTGAACACTGTTGGTTAGTTTGAAGAGAGTTGACAACATGTTTGGAAAGTTATTATAGGGAAGGAAAGTTCATGAACTTGTTTTGAAATAACTTCATCAGAATGGGGAAGCTGCCCCTGAAGATCTGGTTTAGTATAGGTCTTCAGCAACCTATGCCTGCTGTAAAAGGCAACTATGCTTGTTTGAACAGGCTACTAACAAGATCGGGTGGTCAGTCTCACTGACTTGCTTGATGCATGTCATTGTATCCCAATTGTATAGATCAATGCTTGTGATGACAATCACTGGATTGTCTGGTCAAGGCCTGATTATTTACAGAACGCCATCATACAGCTGTTATATTGCTGAGTGCGGCATTAAGCAACAAACAAACAGAATGAGGAAGCACTAGCAGGAGCTAGTCTGAGAAGAGAGTTGACATGTCAATGACGGTCAACTGGGTGTTGGAACCATTAGTGACTAATGAGGCTGCCAACTCCTTTTCGGTACATGGGATTCGGGGTCTATTTAGAGGGTATTCGGGCAACAGCAGTGTTGTACGCAGGATGCAAATAATACAACATATTTGGTACACAGATATATATGAATTTTTTTCAGTAAATTACCTTCAAATGGCACTCTTTTATGACCTAGGAAGGTGTTCATCCATGGTTAACATTCTGCCTTTGTTGAGTGAATTCCGACCTGTCCTTTTGAGATTTGTGTTAACTGGTATTTGGGATTAAAGGGTGTGCAAGTGAGACTCAGACTCATAAAATTGATGGCATTTGGGATTCAGGGGAAGGGGGATTGGCACCATCACTAAAGACAAGTTGAAATAACATTTCACAGTAACAGTAACGATGTTACTACAGAATGGCAAGAGTACCTTGGTTGTTCAACCCTGGAAGAATTGGTGTGTGTGTCCCCTCCCGAGGATTCTGCAGTTGAACCATGTCTTGGTACATGTTCCTCTTTACCTTGGGGCTTCAGTATTTCCTCAGCACTGAAAAATAAAAATGAAAGCAGAGAACATAAAATGCTTGATTAATGATATCAATAAAAATATATACTTTCCATGATGTTGGCTGTGTATATGTTGGAGCTGGAATGGTACAGAGAGCTACAATAACTTACTCTGATACTGTGACATGTTTTATGATACTAGTTATCCTCAGAAAATGACCTTAGGAAAATTTGGAACATTTGTGTGTATTTTTGCGTACAAGGTTGTGCAATTTATCACTGTGTCTACACATTGAGGAATCATTCCACATACGTTAATAGACCAATGATTAGGAGTGGATAAATTGCCTTATGCACTACAGTCAGCTATATTACTGCTACAGCATGCATGTAATTTGGCCTGGGTCAGACATACCAGTGGTCAATGCTGAGTGTGTAGCAGGGCGCGGAGTCATCCCACAGATGACATCCTTACCTTGTCAGCTTGCTGACGGGGTTGACCTCTTTGGTCATGTGGACAAGGCGTCCGACCTCGGATCAGAAGGTCCGTGGTTCGAATCCCATCACGGGACTCGGAAATTTTATGGCCGCTACATCAAATTTGATTGGTCCCGCAAATGTCACATCTGTTAGGGTAGAAGGCCACTTGTGTAATGTTCTTGTAGACACAGGTTCCCAGGTGACCACTATGTCGGAGACATTTTACACAAATAACCTCCCTCAACATACACTCCATAGCATAGGTTCACTCTTGAAGTTAAAAGGAGCCGGGGAAGCTAAGCTACCCTACTTGGGGTATGTTGAAGCTGTAATCCTTATCCCTAGTGACTTCTTAGGTCAGGAAGTTGAGGTAACTATACCGATACTTGTAGTGCCCAATACTGACTACCACTTCAAGGTGCCTTTACTATTAGGGACAAATGTCATGACTGCTGCTGAAACAGGGCGTGGAGTCATCCCACAGATGACATCCTTACCTTGTTAGCTTGCTGACGGGGTTAACCTCTTTGGTCATGTGGACAAAGCGTCCGACCTCTGATCAGAAGGCCCGTGGTTCGAATCCCATCACGGGACCCGGAAATTTTAAGGCCGCTACAAGTGCATGGATCCACTGGGGCATGGAGACATAGTTAGTCACAGCTGATAGTCTGTGTCTGACAGCATGCACTTGGGGTTGTTCATACTCAGCAGCCATTGTGATCATCCACTCCACACTTCAGACAAGGGACCTATTCCTATCCAGCATACACTTAACACTAAAAGCAAAATGTAGATGTTACACAAGATATTCACAGCACTAGTACCGGTCATGCAATATAAATCAGGAATGCACCAACATTTCTGGGGACGCTGCACTTGGGGATTCATTGCGTTCAGTTGCAGGTGTTGGTTTATCAGTTGACTTAGTTGTGAATGAAGGATCACTTCTCATTGTTTCCACTACATATGCCATCCCCTCAGTCTGTACTTGGGGATGAATTCCTGCTGAACTGCTCCAATCATTTCCCTTCATGCTTAGAAATTGTGAGATCTCTAAAGGTGAAGAGGATTGCATATGCCCAGTTGTTGACGGCTGCTCTTGCTCCTTCTTCTGTACAGTCTCTAGCACTGTTTGTGTGAACTCGCGGATCTCCTTCCTGCCTTTCTCCGTATCACCACGAAAACTGTCCAATTGTTCGTTCATATTGTGTTGCAGCCGTTTAAAGCCGGTTTCCATTGACTGCAAGCGTTTTTCTATCTCCTTCAATTCTGACATGAAGTAACAAAGTTACAATTACTTTCAGTTTTGTATTTGGTGAGAATTCATTACAAGGATGTATCAATCAAACTAAACTGGTATACCTTCCCCTGGAACAGGTTCTTGTAGGTAATTATTGAGCATGCTGCTACCAGTAGAATGACTGTACTGGCATATTTGTCCCCCTAAAGTCAACATGATTCTACGTAACGCATCTGCAGACAAAAGTAACATATATGATCCAAATTCATTAACATGTTCAGTATATTACCCCAAATAGTTAATTATAGTATTTACAGGAGTACAATATTGATGATGGTCAGATCTTACACAAGATTAACATAAAAGTGCCAGGTAGAGGGATTCTCAGTCAGTAATGTCCTCATGTATTATTTTTCCCCTTTTGGCAAAACTGATGATCATATAGAATTACCTGACATTTCAACAGTAGTCCTTACTGTCAGACAACCATCTGGCATACCCTGCTGAGTGCAGGGACAAACCCCCCTGCTGCTTCACATAAAAATCCCAATCTAAATACACACATAACAGATGATATATCTGCAGTGCAATAATTGATACATCTTGAATATATGTGCTTAAGAAAAACACACACACATAGCTCCCTTTGGCTCCAATTGCTACAAAATACACAAAAGACCAAGTTTCATCCAATATGGTCAGTATTTATCAAACATTTTGTTTTGCAACATCATCCACAACAGCCAAAGTTGATGGTTGACAATGACTCTTTACTTAAAATACAGAGATGTATTACCGGTAATTCTAAGCAAATGCTGGCTACAATGATAAAATCGCACAAAATGCATGTGCAGTACAAATATACATGCCAATTTAAATTTAAACACAGATATCGAAGCATGAAGTTAAAGATTCTCATGTATTATGAATGTATTGCATGACATTTCCATGGAGCATATTTGTGTTGTATTTTGTTTACATTTGCAGTATTTATGTCGGATAGCACAGCATAACTGGACATTTGCTACAAAGAATCATACTTGCCAACTTCATTAGCTCCTGGCTATTATTTGTAGCAATGCCCAGTTATGCATGTGTTTCCTTTATGTAGCGGCAATAAAATTTCCAGGATGGGATTCGAATCACGGACCTTCTGATCAGAAGTCGGACACCTTGTCCATATAACCAAAGAGGTTAACCCTGTCACCAAGCTGACAAGGTAAGGATGTCATCTGTGGGATGACTCCACGTCCTGCTACATACTGCCCCGTCAACAGAAGGCACATCCTGGGCCGCATAGTAGGGTACTGAGGCCTATTTTCCTCAAATTTAATATGAACGTGCTCAGCCAATGTAGTGGCCATAAAATTTCCGAGTCCCGTGATGGGATTCAAACCATGGACCTTCTGATCAGAAATTAGACGCCTTGTTCATATGACCAAAGAGCTCTGTCAGCAAGCTGACAAGGTAAGGGTGTCATCTTAGGGATGACTCCACATCCAGCTACACTTAACTGAACCTTCTTTTCACCATGTATGCTCTTTATCCTCAGCTAAACCTTCTGATCACCATGTATGCTTATTATTCTTAACTGAACGTTCTTTTCACCATGTATGCTTATTATTCTTAACTGAACCTTCTTTTTGCCATGTATGCTTATTATTCTTAACTGAACCTTCTTTTTGCCATGTATGCTTATTATTCTTAACTGAACCTTCTTTTTGCCATGTATGCTTATTATTCTTAACTGAACCTTCTTTTTGCCATGTATGCTTATTATTCTTAACTGAACCTTCTTTTTGCCATGTATGCTTATTATTCTTAACTGAACCTTCTTTTCACCATGTATGCTTATTATACTTTATACAGTCTACAGGTATGCTCATGATAAGGATCAAACAACAGAGTTCTCTTTAAAAGGTTAAAGATATCAATAGAGATACCTGATTAATGTCTGTTGGTTGTCATGAGATGTAATCTCCTAAGTGATAAGTTAAATCTATATTGGTCTGCATGTGATCATGGTACTTGTCCTAACTGCAGAGGCATTTTCAGGAAATGTTTGAAAGATCCAGGACATAAATATCTATGGCAAACATCATTCCTTTAATTGTTAGGTTCTTTAACTTTCCCATTCAGCATGCTACTCAAGCCTTACCTAAACTGCCATGCCAGCTCCATGGTTATAGTTGGCTACAGTAGATTGATAGGACATTCATTAACACTTTGCCAACAGCTGATGGCTAGTCAGTATCAAAGACCCTGATCAGGATATAACAGGATTCACATGCAGCAGTCCATTTCTGACAAAATCCTAAGGCAGTCCAGTTTCACTGGCTGCTCATAACCACCCCAGTACCAAGATTCCAAACTATGCATGATCTGTGTAAAGTATTGTATGTAAACACTATAAATAAATTATAAGATTGAAAACAGTTGTTTTGTGGTCTAAATGTTCTCTGCAAATAGTGTATTAATACAATGACCATGCTGGAATAAATCCAAAATATTTCCACTTTCGCCTCTATTTCACAATTGGTTTAATCCTTGGGTGACAATAAAGTTAATAATGACATAAAAACTTCAACTTAAACACTAATTAAGTAAGCTTTTTTTCTGTTCTATGGCACACTGATCAGTTAAAATAGACACAAACCTTTCGCCCTCTTGGATGCATCCTTATCTGCTTTTTGTTGGCTTGAAAAAATAAAAAATGCATAATGTTAGAATTAGGAATCATTTGTTGAAAATGTCTGTCCATAAATGTCAAGGTCATTGTTTGAATGGATGTTTCTGATAAGCTGAAAAATGTAATAGTTGGAAGACAAATGTGACAAATGTTCAACTTTATGTTCCAGGGGGCATTGAAAAGCCACAATATAGGAGGACCAGCTAGCCCTTTTTCCACGCAAAGCAACTTTCATCAGCAAATGTGTTAACAAGCATCCTACAATGAATTTTAGCCATTAGTCTGAAGCTTGTGAAAGGATATCAGTTTAGTAACCTCAGGGAATAATAGTCCATATATTAGGACCAAATCTACTGATGTCCCAACTGGCATCAAGAAACAAGTTTGGACTAGTAAACTCATACTCTTATTTAAGTAATCTGTATCAAACGTCCTGACTATTCATGACTGCTGGAAATTCAACAGTCAGGGAGAGAATTTCTTTGCTCCATTAGATCATGAGCATAAAATAGAAGATGATGTCATCCATATACTTTACCAGCACAGCTCTTCAGGACAAGAAACCCTTTCAAGTCTCAAGTAGACTTTGGTTGTGTGGCTGATAACTTCTTAACATCTACTTTTAAATACTGATGTGTATCTGGGAAACTGAGAATAACGACTACAGGAATATCCTCTGATTTAATTGGGAGGTAGATATTAATTGTAGCCTTAGTCATGTGCATGACATATAACCTTCTAACAAGGGTTGATTGTGATAATAATTGCAAAAATAGTGAAATGGCACTGTAGCTCACCTAATAACATGAACCCTGTAGTCAACAGGTTAAAATCCTACTACAGTGGGTTTCAAGATTAGTACTGAAATAGTTAATGATATTATTTGATAACAAAAATAAACAGAATGGATACCTTATTACTGTAGGTTTATTCATTGTAACAAAGCTATATACATGATGTATTTGCATAGATACATAAAAATAACGTGAATTACAAACAAGTTTCAATACAGTTTTATGTAATATCACCTTCTGTCTCATCAAACTGGAAAAAAATGGCAGAACAAACATATTTTCCCCTGAAAACCCATGTACACAAAATGAAACTAGATGTCAATGCCAAACATCTGTACTTTGTGTGCTTTTACATAGGCCAGTTGAGCAGATGTGAGGAGATTTAACAATGAAGGTTCTCGAATATGTAAAAATAACTGACTCTTTTCCCCTGAAAATCTTAAATATTTTTAAAATTACATTTAAGTTAAAGGTAACTTACTGATGCTTATAAGGCTGTGATATTATGTCTATCATGAATAAATCCAGTCAAATGGTTGGGCTGACCTACCAAACTCAATGTTTGAAGCTCACAATTTCATTATTATGACATGGGGGTTCAGAGCTAATAATTAATTTATAATGGCTCCGGCTTTCAAATTACGAACCAGACAACTAACAGTTTAAGTATCCACTTCATATTGCTAATAATGGAAATTAATCAAAGCCCCCCCCCCCGAATATGACAGCGCATGATATCCACACAAATAAGCAAAGGAAATCCTGCACTTTCTGTAGTTCAGTATATTTGATGAAATGATATGTGCAATAGCACTGTGGCTCAACTGAATATTTAGTAAACAAAGATAGCCACTTAACAAAAGTTGATGTCAGCATCCTGCCAGACTGGCAACTTCAGAGAAGATGTTTCTATAGCTAATTATGAATTTTGAGATAATTTCAAAATACAGTCAAGTCTCGTTAATCCGACATCGTTGGTTGCACATGATTGTGTCGGATTAACGAGTATGTCGGATTAACGAAATTAAGTGATTTGTGATCGAAAATCGGACGTCTTCACGATAGATAATAACCGTGTGTACCTTGTAATAAAATCATTAAAAACGAAATATTAATATTGTTATGTTGTTTATTCATTCATTCCTTAATTTATAATTAATGACTGTGCAAAAATAATAATAATTTTCCCATTTATACATAACAATAGAGACATTACTCACTGAATTTATCACATGATCAACGACACACAGGACTAAATAGCACTGAATCAATCGGTTCCCATCATTTGTGTCGGATAAAGCCGAGTGTCGGATTAACGAGTGTCGGATTAACGAGACTTGACTGTAGTCTAAAAAGGCCAACATTTAATTATAAATTAAAATGGAGTGTTGACTCTCACATGATGATAAAAAAAATAAAATGTCATTACATTTTGTACACGGCCAAGGAATGGTCACAAATATATTTTTCAATACAGCAGCTGTGTTGGCCATATTGAAAATTGGATTCAAACCTCTTGAACAAGATCAGGAGTCATCATTGTGGGGAAAAAGCATGTGAAGTTCCCGCTTCATTGGTCAAGTAGTTGCTAAGGATATAAATGGTTTCAGTGGGGGGAAATGTATTTTGAAAACTTAGGAGCATGGCAAAAGTGAAAAAAAGATCAAAATATAAAATATTTAAAATATGTGTCAGTTGATGTCACACAATTGGTACATGGCTTATGCTGTAATCTGTTGCCTTACCAACTGTAGTTATCCATAGTTACTAAAGCTCACCTTTCACATTAAACATATGAAATATGTAGCAGCTTAATAGAAATGTAAGGAAGAGAATTTATGGATGCCAACTTCTTTATTATGAGGAACACAATGTTTGGGAGTATATACTTACTCCTTCATCAGGTGAAGGAAAGCTATGAGGCAGAGAGCATATATATGTACATGTAAGAACAATAAAAGTAATAAGATAACAAATAGTGGAAACTTTAACAAGGGAAGCCAACAGACAAATGGCACTGATAAATGCTTAGCAATAGACAGTGGAAGCCAATACTTTACAGTAAAAAAAGAATGGAAATAGCAATAGGCAAATGTAAGCCAGCTGGATGATAAATGCCAACAAAGATCAAAGCAATAAATCCCAAGCACAGGACAGATAGGTTCCCTGGTCACGGTTCATGGGTGGCCTGTGTCTCCTGATGTCAACAACTTCTTGTAGGTTTCTTTGTCACCAGTTGTTGTTGGTAGACAGGACTTTGGTGGCTTCCCACATGATGGTATGGTCTTGGTTCTTGAGGATGTGTTCGGAAATATTGGATTTCAGGTCTTGCTTGTTGACAGAGGTCTGATGTTCTTTGAGTCTGAGGGTTTCTCCACCTGAACTGGTGGCCACAGTTGCAGGGGATTTGGTATAAACATCCTCAGGGGTTTGGATTTATGCTGCTTGTGCCTCTACCGTTGGCTTGTAGATGGGTCTTGGTGGACTTGACGCTAGAAGAGGTGACATCTATGTTCGCTCTGTACTTGATGAGGTAGAAAATCTGATGAGTGACAGGGGCTTGGTAGGTTATGGTGATTCTGATGGGTGATGGGGCAGGTTTGGATCTGGAATCAGAGTTCTTGAGGGTCTTGCAGAGGGTTTTAGAGACTAAGTAAGGGTAACTTGAGATAGTCCAGTTCACTGAGGGCATCAGGGTGGCAAATGGATTTTATCTGGGGATGGTGGCAGGAGTTGTGTGTGTGTGTTGGCTTGCAGTACACTGATGTTCTTGGTCCATCGGGGCGTTCCGGTAGCCTAGTGGTTAAAGCTTTCGCTCGTCATGCCGAAGACCCGGGTTCGATTCCCGACATGGGTACAATGTGTGAAGCCCATTTCTGGTGTCCCCCGCCGTGAATTGATGGAATATTGCTAAAAGCGGCTTAAAAACCAAACTCACTCACTCACTCACTCTTGGTCCATCATCTGTGGTTTGGAGGGACACTTCTACGAATGGAAGGCGTTGACTGGATTATTGAACTGGATTCTCTGGTGCTGGGCATTGAGATGATTTAGGAGCTCTGTGTGGTCGTGCTGGTGGGCTTTGGTGGTGAATGTGTCGTCTACTTTCTGCTACTAGCAGAGGGGTTGCAATGGTGCTGTGCTGTGTGATTCTTTGAAGAATGTCATGAAGATTTCAATGAGTAGAGATAGAGGGTAGCCCATAGGCAGTCCATGCATTTGTTTGTAGATCTTGTCGTGGAAAGTAAAACATACTCTTCAAAAAAAGAAATGCAAAGCCAGATTTATGTGAGGTAGGAAAATACATTTATACGAGGAACCATCCAAGGTATTAAGCCAAAATGTTGTGAAGAGGACACTCAGTGATTGTAGTCATCTCAGTTATCGGTACATAGGAAAAGTCGAAGATGAAGGTCACCTATCATCAATTACTCGTATGTCCCCCGTTGGAATCGATAGTGGCCTGCCATCTCCTGCCAATGGAAGAGACGAGTATGCGAATCACATTCTGGGGAATGGTAACCTACTCGGCCTGCAACGCAAAAGCCAACTGCTGCAAAGTCTGGGGTTGTGGTTGACGTCGGCATAGCCATTTATCCAATTAATCCCACAGGTGCTCTATCGAGTTCAAATCTTGGGATCTGGAGGGCCAGGGGAGAACTTCAATGGTGTTGTGTAGACAGGCTCTTGTGATCCATGCTGTATGCGGTCGAGCGTTGTCCTGCTGGTATACACCGTTGCCGTTGGATGCAATTGGGAGGACATGTGGTAGGAGAATTTTCGTTATGTATCGTTGAGCCGTATGATTGCCATTGATATGGACCAAACCGGTCCTGCCATGATGAGAGATAGCCACCCACATCATAACGCTACCCCACCAAACCTGTCCACTTCCTGTATGCAGTTTCCGGCGTAACATTCTCCCCAGGTCTGTAGACCCATGCTCTTCCCCCTCGACGGAGGAGAAATCTTGATTCGTCGCTGAACCAGACTCAATATGATGCGTCAAAAATGACGTCTTGCTCGTAGACCTTCTGCTCTTAAACCGTTTCGTACGGCCTGGTTGGAGATTCTGCGCAGTCCGGGTATTTGGGATGTGGTTGAGGTGGCTGTGGTCATCCTTTCATGTAGGTGGCACAGTCAGATGTAGTGATCTTGGGTTTGGGGGAGGGGGTTACTCTTGGTCGTCACGACCTTGGCCAATCACGTTTTGA